GTTGCACATCTTGGTTTTGCTGAACTCACTAAAGTCATATACACTGAAGGTATGCTGAAAGGTGTCACCGTACTCTACAAGTGAAACTGTATCACTGAATGGTTTAAAGTGTGCCAGCATAAATATTGCATACCTTTCACTATTTTCATGGCGAGGGATCAGTGTACCAATTGGACGTGGAACACGCTCCATATTAAAGTCAACATGCATTGGACTGAAGTGCTCAACAAGTACATGTGTATCTGCAAGAGGATGTTGTTCCTTTACAGAAAGACGTCGAAGTACACCTAGTCGATCATCTGATGTATGATGGTTATGCTGTGCTGTTTTAGACTCTAATGTGAAGTATCTGCAGAAGTCATAGAAGTTTAAGTGAGAAAGAGTGTCTGGTCTGTAGACGTAATCATCAATTTGGTTCTGTTCGAGTAGCTGTCCATTTTTATTCACTTTAATATTGATAGTACACTCTTCTATGTCATCAGCATCAGAATGATTATCCTCACCACTCTGACTTTCAATTTGCATAGCAAATGAATAATGCTCTTTGACATAAAGCAGTAACAAAATAGATAGCAAGGGCTTTGTAGGATGTGATGAAATACTATCGCCTCTCTTACGTATGTACCAGGCTGCTTGCTGAGAGTGGATCTGTTGTTGACGCAAGAATTGAGCCAAGCACCTATTTAGTAAGGTTTTTGTACTGTAACTAGTCAATTGCGAGGATTGGTCATTGCCACTGGGTAAACTTGCTACTGCCTTTGATAACAATGATAGCATCTGATAGGTTTTTAGGTCAACCTTAGTAATATAGTCTGTAATATAAAACATTGCAGCCTTCGCAGCTTTACCAGAAAGAATACATTTAATGTCATGATTATGTCTGCAAAAAACCAGAATATATGGATTGTAGTAGTTCACATTTGCATCTTTACACATCAGAATGACAGAGTTAGTATTACGATCAAAATATGAGCTCTCAACAACCTCATGGGGAAATAAAAATCTGCATTTACCTTCATTACCGTATTTTTCACAGACTTTACGGTGTTGATGACGCTGCAAGACTTCTCCACATTTTTTAATTTCAGTGACAAACACTGACTCCCATTCATTCAGAATATTGAGTGCCGATTCACCAACAATAGGTGGTTGTGGTGGTCGTTCAATACGAGGTTCGTACGTTTGATCAACTTGCATATCAATATTAGGCAAGTGATGAAATATAATGCTCTCCCAGTATCTGAAAAATCGGTATTCAAACTCATGACTGTCACGCAACCTAGCATGCAAATCAGAAGGATTCAGACCTCCAAGTAGCCATAATACAAAGTGACCATGCAGTGTACCACGCTCAGTACATTCAGGTGTACCATAAAATGCACGCAACTTTCCTAAGATTCCACCTTGCCTTTTGGAGCGTCTCTTAGAAAAATCCCAGCCCAAGAGGTCTTCAAATATAGTGTGTATACAAAAGTAGAAGAAATTGCATGCTGCAACTGGATCTTTGGCCAGCCGCAAAGCACGTTCATGTGCAGGCACAACTAGTGGAAATCGTTTGGCCAAGTCTACAGTAGTGTCACCATACATGACTTGGAAAATTGGATTATGTGCAGGCAAAGGATTTATGGTCATGTAAATATGTGGCATGCCAAAGTAACCAAAGTAGCTACGTATCTCATTTCTGACCCGAATTTTTGAGGCTTGAGAACCAGGAATATGTCCACCAATAGTGTTCACATGCTTTAGCAAGTCTAATGCATCTTTTTGCTGGTCAGTCAAATCTGCATATTTACCTTCATTCTCAAGATGGTTAGAGACTGACATAAGCAAGGAGGGTGAAAGAGTGACTAATCTTCTAGCGATAGTCTGAAAGTAGGGCTTTTGTACTGCAAAGTGTGTGTGTAAGTGAGCAGAGCGACGCTGCCATATATTAAGTGCAATGAACATAAACATGTGATGATACCGAAATGCCTTGTCTGCAAGATCAAGATAGTAGTTGACCTGAGTATCAAACTCTATTGGCTTTGGCCTACTAGGATCTTCAAACCCACCAATGCCAAATGGATATAGTGTTGGAAACATACCTGGAAACAAGTTAGGATTGTTGTATTCAGAGACAGGCAGCATACCATGATGAACTACAACATCAGGTTGCGATGCAGTTGGATTAACTATACTTCTTATTGCCGCAGCAGTAAAGCTTCTCCCACTAAGTTTATCTCCTTCTGGATCTGACATGCCCATTTTCTCCATCATAAGTTGTGGTTCATTTGATAGAGGGCAGCTTTTGGCAAATAATTCTGCAGGATGTTCTGAAAAGCCTGCCGTTTTATCTTGAAATATAAGTGTAGTATCCATTCTGTGATCTTCGACAATTCGTGAACTAAGACCCGGTAACACATCATCTTCAGGATACATATCAAGTGCAGACAGATCAAAAGTCATATGTTTATACAACTTGTTATGACTCTTAAGCCACAGTAAGAAGCTCCAAATCTTACGCTTTCGCACACGATACATGTTTCCTACGTACTCAGGCTTAAACTTATGTGGACCAATAAAAACAACTGTAAGCATACCAGCAACATCGGCAGGTGTTCTTGGAAGCACTGATGCTGTGGAAACAACATTTAAATCATGTGCACATGTGTTTCCATGAAACACCTTTGGCTGTGCAGGGTCAGATGACTGATAAATTCTTGTGACATGTGCAGTGCTACGGTAGATTGCACAAACCATTTCTTCAACCCAGGTTATATCATTGTATTGCTCAGGCAGACAACCACGATACAGATTATTAACTAAGCCATATTGTGGTGTAGTACGATGTTGTATTGCTGTATAGCAGCTCGAACAAATTTTGATAGCTGTGACCATGCCATTATCATAAGTCAGCCCTTTCTTGTCCAACATACAGCCGTCTAACCTTGAGTCCTTAAAAACAAACTCAGAGCTATTCTGTTTAACTACGCAGTTTTCTAGAATGAAAGGATCTGTGATTTGGAATGCAGATAATACTTGCTTATTCAGCAGTAAACCATCCATCTTATATTCAGAAATATGAATCTCATGTGACTGACGAGCACATACAGCACAAATTGAAGGTGAATGCCACTGAGTATGAGTGTAATAATTGTTCAGACAGTTAAGAATCACATTGTGAGGAACAAGTTGTGGCCATGCATCAATATATGCTTTTGTCTCTGCACTGTCCTGTTCAATTTCTAACGCCTTTTCAACTCTACGCTGCTCTTTCTTTGCATCACTGTTTGTATGAGACTCCATGTTTAATTTATCAAAAATCTCAGATGGAACACTTGACTTTAGTAGCTTGAAAATCAGTTCACTACGAGGACTACATAACTCACTCTGAGATAAGAATGGTAAATGACACAAGATAGTATTTAAAAACTTTGAAGATTCAACTTTGAATAAGTACTGGGACAACTCAACAATATGCTCAACTATAACTGTGCAACGTGCATGACGTTTTACCGGCAATTGGTTTGTAAACGTAATACCATAGTTATAAAGTGTTCGCATTAACACAGATGACAAACGGTGAATGAGAACACTAGCTGGAGTGACAAACCAGGGTAATTCTATACATAATTCTACAGGCAGTATGGCATATCCAATTAATGGATGTTCCTCAAAAAGTGGAGAGTTCGCAGAACGTATTGCTAGTGCTACAGGTTCACCATACAATTTAATATACAGAGCACTGAGCAGAGCATACCGGGATTTGAGAAGTTGATCATCACCATGCAGACACTTTGCTACATCTTCATTGGACATGATAGCAACAGATGCACGACTCAATTGAAAGTCAACAAGAAGTCTTCTGCAAATCTCAGACTTGTTACGGTCTTTCTGAGGTATTAAACAGTGAGATGACACAGCTGCAGACTGCAGAGTATGAAGACTTAACCTTTGGAGTGTACGCAAATACTGTTCATCAGACAAATAGAACCATGAGGGATTGAAATCTGCCATGGCTAAAGTCAATCGCTTACGCTACTTCAGTCCGAAGATTTAAAGGTGTTTCAACACAAATCCTTAGTGTACTTGAACAGCGTGCTTGAAGACAAATACTTAATGTGCTTGAACACAAAATATTTAACGTGCTTGAACACAAAATGTTTAACGTGCTTGAACACGAAATGTTTAACGTGCTTAGACACGAACTCAATCAAAACAGCACTGCGAAACTGTGAACACAGTATCACAAATAGCAACTGCATTGTGCAAATTAAACTGTAAGTATCCATTTGAACAAGTCAACAAGCATAGACGCACCTATTTTGCAGCTACACTTGTCCGAAACAGTCGCAAAAAATGCGAAAACTATGTCTTCAAGAGAGCAGGTCCACGTAGATTCTACATGGTTTAGTGGTGAATCAGTAGATTAGTAATAATACGAGAAGAAGAATACACTCACATGCAAAACAGAATGATGTCGTATAGCGACTCGTCGAGGAGCGACACTGAGGTGTAACGTCGTCCAGCAGCGCCAACATCGTCGAGAAATCGAGCGCGCACGTGATGTTTGCGAGCGCCATCCTACGTGAATAGACCTGCGCTGGAACACCGTGGGCAGGTCGAGCGCAAGGGCGGAACGTTCGCGAGCGCGATCTTACGTAAATAGACCTGCACTCGAACAGTGTCGACAGGTCCAGTGCAACAGCGACGTTCGCGACCGGAATCCTAGACGGAGTCAAGACTCAAATCGTAAGTGTTATTACTCAACTTATTTACTGATGTTGTTTTCGCACAACTTCATTCGCAGAGGCGTCTGCCGTTTCCCCTTGCCAAAGCCCTCCTCCAGTTCCTGGAGTCGGGGATATAAGTAGAATACACGCAGTACTTCCACCAATTCAATGTGTGTCACCTACTACTAATAGTAGTGCCACAAACATCAGAAGCAATAGCTTAAAGTAATACACAGACCAATATCGGGGGCTATACAAGAGTGTTTGAGGTAACTACAACCACAGTATTTATGTGGAAGTCCCTGGAAAGGGATCCACCCATGTCCCATTTGGCCACAGAGTCGCGGGCATCGTGAAATCTCCAGTCGTCGCGGCATTATTATACTAAAGAGGGAAGATCGTCGGCATATCGCCATGGCATGAGGCTACAAACAGAAATAATGTGTACAAAGCCACGCACCGCGAGACGGAAGAAGTGCGGCAGGCCTGCTTGCAGTGCTCCGAGCGAGAAATTGAGTGTCGCTCCAGTGTAGCGCTCAACGTCATCGATGAGAAGAGAGAAGCCTGTCCAACCTTCGCTCGCATCGGGAAGGGCGCTCCAGGAGATTATCTGGTTTATCAAAGGTATGGATGCATTCCAGTTTGTCGAGTTAGTTAAGAAGGATGGCATCGCTGAGCCCGAGGGTCCGTCCCCCTGCAGCTAGAGAACAAATACGGTTAGTAGATTCAAACCGTAGCTTCATGAGAAGAGAAAATGCTCACGTCTGCTGCAGTCTGCAAAATGGAGGCAAGACCCCACGCAGCAGCACCATTAAGAAACATGCCCAGGAGAAATCCTTGGTATACAGCGGATGCCCGTGTCGGCCACGCCGTGCCCGGTATGAGAACCATTGCCAAAATATAATGATGCAGTCTAAACTGCAGTCCAGGCAATAGTGCGACCACCAGGGCGGTGAGCCCACCAGCAACGTACCACCCTAGGTAGTATGGCAGCCAACCGGTCTTACGGATGACCCGCACTTGATTGATAACAATACACAATAAAATGACGAGGATAATGACCAGAGCGGGAATAGCTCCTGGCTCTGTTCGGAGGGTAGTCGCAGTGAGCGTATTGATAGGAATCTTGTCGGTGGTGATATTCGTCAAGACGCCTGCCCAGTATGGCGCCAGGTACCACACAGCAGCTTCAATCGGGGCGTTTCTGAATGCAGGTAACGTGAACCTGAAAGCAAGCCGCCAGAACGCATAAGCGATGAAGAGAGAGGGAAGGAATGCTCCAAAGGCTTGATCGAGTGGGGGTGGTGTGGCCATCGGCTGGGAGAACAGAGCTACATGCCAGAAACCAATGCAGACTATACACCAGTAGAGAACGATAGATTTGGGGCGGAGGACAAGGAACAGCGCTGCGGTGACGATGACGTCAAGTACCAGCGCATAATTGCGCAAATCGCTGCAGTGATGTAGGGAAGTGGATGGGGCAAATCGGAAAGAGAGCGGAAAAGTCGTTGGAAATCCAATGGAGCTCAACCCACGAGCCGCAAATGGCAGATAGTCTGTGTAATTACCGACAAGCTGCAGAGAACCACAGCCCCCCTTGGAGTCATTGATGAGACCTCTAAGGAAACGCATCAATCAACGAGATCGTGAAATATAGATAGCACTAACGATTGAATAGCAGCTGCACAGATAAATGTGTCGCCTCGGTATGTCTCGTTGACATCACCACCTCCGACAATCAAGGGAATATAATCGACCTTGACATCGCCCACTGTCCGCGGATTCTCAAGAACCACGGAGCTACACTGCGCGGGGCAACGGAAATTAAATGACGAATTGCTGAACGGCATGCAATCTTGGCCGTCCAGTCCACAGCCGTTGTTTGCAGACCAGTAAGTGGCAGTACAACTGACGAATGAGTCTGCGGGTGTCAGGAAGGATTGTGCTCGTGAAATAAATGCAACGGCGATAACATAGCCTATTGTGAGGATAATGAAGAGCCACGGAGAAGTGAACGGTCGAGTCACGCGAATTAGTGCAGGTTCGAGAGCCAGGCTGTAGGAACGCCGTCCCGTATGGAGAGTCAAGTTCAGGAATGGAGTTGGATCTGAATTGCGTACAGATATGTGAGCACGCTCTCCTCACAAACATCATGACACGGCTGACCTGTCAATTCTACTTTTGGGCGAGGGCCTCTGAGGTACTTGACTACGCGTGCGATTCGAGAGTGCTTAGCAGCAAAAGCACTGTATGCCCTCTGGTACCACGGGTTGGAGGTCAAGTGGGGGATCCCAAAGATCTCCACGTTAAAGGCATCAGGAGGATACTTCCCCGACAGAGACGTAGAAATGCCAGATGCAAGCTCGACATGCGTGCTGCGAGAAGAACTCGCGATCGAGGGCGAGCTAGGCGGCATTTGAAGAGTAGGGAGGGAAAAAATAGTTAAGAGTGGTCCGTGATGAACGAGTACCTGCGAACATGGCACCGTGTGTCCCACCGTAAAGTTAGAACCGCAGCACAGAATATGACTGCCAAGTGACAGGGAGCACTCACCAAGCACCGCTGAATGTCGAGAAAATGTGAATATGAGTGCTCATGCTAAATACCCTGCGGAATTTGTTAGCCGATACATTCCGAGGGCAACAGAGTAGATCTGAAAATGCTTGGAGGAACTTGACGACCTTGTTGTCCCCAAGTGGTCGCGCGACGAGCCATGTGGCGACTCGGAGGCCAAGATTAGATAACGGATCTATCACGGATGATCGCGGCAGAAACTCTTCGTCACCGTTGAATTGAACGTTGATGGAGTATCCACTTCTCTTCGACGAACTCGTTTTTGACAGCTATCATGTCTACGTCCCCGGAGACTTCACACTTATGTTTGTTGCCCACGGAACTGGTTATCCAGATATTCAGTGACCTTGATATCAGAAGTCTGTTAGTCTGCAAACAGGTCAGTCCGTCAACAACGCCCACACCTGCTCCTCTTGACTGTCCCATCTCTCAGGTTTGCCGCTTGTTCAAAGACATCATCGTGGATGCTGCAGCAATTCAGTACAAGATTGAGCTCCTCGTCTCCGGGATGGACGATGGGCCTCCGAGCGGCATGAGTGCGGCGGAGCGTCTACAGATGCTGAAGCGTCATCGGAATGCCTGGAATAATTTGAGGTTCAGTTCGGAGAAGACCATACCTATGCTCAAGGGTGAGGTCTGGGAATTGTACGGAGGAGTGCTCTCCCAGGCTAGAGGTCCCCAAAGCCTCGCATTCAAGCAGCTGCCTTCAGTCATCCGTGGAATCGAGGAAAAAGAATGGATCGTGCAGGATTTAGAGTTCAGAATCCGAGACTTCGGTATGGATCCTTCTCAGGACCTTCTAGTTGTCATTGAAAGTCACAGTGCCCAGTGAGTGTTAATGTCCTGTGCTGTTGGGACCGGAAAGTTGACCATTTCAACATTCTCTGCAGCAATCAAGCGTTCTGCATTCACTTGCTCAATCTTTATACTGGTACACCTCATACTTCAGCGCCCCATCCTGCCATCCTCGAACACATCCCAAGCGGCGACAATTATTCCTATGCGATTCAGATATCTGCTCAGTTCCTAGGCGTGTTATTCATTAGTGGGAATGACAATGACAGTGAATTACTAGTCTGGAACTGGAGGACAGGCAGTCGTCATCTGGTGAGTGTTTGAATCGCAGAACGGCCCCTCTGATGTCTAATGTACCTTACTTCCGCATGATGTAGTGGTTGTGCGGACCAGACTCGGCGTCCTTTACCTTCCTGTCCGACCGTCACATCATAATAGGTGCAATTGACCGTGACGATGATGAGCTGCATGAGCGGCAGCCGGAGCCAGAGCTCATAGTCATGGACTTTCTCAATACGTCTGGCGAGAAGATAATAACGAAGAGCGCAGACTTTCTGTGCGCTTTCCATTTCCCACTTCTAAGCTATTGGGCGACCCCCTTGGCGATGTCGATTCGCTCGGATCCAGCACCATCCTGGCGTCCTAACCCCGACCTCCAAGTCCCATTCTACGCTGCCAAGAACGACAGATTGTTTGTTATCACCTTCTGGATGGCCGATGCTCTCACTGTCCGGACATTTCTGCTCTTCGTGCCTTCGTCCACCATATCGTCTCACCTCGACTCGATGACTCTGGGCGAGACGAAGCATCATGTTACATGGGAGGAATGGGGTCCTAAAGGTACGCGAATGATTCCCGCGTCGCCAGGCCACTCCTCCGTCTGGGTATGCTACGTTTTCGGGATGAAGTTCGTCTCTCCGACACGAAAGGATGGGCGGAAATCGATTGATATCTACGACTTCAATCCTTTGGCTCTGCGACGCTCAGAAGGTGGCCCCACGCCAATGGTAAACGAGACGGCGATGCAGAACGGCCGGATATTCCAACACGAGGTTACAACATCATTGCCTTATCGCCGGTGGACCCTGACTCCCCCAGCTCTTGAGGGCGAGCGCGACTTTGACGCCGTGATGCTGAGCGAGGATACCTTGCTTACCGTGTCATCCGTGGGTCTTCACCAATACCAGTATCTGATGTACACTGTTGACTCGACGTTGGTAATTTACAGGAATCTAACGTCCGGTGGTACCGCATCTTGACGTTGTGAAGATGCGGCTCATCGATCTTTACGTAGGTTCTTGTGCCCTTTGTGCTTGAGAAGATGGATACTTATCTGATGCTGGTGTCTTCCAACCAGTGTCGAAGTGATGGTGCTGTGCGTAAGAAACGCCGTTGGGTTCTAACGCGCGCTTCGTGGTAGCGCAAGGCCGGAGAGAGCAGCTGTCAGAAGCGGGTGTCATATGTGGGTTGGCCGTGGCTCTGCGGAAAGCAGAGAGCGTGGATTTGGCTGAGAAGAGGACAATATGGAGGCAATTGTGCTGTATGTAGACACGGCGATGAACCACAGGGACAAATGAACCTTCCTGCGGATCGAGCGCGACGAATTGCCATTCGGCGTCTGACTCTGAGTAGGAGAAGAACGTGCCTCGGTATGCCTGTGCCTACCGGGCGCCTCGCAGCGATATTATCTTTACCACTGCCATGATCTCCCAATGACTCATATGCCTATAAAACCCTTCCCCAGCGACCCTCTTTCCTACCTGTCTTCCCCATCACCATGACCCTCTTTTCCGCCTCTGTGTGCCGTGGTGCTCGCCAGGTTATCCCCACCAATTCTCGCTCAGCGCAGACCTTCAAGGCCTTCTATGCGGTCCGTGTGCCTTCCTCTTCCACCGCGCTTCGGCTACTGAGATTTTGCGCATCCATACAGACGATACGGAGCTTACGGCAGACCACTGTACCTCCAGACCTCGATGATGTCGAGCCTTCAGAGAAGGTCAGGAATTGAAGACGTCGTTGCTGAAAATTTCTCACAATGTCTTGTTGAAGGATTTTATCATGTCTATCTTGCGCGCAAACCCTTCACTGCGAGATACCAGGTCGTATCTAGCATCATTTGGTCCCCGTCCTGTGCCTCCCCCTCGCCCCGCGGCTAAGCCAGATACCCAGCCCGTCCCTATCACGGAGGGACTACATCTGAAGCCAGATCCTCCTCCCCTGGATGTCCAGCACACTTTGCAGAGTCCCGTTGTCTCCTCCATCCTGAATCCCATCCAACGCCGCACCGCTCTCGTGAAAATACAGTCGCCGTTCACCGACAGACAGCTCGAGAGTATAGCCCGAGGTATGGTCTATCTGGAAAAGCTCGGTTTGGTCAGCGTTATTATCGTCGAGAATGATGAGCTGGCCAAGGGCGAGGATGGCGAGCGGGCGGCACTGGTGGAGGAGGTGATGCGCGTCGTGAGCGCCTTGGAGAGCCAGGGTGCGAAAGCTCGCCCGGTACTCGGTGCCGTCGTCCGGCTTGGCCCAAAGCCTGGCGATGAAGAGTCGACAGAAGAGCGAGATTACGCCATTCCCGAAGCGCACACCTTCTCGTCAGACCTCGTTCACATTCGGTCTGCGCTGCGAGCGGGCGAAATCCCAGTCCTGGCGCCGTTGGCTTTGGACTCCTTTTGTCGGTCGGTTCGCGTCGATGCCAATGACGTTATTGCAGCACTCGCGCGGGGCATGGTTGAAGCTGCTGAGGAAGACCGTGGCCAATCCAGCGACAGAGAGGCTGATGGTGTCGACCTTACCCCATTGCGTCTCATGATCATCAACAGGGAAGGGGGTGTTCCGTCGTATGCTCGCAGTGGCATGCCCCATCTCCTAATCAACCTCACGTCGGAATACTCCCACATCAACGATACCTTCGAGGGGCGATGGAGCGGCTCACATCCGACGGCGCTCTCAAACCTTTCTCTAGCTCGCACATGTCTTGCTTTCATGCCGTCCTCTTCCTCCGCTGTCATGGTATCCCATCGGTCGCCGAGCTCGCTGATAGCCAATCTCATCACGAACAAGCCAGCAGTCAGCTCCAGTTTACCGCACGCGCTGCTTCAGGGTAATCGCAAGCTCATGCCATATACGCCAACGTTACTGCGCCGGGGGCTGCCAGTACGCGTTGTTCGCAGCGTTGCCGATATCGACAAGCAAAAATTGAAGGCCCTTCTCGAGCAGTCTTTCAAGCGCACCCTCGATGAGGCCCCCTTCTGGGATCGGCTGGAGAAGCATTTGGACTACGCCATAGTTGCAGGCGATTATGCGGGCGCCGCCGTCGTCACCAAGGAGGTACGTCCTACCGGCGCGTCCGGCTCAGGTCCCTTCATCACGTACCTGGACAAGTTTGCGGTCCTGCCCAGCCATCAAGGCGATGGCACCGTTGACTTCCTGTGGGTCGCGTTGCACGACGAGTCCTATGGTCTTGGTCTCCCGTTCTCTGCTAATCCCAACGGAGGAAAGGGAGGTGAAGGTGAAGGCTGCGACCTCGTCTGGCGGAGTCGCGCGGATAATCCCGTTAACAAATGGTACTTCGAACGGAGCACCGGACACCTGCGCATGGGCAACTGGGTGCTGTTCTGGTGCGACGCGGAGATGCGGTTGAAAACCGAGGAGGGCCGGCGCGCTAGCGCAGGTCTGTCGTACCTAGAGGAATGGGAGCGGGGCAGGCTGTCGGTGTGGGCCGATGTCATCGCCAAGATCCCGTCTAGTTGGAAAAAGTAGGAAAGCTCGGTCGGTAATGTTCAAGAAGTCAGCCAGAGACTCTCTGTATACCTTTGTTCGGTGGGTCGGAATGTTGTAGGTTGCGGCGGATTGTATCTCTAGTTGATCTTTAATGCATAGGCACGCTCCAGACAATGTCAGAATTGGCACTTTAGATTATATCCAATATACATTATTCCTTAGAAATCGATGAAAGTTGTGGGTATCAACGCCGAGCACGACCGCCAGGTTTACGCCTGGGAGGAGAGGGTGTAGCAGCCGGGACAGGGTTTCGCGGTATATTGGTTGGAATTGAACGTCCCAGGTCACCCTTCCGCTTCCATGGAACAAAGGCGTGCTCGTTCTCGACAACGTCAGTGGCTAACTGCTTTATGCCACTGATGACACGCTCACAGAACCCGTTCACGGTCCAGTGATCCATGTTCCTCACAAGGAGGTATACTTGCAGTATGTCGCTGGGCTCATCTAGTTGCCACTCATGAAATATGTCGCTGGTTCTGCGACCGCCGTAGTTGGCTCCAGGATATGCGGCAGATTGAATGGACTGTAGAGCCCTGAGTCAGCTCTGAAGATACGCAAGGACTCACAAACATAGACGTTACAAAAGGTACTGACCGGATAATCGGAATTCGGCTTCACCGTCCACCAGTCTACATGAGCTCTTACCGTGCCCCGAGCCCAAACAAGCCCGAAGATCGGTGCCTGCACGTGAAGCGAGTGCAGTTGACGCACTGCAGAAGTGGTCGCCATCCTGTTCTGGCGGTACGCGTCATCGAGCATGTGGTGCACGGGCTTCTTGTCCTCCCAAAAGGTGCTCGCGAACTCAAACCCTGGCGTGTCAGGCAGCTTCGTGCACGGCGTACTCTGAAAGCGGAAAGAGGACTCGCCGCCGACGCTGCCAGAGTTGACTACCGAAGGGTGTGCCTTGAGTAGCTTGAACGGCGAACGTGCAGAGTGCGACAGCTCCCGGATGAGCCGGGTGGGAATGAAGAATGAAGAATCTGGACAGGCAGCTTTCGCGTTAAGCGCACGAACTGCCTTGCTAGTCACGGCGAAGCAGGACAATGGCTGGGATAGAGAGACCGAGCATTGGGCACTGAATGCGAGAATAGCGGTCAACGACAGCTAAACAAGGGCATGTGAGAAAGATCGCGCACCGATAATCGCTCTCGCGTGCTGCGGGACTCCGAAATACGTTGTACCTAGTCGGGATGAGCGGCGTACCACTGCGTTTCGTACTGTTTGAAACTTACACATTCGCAGTGTAGTCCGCTTCTGACCATTTTCTGCTCGAGTTACGCATTTTTTGCAGTCGCGTCCAAGCGACAAAGACGCTCTGGATGTCGCACAACAAGTTTCTGCACTCGGGTTCTGACATAGCAGATGTGAATAACTCCGGCGAAGCGTCGTGAGCACTACGGATGAATTCCATAAACTCCGCTGATACCAATTTTTTCAAGGCCTTGTGCACACGCGACGACTATGCAAAGTAAACATCAGCTCTGAGCCGGACATATTATGTTAGGCCAAAGCTGACCTTGTCCAGCCATGCATCGGGAAGTCGTCCGCTAACGTCAAAGACATTCTTCACTTCGACAGCGAGGTGCGCAGGAAGGTCGTTATACTCGACTTCCTCGCAACCTTGGTATGTCGCCCAGGTTTCGAAGCTTTTGACGTTGCGCGCGATTCTAGCAGAATCATTAGTGGGGGCAAACCTTGTCGGACCGTGGCAGAGCACGAACTCGGAAGCAGATTGGGCTCTAGTTTTTCGAGCATTCTCCTTCTTTGTTGTCTCCGCAGAGCTATTGGAGTACCGCGGAGGCATTGTGTCTGCAGGCCAACACGTTAACAAGCAAACGACGGTGCAGAGTTGAACTCACTGACCTGTTAGCAACTTATCGCGTGCGACTTCGTCAGTACAGAGCTATGCAAAACTCGCTAAATGGTCGTGACAATCGTAATCGTAACAAAGAGGCTATATAGAGGCAGACAAAGGGAACTGAGTACTTGGCTGATCATAGGCAAGCCCGCCAGCGTCAATTCGAGGGGCAAGTTCGCGGAGTGCGGACGCAAATTAATATTAAGGTCTGCCGCACATGATCGACGCGACATTGCTCTTCCTTTGCACTTGTTTGTAGTAGATTCCTCTTCCACCTCAAACATTACTGAGTAGCTATCGCCAGCAACCTCTACGACCGAGATTTGAATGATGAGACTGTGTTGGTCCAATTTTTTAACTTTTGTATCCGAAATGATACCCGTGGGTGTTCTCCATGGTCCTGCCCTTTCACCACGGCAGTATCTGGATGCATTATGTGAGGTACCTTGCAAGTAACTGGGCCGGTTCCCGAAAACATTTACAATGTGTTTTAGCCCCTTGCGTGCAGTCTTGCGTAAAATTCATATCTCCGTTTGGACGACCCCTACTAGGCGGAGGTGGAATCCCAGAATTTGCAGCAGCATGGTATTCCAACGTGTCCACAATTAAATGCGCAGCACAGAACCCGTGGAGATCAACAGCACACACAGAGCACGGGGCTCAGAAATACTTGTCCATCAGTTGTCGCGAGAACTCCACCCCGACCTGCACGCGAAAAATTGCACATTTCAGACGTGCGTGGTGTGCTCGCGTTAAAAATCACTTACGAAGGTGGCCGCGTTTGCGGGGAAGGCCTGTGGGGTAGAAGTGTCAGTGGAGATGCGCGACCATCGAAAACGCGCAAAACGCGCACCCTGGCCATCGCAGGCCCGAGGCCCTTCCACAGCGCGCCAACGCCATCCGCTGCAATCGTTTTTCGTGCGCAGTCGAGGAAGCCCGAGTAGGTCCCCGTCGGCGCGGACTGGATGCGCGACTTCAGCACCTGCGAGCGTAACGCTGATCAGAAATTAGCGGACAGATTCGCGCGACAGTTCGGACGCACATCCGGGGGTATAGCGATGGACCACATCGCTACACCGGCGGTTCCGCCGGCGATGACGATCGCGCCGAGGTTGAGTTCGGAGGGCGAGGAGCCCGCCGGCGTCAGCAGCTTCTTTGTCACCTCGTACGCAGCGAAGTACCTGCGATGCGAGTGAGCACGAGTCAGAAGCATAAGATGGAGAACTTACGCGGCGTTTCCCGGCCCGTCGCGCCAGATCGTCGCCGCAGACCCGCGGTACACGCTCCGGATACCGCCCTCCCTGTACAGGTGCTTCACGACGTCGAACACGCCGGTGAACTGCTTGCCGCTTTGGCCCTGTCCTTGCACCTCGCGAACGCGTCACTCAGGTTCGCTCGCTGCGCTCCAAAAAAAATGAGACTCACTTGAAGGAGGACCTTGGCGCGCTCGACGGGTGCGGTGACAATGGTGGTGGGGATGGCGGAGAGGAAGCCAGCGGTGGCGAGCTCGGGGATTGAGAGCTCCTGGCTGGTGCGCTTGGGCGTGACGGCGAGGATGAGCGCCTTGGACATGTCGTATGCCTGACCGAGGTTCGGAATTTAGCGCGAAGCCTGCGCAAGCGGGAGAAGGGCTCACCCAGAAGGAGACGGCGAACATGGGCGTCACGCCCAGCAGTGGGGGCACAACGCCCCGGTACAACCTGCGCGGCGCGATGTGAGTATGGATGGAACAGAGGGGGAGGAGAGCGTACCCCGCTGCACCATCGCGTGCCACGGTCTTCCGTACGGCGTCGACGGCGCCGGTGTATGTCCCGGGAGACGCGGTCTGCAGCCGCGTCTTGATGAGATCAAAGGGATGACCTGCGAGGGTGAACGTGGTGTGAGTTCGGACGGACTAGGAGAGATATGTGCAGAGATTCTGACCAACAAGAACCGCTGCAACACCACCAAAACCGCCGGCGAGGAAAGACTTGACCGAGTCAGCGGTGGACGGGGCGCTGGAGGCCGGGATGTGAAGATGGGCCTCCTCTGCTGACGACGTATCCGACTGGAAAAAAGAGCATAAGAAACGTGTCACAAAGGAGAAATTACTGACCATTGGCGGTGATGGTTGGTGAGAAGGAGACAGTGGGACGTGGGCACCGAGAAGAGCAGCACCGGGGTTGTGGACGTCCGTCGGAGGAGCTGTTCTAACTTGGCCGGAAAGCCCCGCACGTGATTGGGGGGAGAAATACGATCTGATAAGATTGCGGGGAAGGACATCTCCATCAGAGTGATCCACGTTTTGGGGTTGGGGTTTCAGCATGTGGGTTAGGGTTATATGAATAACGTAATGTCGCAGCTGCTTGTCGGAACCGTTCACGTTCTGCGACTTTGCTGCCCTCGACGACGACGACTCTCCTTCGGACAGCATGCGACTCTGGCCAGCCATCCCACTCGCTCTCCTCGCTCTTCTCCCTCTCGCTTCCCCGTCCCAGCTTCCGCTCCCTGTCCCCTCCGCTCAGTCGACCACTCTCCTTGACGCCCTCTCCGCAGACCCGGACTACGTATCCCTCATCAAGCTCCTCCAGCGCGCAAAGCTTGTCCCCACCCTCAACAGACTCAACGGGAGTACCCTCTTTGCTCCCACCAACGACGCTATTGCCGCCAACTCCCTCTGGCAGACTGCCCTAGACGACCCCCTCAGGGACAACCTTCAGGAGAACCTCCGCCAGCAGCTCTTCTACCACCTCCTAAATTACACTCTTACTATTCTGCCTACTGAGAAGCTCCCCCAGGAGCACAAGACCCTCTTATATCCCCACTCACCTAAGGAGCCTCCATCCAGCGAGCCTCCGCCCAACCCGCCATGGATGCCGATACCCAACGGCACTCTCGGCGACCAGCCCCAGCGTTTGCGCGCCTCACATAGAGACGAGAGCATGTGGGTCGGCGTCGATTTCTCCGGCGACGGCGGCGCCCGGGTCGTCAAAGACAGAGTTGACACCGCTAACGGTGTTCTTCTTGGCATCGACACCGTACTCGAGATGCCTCCAGACCTAGGTATGTTTCCCGCAGTATTTCCATCTACCTAGACGTCTGCACTCGCAACGCGTTCTCAAAACGCCCGCAGTGTGGACCGCATACGTGCTTGTGCGCGCGGTCACGACTGTGTTGGGCACCGGTCACGATCTCATTTACCTTCGAGATTATCCGAGCAGCCATGACGATTGTCGAGGTTCCCACGACTACTCCTGTAGCGTGCCCTGCGATGCCCTCGGCGGCAGTAGGCATGGGCCCACAGAAGCTGGTGGTGAGTGCGTATGTGACACGTTTGTGGCGGAGGATCCGTCACAGCTGGCTCCCGCCGCCTATAATCCATCTGTCACAACCTGCCGCGTCAAGCGCGTCGGGTGGCATGCGCACCCAGGTACAGTATTCACGCATGGTTGCTGGGATGTACGGTGCTCGTCGCCCGTAGGACCAATCCCTACAGATTTGGTGTGATCATTCACATTGGCCGTGGCGCGGTTGCCACCACAGCGCGGCATCCATGTCTTACAAGCGTATATAATATGCGTAGCAGATACGCATATTAGATACGCATTTCCCATTATCGGTACGGGTACGTGTTTCTAGAGCGCGTTCGGTGTGCGCAACTCCCAATGGATGGAACGTTCTCCTTCTGGTGTTTTGTTTCTATCTCGGCTCCGCTGATATAAATACCTCAGCAACTTCCGTCTCGCGTCACTCGTCATTTCCGTACTTCGTCACACCGGAGATTGCCACCTTCCTCAACTCCACGCCGGAGCTGACCGTGTTCCTCCCCATCGACGCCGCGTGGGAGGCCCTTCCCTACTACGAACAGCTCTATCTGCAGAGCCCATTTGCCGCAGATGACTTGCGCCGTATCGCACATATGCACGCCGTCCAGGGTGTTGTGTACGCCGAGTCCTTCTCTGACGGGAAGAAACGTAGGTCTCTGACTTTGAGTTCCCGCTTACTTCTGACAATCGTGCAGTGACCACTATAGACGGTCGGAAGCTACTAATTGATTCGAAACACGTCTCCTCGGCGGATCTAGTCGAGCGCGACATATACGCAGCAAATGGCGTCGTTCATTCCGTCTCAGAGCTGCTGGTTCCTCCAGGAGCTCTCAGGTTGACTACGGAGAAGTATCTACTCACGCTCAACTGTTCCGCCTTTGTCTCCTTGCTGCATTCCGTCAATCTCACCTCGCTCGTGAACGGGACGGACGCCCACTACACCCTCCTCGCACCCCGGGACGACGTGATCAGCCTATTCGGAGACGGTGAGCTCCCTCAGCGCGGGAGCGAGGAGCTGAAGCGGATGTTGCAATACCACTTTATCTCTGGCAAGTGGACTCCAGAGAAGCTCAAGGATGGAATGCTCCTTGAGACTGCGCTCGAGGAGCCTGGTCTGGGTGGTGGCAGGCAGGTCCTGAGCATTGAGGTGAGCGGCGAGGTCAAAGGCGACAAGAACGACAAGTCGCGAACGGTGAGGTTTGGTGGCGCCGGTGTTATTGGCGATCACGGTATGTATCCAGATGAGTTGATCGCCGCACGCATCTATTGAATTATCGTCTAGTGAAAATCAATAACACGGTGATCTACTTCGTCTCACGTCCACTGGTTCCTCCATCCGACGCGTTGTCGATTGCGCTACCCGAACTCGAATGGTCTTCCATCCTCGCCGCGATCTTCTCCACCAACTTGGCCGATACGCTGAAGACGACGCCGCGCACGACGCTCCTACTGCCGCCCAACGACGCGTTCAAGCGCCTGGGCATGCTCGTCTCCGCGCACTTGCTCGCCGCGTCGTCTAAGCTCGATTTGGAGCGCGTTATCAGGCATCACGCGCTCGCAGGGGTCGAGTACGCGCAGTCGATGCAGAACGGGTCGCAGCATACGTTCGCGACGCTCGAGGGCTCGGACATGCACGTCGACCGGCGCGCGCCCAATGGTAGCGTGATCCTCAGCGCGAGCGGCGGTTGGGCGTCGATGCAGTCCGCGCTCATTCCGAGGGATATGCTCACTCAGACCGGCGTCATTCATGAGGTCTCGGACATCATGATTCCGCGCTCGGTCGAGCTCACGATTGGGAAGCTCGTCAAGGCTGCTAAGGCGACGACCATGACAACGATGATGGTCAAAGCCGGGCTAGACTGGATATTGAACGGCACTACGCCACCCGAGGGTACGCCTTGGGCGGATATGGGATTGTCGGGCGCGGGATGGACGCTCCTCTGCCCGACTGACGATGCCTTCAAGGAGGTGAACCTCACACAACTGTACGCGGACGATGAGCAATTGGTCGCTATCGTGAGCCAGCACCTTATCCCGTCGCAGCGCCCCACGCACGCGGAGAACGTGCTGAACAACAATCGGCCGCTCGCGCTGGACGACTCGGCGGTGTACACGACGCTCTTCGCGCAGCGGTCGGCGCGGCAGGATGGGGACGTGCTTTTCCGCGCAGTGGACGAGGACGAGGGGACGGGCACGGTGGTGGGCGTCAAGGATGCGCGCGGCGCGCACGGCCAGGGGGACTGGGCACGCGTGCTCTCGTGGGGGCGGTCGACGACGGGCGGGGGTACGGGGGGCGTTATCCAGATTGACCGGATGCTGGCTCCGTACTATCCTCCGTGGTATCTCGAGTACTGCGCGCCGCTCGCGGTCGGCGTGGTTGGGGTGCTTGGGATCTGCGCCTTCTTCGCCGGTGTGCGCGCTCTATGGCGGCGAGACACTACAGAGGCGACGTACGAACCGATAGGTGGGTTCGTGCGGGACTCGGACGATTAGTAGCGGTCGATGCGATGGATATGTTATAGATTGCTTTCGCATGGGATGGAGGAAACACGGATTGTAGACAGCTATGTATGTTACTATGTATATTATATTACTCGTGCTCAGCCTCCGCAGAATTTTTCCCCAGTGTCGTGCACTGGGTGTACATGGTGCACGCCACAGGCACGTGGGCGCGGCGCGCACGTCGACGCCATGTCCGTGAGCGCACCGAGCGTCTCGACGTCCCCGCTCTGACCGCCATGCTCGAGCTGCTGCAGTCGTATACCGGCAGCCCCACGACCACTCTCTACTCCCTCGCGCTCCCCCGCGAGATCCTGCTGGTGCGTGCCCTTTGACTTGACGGTGTTTGTGCTCACCGTGTCTTGCAGCTCTATCCTTCAGGAGACTCTGTCGTGATTCTGAATGCTCGCACGCTCGTCTTCGTTCGTGCGCTCGCCTTCTGGGAGGCATTTCCTGGCACACGCCATCGGAAGGACCCAATCCAGTGTCTTACCATCGATCCCGGGATGAAGCTCGTAGGTTCACCACCTCTAGTTCACCTCGCACTCACTAAGTTAACAACTTGCCAAACGCAGGCGGTCGCATCCATGGGCTCGCGTGTCGCCGCGTGGTCCCACTCCGGCGTGCACAGCGACGCCTGGCGCCTACACTCAACACTGCTCCTGCCCGAGGATGACCCGGTCACGGCCATTGACTGCAAATCCGGTACGTCTCTTCTCCGATGTAACGCGGCGGGCCTGGCTCACGAACTTCAGGGCTGCTCGCGGTCGGCACCCGCTCCAGCCTCTCCGTGTACACGCTTATCCTGGAGAATGACCTCCTGACGTGGTCGCAGAAGTGGAAATGCTTGTGGGCTTGTTTCTTCCTCTTGTGGATTCGCGAGTGAGGGCTTATGGTGGTTGGACAGCATTGCGACTCCTGCGTGTGTGCGCTTCTCGCCGTCTCTTATGTATATTGCTGCTAGTTTTCTGGTGCGTGCTGGATCCTTGGTGCGCTGATTGCTCTTATGGGATGGATGCAGCATAATAATATCGTCCGAATATATTCCACGGCTTCCGGTCGACAAACGCAAGCTATCCCGCATCCGCGACCCTTGACAGATATTGTCTGGCGCAGACCACAAGCCACAAGCCGGTGCGCGGCTAGTTCATCCTATGCCTAATTTACATTTCCTTATTCACTTGTCACATCTCATGGACAGTGATGACCCGATCCTCTACACCACCACATCAGACGGCACCCTCCGCATCTTCCTGCCCGTCCTCGACGTGCCGCAGTACATGCAGCTACATGCCGCCCTTGACGCAGCGTCTGCGTTTCCCTTCCCCACCGCCCCCACTACCTCCAGCATATTCCCTCTCGACAGGGACGCCGTGTCGTCCGCGCTCACCGAAGTACTGGCGGGTGCTCAGTCTGAGTCCGAGGACGCACGTAGTAGACGCGTCAGGGAGATCGCAGAGGAGGGGTGGGACCTCTTTCTCCGCGTCCTCGCAGACGGCTCGCTCGTCGTCCAAGCCGTTGCCGTGCGTGGGTCTCGTTCGCCGCTAGAGCCCCATCGCTGATACAGCAGATATCAGAACATCAACCGCCGACCGCCAACGCTGCTGAAGCAGTTCACCCTGCTCCGCTCTCCGCCAGGGCTCCTCCTTGGAAATAGGCCGCCGACGCAGCTCTTCATCATCCCCGCTCCCTCCGGCGGCTCTACACCTACGCTCACACTTGTGACGGCCGCCCCGCTCGCGTCGTACACACTGTCACCTCTCCCGTTCTTCGACGCCCGCGCGGACGGGCTCCGACTCCTCGCACGTGCGGTGGAGGAGGAGACGGGCGCGCAAACACTGAGAGAGATTGTGCGGTTTGTTAGGACGCCGGAGGGAGAGGGCGTCGGGGTGTTGTGGGAGGACGGGAGTGGAAGGACATGGGCCGTGGGCACCGGTGGGAAGGAGAAAGGTATGAGTTTGGTACGGAGAGGAATTTGGAAGGCAGACGCGTTTGGGTCAGCGGACCAGCTTGTTGTCCTCGATAGTGGTGCGTTCATTGCGTTGTTCGTCACTCAGGCAGTGTCGCTTTCGAATTCTGAATGGTGTTTAATCGTACGCAGGCAGAAGCTTCGTGACATACGCCTCGTCAACCAATCTACTAACTCTACACACTCTGGACGATGCCCCTGCTACGCTCACGGTTCCACCCCTGCTTTCGCTTTTCTCCTTGTTCTCACCTGGGTCGAACTTCGCACTCATCGGAATAACACCGTCTCATGAGGTTCTCTTGTTCACCCTTGTCCCGCTGTCGCTGTATTCGCGACGCGTCTTGCCTCTCGGTATAAATACATCCCTGAAAGTAATATTGCCAGTAGACCCGATGGCGTGGAGCGGACCATATGCGCGCGCAGCGAGCACCGAGGAGCACGACGTCCTACTGAGCGTATCGGTGGATGGCGAGCTGGCTTTTTGGGTGCCCGGTGAGGAAGTAACGGGCATGGTCAGTGTCGCGGCCGTGAACGGTGTGCGGAACGGCAAGGATAAGGGCAATGGCTGGCGGTGTACGGGGCGGGTTAAGACGGGGCGAAGGGGGCTGAGCATGGCCGGATGCAGCTCCGCGAAGAAGTCTGTCCTCAGTACGTACACTACCCTCCTTTATCAATTCATTTTTGCGCGAAACCCGTGCGCCGTCTTTATGTCGTCGTGCTCGAGACTGTGATTGAAGGTGTACTGAAAGCAAATCACAGTTGTGCCCGGGAAGGACGGCCAGGAACTGACGATCTGGGACTCGAAGGAGTCCGAGTTCGCTTCGGGCTTGGAGTACCGCGAGATTTTCGAGTAAGCAATGCGTCCGTGCACTATAACTCAAGCTGATTCTAGTTTTCCGTCTTCCCATTGACTTGTTCTATTAGTTCCTCCGATCCCATTCAAGACCTCGACTGGACAGCAACCCCGGATGCCCAGTCCATCCTGGCGGTCGGATTCGCGCATCGTGTCGAAGTGCTGTGCCAGCAGCGCATGACGTACTTCGACGAAACACCAGCATGGGGCCGCTGCTGGACGATTGATGTTGGGAGGTGAGCGACCGGTATTCAGTGTCGTTTGTTCCTGCCTGGGTTAGTTCGTGGATGTCATGGACTGATTATTCGGAGCAGCATGATCCCGCACCCAATTAATGACTCAATTTGGCTCGCGCGGGGCGCTCTCCTTGTCGGCGCCGGGCATTTCATGGCTCTCTTTGGGCAACCGCAGCCCGTACTTGAGTCAAGCGCGTCGGAAGAGAGCCTGTTCGAGCATGTGGCGCGCTACAATGGCCCGCTGGAAGATTACCACCCGCAGATGGTCCTGCAATGTCTACTCTGGGGTGCGGCGATTCTCGCTATATGTTGGAACTCACAGCCTCATGGTGCACTGCAGAAAAGGTGGAGCTCGTCAAGAAGATCATCGTGAACCTCGCGCGGAATCTGGAGAGCGGCAAGGATGTTGAGGAATGGCGGTGTGTACCGTTCGAAGAGTTCTTCCAGAAGGATGAGATGGCTAGGGCTGTACGTGGTGTGCTCGATGAGGGTGTATTGTTTTGATGCCATTGACATATCACATCGTAGGAATCTGTCCATAAGCAACAGTACTCACTGCTTTTCAGTGTTCCAGAGACCAGAGAAGTGTAAGGAAATTTGTCCGATTCGTCGTGGTCGTACTGACTTGTATACCAGGTCTGATGACGATCAGTTCTCCCGATCACTCGTCAAGCAACTCATAGAGCGACTCGAGGAGCAGCCGTTGCCGCATCTGACCTCCAACGAGCACGCGTCTCTACTGGTGCTGATACAGGCTACTCTGGAGGTATACCGCTTCGCCCCTTCGTTTCCATACGTACTGATCACTTGCAGATTCAAGAGCAACGACGGGCCCTCGACGCGAACGGGCTGAGATACCTCATCTCTACGCGGAGTTTTGTTATCCAGAACCGCCGCTTGTCTCTGCCCAACACGCCTGCGTCCAACGGCAACGGTGCGCTGGCTGGACGCATTCGCCCGCGTGCGCGGTTGCGGTACCGCGATATGATCTGGGCGTTCCACAGCGAGAGCCAGGACTTACTCCTCTCGACGTCTGTTGCGGCTTGCGGTGGAAAGATGACGTGGACAGATGCACGCGCTCTAGGTGTTTTCATATGGATGCACTCCGGAGAGCCAATGGTATCCCCTTTCATGACTAGTGATGGCTGAAATCGCTGATGACATTTCACAGAGAGCGCACATGGAAGTCATCGCGCGGAATCAATATATGGCCGGAGACAACCGTGATCCAACAGAGTGTAGTCTGTTCTACTTCGCTTTGGGGAAAGGCAAGCTTGTACATGCGCTCTGGAGACAGGCAGCTTGGCACAGGGAACAAAATGTGATGCTCAAGTTTCTGAACAATGACTTCACGCAGCCTCGTTGGCAAACAGCAGCGTTGAAGAATGCGTTCGCGCTTCTAAGCAAGCGGCGGTTCGGTGAGTGTCTCTACACATTGTGAATTGCTGGATAGTGACCGTTATGCATTTCAGAGTATGCTGCGGCATTTTTCCTCCTCGGGGGAAGTCTGAAAGACGCAGTGAATGTTTGTATCAAGAACTTGTCGGACTTCCAGCTCGCAGTTGCTCTGGCTCGTGTGGTAGAGCAAGACGACGATGGGCCAATCTTTCAGGACATCCTAATCAATACTGTAGTTCCGCTTGCCTTCAAGGAAGGCAATAGATGGCTAGCTAGCTGGGCATTCTGGTTACTCCACCGCCGCGATCTCGCGGTGCGGATCCTCGTCGTATGTCTGCCCCAAGGTTTTCTCCAGACGATCATGCCTGACCAAGCGGTTGACAGACTCCGCTACAGGATATAGCATCTGTCCTGGATGTACGGCTGACGGAAATCGGCGACCCTCATTATGATGACCCGAGCTTGGCGCTGCTGTTCTCGCAACTTAAGTTCAAGACTCTGCAGACTGCCAAGGGTACGAGCGAGATTTCCGGACGCACAGAATTCAACTTCGTACTCCAAATAGCTCGCGTCTTCTGCAGGATGGGTGCGTGATTTGCCAGTTCCAAGTCTAGTTTTCATAGTAGTAAGCGGCGATTATCCAGGGTGCCACGTCTTGGCTCTGGACTTAGTTCGGACGTGGTCGTTCCATAGGCCATCGACTGTCGTTCACGACGGTCGACCGCTACGGCGACCACCTAGTCCAATATCTACCCGTTTTGCCCTAGAACCCGCGTTGCGACGCAAGTCTTCCATTTTCATCGACATGGACGTGACCACTGCTCCTCCCACCCGCAGAGCCTCCCCAACGCCGCAGGTCACCAACGGATTGCCTGCAGTTGGACTACCTTCAACGGTCTCAGGCGAGGAAATGAAGGAGGAGAGTGACTTCATTGCGCGGAAGGCTGGTCTCGGAAGCTTGATGAAGTCTGCGAAGCAGGATGTACAAGTACCGGAGTTCAGTATGGACGCTTTTTTCTGAAAATCGCCATGCTTCCTCCGCGCGAGAGGTCCTGGACATGCCAGCATCCAGGGTACATGAAGTTGTTCTGATTGTGTATACAGAGTAGAGATCGCGATGAACCGAATGCAGAAGAGACCGAATGGGAGATGATGAAAATTGCATGTCTAAAACTGCTGTATTATGCCTCCACTTCGACTTCACGCTTCTTCAGCACGAGATCCTTGCCCACGACCCTTTTCCAGACATCGTTTACATCCTCGACGACGGTCTCGAAGTGGGACGTAGCATCGTAGGATCGCGTGATGAAGATATTATCAGCTTCTCCGGTCGCTGTTGGGGTGTACAACGACGTGACCGACACGAACCTGCGCGGATCTAGTGAGTGGGGTGGTCAGAAAAATATGTAGAAAAACTTACTTCTCGTAGATAGGGCCAAGCAGCGACAGACCAGGCGCAATCTCTTGCTCAGGTCTGTTGGTCTCCACGATGGTACTGACAATGGCGACGTACACGTCCTTAGCGCAGACGTTGTGCGTCGAAGACACCATCGCAATATAGATATCTGCTCCACCATTTAGTAAAACATCACCGAGGATGCAAACCTGAAGCGAGACGCACCGTTTCGCCTACCAACCTGGTTCTGTGGGATAATGATCTGTGCGCTGTCTGCATCTTCCGTCTGCGGGATGGGGTGCTTAAGAATGCAGATCGCACGGACGACCTTGCATTCCTCCACCACTGAGACTTTGCCTCCATCAGTGGACTTGCCTGCCCCGAAGTAACTCGGGTCACCGATGACCTGCTTAGCCTTGACCGTCTCGCTACCACTCCTGACGCCGACGAACTTGCCCTCGGCATCGGTGACGATCTCGTCGATGTGCTTGTCGAGCATATAGGTTCCGCCGTAGATGGCGCTCAAACGCGCGAACGACTGTGGCAGCTCGCCAAGGCCATAGAGGGGATAGATATACGGGGATTTGCCATAGCGCGCCATAGATGAGGTGTAGAGAATGATCCGTTCATACGTTTCCCTGGCGGGCTTCGCCTTGTAGCTAAGAGAGTTGCATGCTCAAGAGCGCGTCCAACAGCGTCGGAGTATTATACAACTTACTCGTCATCCAGATAAAGTGCCATAGCGTGACCAATGAAGTCCTGGGTACCAGGCTCGAGACCGAACTTCTCATAGATCGCGTTCATAGAGTCCTTGTCCAGGTCAATGCCTACCATAATAAAGGATAGGCAAGGAGTTACTATTCGAAGAGTCGGTTTGTTTAGATGTCAGACGGACACACCTTGGTGGGTCGTAGGGTCGTCGTTCCTCCAGCTCTGCAGGAACTCAAAGAACCTCTTCGCCCGTCGCTTCTCGAACAGGCCCATGAGCGGGCTCCTGACCGCCTCCATCTCCGTGCTCGGGACCTTGGATATTTTGCCATCGCGGTAGACGAAACTGCCCGCGATCTGCTTGAACTCGAGGTATCTGGTGACGTCGGTGTGCACGAGAATGCGTGTCAGCTCGCCCGAGGCGATTATGAACTTGGGGATGAGGTCGACGGCGTAGTCGCGGTCGCGACCGAGCTCCGCAGGCGGACTCTGGTCTGGTCTAAACTTGCGGTAAAGCTACGTGCCACGCGTCAGATATATTCTGCGAACATCGCCAGCAGTAGCGTTTCTGACCTGAGCTAGATTCAGGCTTGCGCTGTCACCACCGTAGTAATCATTTCTATCCATGTGAAGGACCTTCTTGCCCTCTACGGACAGCAGACCGGACAAAATACATTCGGTTAGACCAGTACCGAGAACAATGACCTGTTAGCAAGTCAATTTCACCAGGTGGAAAGTCGAGGGAAGGACTGGTACATCGTATTCTTCATCCATCGTAGCTCAGAGAGAGAAGAGTGTAAAGGTGAAACAGGTGTTGACAGACTCGCTATGGAGATCGCTCATATACGCGTGTATCGATCCAGCACGTGCTCACCTAAACCTTGCCGTCGCGGTGTATTCAATACAGTACAAATTTCATGTAAAGGCAGCCATCTACTACTTTGGATATCGACGGCAGACACGCGTAAATTTACATACAGACCTTCCATCCATATCACCAATATAGTCGTACAGAGAAAACACCGCGACTTGAAAGCCTCACATCACCGTGAATGTATTCACTCCAGGTCTGTTTTCAGACGCTTTTCAATAGCCTCCACAGATGCAGAAGTCGATGCTCTCCTTTTGCGTGAGTAGATAGCACTTGGGGACACCTCCTGTATCTCAGGTGTTTGCTTGGATGGACCCGGCTGAGAACTGGGACCAGCCTTTGCCTTCTTCGCCCCACGCCTGAACTTGCGCACCCAGCGGTCGATTTCTGGTTTTAATTGGTTGATTCTGGAAGTTAGGCAGGATGATATAAACTGTGCGAACCTGTCTTGAATCTCCCATAAGCTTGCGCATAAGCCTCCAGAGATCTTCGTGAATGCTGATGTAGAGGAGTGAGCAACCTAGAATATTATTGCAAGAGGAAACTTGCGCACCTTGGCCGCGAACGGCTTCCACTGCTCGGTGCGAGTCATGAAATCCCAATTCGGCTGGGATGCTACGTGCCTGGCGAGGACACGCAGATCGGCTGAGAGGAATTGATCACCTGAATGCCCCATGTTACGCAGATCGTCTTCGGTATCGTAGTCCGACTCTGTGGGTCGTTTGGTACCAGTGATGCCTTGGTGAACGTCAGACTCGCCTGCAGATAATAACCCAGAGTCAGAGCCACACTCATTGTTGCCGCTGGATGAGTGCTCGGGAAGGCCTTTGTTTTGGGCCACTGCCTTCTTCCTAGCCGCAGCGAGTATCTTATCCGGTAAATCATGGTGCCGGAGCCAGTAGCTCGACCACGAAGCCGCAGAATGATACGGAGCCTAGGGTCGGGCCAGTGAGTGAAGATAGATAATGTCAGTATATGGGGCACGTACCTTCTCAGCGAGTAAAGCACACAGCTTCGCTTGCTTCAGGTACGGATTCTTACTGAGCTTCCGTTGAATGAACTTGATAAAAAAGTCTTTATCCTCCTCCATGAACCTCTTCCCTTTTCTTGGCGCAGTTTCAGAAAGAGGTGGGGACGGCGTGCGCGATGGTAGCTCAGGGATCCGGAGATTATTATGAGTTGGGTGCAGGCTCACGACGTCTTCTACATGACGCCGAACGGTAGTAGCTGGCTTATCCGAAGATCGCTTCGACTTTATAACGCGGCGGTCATGACGCTCACCGTGTGCCCGGTAAGTGTTGGTTTCACGAGTCGATGCAGAAGTGTACGGATGGCCTTTGTGATGCTCATCCTGGTCTGTTAACCTGGGGAGAGACGCAGAGACCTGTGTTTCAATTTGCCGTCCAGTATTGCTCGAGGATGACTGAGAAGTAGAAGACTTCTCAACCGTCTCAGGCTTTACAGGATGCTGCAGATTTGCCGCAGCCTGGTCCAGTCTATCGACATGTTCCAGGTAGTAATCCTTCCATGCCATCGCTGGATGGTTATTGACCTATATTAATAACCCGTCAGCAAATCGCCGTGAATCCTAACAGGAACGTACACCATGAAGCGCTTCTAGGGCCAAGCGTTTCGTCTGTTTCTTTATCCCTCCATCATGCAGTGCCTGGATGAGGCGTTGTTCGTCGTCTGGAAACGTCCCCACCGCAACATTCATTTGCAGTGCACTCTGCACAAGGTGCATCAACGTGAGGTTAATCGCAGATGCTTGCTGGCCCAAGCCCGCTTGGCCTATATTCGATGCGAAGAATGGCTGGTTCAACAGGTGCTGAAGGTCAGCCTGGCTGAACTGCTGAGGAGCGCTCTGGCTAGCTTGAATGCCCTGGTTCGCCTGTCTTCCAGGTACATTCTGCCCAAGCTGAGGCATGCCTTGCAAGGTGAAGCTTTGGTTAGGTTGCTGCGGTAAATTCTGGTTGTATTGGGGAAAACCCTGGTAAGGGTTGTTGGAGAGCTGAGCGTGAGGGAGAAAAGGGATCTGTGGCGCAGCCGCGTAGGGGTTGTTGGTGCCAGCTAACTGGGCATACATGGAGAGCAGACTGGAAAGTTGAGCATGATCGGCGGTGTTACCGCCTGTGTTCTGCGGCGCGAAATTCGGGTTCATCGCGACTGAAAGGATCAGATAGTCGAGCGAAGGGGAATGCTAGATGTTAGGCGCCCCGTGCTTTCGCGTAAATCCCGTGACTGGACGCGTTCCACGATTGCTTCAAGTCTACTACTGTATGCCCGTCTGAGCCGCGTCGTATACTTTCCCAGAAGGGTTCTCTGCCATGTCCCAGTCCATCTTGGTTGTCTGTCTTGGCAACATTTGTCGTTCTCCCATCGGGGAGGCCGTCTTGAGGCATGTCGCGAAGGAGCGAGGCGTCGACCTCACCGTGGATTCCGCAGGTACTGCGCGGTATCACATCGGCGAGGATCCAGATGACCGGTGAGTGGATCCACACTATAGTTATGATTCTAATCTCACTTATCGCGGTGTCGGATGGTCGTAGTGCTGTAGCTGTATGCCGCAAGGTCAGCTTTCCCCGGTTCCTCTTATGCTCTGCCCTCAGGTCGCCAATTTGTGCGAATCAGAACAAAGTACCCATACAGCACAGCGCTCGCCAGGTCACCGCCGAAGACTTCCGCGCATTCACGCATATCCTCGCCGCTGACGAGGCGAATCTACGTACTCTCCGTCAGAGAAAGCCCCACGATGCCACGGCTGAGGTACGACTATGGGGCTCGTACCTCGACCACAAGCAGATCGACGACCCGTACTATGGTGGTGCTGTAGGTTTCTGCATTCTGTCTACATATGCATATGCTGAGCACTTATCCGCACATATAGGAGGGTTTTACAGAGTGCTTCAACCAATGCCTGCAATTATCGCATGCACTTCTAGACGAAATCATCGGCAAGGCCGACCTGCAGCTCGCCTGATATTTCTCATGATACTGACACCACTGCGTGCACCTGATGGACTGCTAGCTTGCATGCACACTTTTTGCATTGTAACATTGGAGTAGCATAGATTTGTACAATACGAGCGAATGTGATATCCTGGCCGACTGTCCTCTGCGTGAGACTTGCGCTAATCAGTGGTGGGTCGGCATGTCGACAGACGCCTTGTTGCCGATAGCATCCTCTGCTTTCCACAGTGCAGTGGTCGTCTGCAAGTGAACAGCCCGCATCGATGTGAGTGAAGGAGAATATAGACATAGTAAGAGACTCGCCTTGTTCTGAGTATAGAAGTCGATACCGCTGAATGAAAATGAGCAATTGTGAGACACAACGCACAGAACGAAACGTAGTTACACTTACCTTCTGCCGTAGAAGGGCACGTCACCCAAAAAGCTCGCCTACATTTCACACATCAGCATCAATAAGGTACACCCTGCAAAACAAACTACACACCTTATTCCCGCTCCACGAGAACATGGGCAACGGCACTGGGATGGGCACATTGATGCCCACCTGGCCGACCTCAACTTCACGCTCGAACTTACGTGCAGTAGCCCCGCTCTGAGTGAAGATGGCTGTGCCGTTACCGTACGGGTTAGCGTTGATGATCGCAAGTGCATCATCCAGAGTGTCTGCCTTGAGGACGATCAACACGGGGCCGAATATTTCCTCGCTGTGGTGTGCGACACTCAGTGCAAATTGAAACGCAAAAAATAGAGGGGAAGGCTCACCGGTAGCACCTCATGTCGGCCGTAGCCTCAATAACAGTGGGTCCAACCCAGTTGCCGTCTGGATAGCCGGGTACTTCCAGGTCGCGCCCGTCGAGGATGATCCCCCCACCCTGCTCTTCGGCCGACGCTATCAATCCAGTAATACGCCTTTTGGCGGCCGGAGAGATGACCGGACCTCTGAGATGGACGATATTAGTTGGCATGGAAATAAAACCGCCTGAATTACTGTACTCACAGATCAGCACCCTGCTCAAACCCTTGTTTGACTTTGAGTCTCAGGGCGCGCTCGCAAAGCTCCGGCAGCCACCCTTGAGAATCACCGACCAACACAGCTACGCAAATGAAGGTGACCTTCAATGGAAATTCGCAGTCTTGTCAAGACTTACCGACAGAGATGGCCATGCATCGTTGTCCAGCAGCTATGCATGAGCGCGCACTCAGAAAATGACATGATTTGAACGTAAGGGAAATACTCACCGCCAAATGCGGCGCCGACAAGCGAGTTAAGCGTGTGGTTCTTGTTCGCTGAGATGATATGAGCAGAGTTGCAGTGACGGCGTAGTCAATATCGCGATAGAACGAACATACCATCAGGCATGACCACCGCATGATTTTTTGCACCCATATTGACCTAACCACCACAATTACTACGCGAGCGTGACTGTATCCGCGTGATTCAACGCACCTGAACCCGCTTGCCAGTCTTTCGTCCCCTATAGCAGCGTCAAGGTATAAACACCATTTATGTAGGTTATTCACTCACCGTTCATAGATGTGCCGACCCGCACGGTCTCCACCCACAAAGCTGATCGCTCTGATTGAGGAATTATCACATATTGCATTCACCGTCGGAACGGTTCCATGCACCACATTAAGCACGCCTGCGGGCAGACCCGCACGTTGGCATAACTCTGCAATAATCATGGCTGCGCCTGGATCACGCTCCGACGGCTTCACGATGAGCGTGTTGCCGGTCGCGATGGCCATGGGAATGGTCCAAAGCGGAATCATGCTACAAAAAATGCGTGAGCCATCGCACGACAAGGTGACTGTGAAAAATGGACTTACGCCGGGAAATTGAAGGGTGCGATGCTGAGTGAAGAGTAGCTTCAATATTCTGGGCAAAAACTGCAGCCGAAAAATACACACCTGGCACACACGCCCAATGGAAGACGACGAGTTGAAGTATCCATATCCTTGCTCACTAAGGAAAGGATTCATAAGAATTACACGGAGTACCTCGATAACATGTGTGTCTGACCTTCAATTGTATCACCCAGGAGAGCGGTAGCAATTCCAGAGGCACTCTCGACAACCTGAAGTCCGCGGAGCAGGTCACCTTGGGCATCTACGACTCGCTGTCAATTGCTTTCGCACTTGAAGGATACTAGCATATGCCGACCTGCAATAGTTTTTCCCTGCTCCAAAACAATGCTGTTCGCAACGGCATCAGCGTTCTTGCGTAGCAAATGCTGCAACCTGGTTGCTTCTTCAAAGTCTGACTAGTTAGAAATAAATGTGTCAAACGTACTCCAGGACGAATCGCTGGCGGGTAAGAACACTCGACCGGCTCCAAGTCTTGTACGCTTCTGAGGCAGCATCGACCGCCTGCTTAAACTCCGAGGAGGTCGTCTCCGGCACGCGGGTCAACAACGTTTGCGTCGCCTATGTCCACGCTTGGACTCAGCCACAGGCAGACAGCTCAGAGAGTATGGAAACGTACTGGGTCAACAACGTCAATCCACTCTGACGTCTGGCTCTCGACGAACTCGCCGCCGACGAAGTTTTTGGTGTTCCCGCCGCTTGCACTCGTGCCCTTCCACTCTGCTGAGATCTGCTCCGCCTTCGCGCGAGCGACAGAGCTGAGTGCACTGAGAGGCGGTCGCGAAACTGCGGTCGCGAACGACCTCCTCACGCCGTGGATCTGACGCACATGGGGTAGCTTTGCTGGCATGGTTGGGTTCAGACGAACTTCAGGACGCTCTGGGTGAAGGTCAAGCAGCTACACAGGCCGTACAAGTGTGAATAAGCAAAGCGGAGTGTAATTTCGGACGGGAGACAACATATCCGTGTCACGGCAGTCATGGGGCCAAGAAAGTGAGCATTCACGTGGGGAGCGCGTTGAGCGCCCGCGGCGTCATGGACAACATGCTCGGGTGGATGCTCATCGTCTCTCACATCAAGCACGCAGAACAACATTCTTACAGGATGGCTCCACCTCCCATTCAGCTCTTCCTTACCACCATCGTCTCTCAACCAACTCTCCGCCAACGCCAAGGTCTGCGCCGTATTGCTCTCTAGGAATCCTGATCTTACGCCTGTCGAATCAGAGTATATTCTACGCGTTCTTCAGGTCAAGAAGGTCCCCTTCACCTCGTATGATCTTGCCTCGGATGAGAACGCGAAGAAACTCTGGAAGCGCAAGGCTCCACTAGGCCAGTAGCGGTCCGCTGCCCTGCATTGCTCTCGTGCCTTGTGCTGCTGATCGAGCTTGTTCCAATTGCGTATTAACAGATAAGCAACAGCTCCCAGGCATCTTGATCGGAGGCGAATTCCCTGGGGTATGTGCGGACTTCTAGTGCTAGGTAACATATTAACCCATCTCGATAGACTTTCGCCGATTTGTATGTCGTTCGCGTATGCATTTGCTAAGTGGATGCTGATGTGTACGTACGCAGCGAAAAAGCTGTAGAATTCGAGGAGCTAGACAAGTTCCTGCGTCTCGATGAGGAGTACAAGGCCTTCGAGGATGATTCCCCGATACTCGCCGCTCAACCTGTTGGTGTCCCTGGTGCATACTCTCCCAATCAGATGCACCCCCACCACCAGGCTCCACCCTCTCCACAGCCTTCTCCCTTGAAAGGGAAGGGGAAGAGCGAGGAGAAGGCAGAGAAAGAGTTAGACGCTGGTGAACAGCTGGGCGACCCGCGGCTGCAAGGTGTGAACGTGACCGAGGACGACTTGCTCGCGTTGATGGAGGAACTTGGTCTCAAGGGTGATGAAGCTAATGATTTGGTCAACATATTAACAGGGGATAGCACATTGCAGTCTGGGGGCACGAAGGAGAGCGCTAAGAGCGCAGTAGACAAGGGGCGCATAGAGGAGAGCAAGGACAGAGATAGCGGCGCTGTCGCGGCCAAAAACACAGACGTCAAGGTGAAGATCGCATGACCCCGACCGTGTAATGATACCCGAATAGATGGAATTCAGCAACGCCAATTGAACGAGATCGCAGTGTTCCTGCGAAGCTACAGTGAATTACAGTACAAGTATCGGAGAGCGGCAATAATGTTATTATACCGGGATGTGCTACAAGATGAGGCTGACCAATCCCAAGGTCAGTGAAAGTGATTGTACAGCACGAAGCCTGTCCAGCTGATACTCCTGGCGGACGACGGAGCTAGTGAACCAAATGCTCAATCATTTGGATCTTATGCATCCTGTTCTGAGTCGGAAGGATGCGAAATCCGCGAACGGCGACGACGGAGAGGTGTGAAGGAGCCTGTAGCTGGAGTGGTGGGTGCAGAAGGGACAGACGCGGTCGATTCTTCGTGCTTGGGTTCCTGCATATATAATAGACGTCAGAAGACGCCCAATCTATGAGCATCGGTTACATATGAAAGGCAACACGTACCATCGGACGACGTGTAGTCACGCTCCTACTTCTCTTCGGCGTCTTTGAGCTACGAGGACTCTTGTCATCAAGATCCCCAGCGCTTAGACGGCGCCGGGCGCGTCTGCGAGACTTCTCTTGAATATCACTGGCAATAATTGTATCATCCCGGTACCGCCATTCAATCGCTGGGATGAGGCATGATGCGAGAATGATGAATGAGATGAAGAAGAAGGTGCCTCCCGCGCTGAGGGCAGAGACCAGGGGGAAACGATTTATGAGACCGCTAGACAAGGAAGTTCAACTCAGTTAACTCACAAATGACGAGAACAAAGCACTAACCGTATGCCCTTGTGGACGACGACGCCGCGAAGGAACGCTGAGAGAACGCTGAGTTCGCGGCCCTGGCCAGATCCTATACTCTTCCACTGGTCCCGACGACCAAGCTCTATCCGTGCAATCACGCGCGTCGTGGACGGTACGAAAGAGGTCAACAGGGGTATTTGCAGGTCTACGGTCCCTGGTCTATTATATAAAAATGACCACGGAGCAGAGGACGGCGGGAGGACTATCGCCTACATCCAACAAGTGAGAAGACATGTAATTATATGGCGCATGACTTACAGGTCGACGAATAGACGCGAGCGTCCTATTTGCGGGTGTGACAAGGGAGAGGGTGGACATGAAATTGCCCAGCGCAAAGTTGGATTCCGTGGTAGGTACAACGAGATGGATGGTAATATCATACGGCTGCTGTGCAACGATATTTGGGAGTGCCACCTCTGCAAAAGGAGGAGTACCGTCCCTACGCATAATCTGTGAGGTTTGCGACATGCGCTAACGTACGATACATACCCATACTGGAGGTACAAATCCGTCTCCCATCCTACCGCGACGCTCTTCCAGACGAGCCAGCCTGCAGAGAGCGAGAGAAAGGCAATAGCTGGTAGTGCCAATAAGAAGACAATAAATGGAACAAGCTGAGGTGTGAAGGGACGCAAAAGTCGCAAGCCTGCTAAGATGAGGTTGACGACTAGTCGGACAGGGTACAAGAAAGGCCAAATGTAATTAGTTAGACCACTGTTATCTTTGGCTATGTTCTTCCGCAGCTGAGCTTTGTCGTTAGCAGTTGTTGGTTTCGACATTGTCTGAGTATGGAGACAGCCAGAAAACCTTGCTACTATACTTACGCGCTGTTGAAGAACTTGAAACGGCTGGTCAAACTTGAACGCGTCAATGGCGCAGCACACGTGACTTCTGAATCAAGATCTCTTTCGGAGATGAGGTCGACCGTGTCGCGATGTTTTCCGAATCCTTCAACGTCAAGGAACTACTAGGCCTGCATCCATCCTCGTCTCAGCTCCAAAGTCATATATCCTCTCTCGTGGTGCAGACTCCTGCATCTGATGTAACCATTCCTGAGGTTAAATCATATCCTGACGCGGTCTACTTCAACTATTATTCTCTTGGACTCAGTCTGCTCTTCAAGCCAATCAATGGCTACAAAACAAAGACGGGTTTGAAAGTGGAAGATCTTAAGAATGATGATTTGGTGGTGGATGGAGTTGATATATACAATCTGCCTAAGCCCAATACAGGTTCGGCGTCGGGGACAAGCAAATTGAAGTCCACATATTCAACATTCCCTCTGTCTGTCATCCTCTCCCTGTCTCAGTCGTCTTCCGAAGGCTCAGAATTACGTCCCTCGCACATTGAGGTCAAGCTGACTACTACGGGAAAAGAGTTTGTGGAGTGCATGGGCGAACCTGAGCGGAAAGGTGGGGGTGCCGGACCCTCGTCGGGATCGATTGGAATTTGGTGCGAGTGGTCGAAAGACGGAGTGATGGTGGAGTTTGGTGGCGATGAGAGTAGGGGACCACAGGCATGGGAGCGAGGGAAGGACGCAGTTTGGAAGGTTATCACCGTATTCCAGCCTAACGACGAATGATACGTTCGCAGTACGCACTCTCATTGTACTTCTCGTGATTGGTATCTTACAAGAGGCCAATGTACAGATATGTGTCAACAAGTCCTCATCAATCTTCATCCATCATAGCGGCCCCTCTGACCACCACCTTCAGCGTCATGCCGGATGAAAAACGAATCTCACACTCACGATAGTCGTACACAAGCCGAGCTTGAACATTCTCTCCGTTTGATCCAGTGAAGTTAACATGTCTAGTGTACCGTCGCTCGCCGTTGATATCTTGGAAACCCCACGACTTCTTCATGATCAGCGTTATTCGCATCCACAATGGTGGAATTCTGTCACCTGCTCTGCAACCCACGACATTCCGCTCTTCTCCGTATCGCTTGTTGCGATAGTTAAGACTGCGCCGTGTTCCTTGGTATCATCGAGCCACCCTTCCTTTAGGAATTCGTTCTCGATGTCCTCTACCCTGATGCGCTTACTCTTGGACTTTACTGCCCCGAAGACATTGTCTTCGTTAGGGCGCTCCACCCAGTCAAGAATGCGATTTTCCGTCGTCCCAGAGACTCCCCCACTCAATGTCTGACCAATGTCGATGTGTTCAACGTCCTTGTCATCCTTGTAATGCTTGCACGAGAGATAGAGATTGGACATCTGGATCGCTTTGCGTGTCCACCACCCCACTCCCTGCAGGCGCAGGATTTCGTCGGTGTCATCGCTAAACGATTTATTCTGGGACAGAATGTCATCTGTGTACTCACTTGTACGGTAAGCTCTCACCATCATGTACTTGCCACTGAGGTCGAGAATGGTGACCTCAGGAGGTGCTGCCATGGTGGACGAGGGTCGCTGATGGCTTACGGTAGATGAATGAGTTGTGAGAATATCTAGGGTTGGTGGAGCTGGCGACGACAGGTTTGACACGGCGAAGCACGGTCACGGTACGGCGACAGGGTCAGGTGATCGAAGAGACGCGTCACGCGTCGAAGCGCGTCGTCAGCGCGTCAGCCCTTAAAGTTAGTGGCTCGCGACGACGCGTCCTGCACCTCTGCTAGTTATACTCGGGCCATATATTGCTTACTGGCGAAAATCGCAAGGATATCTTCTGCATTCGCCGACTGACCTTCCACGACGATGTGCAGTAGGTTCATGCAGCCGACTGCTTCTACGCGACTGCAGAGAGCTACCTTGCCTTAGCAACGGGCTACACCTGTCAGCCTCGTAACCGCCAACAGATCTACTCACTTTTCATTTTCCATGCCGACTTGGTGTTCAATACTCAGTGTCTTTCCTCAGGCTGTCTGCGAATCATGACGGAGCATCTGAGATACTAGTCCAGCCTACAAGCACGCGAGCGGTGCTCATGGGTCGCACAGGAAGGCCGTACGTGCATTGGCACGTCGCCAGCCTTGTATCGCTCGATCGAAGTATATTTTACTCCTCTTGATCAGCTAAAAACTTTCCCCTGGAACATGTAAACTCCATTGCTCTCAGGTAACAGAGCAGTTCTTCGATGGCAATACAGCCAGCCTCGAACCCTGCCCCAGAAGCTCCTTCGTCTTCTTTCGATTCAGCCCCTGTCATAATCACATCATCCGCTCAGCAGTCGTCTTCTGTGGTCGGTGAAACTTTCCCGCCAACTTGGCGACGACTATCGAACCGGTCACATCTGAGCCGAATAGCTCTGAGTCTAGTCCTGCAGCCGTTGTTGCACCGAGCTCCGAAACGCAGGCTCAGACACCTACTTCTGCACCGTCAAGGAGTACTTCCTTGCGCGATGACGATGAGTATCTCGACGACCATAACACCATTCGTGCCCAGTATGGTGCCGCAGCGCTAAATTAGAGCAATGATTTGACTGCGGCAGCCCAGCAATGGGCGAACAACTCTGTGTTCCGTCATTCTGGAGGCTCACTTGGACCGTACGGCGGTAAGAAAATGACAGAATCAGCCCAATGAGCAAACATCTCAATGTTTGCAGAGAACTTAGCAGCAGGCACTGGTGGCAGCAACGGCATAGACGCAGCCATCAAATCATAGACGGATGAAGCCTGTGAGTGAGTTTTTGAGAGAGAAAGTCATGAGACTGAGATTGTCTCTTCAAGCATCATATGATTCCAGCAACCCAGAACCATCTCACTTCATCCAGGCGAATTTGTTTGACAACATTGCATTCGCAAACGCTAAGAGTTTCCTCCGCAGGTCGTGTGGAAGGCAACGACCCAGGTTGGCTGTGCAGTACAACATTGCAATGGAATATTCGAGCTATGGGGTGAGTCATTTTTCCTGCGCAAAAACTCCTGAGAATCGACGAAGACTTGCAGGTAGCACATTACTATATTTGCGAGTACTATCCGCAAGGCAATGTAATTGGGGAGTTCGCGAAAGTTCTGCAATCCTCTTTGAATGACATGGCAGTTGAATTATGTTTCAGCGAGAACGTTCAAGCATGAAGAGCCTGGCCAGGAAGTGCAGTCTCTCCCCCATGTTGCAAGCGTCTTAGTTTGCGCGTTTTCCGCATTTCGCTTGTTCCAGAGATGGCAGAAATTTCCACGCCATATCTTGCTACGATGTGTCATCTTGTGTAGTTGTTGCCCTCTATCTCGTGCACTATTCGACCACTTTCGTCGCTAAGGCGAATTGCTACTGGCGCCACAATTGTTGGTGCCGCCGGCACGCCAGTCCAATAAGATCTGAGATAAAGTTAGTACGAGCGCCTGTCGCTCTTGTCTCCTGCTCGCATGAAGCTGAAGGCGCTACTGGGTCCCCGAGGAGCATCGACACTCTCCGGCATATCCTATGTGCTCCTCGTCCTGGTAACGGCATTTTTCGCAGCATTGTCATGTGCTCTGCTCTTTTCTCAGGCAGTTCGGACCTCCCCTCACCGTAGCTGGGAGCAAAATTGGAATGTTGTGATCATTGGCGCAGCATATGTTGTAGTGGTCAGCCACCTCTGCATACTTCTGATCATGCGAATGGTGCTCAGGGGATGTTTCTAGTTTCTAGTTTCTCTTGCGTTCTGCTTGAAGCGCAGACTGGCGGTGCACAGACGGCTGCAGAGGATCTCAAAGTCGTACCGGACTTTGAGGAGGTCCGACGTCCCGGAAGTCAGTGGTAGCGTCCGACCAATTGAGTTTACTCTGACATCGTGCACCGTAGTCCGTGTACTGGTTCATTCAGCAAGAATATACCCGTGCTTGTCTGATCACGTACGAGTCGCAGCCCAACCATGGCTTCCAGGACGGATGGGGTAAACCAGGTATGTCTGGCTCACTGACGTCCCTTGTCCTATCTGCATGGTCTCCAGATTCTGCGTATAGTGAGATTCGGTTTCGGACCTCACTCTTGGATACAGTGCGCGAAATAGGTAGGTCGTGATATTACTGTGCCACTTTGATGCTGACGTTTCGATGTCTTCGCTTGTCAGATACTCTCGCTCACACGATAATACCACGCCATCCGACTCTCCGGCCTCAAGCACGAATGCTTCATCATTTTCGGTTCATTCTGCCCTTGCTCACTCGGGATGAGGACGGGCTCACACCTCTACACTACTACGATTCGGCTATTCAGCTTGCTCGACATGTCTCAAGGGAACCTACTGAAGGCGAGTACGTCGTCGGAATAGAAGCAGCCATAACTATCAAGAGAATGTGCGTGTTTCCTGAAACTTTCGTTGGTTAAGGCGTAACCGTCTGCGTGCAGTCTGGACGAGTGTCGACAGGAAATGATGGAGGGCTCCAGCTTCGAGCTAGCGTCTTCTTCTTCAATGTGACGAGTACACTTACTCGTCTTTCACTTCGCGATGCGCTGCAACGTCCTTGTTGCGCATCCGTTGCGGTGACGTCTCACGCAAGCCGTGCACACGCCGTGTTGTATCATCTAATGATGTCCAACCCGTCTCATCACCGACCTTCTGAATGGCGCTGTGGCATAGTTGGGCGCTTAGATTTCCCACCAGGCGGTTGACAGTTCATTGGCCCAGGACGACATAACTAGTTGACGGAGCCTACCTCAGCATTTAGAGTATTCATACCATTCCATCTTGACAGGGTCACGATAGGGATACAAGGACGTGCACATGGTAGTACTACAGATCAGAATTCTAGTGCAGACCATCCGCGTAGATCTTCTTCCAGCTGGGCCTCTCGTTCCACGCCGCCCAGTATGCCGCCACCTTGGGGGGCACAGGCTGCTTCAGCTCCTTCTCCAGAGACTTGTACCCCACCTTTCCGGCCGTTCCTCCGCTCGCGAACACTATGCGCGCGAGCCAGCCACCAAGGTGGAAGTCATCTTCGCCGGGCGTCGGGCCGCCGAGGAAACCACTTTCCGGCAGGATGACAGGGAGGTCGTTGAGAATAAATGAACTGAGCACTTCCCAGTGAGTAGTCGATTGCTTGAAGAAACTCTGCTTGGCCTCTTCGGGAGCTTCGCCCTTGAAGATGGCGAGAGGGCCAGCGTTGGCGCGAATCTTCTCGTCGTAAAAGCTCTTGAACTCAGCTGCCTCCGGAGTCTTAGAGTGCTTTTCAAGTGCATTGTGACCTATCGCGCAAAGTGAGGCTCAAATATACAAACCGAAGACATGCGAAGCTCACGATTCTGAAGAAACACTAGGGGGAAACCTGAAGCGGCGGCCTTCGCCTCTTCCTCATTGCGCTGGCAACAGTCTGTATTAGTGGATGACGTGATCCCAGGACGGGCAAACATACTGCGAGGAGGAGGGGGAAGTTGGGATCATACTTGTCCTCGTGAATCTTGTCGATAAATGCCGTCCCAGGAGTCACCCTCTTGGGGGCGTGGTTGACGAGGTACTTAGTGACCTGGCCAGTGGTCGTGTAAGATCGACCATCAGCGACGAGAGTGGGGAGTGTTGCGTTCGGGTTCTACACAATACTCAGTGGACGGGAACCTCGATAATAGGTTTGCGCTACGCACCAACTTCAAGAACTCGGGGGTGAAGTTGGCACCCTCGCCAAGATTGACGACCTTTTCCTCAATAGCATCCTCGGAGAAGCCCAATTCTTCGCTGCTCCGAGGGTGAGGAGCCAAAAATGGAACTACAAGGCTGACTACTCACACTGCAAGCCGAGGAACGGTAGCCCAGACCGAGGGACCGAAGATGTACAGAACAGGCTGTGATATATGGTGTCAAGGCTATAGTAGAGTTTAGAACAGGTGGCAGGCACTTGCCTTCGACATAGTGACGAGTTGCGAGTCGGTTAGGAGACGCAGAGAGAACAATGACGCAGCACGGGTGTAATCCAGCGCGCCTTTATACCCATAGCTGCGTGACTTGGCAGGGGCTTCGTAAGGTCGATTGATCGTAGATGATTTCGGGGACTCGTCGACATTCGGCGGTGCGGTCGTGCAACTGACTGATCATGGAAGATGACGAACGCAAGCTCGAAACATATCCACCGCACGCTCGCGGAAGGCGCACCGTCGTCCGCCCTACCGCCCAACTTATTGAGATCCACAAAGAACAGCCACTAGCAGTGTACAGCTCTCAAGCCTCTGATAGACTTTACAACCTGCGGTTTGGGCTGCAGCCGGATCACCGACAGTCCCAAGCAGATAACTTAGGAGTCTAGGAGGACGTGTATAGGCCGGCGAGATATAACGCGTGCTGCTGACGAACTAATAACCAATCAACCAACGTGATCTATGGCAACAGCAAGCTGAGGCAGCCGGTTGCAAATATCACAACGAGCACGACGCAGTGCAATTGCGGGTTGTCAGATTGATCAGCAGGCCCACAAGGAGACGGCGCACCACCAGTAGACGCGATATTTGGTCCACGACATGATGACAGTTGTGTAAACTGGCATCGACACAGCTTCGGGAGATATCATTGGACAAGGAAAAGATGTGAGTTAGATCCAGATGCTACAACCTGTCAAACTTAAGAGGTCGACGTAATGTGGACTTACCCAGTGTGCATATCGCTAGAACGCCGTGTACGACACATATTGAACATATCTTGTATCGAGGATAAAGCCTATGCGCTCCGAATCCGCAGCTTCAGTTGCATGGAACCGTACCTTCTGCACCAAGGTTGAAATAAGGTTTGTGAAATGCGAGCATGAGATCTAAGACTCGAAATGAGGATAAATGCGTCCCTTAAGCTTCAAGCAAAGGAAGAGATCCTCTTAGGTGAACGAAAAGAAGGGTGCCGTTCACCACTAGAATGTTCGGTTGCGCGATTACGGATGATATGTTCCGCGAAGAGATATGCTGCTGAAGACTCAACGGTCGTATCCGTGATGCTTCGACCATACTAGGGTTTGCCTTGCGTGTAGTGGCAACATCTTCTGCACGTTCTGAACTAACAGACAGATTGGGATGGGCCTCAAGTCAACGTGGAAGAGCTGAAAATTTCTTGTACTTCCCTTATGCACTTATAGCAATACCAACGCAGGAGAAAGCACATCCGTGACATAAACGTGTAAGTTGTCATATAACAAAGGTATCCTCTGGAAGTGCGATCACCGTGACATGAATTTGGATACTATGTGAGAGGTCAGCGACAAAGCAAGTCTTCACTGATTCACACACGAAAATCCAGCTCCGTCTAAATGGTCTAAAGATCCCGTATCTAGAGCTTCGACGAGCTCTAGCTTAGAACAGGAAAACCTGAAGGAAGAGTGAGAAGTACGGATATCGGCATCAACCGCGCGAACTTACCTGGTCATCGAGCTTACTGACGGTCCGCGGAGTAGGGTAGTTGAGCTCAGCCAAATGTTTTCTGGCAGCGAATTCAACTCATGGACACAACAGCTGGCGTGGATGACTTACTTCATGGCAGACATCATGGGAGGAGGTCCTGGAGATGCTTATCAGCTCAGATCTCGTACGAGCGAGAGCGTATGCTTACCACACATCAGAACCTTAATGTCATGGTTTGATGGGGGCAAATGCTTCTCAATCTGCTCCTTGCTCACAAAGCCAACCCCGCCAGTCCAGTCAACAGGAGGGTTGTTGAGAACAAAGTACACTCTGAAACGGTGAGCGTGCGCTGCAGCAAGCTCGTCGAGCTCCCTCTTGAGCAAAATGTCTTCAGGGTTGACGTTGGCGTAGATCAGGCTGAGCTTCGTGCGATCCCGCGCGTTCTTAAGAGCAGCGCGGATGATTTGAAGCATGGGCGTGATACCAGTGCCACCAGCGATCATGCCAATTTCCCTCGAGAGCGCGGGCGAGTATCTGAATTGACCCTTGGGACCCTTGACGCGAATGCTGTCGCCGATCTTGAGCAGCGAGACGTAGCGGGAAATGTTGCCCTTCTCATAAGACTGCACGCTTCTTGTTAGCACATTGGAGACGGAAGAAGTGAAGGCGAAGGTGTACCTTGATGAGGAGATCGAAGTGTCCAAGGTTGTCGTCGCTGCTGGTGGGCGTGTAGCTCCGCATGATATCCTTCCCATTGATCTCAGCGGAAACGGAAATGTGCTGGCCAATCGGGAGCCCAAGGATGTCCTCGGGATTTGGTAGCGCAAAGCGGTAGCTGTGCGCGATTCATTGTCTGTACTAATAGTGCTAAGTAAAGTACGACTTACAGTGCCGTGTTCGGCGAGACGATTATTTTCTGCTTCAGAGGAAACTCCTTCCATACCTGCGGATCCAACGCAGGCTTCCTCTCTATTGGACACGCGTCAGCAATCCGCGCATACCACGCGATGAGAGACGTACTGGAGTTCCCGAACTTCAGAAAGACGAAGATACTGGTGAACACGGTTAATGCGAGGGCTAGCAATTGGACATAGGAACTATTTGCGAAGTCGGGGGCAGACATTCCTGGCGTCGTGTGGGGAGGGATGTACCCGTCGTTAGCGCCCTGTTCTGTACGGTTTTTGGGAAGACCGATGAGGATCAAGTCGGAGATGTTGTAACCGGCTGCCTTGAGTTTCGAATTGATGAAGCGAGACACAGCGACGAGAGAGAAAAAAGTGATGAGGAACGATGCTATGAATGCGACCTGCAGCCGGTTAGGCATGCCTGCGAAAATGAGCGGTCGTACGATAGATATTCAGACGTTCTCTGGTGCAGATTGAGCTTATTTCGGCGTCTGGCCGTGATATCTGGCGTCCTCTGCTGTTCGTCTGACTCACGGCTCGCGTTGACGAGTCGAGTATACGAACTGACGGCGAGATAAAGCGCCCGCTAAAGGATGGTGCGCCTGCAGATATCTCGACCCGCTATGTATTCGCATATTGTGTGTACTCGTGAGAGCAAGCTGACAAGCATCCGTGAACCATTCTTCCAATTTCATGCGATGCGTCTTCTAAACACAACCAGGAAGAAACCCCGGACGTTCGGATCACGGATTGCAACTCATGATGGGAGAGACTCGCATCCTCTGTCGATCCTCCACGATGGCCGTTCGCGGTAGCCAGCGCGGGGCAGAACAGTACAGGACGGTGGACAACTGAGGAGAAATGTTATTTGTACACCAGAAGTCATTGTACATGGACGATGTTGTGCAAACAACATCGTCCGGATAATAATTGTCCGGTAACTGTCCAGCACGTGGGAAATGTGGTTGTACTTCACTACAGACAGCTACATGGCCTACCCGCTATAACACGAACCGACAGCTTCTTCGCCTCTCCCTCCTCCCGCCGCCTGTCTCTGCTGGGGCCCTTGTTTCTTCTTTTTCTTCTCTCCTTCACTTTCGCTGCATATTTTTCTCATTTCCCCTGTTTTCCCAACATTTTTATTCGTTTAACCCTCGCACACGCAGGCGTGTCGACCCAACCTCAAAAGCATGGACGCAGCAACCCCTCGCCAGCAGTCCACCGTTCTGTCTACATTGCCTCGCAGACGGGGGCCTCCTCCTTCTCTCCGCATTGACACCCCATCTCACAACCCTGCTGTCGCCATCGTACAGAGTGAAAGCTCCGCTTTTTCTGCTGTTTCATCCGCCGTCTCCGACGCGGATTCTTTTATCCTTCCGTCCCCCAGCAAGTCTCGCTCCCTACGCAACATGAAGAAGCTGTCTATTACCCTCCCTTCCGCCCAGTCCTCTACCAAATCCTTTCAGCTCCCCGAGCCTCAACCACCCCAGTCGAAGCGGAGACCCTCCATCATTTCCCTCCCAAACGCAACTAAACCCGTTCTGCGAAGGAACAGGGAAGACGAAGGAGATGTCGATTCTGTACCCTATTCCGATGGCCCCATACAGGTCCTGCCTGGAATTTGGCTTGGTTCGGAGGACACCGCTCGTAACTGGAAAGTACTCGTCGAGCGGGGCATTAGGTCCATCCTCAACGTAGCTAAAGAGGTATATACCGATTTTGACACGGATACCGACCCACTTCGTCCGTTCATGTCCACGCCGGACTTGAATAGTACATTGAGCGGACCCGACTCCACATATTATCCTGCTCATGTTCCCAGCGGCCGTCCGAGTATGCATTACCTGAAGCTTCCTTGGTCTCACGGACAGTCAGACCTCGTGCATGAAGGGTTTCCTGCCGCCATGTCATTCATTGATGGTGCGCTTGAACGTGAAGACGGCGTGCTGATACAGTATGTTCTCCTCCCTTGAACAGTGTGCGCCGATCTCACAATAATTATCGGTGAAGCTGCCAGTGCGGTGTGTCGCGTTCTGCCACGCTAGTTATTGCCGTTGTCATGCGAGCAGCTGCTCTCCGCTCTCCTTCTGTGCCCCCAGAAGTATGGACGCTGAAGGGCATGCAAGGTGCATACGCGTATGTCAAGGAAAAGAGCAGTGCGGCTGGACCTAATATGTCGTAAGCGGTGCTGCCAACCTTGTCGCTTCTCATTGAAATTGACTGTCGATCACAGACTTATTTATCAGTTATTAGACTACGAGCGAGCCTTGGAACGTGGAAATTCATCTCCTGCATGTTCGGAGGGATCGACTTCCGAAGAAGAGTGGGGCCGCCAACGGTTAAGGATGGGCGACGGGAATGTGGAGAGCAACAAAGAAAGTGTCCAGGTTATGTACGAAGCCAGGGCACTCGACCGGGCGATGGAAGACCGTATCGTCGCGCGTAAATCTTCGGCGTCCTCTCTCGTTTCGTCTATCGCCGGCGTGGGCTCTTCTTCAAAGACTCGTTTCGCGCCACGGAAACGGACCGGTTCTACCGCTAGCGTAGCAACCAGTGGCAGCGTGCTAAGCGAGAGCTTAGTGGAAGAGAACGAAGAGGAGGAATTGCTAGGTGTGGGTGGTAGTTTCGATGGGAAAAGCCTCGAAACCAGCTGCTCTAGCGCAGAGCCTACTGAAGACGAATCTCCACAAATCTCACGTCTGCCCGAGCAGCCCCTCACTGCACGCCAAGTACCTGTTCCTCCGTCGGCTCCTGCCCACAAGTCAACGTTTGCACTCCCTCCGAATCCGATGACTTCAATCAGGTCGTCGTTTGACCTTCCCCTCCATCTCCGACCCAGGTTAAAACCGCGCCGTCGCCCGCCTCCCCTTGGCATTCTACCCCCCGTTCCATCTTCTCCTGTCGTTCCAGTCAATCCTTCTTGCCAGGCTAATACAGAACCTCGTTCTGAGTCCCAAAAACTAGATATCCCTCCATTAACCGTTCGTCATGCGCATAGATCCCGGAACACCTCCAGGGTTCGCCCTGTTTCCGTCCTTTCGACACCTTCGCAAACCCTCTTCGTCTTTCCACCCTCACCGACGCTCACGACACGCACTCCGTCCACCATGACGCTCACGTCAAATGCGTCGTATCCGTTCCCTACTATGTCAACACCCCGTCCACGAGTGTCCACATCCAAGGCGGATGGGCGACGCCGATCGTACATCGGTGTTCCTCCGCCTGCGACGCCTACCACCGCATCTTCTCGGGTAGATGCACGCGGATGGATAGGCTTGAACTAGCATGTTCACTCCGAATCGCCAGCGGATTATATGCGGTATGTTGTAAGTCCGTGATTGTTTGATTCGGTTTCTAGTCGATCTCTTCGTCACCTTCCAACCCATTCGGACATATTTCTTTATGCACTTTAGCACTTCGGTTTCGGCCATGTAGCATCACCCAATTCTTTATCTGTGGAGCTCCAGCCCTTGCGCTCATCCCATATTTTGTCTTTTTTTATTCCGAGGACTTCGCATCTGCATTGTCGTCTTGTACATTATCGCAGCTCCGTTCGTCGTCCTGTACACATCTCTTGCATCTTTCGACATCCTTCGCTCTTCGCTGTACATCGTCGGTATATACACGCACCTTTCGCCGCTCCGCAGAGCGGGCGATGCACGAGAATACACCATCCTCAAAACAAGCCGGACGGTGCGCGAACAAATAAATAAATGCTAAGCAGGTTGACAAGACTATTTATGATCCGAATACTCGTCCAACACTGTTCTTCACGACACCAGTCAGGAGTTGACCACTGATGCCGCCGATACTCCATCCTGATGATAAGTTGTTAGCCCATTTTTGCTTCGCGTCGCGATCTCTGAGTGGTAGTATATATGAACAGGCATACACATTGCCGTTATACGAGAATACGTACGCGTATGTGAAACCAATGGCGTTAGTCACATTGAACACCAACGCGAGCACCACGATGGGTACAAACCTACGAATAACACACATGAGAACGGTAAACCCCAATGCGGACGAAGACTTACGAGAGGTTGAATTTTAGAAAGGAAACGATGAGGAGCGCCAGCCATAGGAGTGGGAATGTGTAGAGTGCAATCTGCATTCGTATGAATAGATGTGACCCACAAACGGCGGAGAATACCAACCCAAAACATTCTAAACCGTGTTCCGACAATATCAGTGATGATGCTTATAAGTAGATACGGCGACATACCTCGAATCGACTGGATTCGGAGGGCGCGAAGGCTGTGATATAGGCGTAAATGAGATAGTGGTCCGTACAGACACAAATGTACTTACGTCCCGGCTTTCAAACACCCAGTAGCTCTCGCCATCCTCATCGACCTTGACGCAACGATGCTAAGCGGTAAGTCTTTTGGCATTCGTGTCACTGCCTACCTGATTCCAATACCGCAAGCCGACCAACGTTCGACCAGCAACATTCTAAGCGCCAAACAGCCTCGATGATACATATTCAAGGTTGAAGTTATCCACCCACTCACCCTGCAATTCCAGAAATCCATAGCTAACAGCACTACGACCACCACAGTCTGTGATCAAACGAGGAACGTTCGTTAGGATGTGACGGAATAAGTTATTGTACCGACTAACAGAAAGCACGAAGTTGCTTGTGAAGAAGCCGCACAAAATGTATACGGTTATGGCCGATATCCGGAATAAGAACAGACAAAAGAGGACGAGTGGATGGGCTGACTGCCGAGGAGCAATAAGGACAATCCCACTCGCAACAGTTCGAGGCGTACTTGTCGAAATATACCAGCAATCCCTGCAAGCATTATATAACCAGTCATCCTAAGTTTTATCACAATCCAGGGCCACCAGAGTGGACATACCTGACTCTGCGTCGCCTGGATTAGTAGCCATGGGTGCTGATGCACGACCACCAGGCGTTAGGACCACAGGAGGCTTAGGCGCTGATGAGGCATTGATGTTTCCAGAGAGCGGAATATGTTCGTCTGTAGGGTCATCGGGTTCTATGGTCTGTAAGAGAGGAGTAGAGACGTTTGCGCTCATAATGGCGTTCAGCAGCTGTGTCTCAGCATAGGCGCCAAGAGACAGACGTTGAATAGACGCCCATATAGCTCCTCTTCCGGTCCACGAGATGAATGGTCTCAACAACTCGGAACACGATGACCACGAACAACCCTCGGAGAGAACTGCACTGCTTGCTAATATAAATGCCCCCCCTCATCTAGATGCGTTTGAATACCCTCCCATAGAGCCTGTCATCTTGCAGATCACTGCCAAAGGAATCTCTTCTTGCGGCAGTTCAGACTGGTGCCCTAATCCCCTCTCGTCGCTTGCCGTGCAAACAGCATTCTCTCTCGTTGTCCTGCTTGAACTCCGGAAGATTGTTAGTTCTGGAGCAAGCCGCTCTCAACAAATTTGGGAGCAGTGGTCGCAGGAGCAAGAGGACGCTGAGACTTTGCAATACTTGGACCATCACGTACTCTCGGTTTGGTCGGAGTTCCTTAGCGAAGAGCGTTCCGCCGAGGAGATTGAGAGTGCATTATGGCAGCCATTTCCTGTCAGACACGAAAGTCTGCGTTTGCTGAGAGGTGGGCCAGGTGCTTCAAGGCCTTTATTACATGCTCATCTGTCGGCAGTCGTAGATTTTCTCTGCTACCGAGGCGCACCGCGGGAACTTCTGGAACATCGAATAGTCTATTTTAGTTTTATCCAGACGTGGAAGTACGGCCGTCGAATTCAGGGCAGAAACCCCGCTCTAAGCGTACGTCTGATTCGTATCTATGATGCACTCTGCACGCCCAGGTCCGTACTGAATTCTTAGGTGTGACTCTTGAGCTTACATCGAATGTGCAGAGTGTTACATGCAGTAGCCCTTGTTCTTCACTTGTCCTACCTCGCCTTACTTACACACTTCGTGCTGTTCCCGCCCGTGCGGTCTGTGAGCACCGTCAGATCACCGACGCCAGATCTGCGAGAGGCACTCCTCATGATATATTCTGGCGCAAGATTACTTCAAACTTGGTCGTTGGGCACATGCCCGTTCCTGCTCGTGCTACTGGTGTTCTTATATTGCTTGCCCTCAGTCCCCTTCCCGGACGGTCTCGCATACAGCGTGCTTCTGTTCGCGTTCTCGTGGAACGTGATAGAACTCCACATCCCCCGCGCTCCCAGCCCTATATTCCTATTCCCTTTTCCGCGAATCCTGCCCCTGGCTGTCTTGATTTGGCAGGGAATATCGCGCATATTCTTCCCGGTCGTCATGTTCTTCCTTCCAGCACTCCTCCTTTCCTTATTTCTGTTATCGACATCGCTCTCGGATATATTCTCTCATCTCTTAACGGTGGACAGTCTGGATCCTGCCCCGATGGAGACACGCGTGGCGTTCATTTCTCTCTTCGCTGTCATTTTCTCGCTGCTACTCTGCTCCATCATCATGCTCGTGCTGGTATATCCTTCTTTGCCTCTAGATACACAGGCACATAGCCCATGGGACCAGTACTCGAAGCCGGTTGGTCTCGAAGCGCGCAGGGCGCTCGTACGCATCGTTGTTGCGTACTGCGCACCATACGCGTTTCCCGCCCCCTTCAATCTAGTGGAACTCCTTACCGTCCGGCTGCCAGTTTCATTAGCGACAGTGTTGGGTTGGAAGGAGGTCGCTATGCGGTTTGAGGTGGTGGAAAGAGTGTTTTGGAGGATGACGATTGGACCGATAGCAGCCATGGTTGCGGGAGGATGGGTTTGGGGACTGCGCGACCCTAGAAGAGGATATGGTCACTACCACTGATGTATCGCGTCCGAAGATTAATATGGGAATGAATGTTGTCACCTAAGCCAGCTGCCATGGATCTCTGCGTGCTAAGTATGAAACTTGAAAGGGTGACCGTCGCGTAGTGTGACGGGCCGTCACGGGGTCGCGACACTATCGGATCTGTCACGGCACCCGAGAGCATCTGGCAGTACTTTGCTGGTCTGAGACGGTATGCAACCCGGAAAGCGTTCTGCAAAATTTGAAAAACGTTCTGCCCCTCCTACGAAACGTCGCAGAACAAATCCACACCCAGCAGCCGAGGAAGAGGACTTGCTGACACCACAAGCACAGGCAAACGCGCCCTCAGCTTCAGCACTGAGCACCAGAGTTCTCCCACCCACTCATGTCCTCCCACTCACCACCTTATGTATTCGCGTCTTTGCGGATAATCTCCGCGGGCTGGCCCAGAATCCTACCGCTTGGGAAGCGAGTCGCCCATATCTGAAGCTTCTCCCGGATGCGCTGGTTTCTAGAGTCTTTGCAGCATTGAAGGCGACATCGTCGGCCCTCCTCAGTCATGCATTCATCGTTGCTGTACGCAGTATTGTGTATCTGGAGGAGTATCACCGCTCATCGCTTGTATCCTTCAGTATTTCCTGCGCGGTGACTCAATAATACTAGACAGCAGCCTTCCCGGTATCAGGAAGGCCACTCTCTCCGCCATATCTGAATCTACTTCTAGGGAGACGCTGCGCGAACTGAGTTTGAGTGGATTTGACAAGGAAACAGACAATCTCTTTGCATCTGTCGTATCCAAACTTCCCTCTCTACAGGTCCTTGTCTTACGGTAAGCGAGGGCGACCACTGTGGTGCGAATCACTGTCTTGATAACTGAGTGTAGATTTTGTGCCAAAGTGGGCTCAAAAACCGTCGAAGCAGCCGCAAAGAACTGCCCACACCTCTCAGTAGTCAATCTGAACTACACTGCGGTCACTCCTCTGTCCTTGGTGCCCCTCATCACCGCTTGTAGAGATCTCGAGGTGCTCAAGTTGGCTGGTATTACACACTGGGTTCGTAATGCTACACTGCACACTTATATCGTGCATAATATTGGTCAACGTCTCGTCAGAACGACACAGCGGTCACCAAGCTGTGGAATGCGCTAGGGGGGGACGATAATCTGCAAAATTTTCAACTGCGGAAACTGCGCACGTTGAATGTTCGCCAGAACTTTCTCAGCGATCTTTCCCTGACCACACTTTTGTCTCTATGTCCCAATCTGACACGTGTGGATCTCTCGTTCACCGTCGTTCGAAATCCTGCAGCATTGCTCGAGGGAAAGACCCTGGAGAAGCTGTCGTTAACATCTACAATGACGTCCATTGTTGACTTGGTGGCTGTTGTCCCTGGATTCACGGAACTGAAGACATTGAATATCGGCGCCTTGGGGGGCGGGCAAGGCACACGAACAGCAGCCTTCTCCAATGCCACGGCGATGACTCTCACTGATCAAGGGCTCTGCGATCTCACCGATGCCTTGGTTAATTGCGTCAATCTGGAGCGTGTTAGTCTGGTGGGCAACACTAAGTTGGGCATGACTGGTAGACGAGACAGCGCAGTGGCCTATTTCATCCGTCAAGTAGGCAGGAATTGCAAAGTAAGTAGCTCTATCTCATCGTCCTGCTTTCATTACTCAATGCATAACAGTACCTGAACTTTGCTAACATATCCTCGCTACGTTCCTCTGATCTGGAGGGACTTCTGTCCGAAAGTATAGACGAGGGTCCTTGCCCCCTCACAGTATTACATCTGAACAACACCGCGGTCGATGACGACGCTGCTCCATATATTTCTAGTTGCTCATCACTGAGAACACTCGCACTAGCGGGCACGAAATTCACAAGTGAGCAGTATGCGTGTTCACTTCTGTCAATTGGTGTTGATACTTCGTCCTGTGGCTCAGGCGCAGGACTTTTCCCCATCATAGATGCATGTCCAATGCTTGAGGAGCTAGACCTCACAAGTTGTCGAGGCGTGAGCGTTGTCGACCGCAGACGTTTTTTCGAGGTATTTGCACACAGGTTGTCAGGTGCTATACCGTTCTGACAGCCGTAACCAGGTTTGGGACGAAAAGTGGAAGAATAAATGAATAGGAAACGTTACACTTTTTCGACTAGATAATTTCCACACCTCACGCCGCCGACCTACTCACTCGTAGAACCCACCGAAATCGCAGGCAAGTGAGGAGCGGGCACGCCGTTTCTATCTTATACTTATGTGCGAGTGTACCACTGGATGTATATTACCTGCGAAGAATTATAGCTACGTACTGTACTCGGTCGAATCGACAACTTCTTCTGTATGCCAGTCGCGTTGGTTCATCAGGATGCATGAATAATTGAGCGAGAGCCGTCTGGATACTGAGTGTGACTGGGGCATCCTGCGCTCGATGCATTCGTCGCATTGTGTCGCCAGCTTTGGCATGGAGAGATTTCTCTTGTTCCGAAATCGAGATACGGGCGCTTATATACACAATGCTTTGTCCAGAAAAGGCAAGCTTGGTGTGGCTTGGGCGCCATGCTAGCCGGGCCCTTGTGGTCACAGCAACTCGAAAGAACAAGGACCCATATAATATGCTCAGCTACTCGTTCACCCTCTGTTACTTTCGTTTATCACCACTACCTCCACGACCACCGCCAGCGTATCCATCATGTCTTCTGCCTCTGCAGTAGGATCTGGACCTGATTATGTAGGCCCACACTTTGACTATTGGAAAGACTTCTCTTCTGTGGAAGGCGACAATGCCCAAGTATCTGCTCACTCTGACGATGAAGATGAACTCATGGATTTCATCGACGTTCTTACGGCTTCATATGTACCGCACCCCATCGACGTGTCTCCACTACATCCATCGAATGCCAAGGGCAAGCAGATATTCTTTCCGGACCCCAGGATTCAGTGGGAACGAGCAAATACAATGGACGATTCCGATTCCGACGACGAATGTTCTAACTCTATGACTTCCGATGGTTTCCCAGCCCAATTTCTTGACAAATCGCTCTATTCTCCCCATGGTCCGTGGGCGTGGGCGAGTGGGTTATCCATAATGAATCCGAAGGCTTTGTTAGACATAGGTGGTGAGTCTTGAGTATGCTCGAATGACATTCTTGTTCATCCCGTGTAATTTGTAGCGGGAGCTATGTGCTCCGCGACACTCAAGACAGGTTTCCTTGGATCTCGCAGAGTGATGTACATCAGCAGATGGTATGCGTGAATGTAAGATAGACCCGGTCATAAATGTATTGATGCGTGTCTACTGTAGCTGGGAATTGAAGAAGCGTCTTCGGTGGAGAGGATTCTATTCGGAGGTAAGTCTGAAGTTTCGATGAAGGCGATCCAGCGCAAGGCTAAGTTACTCCAGCTCGCGCTCTACAAATCCCAGTATTACTTGAAATCGCTTCAGGGCCTTGTCATCCCATCCATTATCGGAGTTCACGTCGATGGGAGATCTGTCAGTCTCGCGATGGAACCTCCCCACCATTCTTTCTGGATAGAGGCCTCTCCTGATATGCCCGACATACTCAAGGAGATTGTCGTTGAAGGGTTGGAGAAGATTCATGCCAAAGGCGTTCTCCACGGAGATATCGAACTGCGTCATATACTCATTGGAGGTGACTGCAGGGTTACCTTCATTGACTTTCAAGAAAGCCGTTCGCTGCGTCCTTACCCGGACGTGATGCTCGGGAAGGCCGACAGGCCTGAATTTGAGATGGAGATGCGCATGCTGAAGTACAAAATCGATTACAAGGGAGCACAAGGGAAAGAAGAGGCTAAAATGGCTCGAGCAATGGAGCGCGAAGGAAGGAACGCGCAACGGAGGAACGCGGAAGAACGGAGGTACGCGCAAGGACCCTATGCACACATTGCGCCACACCTTCTTCGCGAAAAATACCGGCCACAGATTGTGGAAGACGAGCAACCGATTGAAGAAGACGTCCTAGAGCCTCCGCCGCATCCACAGGACTGGAGAGAGCGATGGATACGATGTCGTTCTGCACCTCGTCGCACCGTTGTTCCTGGCCAGACGGCTGCAGAAGTGGAGACGGCCGTGGCGCATTTTTTGGATAAACTCCGTCGTATGCAGGATCTATACAACTCAAACCCTACACTATCACGTACTGACGTTCACTCTCCGGGATCGATCGCTGTTCCTATGCGCAAGCGTCGCGCATCTGAGACGTCGGAGCCTGAGGGCCGATCGAAACGCCGCCGTCTCGAAAAGCCAAGTGACGATGTGGCAGACGATCCCGAGCCAGCCGCTCAGGTTACGGTTTCCTGGGAGGTCTTATCGACATCCTCTATTAATTGCGCCACTGGAGATCTGTTGCCGGCGAGTAACAACAGCTCGGACCCACCGAAGCCTCCTAGAGTACGCGACTTCGCGACTGCCCCGTACGAAGGCCCTCGCGGCTTCTACGTGCCTCATCCTCCAACCGACAATCGGCTTAGTATTGAACGAGCCTTCCACATCCGCCAGGAAAACAGCACACAATGTCGGAAGGAAGGCCTCCCATACTATACCAAGGATGCGGTGATGGTCAAGCCTGCGAGTCTCCACCGATATCTAAAGCGTGGCGAGCACATTTCCATGGGAGCGCTGAAGAGGAAGCATGACGATCCATCTTGGATGAGCAATGGAGACAGGATGAAGAAAAGGCATAGGGAGAAGCAGGGAGACCGAGGTGCCGATGCGGAGGAGGATATGGTGGTCGTGGAGGCGAATAAAGTCCTCGACCTTGGCAGAAGATCCAAAACTTCGAAGAAACGGAGCCCCAGTTCTCGACCTACCTCTGTTAATGCTCGTCGTGGCATACTGCGGAATACGCCGACTATCAAGACTATATCGTACGCAAAAGGTGATTGGCAAGAGGAAGCAGATCTCGAGTTCTCCCCAAAATTGGGCCCTCGTCCGCTATTAGTGTCGAAGACCGAGGCGAGGCCTATTCTCGGTGCCGTGGTTAGCGATTTACTACCGTGCGCTCGCGTATATCCGGACGAAGAAGATTCCCCGAATGAGGGCGACGACGTCGCACGTCCACCGACGTCTGACGTGAGCTTGGAGCTTGCTCATACAACGCTCGGTTTGCCCTCGCATTTTTCGTCTGATGGCACTCATGCGTCCGGATCTGGAAGCGCGAGATCTGAATCAAACGAAGTATCGCACCAGGCGATCACCGTCCCGTCATGTAGTCCTCCTCCATGCACCTTGGGCACCACTTCTTCGTCCGTCCCACCACGCATCCGCTCGCGTGCGACTTGTCCGCAGAGCGCCGTCGACCGCGCTCCCATCGACCACTTAAGACGTAGATCTCTCTCGCCGAGGAAAACCGTGGCCGGTTGCACACCAGAGGAAGAAGCCTCGGATTCCGAAGAAGACGAGAGAGTTGTTGAAGCGATGCTGCTGGGCGGCGAGGAAGATCGCTTATGAATCATATAATGTCGTGTTTGCGTGCACTGCTGTCGATTGCTGAAGTGTTCATCTGATCTCTCGTCTGCGCTGTTTGTCTGTAACCTCGGTTGTGCTGTTTGTCTGTAGCTTCGCTTGTGCTGTTTGTCTGTAGCTTCGCTTGTGCTGTTGTCGGAAATGTCGCTGTCCTGTTTTCGTGTAATTTCCCTGTACTAGACTGGACCTGCTTTCATCTAATCATGAATGTTGGGGAGGATGTCTCCTACTATAGCTAGCAAGATCAGCAGCAACTTGTGAATTAGGATTGAGCTGAAGTAGCCCACAACCTTGTATTGAACGACATTCTGACAGTCGAGTCACGAACTGTGCATGTAGAGGCCTCGAATCCGTCGCCCATTCAGCCGCTTTTTATTTCACGGAACTGATGGATGAAGATGAGAAAGAGGAATATGTGGACATGGAATGTTGGGCGAAGCTCCCGAGCTGGGAACATCTTGTCAAATCAATTGACACAGTTGAGCTCATAGATGATCATCTTTTTGTGTTGTTCACATTGTAAGCATCTTCTTCATTGGATGCAACCCTTGCTCACTCCATTATAAGGGTGAACAATCAGGGCCATGGCAGAGGGGAATCGAGCCAGTACAGGGACAAATTCCAAAACATGGTACGTCTGCCATGTCGGATGGTGGATTGACAACTGCTGACTATCATCCAGTTATTTGACTTTTATTAAAGTCCAATAACTGGATGATATTTGGTGGTTGTCAATCCACCATCTGACACGGCAGACATACCATGTTTCGGAATTGGGTCTCTGAGGTGCCTCACTAAGTTTACAAAGAGAAATTTCAATGAGAATGCTCATACCTAATGCAAACATCCAGGTCAGAATCACAGCATGTCAGAACATCAGCATTGTAACTTTGACCTGGTGTCCAGGAAAGATCCATGGTGTAGCTGAGCAATACATACTGACTTTCATGATGCTACAGCTGCTACTGCAGACCCATTGCTTCAACTGTAATTAGGTAACACATTGATCAGTGTTCTGTTGGGCATGGAACACCAGCTCATCCTTCCTACATGATGTTTGTCCATCATGACCCAAGTAATACACTTCGTATTCGCAGATCAGGATTTGTCCAATCCGCGTCGACGGTTGTGGAGATACCGACCAGCCTCATGGTATGGTGACTATGGTCCGCACGTGTGGAGAAAGCCCCCTGGCATCAGCAGAGCGTATTTGGACCTTCTTTCTGAACCTCAGGAAGATCATGGGGCCGACAAAGCGACTGTTACATCGAAATCATCCGTTGGGCGAAGAATGGCCGATGTCGCGGTCGCGACGCTTTTGCACGAGAGTGAATAGGATTGAACATCGAAAGTTTGAGCGTAGTGAGGGTACAGCTGCTGAATTCTGTCAAGTGGTCCTGACTCAGTGGAGCTACTGTATAAATGTTATGCCGTCGTCGTCACTGCAACGTACGTTCATCTTGAACGAACTCTGTTTCCAATGTGTGGAAGAATCTTCCTTGGGAAACGAGTAAGTGTTGACATTAGGACGTTGGCATATTCAAGTTATACGTACAGGGTGGAGTTCGTGTGAAGGAGACAGGTAGCACTCACAACCTCAATACTTATTTCGAGCGGCAAAGGAAAATCTCCGTCGAACCATCTGCGTTGGCAACCGCCGACATGTGAGGTGCAACCCCACACGCAAGCTAATCCTCCGCAAAAATGAACGGCGACATGATGGCATAGTCAACGCCGGCCGACACTTTCCGAGTAGCAGTGAGAGTTTTGATGTTGAAAGCGTAGACTCATCGATAATCCAATCGTCCAACTGCCCTCAGAACAGGTACACGGTATCACTTACACGGACCCGCAATCAAGCGGGAGCTGATTTCCGCCATCTGAGCACTGCGAGCTATAGGAATTGCGTGAAACTGTTGGAGTCCGACTGCCAGAGTGATGCGTCTCTTGTTCCTATCCATGAGTTAGGGAACATGTCCGTCGGTCATCTCCTTGCAATTGACAGGGACAGCTCTAAGTGGAGTCGTAAGTACTTTCCGCGAAAGACAGGGAGGTCGAGGTTGAGCAATGCTGCCATTTAGGTCAACAAACCGCGTGCTCGCGATCATCAGGTCGTAAGCGAGACGACTGAAGCTCTCACACTCCTCTCAACCGTCAAGGTACTGTGCATCAAGCGGGTCCATCAAGGCCTTGGACATTTGCGACAAGTGACACAGTGCACCATCAGCGCTAAGACCACATCTGAGCTGAATGCTCGAAAGCAGCGATGTTCTTGTTCCCCACCACGCGCGAGGCGACAGCCCCACTCTAGGTTCCTGGGAGAGCTCAGACGGCGGCCCTGAGAGAGACTCGGTCGACATGCTCGGTGAGTGACCCATCGAGCTCGCTGTTGCGGTCGATGCCGGCGGTTTGTCAGCGGCGCCCTCCATTTCCGTCCCTGTGCTGGCCTAGTATACTCGCTCTCATCCTCCATACCCCTCGTTCGGTCCCCAAATCCCTCCAGACGGTCTTTATCTCCTCTCCCTTTTCCCCTCACCTTTCGTTTAATCCTCGCTATTTGATGCCGACGCTGACACCCAGCCTTTCCGCCGTCAGATTTGGACTATTTGCACGCTCACCCGTCTGCGGCGCTACCTCCTTCCCCATATTCCGCCAGCAGATCCAGGATGCTTAGTAGACCTAGTGCTCCTACCCCTACAACTTCTTTTCCAGCCTCACATGACGACTGGTCGTCCGACATTGACCAACAATCTGCTGGAGTCGTTCCCTCTAGTGCTTATGTTGTCGACTCCCCCACTTCTCTCGTGCATTCCACGTCTCCTACCGCCCCCTTACCGCAGAACACTCTTGTACGGTCCCCTTCGGAAGAGGATTCTGCGGCTTCCGACTCGGGCTACTCACATACCTCCACTCGTTCTCCCAACGCCTCGGCGCTTCCAGATCCATCTCAGTTCCCTGACCCCTACCCGTACCGCCCTCCTCACTGGCAACATGGATCTTCCACACCCGCGCTATCTTCTGCCGACTCATCTTCAGGATCGACGCGCTCTTCTGCCTATACGAATTCTGCGAAGTCTGGCGATTATGGACATGTTCATGTCGCGTCGGGCGGAGATGAACCAAGCGTTGGCGTTGGAATTACGACGGACGACGTGGTACAGCTTCTCTCCAGGGAGCCGGGTGTATCTGCTGCGTCCCAGGGAAGGTTTCCTGCTGATCAGACGCGTTGGTCCGATTTCTACGTCAATAGCGTTCGATCTCGTTCTTCGTCAATTGGCAACGGAATGAGCGAACCTACGCTGCAGGAAAATGGCGTTAAAGGTTTGCGTGCGACGCCCAGTTTTGACTTGGGATTCGAGACTCTGGATGAACGCGACGAGGCGGGTTTGATCAGCGAAGAAGAGACAGATGATTACTTGTCCATGGACGAGGACGAGAGAACTTCTGAAGAGGAGCCAACTAGTGCCATGTTAATTGCGGAGGAGGGTCGAGGCATTATTGTTAGAGCAGATGATGTGCCCATCGTACGACTTCAGGTGAAAACAGGTGCGTGTCGCTGTGGGTGCGGTAGGCTCGAGGACGCTTAACGACAGCTGTGACCTACTAGGTACAACGCATCTCCTGATAGGGTCGTCTAACACCCCAAATGCCGTCCCATCATTTCTTGCCAACACCCTCCCACAGATTGCCTCAACTCTCCTTGCACTTGATATCTCTGCGAATTTTCTTGTTGCTCTTCCACCATCCCTTGTCGCTTGCAAGAATCTCGAGGAATTGAACATAGCTTCTAATCCTCTGCGGGCACTTCCTGTATTCCTTTCTCATATGGTCTCTTTGCGCGTTCTCATCGTGGATTCAACGGGTATCAGCACACTGCCCGAGGTGCTCAGTTCTTTGGACAGGTTGCACACTCTCAGCATCAGAAGGAACAAATTGAACGCCCTTCCTAGTTGGCTCTGCTTGTTGCCTGCGCTTGAAACACTTCTTGTCGATGGCAATCCGTTCCACGGTCCATGGAAGGCACTTATAGAACCATTGCTAGCTAAATCTCCGATGACACCCCTTTACCCGCCGTCTACACCCATATTCCCTCTCCCTTCTGCTAGTGTGCAGAGTACCAACACAGATGACACCGACTGCGAAGACGAGTCTCCTTACGATGACGGTGATCGACAGCTTCAGGCTGCTCAGGAAGACGAGGATACCATCACTCCTGCCAAGTCTCCGCCTATTGCGCGGTCGGTTACGTCTCCCCTACCTGCCACAGCAACGGAGCCTGCCATACCTCCCAAACTGACCAGGACTCGTACTACGCCAAACCGTGCTTATTACGACAAGAGTAGAGCTGGGAAACCAGGGGTTGGGTCCGGTTCTGCGACCTCTTTGCGGCCCACCTCATCGAAGGACATGCAGGATCCAAATGAGCGAGAATTACGCAAAATGAAGAGTGCGGGTGAGCTACGACGGAATATAGCAAACCTGTCTCGTGCGGCGTCAAAATCAGCGACATCTTCTCCACAGCGCGCTGTTCTGTCGGAGTACGTCACCTCTGCGTCAAGTTCCGATCTGCTCAACATGGGTTCTCCCCCTCGGGATAGCCAGGCTTTACCGAAACGATATGCTAGTCTTGGTGTGGCTTCTGGAACGTTGTCACCAAACGCTGTTCGTTCAAGACCTCAGATGGATAACATCTTCTGGGACAATCCTTCCGAAGCCGATGAAAAGGCGGATTTTTCTGCTCAGACAATGCCAAGGAGGTCGACACTCCCACGAGGTCATCCCGACTCACCGAGGCCAGAATCAGAGATCGCCCGTTCTGCCACCCAAACACGGTCATCGAAGGAAGAAAAGCCTAGCCGCTGGGGTTTTTTGAAGAAGATGTCGATGGGGAAGATGAGGGCAGACTCATCCACGACAATGAGATCAACCGTGTATCAAGGCCGACTCCATGCTAGGAATATCCTTGTCAAGTCACCTGGGTCGGCATCACCAGGAATTCCTCAGATTGACGTGCGGATATCTACCACGGGAGCGTTGTTACGCCCTGCACCACAGGTGGTTCTTCCTCAAGAGTCCCTTACTCCAAGTCTATCGAGGAAACCGTCAGTTGAAACGTCGCTACCTCCTGCAGTCCCTGAGAAGCCCCACATTGAAGCGTTGAAGGTCCCATCCCCTTCGTCTTCCTCCCACCTCTTGGCTCCCTCCCCTACTCCGCGCGCAGCCAAGCGAAGGAGTTTTTTGCCAATAGACATGGCCCCCATCCCCATCCCCGCCGCATCGGCGTTCGTTCCCGGCGTCACAGCGAGCAACAGCGCCGACGATGGCGATGATGTAGGCAAAGAAATTCTCAGTCCTGTTCCGAAAATATCCTTGGAGGACATGCAGCGCCGAGAGGAAGAACGGGCGCGAGAGGCTCGTGTTCGCGCCTTGCGTTCGGTGATGGCGTATCTCAGGGATATGCATGACTTGGGTTTGTCTCAAACGAACACTATGTCTGTATATGGTTCCGCTGTAGAAATTGCGCCAAGTGGCCTTCGATCCCGTAGACCAACGGTGGTAGACAACGGACGTTTGCCATCTGAGATCTCTGTCAGTTCGATTGCGTCTGGTTCTTCACGACCAGAGTCATCGGTGCAGCTGCGGTCGACCGAATCGAGGATCGGTCTCCGCGGCGGCAGTGCCACACAGACAAATAGCGTTGCTACGACCGATAGCGCCGGATCCGCAGGTGGGGAAGAGAGGAAGTACAAGGACGACAAAGGGAAACGTGCGATGATCATTCGTGAGATCATAGAGTATGTGTTGATGCGCGGTCATCCTATCAGTAGCTGACAATAATGATGCAGAACCGAACGGACGTACGTGAAGGGGCTCCAAGAGCTCGTGGATATCTACATCACTCCCGCTGCTTTCTCTGTGAACGTGTTGAGCGGAGTAAGCCAGAGACAGGAAACTGTAGTTCCCGTAGCAGAGCGCAAGATTGTGTTCAGCGGCTTGGAATCTCTCTTCTTTTTCCACAAACAGAATTTATTGCCCGCCTTGGAGCATGTTTCCGCCCCCCTTTTGGCGCCGAAGCAGGATTCTTCGCAGCACGATGTGGATGGTTCGCAATCCTTGGACGTAGCGAGACAGGTAGCGCAAACATTTGTCGCGCATGCAGCATTCATGAAGATGTATTCGACGTACATCAAGTAAGTCTGTCTCTTAATTCTGTTCAAACACGACACTCAACGGTTTGCAGCAACTTCGACAATTCTGTTCAAAGGATCAAAGCTTGGGTATCTGATCGTCCGGGTACACCCTCCTCAGTTCTCGCTGCCTCGTCCAGCACTGCCCAGCTAGTTGGCCTTGGACTTAGCATGTCTGCCGTCAGTGCTCCAAGTGTTGTACCTGATAGCGGACCGACCTCCAACAGCACCGCTCCATTGTCTTCCAGTCAGCGCAAACGTATCAAGTCGTATCTGAAGCGATGCCGTATGAATCCTAGACATTCACAACTGAATTTGGAAGGATATCTGCTGTTGCCTGTCCAACGGATACCGAGATATCGTTTACTGGTGAGTGTAGCGTATAGCGCCAAATTATGCATATACTGAATTGTTGTCACAGTTGGAGGAACTTGTCAGAAGTAGCCCTACCACGTACGATTATCCCAACGATCCTCTGGAGCGAGCATTGGAGGAGATATCGTCGTTAGCAACCAGCATGAACGAAGGCAAGCGAGAATCGGAGTCGCGGAGGCGATTGGTGTTATGGCAATCAAGAATTAGAGGGAAGTTCCCAAGTCCCCTTGTACAACCTCATAGGTAAGTTCAGTTTCAATAGTTCGGCGAGTTTACTAACTGATCCTCTTGTTAGACGTCTTATTATGGACGGCCCCCTTCATCTTACTCGAGTCGTTCGCAAAGCCACTGTTTCTTTCGAAGTGATTGATTCACATGGAGATGCCTCCGAGGTGCAAGTCGAATGCTTGTCGCCTGAGCTTACTCCCCGACCCTTGATCGGTATCCTGTGCAACGACTTGCTCGTTCTCTGTCGGGACCCATCTGATGGGCAGGATCCCAACGCTTCTGTGGACCTGTGGGCTGTGCTTAGAATGCAGACACTACCACAACCAGCAACCATCGTACATGGCAACGGTATGTTCTCTATTTGCAAACTACTGACTTCTTCCGCTGACGACGAGATAGCTCTTCGGTTAGTGGACAACAAGGCAATTCTCTACTTCGATGCACCGTCGACGTCTGATGCGTTGACGTGGTTTAGAGGTAAGTGCGTTGCATATCTGACTTGACGATCGCTCACGCTGCTGCTGTCAACAGCTATTAATCTCCACATTCCGGCATCGAAGGCGTAGTTCTTCTGCCTTGTATTTATCCTTTGTGAATTTGCTCGTACTTAACCTCATCAACATCACCGCTGTTGTCGTATTGTCGCTAGCTGCTCCGCTCCTTTTTCTATAATCCACGCATTCCTTCGTTGTATCGTATCCCGCTCATGATCATCACACTGACCTTGTGTCCGTCTGGCTTCCTACGCAAATCGATATCACGGCTTCCTTCGCATTTTTTTAATCGTAGAGATCCAGGTGTAACAGGGAAAGCCGGCTTAATGGATTTATTCGAATATTTCCTCCAACGGTTGACGTGACGTCATGGAAAGTGTACATTACTTAATTTGGTTAGTATACCCGTTACGTACTCGTCCCAGGGTCATGTGCGCGTAGATTATCTGATAAAGTTTTGGAAAGGATGTGCGCTTCGAGCCGGCCGAAGTACAGTACATATTTCGTCTCTGCGCGCCTTGCCCCCCTGCTCACCTTTCACCTCCTTCCACTCGGGCGAAGGAGGTTTTCGCACCGGATTTGTGAAACCTCTACTGCTCTCCAATGGAGCCATTTAATGCAAAACTCGCCGCGGCGGGGACAGGTGCGACCATAACCGCACTCACGAGTAAGTCTGCCGTCATCTTGGTATCGCAAAATGTGCATCGAACATTCATTGCAGTGACGCCGTTCGACGTGGTGAAGACACGGCTGCAGACACAACCCCTACGTCCAATGTCCTTGTTCCCTGATCCACCTCCAAATACATGCTGCCAGCCTGCCAATGTACCATGTGTGCGCCGAATGTCTTCTCTTGCTCCTGCAGTCGAAGGAGAAGTTGTCTGTATTTGGGACCATGGCGTCCTCAGGAGAGAGAGAGTAACCGGCTTTCTTGACGCCATACGGCATGTAGTGCGGGCAGAGGGTATCCTGGGTCTATGGAAGGGCGCCGGGACGTCACTGTGAGCACTCCGCACCTTTCTATCTCCCCGAACTCGTGCTAACCAATGGTCACCTCCCTCAGTGTAATAGGTGTTCCATCATCAACATGTTACATGTTGACTTACGACCACCTGCTGAACGTTGTCCTGCCGCCCCTCCTCCCTCCAACCCTTGTCCCACTGGCCTCGGGTATACTCGCACGCACAACGATTAGCTCCATCATGTCTCCTCTGGAACTCGTTCGGACAAAGCTGCAATCAACGCCACTGTCACCCGACATCCCTCACACACTGCGGTCTGTCCTCTCCTCTGTCCACGCCGTAACACGCGCACAGGGCATGTGGTATCTATGGAAAGGGCTAGGGCCAACACTATGGCGCGATGTTCCATTCAGTGGGCTGTACTGGGCAGGTTACGAGATGCTGAAAAGGGAATTCGCACGGGAAGGTCTCGCTGGGCCTCAAGTTGCATTTGCCAGTGGAGCGCTTAGCGGGACGACAGCTGCGCTGTTGACTTCTCCGTTTGACGTGCTCAAGACAAGGCGGCAAGCTCTCTTGGCGTCGTCAGCATCAGGACCCAAGCTTACGGCAACCTTCCCGTTATTGAGAGAGATAATTCGGACGGAAGGCTTCCCTGCTCTGTATGCCGGCATCCTGCCACGGATAGCGAAGATCGCTCCAGCGTGTGGTATCATGATTGCTTGTTTTGAGGTGAGCCTTATGGTTATGTAGTCTTGCGACAGTGCTCACAAGGTTCATCCAGGGCGTTGGAAGACTGCTCACGAAGGGGGAGGAGGAACCTTAGACACGATTCATTACATGGTATACCATACATCCGGATATTTTGTTTATACATCCACGCACTCCACGCACGACTGTCTATCCCGCAGGCACGATAAGACTGTCCAACCTGACAACCCATCTGTATACGAGCTGAATATATGCACGACTAACCCAGCCTGTTCATCTGCTTCTTAGCACCCGTGAGTTTCCGCCCTGTCCGGTCAACCTCCGTCGTAAGATCGTCCAGCATCTCGGTCTGCTCCGCAATCTCGTGCCCAATGGCCAGCCCAAGATGTTTCTGACGCTGGAGAACAGTCGATAGCTGCACTAGCTGCTCGTCCTGGTGGGAAATTTGTGTCTCCTGCAACTGCAGCAGCCCATGATTATCTAACGGCCGCGTTTCCTGCGTTTCCTGCGGCTTCGCAGCCTCCCCGAATACTCGTGTGACGGGCGGGGCGAACCCCGATGACGATGTTGACGACGTCTCCAACAGCGCAGCACGGTCTGACAGAGACGCGGGATTGCGCTCAGCGTTCGAGCCAAGCCCGCGGGAGGTCATCCTCGCGACGGTGACCATCTTCGCGAGCTTCTCGCAGTCGTCCCGCAGGCGCGCGACCATATCCGTACGGCGCTGGAGCTCGCCCTCACTCATCCCGGAGAGCCCGAGCGTGCGCAGCCCGTCCTCGAGCACGCCCACACGCGAAAGCGCGCCCGCGAGCTTCTTCTTCGCCTGCACGTTCGCCTGGTGCGCGCCGGCGACGTCGCTGCGGTCCGCGAGGGCGTCGCGCTTGTTGATGTCCGCGCGCACGTCGCGCACGCGCGCCTGCAGGTCCTGGTGCTCGTCGAGCCAGGAGGACGAGGTGAACTGCGCGGGCGCACCCGCGTCGCCACCCTGCGGCAGCAGTTTACCGACGGGCACGCCGAGGAAGTCGCGGAAGGCGAAGCTCTCGCGCCAGCGGTCCTCCTTCGCGCTGAGGATCGCACGGAGGTAGAGCTCGAGGCCCGCGCGGCGCTCTTCGAGCAGCGCGGGGCTGCTGCGAGACTTGAACATGGTGAGGGAGCGCTTTGGCGGGAGCTGGCAGGGGGGCACAGAGCCGGTGGACTTGGTGAGCTCGACGTGGAGATCGACGAATTCGGAGTAGCGCCTCCACATCTGCCATGAGCGGACGGACGCCTGGATTTCTATGCGATAGACGGTGTGCGCCTTTGGCTCGTAGCGTTCTTCGTAGCTGCGGACGTGGATAGCCTGAATAGCGGCGGCCATGGTGAAGACTGAGCAGAGAACATAGCAGCACGAGTCAACGGCGCGGTGACTACAGCCATCACCATAGCCGCCACACCACCAACAGACACAAACACGTTTCGTCCTTGTAAGTATACTCAGACACCCCAAGCAGACCGAAAGTGAATACTACAATGCGTCAATAGATTCCAGGTGATATGTCAAGTCTGAGATGTTAAGGCTACATGTTCATGCACTGCGTCTGCAACAGCGACTATCTATCGCCTGCGTCGCCGCCACACCCACTGTTTCCGCCCTCTAGCTCGCCGACGCGGGCTTCTCCTCGGGCTCGATGGCCTCGCCAATAGTGACATCGCCGATAATGTACCGCAGGACGTCACTCAGTGTGATGATACCGAGCAGCCGGCCCTTCTTCCCGCCTTTCCGCTCCTCCTCCTAGATCGACGTGAGTGTCACTGTTACTGACAGAGCGAGAGATACACACCTCGCCTTCTACTACCACTAGTCGGTGCACCCGCCGCCTCTTAATGAGCTGCATGAGTGTGCCGAGGGAATCGGACGCGGTGCAGATGACCACTCCGGGGAAGTCGGGTGAGCGTTGGTTGAGCGCTTCAGATATGGTGAGATCCAGGGACTGGTAAGCACCCAGTCGGACGAGCGTCTAACAACAAAATCGAGAGTGAGAAAGCGAATTGGTGATCACGCGGATCCCGGTAGCGTGAATGCGAGGGACTGACGATGACATCCACTGTTTCGTACAGATTGACGACGATGCCGTCCGCGTCTATGATTGGCACGGCAGAAATCCCGCGCGCCGAGAACATGTGCACAACGTCGAAGACGGGTGTCGACAATGTTGCCGTCGCGATTGGATGAAACCGTTGTGCATCGGGAGGTAGTGCGGAGGGGTCTTCAACATAGGTGCCAATCTTGAGCTTCCGGAGTCCTAGATGCAGCTGCTGAATCTCCTTGCCACACTAGCGATCGTCAACACGAAAAACCGTCATGTCAGTACGACGCCAATGGGATAAGGTCAGCCAGTCGCGTGCAACTCACGTTGATCGAGATGAACTTGAGGAGACGATACTGTGTGAGGATGGACACAATGACCTCGTGTCCTGTCTCAGTGTCTTCGTCGAGGAGCGGTACTCGACGTGCGTGGGTCTGTATGAGCAGCCTGGCGGCGTCATAAAGAGTGGCAGAGGGATACGCGTGTAGGAGTGGTGGGGTGGCCACACCAAGACTCTTCTCTATGTCTGAGGAGATGTGTGAGGTCGATTTGTTAATGGACAAAGACGTAAAAGAAGCCGTACCGCGCAGCGACTCCAATCGGAAGGTCTCGACGTCTGAGGCGGCGACGTCGTACGAGGCAAATTGGTAGTAATATTGGATGAGATGGATGATGTCTGATACGGTGAACATGCCCGCGAAGCACGATTTCTCGCTGTTCCAGAGAGGTGCGGAGACGACACCTGAGGAAGAGGGTCAGACAAACCACAGGGTGGATAGATATCGCGAATGGATCGACCATTGAGCAAGAGACACTGAAGAGCCTTTCTGACCTCTAGCTTTGAGTCGAGGACAATGAGCCTGAAGCTGACGGGAAAGGAATCGTAGGTGGTGCGCCCCTTGAGGTAATTGCGGATGCTGTAGAGAGCGGCATCATGCGAGTCCTGGGTGTAAGGAGGAAGATGGGAGACTGCGCGAGGTCTGCGGGAAGAGACCTTGCGCCTGACTTTGGGAGATGTTGGCGAGAGGGTGTTCATGGCGCCATACAAAAGACCTTGTCTGCGCTGAGCGCCAAGAGCGTTGCAGTGCGCGCGGGCGCTAAGTTCCGGTGCTGACTAAGCAGGTCCCCGGGAGAGGCCGGAGTGACCCCCGAGAGGCCGGGGGAGCGCCGGGCACTGGCACCGGGCGCCAACTGCGACTGCTCGCGAGAGGCTCTGCGGTTGCTCCTTCCCACATCCAGCGCTCCTCTCTACTGACTCTGCTCCCTCTTTCCCCCTCTAGATCATGGCTGCCCGTACCTTACACGATATTTATACCTCCTGGAACGATACCGCCGACGCCCTGTCAGCCGGCGCGCAGGCCCTTCGAGATACGCTCGCCGCCCTGCAGCCCCCATCGGACGCCCTAGACGACCCTTCCCCACCAGCAGGCGGCGGCACACGCGATGCATTCTACATCCTCCTCCCTCTGCTCATCATACTCTCCACCTTTCTTTTCCTGCTCCTGCTCTTCCTCGTATGCGTCGTCATCCTCCGCAGACGACGCGGTATCATGCTCCGCGACAACGACGGTCCAATCGACATGAGCCGCGAGGAGTTCATCCAAGGTGACGGCGGCTTCGAGGGCGTCGAGTCTCGCTGGCTCGAGGGTGTTACCGAGGTGGAGAGTCGTCCATATCTCCGCGCAAAGGGTATGTCCCCCGAATAGTGACTCTGATTTCGACATGGAGTTCACAGCATGTTTCGTCTCAGACTATCAGCTCCACTATCCCCCGAATTCCATGCCCACCGATATCACATTATCGCAGTTCCTCTCCATCCAGGAGAAGGGCGTCTCCGCATGGTCCTTCGAACCTGATTTCGAGGCTATGAACGCCATGTTGGTGCATGCACGCACCGAAGTCACCTTTCTCCCAGACCCGTCTTCAGCATCGTCCGTTCAATCCAATCTCCCTCTGCCCAAACTGAACGAGGTCTACTACTGGGAAGTGAAGATGTTCGATCTGCCCGAGACTACCAACGTTGCTGTGGGGCTCGCGACGAAGCCTTATCCTTCTTTCCGTCTCCCGGGATTAAGCCGATATTCAGTAGCATATCATTCCAGCGGCGATAAGTCTCACAACTATCCTTTCACTGCTACACCGTGCGGCTCTCCTCTGAAAGAAGGTGACGTCCTCGGAGTTGGATTCCGTCCCCGCACAGGAACGGTGTTCTTCACGAAGAACGGACGGAAAATGGAGGATGCTTTCATCGGTCTAAACAACTGGAACCTCTTCCCGACTCTCGGTGCTGACGGCCCGTGCAGTGTGCACGTCAACCTCGGACAGTCGGGCTTCGTCTTCATAGAGGCTAATGTGAAGAAGTGGGGATTGGCGCCGAGCCAGGGCACACTTGCCCCACCCCCCGCATACGGGAGCGAGCGCGGCAGCATCTTACTCGCTGCTGGAGGCGCTATCATACCGAGCGGTACTACGTCTCCCCATAGCACTGCCGAGGCGTCCACTCGCTCTAGACGTTCTCATCGCTCCCGGAGACCTCGCAGTGGACCTGTCAGCAATGCGCCAGTGGAGTCTTCTCCTCTACGCTCTACACCACTGACTTCACCGTCACCTCCGGATACGCCACCACCACCTATCACGCCCATCGAGGAGGAGTCAGAGAGCACCTCTGCTCCTTCGTCTTCGCGGAGGTACATATCGCCCACTGACATGCCCTTCCATACGGCGCGTAATGCTAACATCCCTTCATCGCCGACCGTAAGTACGGACGTCCGCGATGGTGACTCTACTCCCGTAGACGGCGATCTGCGGTCCGAGTCCGAGTCTGCGCAGTCGTCGCGGTCGCATTCCCGCGACACAGGTGCGAACCAGTTCAATACGCCTCGCCCCCAGCCGTTCACTTTCACTCACGCGCGCACGGGTTCCCGCTCGTCGCGTTCAGGTTCAGAGTTCGCGATCCACGTCCAACCACCGCCAGAATCCCCCATGGAGCCCACCCCGCCGACGCCGAACGCGAGAGACATCCATCTCCAGGCGTTCGCGTCGTCGTCTGCTCCGGGATCCGTCCATACCGATGGCGCGAGTCCTCTTGCGCGGAACCTGGACACGGCCCGTCATGACCCGCCTGCATACTCCCCGCTGGACGCCTATGCGTATTCGGAAGGTGTGCAGCTGGACCTCCCCGCCGAACTTATCGCCGCGGCGTTGGAGCGGGGCACGATCCCGTCCAACATGATTGCCCCGGGCGTATCTCGGAGCGATGACAGACAGCGGAGTCGGAGGGATAGACGATAATGTTGAATGTGTCGGTGCCGGCGATGGAGGAGCCGGTGTGCAGTGTGGAGGGGGTGTTATCTTTGGGCGACATCGGTTCGTCTTTTGATTATTGTATCAAGTATTAGGGCTGAGCGCTGAGAGGGCGGTGCCGGCAGTGGGCTGTGTGGAAGTGTTTCAAACACATAGTGTAATCTCATCTCACCTCTGTTCAAATTTGTCTCTGCTGCAATATTTCACCGTCACTATAATGTCTAACACCACATGGACATTGGATTCGGAGTCGCAATCATACCATATTCCAGCCTTGCTTTGCGTGATGCTTTGGAATAGTCTCTACGGAATACTCTTCACTGTTCGATGGGCAAAAAAAAATGAATATTTTTATTGCAGGCACATGCTGAACTTGTTGTATGACGTTACCGCAGACGGCTGCATCGAATTTTAGGTGAGTGAAATTTGTCTTGCCTCTACAATTTGGTGACATTTATTCCCTTTCGCAAAGTGACCTGCCTGTATTTTGCGCGGGCTCCTACTTTTCCAACGTCCCATTCGAACCAGATCCTAGCTTGCGTATAATTGCCGGTGAAATCCTATTCGTCAGAATATGTTGGTACAGTTTATCACTCCTCTCCGAGTATCCATGCAGTACGCGGGAATCCGTTGCACAACACCCACTCTCTCTGCCGCCCAGCCGTGGCTTTAACACAGATCCACCCTGACATATGTGCCCACCAGCCTTTCTTCCGATATGTCTCCCGAACGCTCTTCTTCGTCTTTGCGCCCAGCCATGATCGTACCCTTCTCGAGGATGTCGTCTGGCCTCGCGACGCGCGCGTCTTTGTCTCCACAGCCGGCGCCCAAGGCACAGTGCTCTGCCACCTCCGCGCTCTCCGTTTCCCCGCCTCCCCGTGCCGCCGCGCGCTTCCTTACGCGATGATGCCTCAGCGCCTTCCACTGCCTTCTGGGCCACTTCCCGAAGGCGAGCCACAGGGCGACCGTCGCGATGATGACGGCGGCGGCGAGCGCGACACCGAGCGTGTTGCGCGCGCCGATGAGCGCTGCGTCGCCTCCGTCCGAGCCCGTTTCCGCTGCAGCGCCAAGCGCGGTTTGCGGTGGCTGTGAGAGCGTGCCTTGCGTGCTGTTGTGGATCTGGCTCGGGGCGAGCTCGGGCCCGCGCATGGCGGCAGTGGGGACGCAGGCGGGGCGGTCCTCGGGCGCACAGAAGGCATCGTCTGCACCGAGTGGGGTGAAAGTGGGCAGGTACATCAGAGGTGTACGCGCAGACTGCTGAGATCGATGGGGTGGTACGTTCGTTCGATGGGCTGGTCGGTGGATGACCCACTCATCCCCTCACGTCTGACGTCGATGCGCTCGCGCTGGAGGCTCACCGCGCGGCGGAGGAGGCTGGCATGGTTCTAGTACATTTATTGCCTTACGCGTACACTGCTAGTTGAGATCGAAATCCCCTCGTCTACCGCACCGCGCGCCGGGGTCTACCTGCTGTCAACCGTCTACGTCTACCGTCTACCGTCTACGGGTCGAGCCGCTTGGGGTCCCTCGGGAAGAGCGACGCGCGGCGGATGTTGTTGAGCTTGAGGAAGAGCATGAGCACGCGCTCGAGGCCGATGCCGCCGCCGCCGTGTGGCGGGCAGCCCATCTTGAACGCGTCGAGGTAGTAGCTCATCGATGCGGGGTCGACGCCCTTCGAGCGCATCTTCTCCGCAAGCAGTGTCGCGTCGTGGATCCGCTGCGCCCCGGAAAGGATCTCCTCCCCGCGCATGAAGAAGTCGTACGAGTTCGAGAGCGTCTGGGGCGCGTCAGGTTAGCCGTGCGGTGAAAAGGTGAGAGACAGAAAACCGTACCGGGTCGTCGGGATCAGGCATGGTATAGAAGGGCCGAAGCGCCATGGGGAATTTATCGATGATGTAGTAGTCGGTGTCGTACTTCGCGCGGACGATCCTTCCCAGGCGCTTCTCATTTTCGGTGCTGGAAAGCGTAGACAGGTTAGCTGAGTTCGGCCGCGACCCGAAACACGACACACTTGATATCGTCCAACGTCTCTCTTGGCACGCCGTCCTCTACCAAGAGGTCGATCGCCTCCTTGAACGAGAGCCTGAGCGTGCCCTCGGGGCCCTCGCGCCACTTGAACTCCTCTGCAGGGAACTGGCGGTGGACCGCCGCGATCTCGGGCGCGTACCGTTGGCGCAGCGCGGAGAACATGTAGATGAAGAGCCCGTCGAGCATCTCCATGACCTCGTGGTAGTGCTCCTCGATGGCCATCTCGAGATCGAGCCCGGTGAATTCGGTCATATGCCGATGCGTGTTCGAGTCCTCCGCGCGGAAGACGGGCCCGATTTCGTACACGCGCTCGAAGTCCGCCGCGATCGCCATCTGCTTCGAGAGCTGCGGCGATTGCGCGAGGAAGGCCGTCCCTGTGGACGGGCAGGAGAGAAGCGGAGATGGGTGTAAGCCGGCTGTCGGAGGGCGAGAGTAGGGCGGCGGGGCGCGTACCTTTGAAGTATCCTACTTTGAAGACGGTCGCGCCGGATTCCGTCGCCGCACCCTGCAGTTTGGGACTGTGGATCTCTGTGAAGCCCCGCTCGTCGAGGTATTCGCGGAACAGGTGGCTGATAGCATGCTGCAGCTTGAACACGGCCTGGTTCGTTTGTGTCTGCAAGGGAGTTCAGATGGAGTGTCAAATATTATTTGGAAAGGCTGACCCTCAAGTCGACGACACGGTTGTTCAGACGCGTGTCGAGTAAAACACGCTTGTACTGCACGTCATCGTTCCCCTCTATCTCAGCTTCGGGGCGCGTAGCATCCTCGACGCTGAATGGCAGGATGCTTTCCAAACCAGAAATCAAGTGTATCTGTCGCACATAGTCGAGAATTAGTCTCAATGCAGCAGAGGCTTAGATCGCGTGCAGACCTGCGATATGTGAATCTCCACGTCGCCCTTGGTCGCGCTCTTGATGATCTCCGGGGCCTTTCTTACGACACCCTCGACCAGGACAATGCTCTCCATCTGGAGACCTGCTGCCCACTTGGCCATCTGCTTGCTGACCTTACCCTCGGCCACGGTAAGGAGTGCCTGAACGGAGTCGATACGCTGGCGAAGGTTGAAGAAGACCATCTTGTTTCCCTGTGCACGCGACGTCTGCACGCGAGCACGGAGAAGGACGACTTGGCCGTCCATTTCCGGAGTGAGGGCGGTGATCGAAGTGTGGGGGCGGCGAGGACGCGACTGCGATTGGTTTAGCGGTGCCTTACCGTAGAATTCTGTCGCAAAGTCCTAAGCATCACGAGCGATGCACATTATTGTGAAGATGAGAGTGTAAAATATTGATTGCACGGTGGATCACTCACGACTTCAGCAGCGGCCCTCTGGGCTTCGAGCTCGGCCTGTTTTGCAGCTTTCTCGGCGGCTTTCTTTGCTTTTTCGGCCTCCTTTGCGCGTTTCTTGAGCTCACTTTTTGACGGGCCTTTCTCTTCTCCAGCAGCGTCTTCCACACTAGATCAAGAGATCGCGGTGAGCCATTTGTTCGGATAATGGATGGCAGATGTGCTCACGGCCTTTCTGCTGAGGATTGTGTTGGTTCTTTGTCAGCCATTATTCTGCGGGATTGTATGCGCAGACTGTAGCGATGTTTTGGAAGATTTTATGTTGGAGGTGTTGGCTCTGGACAGAGTCGAGTGAGGATTGACTCAAGATTGACTCGAGGCGCTTGTTCTGAGCCAAGATTATCGATCGGGTCCAGACCTGTCCTAGGGTTAGGGTGCTCCTAACCCTAACTAATGAACCCTATCTTAGGGTGTCGGGGAAAGTCGCTGAGATTGGCGCACTAACCCCGGCCCACGCGAGGCTGCAGTTTGCAATTTATATTCGACAGCACCTCCTCAAAGCTTCTTCACCTCAAAAAATGCAGGCCGTCGCCCGCCCTCTCGCTCGCGCTGCACCAAACAACCTGCGCCGCGCTGCAGCCCTCTCCACCTGGTCTACCGTTCCGGCTGGTCCTCCGGATCCCATTTTAGGTACGTCTTCTGGCCTCGTCTTCACTTTCTCCGGCATTCCCAGGCCCGTGCTCCGTCACGCTGGCCTAGCGTATACCCTCCGTCCCACGCGCCGCTCATCGTCCTCTCCCATTCTCACAGGTGTGACCGAGGCATTCAAGGCAGACAAGGATCCCCGCAAAATTAACCTCGGTGTTGGCGCGTACCGTGACGGTGACGGCAAACCGTACGTCCTCAGCTGCGTCAGGAAGGCCGAGCAGTTCCTCGCAGCTCAAAACCCGGACAAGGAGTATCTCCCTATTACCGGCTTGGCCACTTTCACCAAGGCCGCCGCGAAGCTCGCGTACGGTGCGGACAGCGCACCGCTCAAGGCTGACTCGGTGCGTGTTCTCTGTGCTTGTCCCGCTTCCCACGGTATTTATCGTCTTTCGTAATGCGTGCAGGTTGCCGTCACCCAGTCCATTTCTGGCACGGGTGCTCTGCGGATCGGAGGGGCTTTCCTCGCTCGTTTCTATCCCCATGCTAAGACCATCTACCTTCCTTTCCCTTCATGGGGAAACCACATCGCCGTCTTCCGGGATTCTGGCCTTGAAGTTAAGACCTACCGCTACTTCGACAGAAAAACCGTCGGTCTGGACTTTGAAGGCATGAAGGAGGACTTGAAGGTGTGCTTTGGCGAAGTATGTTTGTTGTCCACGCTTGTTGATATTCGCGCGTTAGAATGCGCCAGCAAACTCCATAGTTCTCCTGCATGCGTGTGCGCACAACCCGACCGGCGTGGATCCCACGCCTGAACAATGGAAGGAGCTCTCGAACATTGTGAAAGAAAAGTCCCTCTTTCCCTTCTTCGACATGGCATACCAGGGCTTCGCCTCAGGTTCGACGACGCACGACGCGTTCGCCGTGCGGCACTTCGTCTCGGAGGGGCACCAGGTCGCGCTCTCGCAGTCATTCGCGAAAAACATGGGTTTGTACGGCGAGCGCGTCGGCGCATTCTCGCTCACGACCGCGGACGCGGAGGAGCGTGCACGCGTGGAGAGCCAATTGAAGATCGTCATCCGCCCGATGTACTCGAACCCGCCGCTCCATGGCGCGCGGATTGCGAGCACGATCTTGAACCAGGCCGAGCTGTATGGCGAGTGGGAGACGGAGGTGAAGAGCATGGCGGAGCGCATCATCAGCATGCGCCACAAGCTGTACGACAACCTCGTGAGCTTGAACACTCCAGGGGAATGGAGCCACATCAAGAGCCAGATTGGAATGTTCAGGTTCGTCGTTTGAGTCTCGCGTCTGGTCAGACGAAAACTGACGACGTGCTGCATAGTTTCACTGGCCTGACGACGCCGCAGACGAAGGAGCTCGCGGAGAAGGCACACATCTACATGACCGCGGATGGGCGTATCTCGATGGCGGGCCTGAACGGCCACAACGTCGACTACTTCTCGGAGAACGTCAGCAAGGCGGTCAAGGGCGAGCTCTGATCTCGCGTGCTCATAGACAGGGACTCAAAATAGACGGTGACTGAAATTAGACGTAATTCAACCTAGACGTGACTCAACCTAGACGGCGTGCATGCAAGATTCGGTGGGCCGGCGAGGCGTGGCTAAGTTAGACAAACGGACGGTCACTACGATGATATATGCCTGTCTTTTCTGGTCAGAATGGAGATCGTTACCCGGCTTACACTTTGGCTTTTCGCTGGCGAAGAATATTTCATGCCTCTAGATCTCGTGCTCTTCGTTTCTGCTGTGGCACATTGACGATACGCGCGACACCGACATCCCAAAAAGGAAGGTGTCAATCTTCAGAAGCGAGTAAGGCAGGCTATATACTTAGTCGCAGGTACGTCCCCCTCCCTCTCCAGCTCTCCATGTCCACCTCCTTCCGCTGGCGACGGTCGTCGACCCCGCTCTTCCCTGGGGCGTGGCCTAACACCTCGAGCTCTACGCAGGGCCAGGCGAGCATCTCTGACGCAGAGCTTGGCCAAGGCGGAGCGCCGTCGAGCCAAGGCAAAACACGAAACTCGGATCAGAGGGCGAGTGGGACGGAGAGGTCACTGTTCCCGACGAGACTGGAGAAGTTGCCGTTCGAGGACAGCCATGGCGTCGGCCTCGGTATAGGCAGCTCGTTGTCGGCAGATGCTGCGAGTGGGTACTTCGATGACCGTCCACTGTCGCCTGCCAGTCCTGAATTCGTGTCTGCCCATATGAGCGCGAGTCTCTCCCAGGACTCTTATTTAACTGTGAGCGTACACCTGCAGATCTCCCGTGAGTGCGCTGACGCATATACCCATATCTCTGTGGTGTGAAGGATACCGCTTCTGAGGGTGTCGTCACGCCAGAACTCGCCTACCCTCCTGATACGCCGTGGATCATGACTATAGATAATTCTAGCCACGACCGTGAACATTTCCGTCAACGTCGGGGTGGTTTCATGCCCATTGACGAAAAATGCAAAACCATGAACCCCAAGATTACCATAGGCCTCGCTGAGACGAATCCTTCCAAGGCTAATATACATAGTTCGAGCCGTTCTTCTTCTGTCTATTTAGATGCACCCCTTCTCCCCTTCACGCCCGGTCTCCCCCCACTTTCCTTGCAATCTTCCGAGCGTTCTCTGGGCTACGTAACGGCCCCGTTATGCCCTTCCGATACCCCGCCAATACCTCCCTCTCCAAGATCAATCTCGTCTTCTATACCCTCCTCCTTCGTCATACCTTCGCCTAATCCAGATACTGGCTATTTCGACTCTCAGCACGCGCCGGTGACAATCGCCACGGATTTCTATCCAGTTCCCGATGCAGAGCCTGATACAAAGGAGATTCATCGCACTCCGTCGTCCTCTTTCTCCTCGCATTCTCTCAACACAGACTCGCCCGTACTCCCCTCCCATAACAGCCCAGGGCTCCTTTCCATCCCAACACAGGCATTGTCGCCCACCTCCGCCGACCTCGATGCCTTCGCGCTCGCTGCTGCATCTGCTGCATCGGAGTCCTCGCTGTCCATTCCGACGTCCCTGCACACCGCTTCGATGTCTGTGTCCGCCTACGATACTTCCGCATGCGAGACTATGCGCGAGCGTTCGTACACTGTCCCGTCTGCGATCGCGAGCTCTGTCGTTGCAGAGGGCACGTGCGGGAGCCGGAGCACTGATGTAGTGCAGCACTGCGACTATGGGCAGACGTATCAATGCGGATTGGATTCGGACCCGGCGCAGCGGGCGCGGCGGCGCAGTGTGCCTATGCCCAGGGCATCTATGACGCGCTCCCTCAGGAGCCGTGTGGATGTGGGCAATCGCCAGGGCGCTCTGGGCAGAGAGCGGCCGAAGAAGCTGGTGATGTTGGGGAGGATGAGGAAGTTGGGCGGCAAGTTTTTGAATTTATTCAAGGCCGGGAAGAACGGTGGGGAGGCTGGAGACAGGCTGGGGGTACAGACTATGACCACGACGGCGGTTACGGCTGTTGAGTACCGATCGGTGAGTATTCTCGGTGGACTCTGAATTTGCATTCGCATGTAACACTTTTTTGAATGCAGGAACATCCTATCCCGAGCCCCAGAGTTCCTCGGCGTTTGCACGCTCCTCCCACTGTCACACCGCCCAATTCACCCCAGTCTGATCGGCGCCAGTCCTTCCATCCCTTGGACGATGCCAACAATCGGCCGCTAATTTCTCTTCCCAAGGCCCGTAATAGTATGGCTGTCAAGTCTCCACCAAGAGCCGCCATGCAAAGGTCCAAGGGTAATGAGCCTTTGACCCCAAGCCCACAAATACGCATCTCCCGTGCCCGTACGCAGACTGCACCCCCAGAATCCGCTCGTGCAGATGCCGGGCATGAGGCTAACTTGGATGTCCTCAGCATGCGCCGATTCTCCCTGTCTTCTGCGCTCTCAAAGCAGCGGCTCGATGCCCTGAGAGCAACGCTACTGCCACACCCGTCGCTCCCGGTCTTGCCTCCGCCGCTCCCCACGCGCGAGCATGATACTGCCGTCCCTCAGTCTCCTAGTAGCCCATCCGCCGCCGACCGCAAGTATGATTTTAGACGAAGTCGCGCCATGGAGCTTGCCCCTGCATTCGAGCAGATCCAACCGATAGCCGGTAGCAGCACGACACAGAACTTGATGCCTCCTCTATCTAACATAGCCAGACTTTCGAGGACCCCGCCTCCAAGCCCGATACATTTACATCCGTATCGCCTAAACGTGCCTCAGTCTCCGTCTCCGCTGAGTCCGCCTAACACTCCGAGACCAGTGGATATTCAGACACGGGGGAGGTCCCGCGGATTTTCGTTCTCTTCTGCCATATCGAAACGGGCGTTGCGCGCACGCAGCATGATGGTTGCTGTTGGACGGCGCGACAAGGAGGACGATACCCTTGAGCGCGGCTCGCCCGCCGAAGGAACTGCAGAGGGTCGCGGTCGCGACACAACAGCTACCACCGTCACCGACGGCGTGCAGTTCGACATGCTGACGCCGTCGTCCGTGTTTTCCGCACCTGCTCATCTCGTACCAGAAACCCCAGAACGTCGTGTCAATGATCAAGACGCCGGGAGCGAGCATGCCCCGACGGTCTCGGAGCTGGGCAGCATGAGCTTCGCGCACACCAGGGAAATTGCCGGGAGCAACTACAGCAGCAGTACGGACTTCGACCTGAGCGATATTGATTCTATGAACAGTTCGTTCGTGCGTGCCCGCTCCAAGACCTTTGGCGGTAGAGACGACGAGGTCAGCGACAGAAGAAACAGAGTCCTGCTCGGAGACGAGAATGAGGCGCCCCTCACAAGGAGGCTCCAGTTGAGCCAGAGCATGAGCTTCGCGGTCGGAACGTCGTTCGGTACCCAGCCGGATGAGCTGAACGAACTTGCAGTAGCGGAGCTGGAGGAGGAGCAGGGATTCATGCGCGCTCTGGGGTTGGAGTTTGACGCGATCGCGAGGAGGGCGGCGTGTGAGTGATCTGGAGAAAAATCGCAATTGAAGGGTGTTCGGTTAAGATCACTGCCACTCCGTGGATGATTGCCAGCGTAAAATAGTATGTTTCTTGGCATGTTTTCTGCCAGTAATTCTCTTCCATTCTCTCATTCACAGCATACGTTCATTACTGCATCGATTTTTGTAGCATCAAACTGTTGTCGAATTGTTGTATTCGTACGAGAGAAAGCCTACCTCACGGAAGGTGGGTTGGTCGCATTGTAGTTTCCCCTCTAATGACTTGAGCAGCCTTCCGGAGTGCCAGTGGATACAAGTTGCATTATATACTTTGGATACAGATTGCTGGGTGTAGGAAAGTTAGAAGGGACAAAAGAAGCTAAATGTCCAAGTCTTCGTCTGGATCATCGTCGTCGATGTCATCTGCGGAATCGGGATCGTAGAGGATGGCGCCTTGTGTCACGAGCATTGCTGTATGCTCCGAAGGCTTGCCTGACGTATGTTGTCAGATCTACTTGGTCGCAGAATTTGCTATAGCGCGATTTACCTTCGTGCGCATACGGGAGAGGCACCTGAGCGCGAGAGTGCTGCTGTTGGGGAGTCAAGTTCAAATTGAAAGATAGATTTTGGGTTGGGTCGGGTCCGCTCTGTCGCATCACAGGAATTAACATGGAAGCTCGTGACCAAGAGGAGACAGACGGAAACCTCTTCAGCAGCCTTGCGAGTCCACAGGGACTTTAGACTCTCCAAACCAGTAAGATCACACGATCTGCTATCCGCCCAGCCTTCCAGCACGCGTTCGACGCCTCTCCGTCGCCCCGAGCCGTCCGCGCCACGTACGAGCACCTCCACCACGAAGTCGCGGCCGCCACAGCCCTCGCCGTCCTGGCCAAATACCAGCTTCTCCGATTCGTAGTAGCGCTCGGCGATGGGGAGGAAGACACGCCAGAACTTTTCGGGTGGGGACGCGGGTGGCGGGGGGGTGAGGTACTCGGAGGCGATGTGCGTCAGGAGGACGGACGGGTGGGCGGTTATATGCGCGAGGGTTGGCGAGAATTTGGTTTGAGTAAGGATGGGGATGATTGGGCTTGGCCCGAGGACGTGTAAGACGAGACGGGACGGACCTGCAAGGGGCATTCGTTAACCTCAGGCGCGAGAATCAAGAGATACCAACTTACTACTTCGTGCACGTATCGTGGCGTAAATTTCCGAAAGGAAGAGGTGTGTCTTCGCGAGCGAACCGACGTCAGAGAGTAGGGTGTCGACCGAATCAATGATCACGCTCAACAACCCTTGCGGTGCTGGTCGATCTGTCAGTCCCACTCCAGGCGCGTTAACGTAGCCTGACACTCACCTGAGCGCAAAGCAGATAGAATCTCTGCTCTCGCTTCAAAAGTATCCTCACTGTATCCGGGGATGTGTTCCGTCCAGTCAAACACGCGTAATTGCTCGTGTGGTTGGTCTGCAAAGGCCAATGGTGGATAGAGAAAGCAAAACAGCAGTGTGGTCCCAGAACCTAACGCAGCTTGGTTGGTGATATAAGACAGCACGGGTAGACATGACTGGGCGATAGAGGACTGCAGAAGCACGAAAGGCTGGCGAGAGGAGCTGGACAGAGTGGAAGAGAGAAGCGGCATCTTTATGTACACGGACAGCCTGGTGCTCGCACGCCGTGGGTTTCCCGAGGTCAGTCAGGTTGTCCTCAACCCCGTGCTCCCCCGTGTCTCAACATGGTAGACCTGAACAATGTCAGTGCTTGTACACGAAAATCCGGTGCATATATGCGCTGATTGAGCTGCACAGTTTCCGTTGGCGGTCAGCCACTCGATGGAGGCGCTCCCGGCCTCCTCGAGGATAAGATCGATCTACCCGGAGGATATATTCCCCAATGGCAGCCCTGCATCCTGACCTCGTCTGGCTGTTGAATATTCATGTTTGAATCGTAGGCAGCTATGTCCAGCTTCCCTATGGGCGCGTCAGATTCTGGCTCTTGGGCCCCGATAACGGTCCTCGGGTGAGGGAATATCTGCTATGGTGCACACGAGTTGCAGTCCGACTAATGGGATGCTCGCATTCGATAGGTTGTCCTTATCCATGGCCTTTCTACGCCTGGTATCACTTGGTTGAAAGTCGCCCCGTATCTTGCGGAGCGTGGATTTAGAGTGCTGGTCTACGGTGGGACTATTCCCCGGAGGCAGAAACGTATCTCTCCTTCTGACTGGAGCGCTCGTCAGATCTGTACGGCAAAGGCTACTCTGAGGCACCAAAGACCCCATACCACGTCAACCTCTTCATCACCCAACTGGCCCTCTTGCTACAGTACATCGAGTGGGATCATGCCCATATCGCGGGGCTCTCCATGGTATGTAATATTTGTCGATTTGCGGACAAATAATTCTCATAAATTGTCATCTGTCCATTCAGGGTGGTGCCATCACGGCTGCATTCACCGCGACGCTGCCCCACCTCGTCTCAGGCAAAGTAATTCTGATAGCCTCTGGGGGCGTAAAGGATGTGAATCCGGACACTTCGCGATCACTCTACTGTTACTGATTTACTCACCGCTCAGAGGCCAGCCCAAATGCCTGAACCAGTCAGTTCTCGTTCACATGGTGTCCGTGATTCGTGTCGTAATTTGTTTCTGTAGTCGGCGGTGGATCCTATACCGCAATACACGGAGGTAAGCGTTGACCTCCAAATATTGTGCAGTTGCGAATGTAATGTTCTCGGTGTTTAGCTGCGGCTCCTTCAGACGGAGCATTTGCCTGGTTACAAGACCGGGGTAGCATCGTGTTTTATTGACGGTCCTATCTTCGGCATCCGCTGGGCCTTCGATAGGCTTGGCGATGTGCACGTCGCTTCCGGCAAGATTTTGCAGACACTGATTCTCCATGTAAGTACCTAGTCGAACTTCAGGTCAGTCTCTGAAGCACGATATGTTGCGCGCCATAGGGCACTGCGGACTCAGTCGTGGATTTTGGTCAAGCGCTTGAAATCAAGAGCCACATCCCTACCGCTAAGCTGATTGCCGTGGAGGGGGCAGGACACGATTTGACCCTGCGACATGAGCATTGGGAGCAAGTAGCGGAACATATGTATGAGTTCCTGAAGTGAACAAGAGGTCTACCGGGGACCTCAGTGAAGGTAGGGTGGAGCTGTACGATATACCTGAAGAAGTACAGTGATATGTATTCCACTCACACCGTATACCGATTGTATACCAGCATACGACTTTTTTTTGTCCAAGATGCACCAGAAAATCGTTTAAGTGAGAAAATGTTTAACCGTCATACACGCTCATGTATGGGACGACTGCCAACTCTTCCTCTTCAAGATCCGTGCGCTATTTTGCCACCTGAGGACCCCGTAAGTACCCAACTTCTTGTCCAACTGGAACCCATTATTCCGCAACGCCTTGCCAATATAACTATTCTGCGGCGAGTCGACAGCGATGATATTCTGGACAGTACTGTCTGAATTAAATGCGTGCGTTATTGCGTGCTCGAGCAGGTCGTTCTGTATTCCCGCGACGCGGTACGGTTCCTCGACATAGAAATGGCGGATGGTCGCTGAAGGCGACGTTCCTTTGGGCAACTCCAACTTGCCGGTCTTGACGTTTTTGGGCTGAGGAGGCGACGTGGGTCCGATAACTTCCTCGGACTCGGCGTCAAGTGACGCGTCAATAGCGATGAGGCCGACAAATTTCTCTCCATACTCTAGGAGCCAGAAGCCCGAAGACGGAGAGCGAGCATAATAGACCTCGATGTCGACAAGGTCCGGCCGCCGAAGCATTGCATTCGTGGGATCCTCAAACGACGGACGGTTAATCCTGTAAGGTCACGGTGGGCGATGAGGAGATGTGAGTGTGCATCTGCGGTGCTCACCAGTCGCAGATAACCATGAAGACGACAGCGACGCAGGCAAAGACGGGAAATGGTTGAAAATAGCCCAGGAGGCCGTAGTCTTCGACATTGGGCCACCAACCCAATGCTTCTACGGAAATGCAGGACAAGCCAATCCACACGGCCATGACCAGTGGGTTAAAGTAGACTGCATATAGCCGGTGAGATGGGTGCACAGCGGATAAACGCGAAGACGTCACCTTGCCGGTTCGCGACTGTGAGAGGTTCCATGCCGCCCTTCCCAAGCATGAAACGGACTAGTTTCCTATCCCTCAGCTCATAGGGACGAATCCTGGCGACAGGTTCAACCATCTTTGTAAAGTTAAAGGAGGGCTGAAGGAGCACAGTCAAGATCTAAAATGCACATTTTTATGATCGAGGACCGACGGCCCTGGCACGTAGTGGCACGTTCGCCGCGAACCACAACACGTGACCGACGCGCCGCGTTCTGCCGTCCAATCTCTCAGGCTCTTGCTCTCCTCGGCCAGAGGTAGCAGGGGCTCACTCAGACACAATGCTCATCACCAAGTCCTACCACGACGTCCCGTCCTCCCTGGATCCAAATGGGCGTCCCTTAAGAATTTTTGTGATTGCTCCCAGTGTGCCAGGTTATCCCCATGCAAAGTTCCCCGGTACGTAAACTCTCCGTATTGATTGCTCCTATCTATCGCGCTGTATATGACCTCGCATGGAATATTGTAGGCGTAGTATGCTTCAGGCATGTCACCTTCAGATAGCTCATCGAACCAATTTTTAAATGCTTGAACACAGTGAAATTTATCAAGTGACCGGCCCCGTAGAACGTTTTGCGGGCCAAATCGCGAGTCAAGGCTATGTCGTAGGTATGCACTATCGGGCGGGCAAATGTGTCGCAAGTTACAGAAATTCTCGGCGTAGCTTGTCCGTCAAGCTATCATGAGTTCGAGGGCCCCGATCCTATTCCCTACGACGTCGAAGGTAAGCTATATGCGCGGGTTTCGCTCCTGACGGTTGATGTTGTGTGTAGGAACCGACAGGGGAAACAAGTACAAGGCAAGCTAGTTGTACTGATCGATCTTTTACAGTATCATGATGTTCCCGTCAGATCGAGAAAGAATTGGCTGCCTACGACGAGGTGCGTTACCCAGTCAGTCGATGGAATCAGGGTGTCAATATCACGGATTTCCCTACAGGATGCGACAGTGTCCATCGACCTCTTGTGCTCACTGAAGACTTGCAACGGCCGGATTGCTGGTCTGTCTGCCCTCAATGCAATCAAGCGATAGGCTGACGAAGTGAACGCAGCTACCGGCATGTGCCTCGGAGGACATCTCGTACGTAGATAATCCACAGGACTCCGCTTATTCGAGCTGACGGGCATCTATCTGCAGGCATTCCGGGTGCGTTGACTCAGAGATTGAAGGGCAACTTCGGGGTTTGCTCATGAAGTGCTAGGCTGCATTCGACCCGCGCGTTCTCTCTTCTGTCTGCTTTTTCGCCACGGACGTACATTCGGCCAGTCTCGGTAAGGGGAAGAATGACGATTCTCTTATCCGTGTCCGCAACGGGGATCTGACCGGCAAGGGCGAGCTGGTGGTACGTACGGACCCATTCACCCTTCAAACGGGCGTTAACTAGACGATCTCAGATGATCTTCGGGAAGCAGGTGAGTATCCGCACCGAAGGGGGCCTCAAGGCCCCGCCCTGACGTCCGACGCAGGATACGCACGTCCCCCGTGCTGGTCGAGACTTGATCAGGAAGTCGCTGGAAGACGCCAACGTCCCGGTCTCGGTGCGTCCGATGGTGATCTGCTTCCTTCATGCGTTCACCGATTATCTTGCTGTCTGTTTGCAGTTCCTCGAGGTGCAAGCCCAGCATGCGTTCATCCGCGATGAGTCGTCCAAGGGCCGGTGGGACGCAGCGCTCACCCGATCACTCTTCACCTTCATGTTGGAAGTATTCGAGCGCACGGTCGGCAGAGATTTGGGACCCAAGGAGGGCGACGGAGGTCCCGTTGAGCACGTATGTTAGACGAGATGTTTGGGCGACGCAGGAAATTTCCACTACGTAGTGCACCCGTTGTGCGTTGCATTTCTATCTCTCAGGAGCTAGGTTACACGAAATCCAAAAGTGAATGCGCGATACGAACGATGCTACTTCTCATTCTCGACGACAACACCGCACATTGACAACATTAATGAACTACGACTACAGTCACCTGACATGACCATCGCCGGTGTCATCGTCATCGTGAATACAACAAAATGATGGAACAGTAACACAGTTTGCAGCAGTATAGAGATCGTGCAGGATGAGAGGACAGGAAAACATGAGAAGAACCGAGGAGAGAGAGAATAGTCTAGACAATCTACTTCTTCTTGCCCGCCTTCTCTGCAGACTTCGTCACTGGAGAAACAACGTTCAGAAACGCATACAACCAGAACACAACGTAAGTACTCACCCTTTCCACCCGACTTGTCGGTCTTGTCAACGGACTTGATGATACCAACAGCAACGGTCTGCCTCATGTCACGGACGGCGAAACGACCGAGAGGAGGGTACTCATTGTAGGACTCGACGCACATCGGCTTGCTTGGAACAAGCTTGGCGATGCAGGCATCACCAGACTTCACGAATTTGGGGCTCGCCTCGATGGACTTTCCCGTCCGGCGATCGATCTTCTCGATGAGCTCGGCAAACTTGCAGGCAATGTGGGCAGTGTGGCAATCCAAGACGGGCGCGTACCCAGCACCAATCTGACCTGGGTGGTTCAAGATGATGACCTGGGCGTTGAATGATGCAGCTTCCTTCGCGGGGTCGTTCTTAGAGTCAGAGGCGACGTTACCACGACGAATATCCTTGACCGAGACGTTCCTGCGTACCAGAGTCAATACACAATTAACGACAAATGAAAACAAGTACCCACTTCACGTTGAATCCGACGTTGTCACCAGGAACACCTTGCTCGAGCTGCTCGTGGTGCATCTCAACGGACTTCACTTCAGTAGTCACGTTGGTGGGAGCAAATGTAACGATCATGCCGGCCTTGATGATACCGGTCTCAACGCGACCGACGGGCACAGTCCCGATACCACCAATCTTGTAGACGTCCTGCAGGGGTAGACGAAGGGGCTTGTCGGATGGACGGACTGGGGGCTCGATGGCATCGATAGCATCGAGGAGGGTCTTGCCCTTGACAACACCGGCCTTGGTCTCCTTGGTCCAACCCTTGAACCATGTCATGCTGAAACGCGCACAGCCATAAGCTCTAGATCGTATCACATATCTCAATCAGAAACTCACTTGACAGACTCCTCCAACATGTTGTCACCGTGCCATCCTGAAATGGGTACAAACGCAACAGCCTTGGGGTTGTAGCCGACCTTCTTGATGAAGTTGGACGTCTCCTTCACGATTTCGTTGTAACGGTCCTCGCTCCACTGTACATGATATCAGCGAATGATGAACTGGTGTTTGAAACGTTAGATACAGACCTTAGCAGTGTCCATCTTGTTGATGGCAACGATAAGCTGCCGGACGCCGAGGGTGAACGCAAGCAGAGCGTGCTCGCGAGTTTGGCCGTCCTTGGAGATACCAGCCTCGAACTCTCCAACACCCGCGGCAATGACAAGAATTGCACAGTCAGCCTGCGAGGTGCCAGTAATCATGTTCTTGATAAAGTCACGGTGTCCAGGAGCATCGATGACCTGAAAATTTGTCGTCAAGAATGTGCAGCAACCTATGTACTCGGCGATAAAGCGTACGCACAGTGACCATAAATTTAGGGGTCTCGAACTTCCAGAGGGCGATATCGATGGTAATACCACGCTCCCGCTCCGCCTTGAGCTTGTCGAGTACCCAGGCTATGTGACAGGCTGAGACACAAGATCGACGAGGATCTGTGAACGATACTACTCACCATATTTGAAGGAACCCTTGCCGAGCTCAGCAGCCTCCTTCTCGAACTTCTCGATAGTACGCTTGTCGATACCACCGCACTTGTAGATCAGATGTCCAGTAGTGGTGGACTTGCCGGAATCGACGTGACCGATAACTGGGGAACAGAAGTTATCGACCGGATTGCAGCAGATCACCGACTATAGATACTCACCAACGACGTTAACGTGGGTCTTGTCCTTTCCCATTTTTTAAGAAGCCTGCACAGCAGGGTGTCAGCAGCTAGCAAGAAACCCGCGAGAGAGGGATCTCCTCCGTCTGCAGACCAGACGGCTTCACTCCCGGCGCGCTTGCTCGTTTTCAATCGCTGCGCCGCGAGACAAATCCATCTGACAGCTGCACAGCGGAGGAAACGATCGCAATGCGACGGAGAGAAAGGAAGAAAAACATACTCAAGGCGTAAAGAAAGTGGAAGAAATGGGAGGTCGATGGAGGGTAGAGGTAAGAGGAAAAGCTAGGTAGAGAGGTGTTTAGGTTTATGTACTTGCGCACGGGCTCGAAAATTTGCCATCGATGCTTGATCAGATGGATGACTCCTTCAGGTCCGGCCGGTGCCGCTCCGCTGCCCCGGCTCCCGGCCCCTCGCCGTCCCATTTACCTCCTTTTTTCTCACTTTGGCACCAATTTTCTGGGCTCGTATTCGCACGTTCAAATTGGTTTCTAGTCTGCTACAGCCTAATAATAATGACAAATTACGTGCAGTGGGGGGGAACGACAGTCGTAGTGAGACGTATGACAGAATGCGATAAGGCTGATGATAGATAGCAATGTAGCACAGAAGAACCCCAAGTGCAAAACACATAAGTAGAAGCAAGCACGAGGCGATGGACGATAGTGGAAGGCAAGTCCAGCGACCTAACAAAGGAGGGTCGAACCCCAAGCGCGAGGCCATCGATAACATACCTGCAGCGCGAAGGGGCATCACGATGTCAGTATTTCTGTCGCGTATGATTGCACGCACAGTACACGCAGACGATGAATCTCACCAGAATAATATCACTCTTCCAACCCCCAGCCCTCATGCCCGCACAAAAATCGACTCTGCAATATCGTTTGGAATGAAGGCCGTGCGCTGACATCCACTTGCAAGCAAGCCCGAACCAGCGCGGCGGCATCCCCCAGCGCCCCTCCGCCGTCCTTTTCTTCCCCTTCACGCTCCTTACCTTCCCCGCATCGTTCGTCGAGTGCTATTGCCGCATTGGCAAAAGGAGACTCCAGGCCTTCTTGAGCTTCTGCGGCCGTTGTGAACGGACATTCCCCGACGAGCATCACATAGGCTACCACTCCGAATGCCCAAACATCTTGCTCAGGGCCGCTGTAGCGCTCTCCCCGCAGAATCTCAGGTCCAGCGTAATCAAGGCTAAATAATACGTCAAACGTCGGAGAAGACCTCGAGCTGCATGACCACTTACGTTCCGCTGAAAGTATCCCATCCCCCCTTCTTCACGAGGCCGGAGCTTCCGAAGTCGATCAAAACACACCTGCCTGCAGGTCCAATAACAACATTCTCGTCTTTAATATCGCGATGTACTGATAAAGCAGATGAGCGTTGATCGGAAGGCAAGGATCATAGGCATACCAATTCCTTTCAAATGTAAAAAACACATCGCGTCTGCAATTTGACCAAGGTAGCTTCTAATACAACTCGGGGGCAAGCCGTGCGGGTAGCTTTCGACGAGATCGAACAAGTCCGAGGGCGGTGGTGGCTCGCCGTCCTTCGGCTCAGGGGTGGTCGAGGGTAGCACCAGATAATAATAGTGGTTGTCCTCGAAGAAATCGAGAAGAGGGCAGATGTTCGGATGTCCGCTCACGACCTTGCCTTCCACCCAGGAATCATCGGGCTCTGGCAATAATCGTGATGGATCCCAGGGCCGACGAGGAGGTAAGACATATTGGGTGGAAGAGATAGCAGACATGACGTAGATCTCAATTGGTATCGTGCCGTACTTCGGATGTCGTTTCCAGCAATCCGCCAATATGCGCGACTTGATGATCTGCTTAATCACCAATGGAGGCTGCTCTCAGAGAATGCAATAAATACGAGGCTACGGAAGAGAGAAAATAAGGTCGCACCCCTAATGTCCCATCGTCCTGCATCTCTCTTGCTCTCTTCACAAGACCATACGCACCTCTACCAATCTCCTTCTCAACCACAAACTCGGAGATGCTACGCTCGCTAAGCTGTTCTACAGCTTCTGAGCTAGGCGTTGGAGGACCGGTGCTCGAGGCTACGCTCAGAAAACTGCGCGAGCTATTTGTGCGCACAAGTTTCTGTGGAGCGTTAGGCGGGGGTGATGGTGGCTCGACCTGTACAATCGAGACACGACCGGCAATAAGAGACACACGCTGCTGAGAAGAGCGGCGACGAGAGGGAGTGGATAACCGTGGTGATGACGGAGATCGTGACAGAGTCGTGGGAATGGATGAATCTGCGAGTTCGGCTGGGGACATTGGTTGAGGAGATGATGTTATGGGAGGTGAGGCTGGGCGAGATGACATGGGTGAATGTGTTAGAGGCCCAGAAATAAAGCTGCCGAAGATGGGAGAGCGATTTGATTTGGGAACGGCGGGTGGCGGTGTGGTAGCCTTAGGTTTTGCAACTGCGACAGTACTCAGTCGAGTGGGACGAGCACGCAGAAATGGGGGAGTGTCTTTGCTGAGGATCTGGGGCTCAGCTGATAACTGCAATCCCTGGTGTCGCGCAGGCGATTGTAGCTCCTCGTCCTTCTTTTTCCAGTCGAAACCGCGACCAAATGACGTGACGCCCCAACTGTTGCCCACACTGGCTGCTCGATATAGTCTGTCGGTTGGTGGAGGAGCGACCCAATCGTCGTCGTCAAAAGGGAGATCGACAGTGTGGGCAGCGAGCATGCTGGGTTGGAGAAGAGATCCCTGTGCGAGGGAAGGACGAGTTCGCCGAGATGATGATGGTGGAGCAGAACTGGAACGGCCGGAGCGGAAAGACTTTGAGGGATTGGTAGTAATGGTACACGTGCGCAGTGGCCCGCCGCGGGCCCGCCGCTTGCCCGCCGCCACCCACACATATTCCTCGTCGTCGCTCGACTCGTTGTCGTAGCCCATTCTGGAGTTTTCACGACGGCGGAAGGCGCAACCCGACCTTGATAATGATATGTGCAGGCAGCGACGATGCTCTTCTCTAGCAGTTCGCCGCCTTATCAGCTACATGTGATCCGCTCCCTTTCTGGACAGCAGATCTCGCTTTTTGAGTGCCTCGTCAATCTACGAGATAAAACTCGATCTTTCACCTCCGTCCGTTTAATGACCTCTGATTTCACAATGCTGACTCTTCGAGCCTTCCGCCACCCTCTACCTCTGCGGAGCTTTAGGCAGCCTTGTACTTTATATCATCTTCTCTTATCTAATATGCAATCGCACAATTTTTTCCTGCCCTCACTGTAATTCTTTGCAGTAAGTATCTTCCAGCCCGCGGTCTGAAACCACATTCCGGGAAAGTTGTGGATTTAGACACAGGCGGCAACGCTATGTGTTGGTCATGTGATCTCGGCATACTGCGAAAGACGCGGTTTCGCTCGGCTAGCGACACCCAAAGTCTGTTGATACCTTCAAACCCTTCAAGACAGTGAGTAACGTCCGTCATACTGTTCGTTTGAGGAGGTAGATTTGCAGGGATGGCATATTGTGAATTTGAATGGTGAAGATCGGGCGAAAAATGGTGGATTGGCGAGACTCGTCTTGGATGTATCGGAGCTGTGATACGGCAGTCGACATTCCGCTTTTACTTGCAAGATGCATCTCCCAGTGACTAACTCCTTAACACTAGGCCGCCATGGTCAAGGTTCCCATTGTCAAGAAGCGCACCAAGCCATTTAAGTGGGTTTTCTTTTGTGTGACAGACGTTTATTCAATACTAATGCATTGTACAGGCGCCACCAGTCCGACCGTTACCACGGCGTGAAGGAAGCATGGCGGAAACCGAAGGGTATCGATAACAGGGTGCGGCGGCGCTTCAAGGGGCAGCTTCCCATGCCGAAGGTGTGTATGCAGTAGAACCTTGTTTTCGTCTCATTCATCGCATGTCTGCCAGATTGGTTATGGAAGCAACAAGAAGGTGAGAGCACAGACCAGTGTTTGATGGTATTTGCGTATTGAAGAGTTGCATGACAGACTCGCCATCTCCTCCCCAATGGCTTGAAGAAGTTCCTTGTCAGCAACGTGCGGGAAGTCGACATTCTCTTGATGCACAACAAAAGTTTTGCTGCTGAGATTGCGCACAACGTCAGCAGCCGCAATCGCACGCTGATTCTTGAGAGGTATGTCGGGTATGTGTTCCATCGCGAAATTCGTCTGACAGCTTTATCTTTCAGGGCGAAGGTATTGGGTGTGAAGGTCACCAACGCGGCTGCTCGCCTACGTTCAGAGGAGTAAAGTGGTCGTTACTCTCACTGTTGTCTCTGTTCTACTCTTCATATCTCGCCATGTATTCCCTCGTCTATGCTGGAAATAAGCAACATGCGACCATGTCTCAGGCCAGTATCCTGTGCGGAGTTGTATCGATACAGAATTGCATAGCTTCACCAATCTGCGAAATCTGAGTGTCCAAGCTGTGAACCCAGCAGCTTGTTACGGGATTGAATATTTGAGCTCTTGATGAACGTTGATCGGACTCGGTCCTGTAGACTCTACGTAGTCTCGACTCATTCTTCTGGGTACACGTGATCGTCTCTTAAAACCGTCGACCTTGGTGGATAAGTTCGTATCAACTTCCATCCATGGCGATCAGGTATGTAGCTCAGTGGTATATTACTCAGATCAATGCTGATACGCCTTAGACGAGCTATACATGCTGATTCTTGGTACAGCGGCGACGGTAAGTGCTTCCATTTCTATATATCTTCTACGCTTGATACTGAGGTCCTGCAGAGCGCAAGCTCAATTCTGAGCTCTCTTCCTATCTGGATGCCGTGAAGCCTACTGAGAGAGAAAACTATGTACCTCCAGTCAAGGGTTGTAAAGCTGTTATTGCCCCGTTCGATCCCTTTTGTTCTTCCGCTCAACAAGGGCTCACGCGGTTTATCAGACACGCAGGATATGCTTATTCCGGTCCTCCTGCTGCATGGGCCTACAAAAGCATCGATACATCGGGGATGTGTGTCTCATGCTATGCATTGTAGCTTCGGGGTGTTGACCAAGTCATTAAGCAAGCGAGTGTTCGTTCTGGGACCTTCACACCACGTTTTTCTGGACGGCTGTGCGTTGTCGAGATGCAACGAGTACGATACACCGTTAGGAAAGCTTCCTTTGGACCTTGAGGGTAAGTTTACGTTTTCACTTCGTTGACGAGGAATGCGACTACTCTACCTTTGTAGCTATCCAGGAGCTGCGGAACACGGGAAATTTCAGTGACATGGACATTCAAACCGATGAGGATGAGCACAGCATCGAGATGCACCTTCCGTATGTTCGGAAGATCTTTGAAGGGTAACTGCGTACGCTGTCAGGCTGAGAGGACCCTACCTCATTACTGCCTACCTTGTCAGTGTGGAGATCAGTATCGTTCCCATCCTTGTCGGCGCAATCAGCCAGGAGAAGGAGGCTACGTTTGGTCGTATACTAGCACCTTATTTATCCCGAGATGACACGTTTTGCGTGATCTCCACCGATTTTTGTCACTGGTGCGTGCTGCGCTTCGTTTGTGACGCTAACAACCTTCCTAACGGGATGCACCAGGGGCACGCGCTTTCAGTATACTTTCTACTATACAGAACCCCCTCCGAGCTCAATTCCTCCCATCCGACTTTCTCGTTCAGACGGGTCACCACCCTCCCTCACCACGCATCCAATCCATCAATCAATCTCGGCCCTGGACCACGAAGCTATGGAACTTCTGACGATACCACCTTTCACTGCGGCTTCGGCACATCACGAGTTCTCTGACTACCTGGCTCGGACGAAGAACACGATATGTGGGCGACACCCCATCGGCGTCTTGCTGGGTGCGCTCACGGAGTTGGAGCGGGAGGGAAGGTGCCCAAAGCTCCAATGGGTTAGATATGAGCAGAGTAGTAAGTGTCTCACCGTCAAGGACTCGAGCGTGAGCTATGCAAGTGCGTTCGTATCGTTCTGAGAGTGCTTAAGCATACCGTAATTCACGCAGTAGACCACTTGTACTATTAGTGATATTGAATCTGAACGCTCATCAATGTACTTCTATTAACTGGTTGTATCACTATCGATCACATCCGTGCGGTACGACTCGTCAATTGCAATCCTACCGGCTCGTCCGATTCGTGCTCTGAACCTGGTTGGCCGGGATCATCTACAACCTTAGCAACGAGTCAGCCTCGGGACCACAGTAGGTAACATGGGTAGAATGCTGACCCTTCCATTCGCGATTAGGATGTCTTCAAAACCCCACTCTCTCGAAGCACCATCTTTCAGATGGCCCCCATCCGCCAAACGCTGTGGGTTCCAATGACCGACGATCTTGGTATCGTCCGGCCGATCCAGTACCGACAATGTACAGCAGCCCACCCTCAGTGGTAAGTCCCTTTTGCCCACGAGCTCTCTCGAGAGTGCGATGATGGTGGCAGCATGGCTCACAAGCAGTATCCGTTTGTGCTTGTCGGAGAATCTGCGCTCGACCTCGGGAATGAGCGCGCAAAGCAGACCGTTGACGCGATCGTGACACTGTTCGACGTCCTCGCCTCTGCGGGAGGGATACCAAATTGACGACCACGAGTCATCGATGTGGGGAAAGTAAGAGCGGAGGGAGGACGCGGATGTAGGACGCGGATGGAGGCCTGTCCCCGGCGCAACTGGAGAATACCATTCTGATAGACCTGGTGCAAAACAGTCAGTAGCGAAGCTTGGTGAAGTTTCTGTAGTTGCCCCACCGTGTTCGACATAGATTGGTATTCCAAGAGCAATCGAGGTGGGCTGGGAAGTTTGTAGACACCGATCTACAAGGGCCCTAATATTTATGTGCGCACTTTTGAGCCGGCCAGTTCAATACTTACAGTAGGGCGACGAAAATATAGCAGTCGGACGCTCCTCAGCGGGAAGGGAAAGGAAATAGTCGGCCAGCTCTTGGGCTTGTGTCAGGCCGAAGGCAGCTAGAGGTGGATCGCGAGGAAGGCCTGCATCACGGTTGAGATGTTCTCAACCCCCGAGGTCCTTGCGAATGTCCCGACACAAGCAGACGCACCTGTCTCGGACTTCCTGGGTGACAATCATGACGTGAATGTCAGAGTGTATAATAATTTTCCGTGAGGAGAGATCGCATGCACCAATTACTTGTTACCCAGTTCAACCGGTATCCTGTCAGTGGACAACTCTGAGCAAAGTGCTGGGCTGGGTGATGGTGAGCTTGTGCGTACCGTGTCTGGCGATATAGATTGTCTCAATCATGCTCGCCATTGGCTATGTTATGGCCAGTGGCTCGGAGCGAGCCTCTGCCTTTCTCACGCAAGGGACGACAAGACACCTGCGCGACGGTGCTGCAAAACGAAGTCAAACTTGGAGTGAAGCGCCGGGACGTTTGGGCATCCTCACACAATGGATACAACAAAATAGTTATATGGAGCCACAAAACATAAGGTAACATATCATAACCTTCATATGTGCAATGGAGATATCTGTTAGTCGACCGGAATCATATCAAAGGATGCGAGTACGGATAAGAATGAACAAAAGACGAGCAGGGAGGACACGCGATGACTTGTCAGAGAGGAGACGGGGATATGTATGCAATGAATGGCGGGACGGTAGAGAGGGCCACAAGGTGAATCGGGACGCAGGACCACCTGACACTTGTGCTGAACGAATTTTCATTCAAATTTTCCACTAACCCTGGGACGAATGCCGCCCATCGACGCTTGCGTTATGTTTAAGCCAGCGAAGGGAAAGCAGTTTGATCATCAACATCGAGGGCGGGAGCAGCAGCACCACCCCCGTTAGCTCTGCCTCTGCCTCCGCCTCCGCGGCCGCGGCCGCGCCCACGACCCTCACCTCTGTCGCCGCCACGACCGCGACCACCGCGTTGAGGGCGTTCAAACCGAGCGTCAATCTCTAGGAAAACCTTCTCCTCCTTCTTGGGACGAGCCTTCGGAGCAGCCGTCTTGGACTGCAGTAAAGCATCAGCACACAAAATCACGAATGTAACAACACACATAACGCACCTTGCCCACAAAGTAGGCCTTTTCCTCTACGTCCTTCTTGCTCATGACAACAGCATCCTTCCAGATCGAATCGTCACCTTCGTTGGCCTTCCTGACCTCCAACTTCGGCACGATCTCGAGCTCCTTCTGCTGCTTGAGGTATTGATCAAACGTGAGTGTGTTGTCCTCCTCTTCGACCTCTCGGTCACGAGGCCTCCGCCCCTCGCGTTCCCCAGCCTTCTCACCCTCAGGCGCGGCGGCTTGATCACCGGCGGGAGGAGAGGTTCCCCAATCATCGGCGGCAGTGGTTGCAGGGGCAGCCCAGTCATCGCTAGTCGTGGTGGCGCCGAGCGCCTCGGTAACAGCGTCGGCGACAGCGGCGTCCTCGGCCTTGAGCTCGGAACTGCCCTCGTCGCCTCCCCAGCCCTGGTGGACTTTCTTCTCCGAGTCGCTTTAATTTATGATAAGTCCCACGGATATGCATCCCCAGAGAGACGACATACACTTTGCCGGTCTGGCTGTGCCTGTCAAAGGGACGTCCACGTCCTCCGCGAGATCCACGGTCACCGCCACGGTCACCACCACGGCCTCTGCCGCGACCACGTCCACGACCTTCACCGTCGACTAAACGATTGAAATTCAAGATGTATCCGAGCGGCGACAATATGAAAAACGCACATCTCCTCTTCGGAGCCTCGCCGGCTGCGGTATCCTCCGCAGAGTCCTGGTTCTCCTTCTCACCGGAAGGAGCGGATTTGCCTCCTCGTTGGTAGTACCTCCCACCTCGCGAAGCTGGGCCGCCGCGGCCTCTCTGGGTGCCGCGCGTCGGAGCCGGGGAAGCAGATGCATCTGCTGTAGCGGGGGCGGGAGCCGGAGTGGACGGCTGTGAGGCGTCCTCGTCTGTTCACCATGCATTTCACGGACACAACAGAGTTTGAGAGTTAAGGTCGAAAAGGATCAGATCAACAAAGGCAAATGGAGTGGGATCGTCAGTGAACACGGACCTTCGAGGATGGCAAAGGGATTTTTGCTGGCCACCGACATGTCTGACGGGGCCCTTTTAGGAGTCAATCAGCGGATTAGATGCCTGTACGGCGAGCGGATTGTCGACGATCTGCAGGCTGAGAGAGGGGCGCACAGGCGCACGAGCAGTCTCGGTGGACTCCGCAACCGCGCCCCGGGGTCCTGCCTCAGCCACTGTATAGTTTATCCTCTGGATATAAGCCTCTCCCATCAGCGTTTCTCTCAACGCAAAAACACAGGTGCGCTGCCATGTCTGTTCGCTGGCACGCATAATGCTGACCATTCTCTGCAGCCTTGAAAAGCATCTCGACGATGACTCGCCCGCCGTAAGGACTGGTGTGGGTCGAGGACCTTGAGACCGTCATAATGGGCTGGAGAAGGAGAAGACCGCAAGGTTGCGAACGATGGGACTTGGGTGCGGCGTGCTCGTGCTTGGTTGATGGACATGCTGTCCAGCAGCTGGCTCTTCGTGGCCGCTGTGTGGGTTGCGTCGCAATGTCTCGTTGTACAATTGATGGTGTCAATGTTATTTTACAATTGATGGTGTCATTAATTTTATTTTCTCTTGCATGGTGTCTACCTTGTGTGTGAGCCGAGATTGTGATCTACCGATTGTGTGTCGATAGCGAGCGTGAGCGTCGACGCTGGCCGAGACGTTGGTGGGAACGACCGGGCCCGAGGACGATGATCATGGGTGGGGACGGCTCGTGACCTCCGAAAGTACCGCGGCGCTGAGCGAGCTGAGCAAGGCTATCCCTGCTTTGACGCTGCCCGCGCCGCTGTCCTCCTTCCGTCTGCCACCTGCCCGTGCTCGCCGTCGACTTCCCATGGCTGCTCGCCGGCTCGCCATCTCCTCCTTGTTGTGCCCCGATGACTCGCCACCACCCTCGGCCTCCATTCCCTCTCGACCATCTCCCAGCCCTGTTCAGTCGCGCCCCATCCTCGAATCGCGCTCGTCAGGAGTGCGCGCGCATGACAGGCCTCTCTCGAACATTGAGCATGTAAGTAACTTGCCTGCTGCTGGCTCTAGCCGCGACATCGTGCCCTTGTCGTTGCAGCCCGTCCATCTCTGGAGACACACCCCGTCCCCGCATTCAGAAGACGATTCGCCACCCCCTACAACGCAATCGTGGTCCGCATACAGACACCGCTCCCCAGATCGTGTCGCAGGCTACGCAGACACCCGACCAGCCTTCTCCGTCCATGGTTTCGACTTCACTGATCATGCCGGCCGTCGCCCGCCACTCCAGGCTGAATCATCACATCCTCAGCCTTCGCTTAGGGTTTCCGATCCCTACCATCAACATTCCTACTCGCCACCGAGTACGTCCTACTCTACGAGGCCTTCTTCATCACGCAGTGAGCACTCCGACTCCCCGTCGACGTCACAGCCCTACGCCATCCAGCCCCCACCTCATTCGCCCTCGCAGTCACCGGCCTCCATCTACAACTTACTTCTGCATCGGCAGGCTTCAGAATCACCAGTCTTGTCTAGCCGCCACGCATCTGCGTCTCCCATCAACTACTATAATCCCGTGACGCAGCCAGAATCATCGTATCGCACTCCTCAACTGTCCTACCATCAAGTGGCCCAAGCAACCGTCCAAGGCCGCGTTCTGTCTGGGCCTGCGAGTCCACCTCTACCATTTTCCACCAGTCATCAACTCGCCCAGCGGGTGCCTCAGCCGCGCCCCTTTCCTCCGCCACATTCTGCGCTGGCGTTATCGGACCCCGTCCCTACAGTTAGGAATACGTCGGCTGCCGCGTTGCCCAACATCCTGAATTCCTATTCACCCCCGCAACGCTCGAGCGGTCTCGGCGGCCTGGAGGCGCTCGTGCAAGCTGCAACGGAGGAGCGGAGGAGGCTGAGCGGGGAGATATCGAGTTCAGAGGCGGTGAGGAGGAATGACAGCCCTCGAACGAGTTTGAGCCCTGTCATGGGGCGCGCAAGTGCACAACCAGAGGCGGCGCAGCAGCGACAGCTTCAACAGCCAACGCCAAGTCCACAAGTTTCTCATCCTGCTTTGGGCCTTGACATTCCCGCCCTTGTTTCTCACAGGGATGGTGAACCGCCCCTGAAGAGGCGTCGAGGCTCTGGTGTCGCCCCGTTCGACGTACCTGTGATGGCGGAGTCACATCATCACTCATCACTGACCGGTGCTTCCTCGGTGTCCCCCTTGGAAGTTAGATCACCATCCGGTTTTCAATTTAGGTCGGAGGTTGTTCAAGCACCTGCTCCTGCCAATATTGTCGGATTAGGTGAAGGAACTCAGAGATCGCCCTTATTCGGTCCGGGAGGAGACGGTGGAGGTGCGGCTGGCAGCACCGAAAGCGCGTTATCTAGTTACCAGGCACCCACAGCTGCAACCCCACCCGCGCCGAGCCTGCAGCCCGAGGATAGCGGTCCGCAGCACAGTGAAGAAGTATTCGCGGGACCGGGAGGACAGCCGGAAAAGAAAGAACAGAAGAGGCGCGAGAGACCTGCGCACAAGAAGGAGAAGGGGGAAAAGGCAAAGGGCGGGGAGAAGGGGAAGGCGATTCCTCGGGATGAACATGGAAGGCGCGAGGCCAAGCTTCAGCATTCACAGAGGATTGAGACGCGGGAGGAGGATCCGCACGAGTGGTTACTCGAGCATTACGCTGCAGCGTCGCCTCCGAGAAGGACGCGGGCGTTGTCTCCCGTCGAGGACAAGAAACAACCCCCTTCCTATTCCTTCCCGTCGCATGCACGCGATTCCAAGGAAGGTGCGTCACCAACCGAAGACCCGTTGCCTCACACTGGCCGTGCCGACTCGAAGAAACATAAGTATGCACGAAGTCGCACCCGCACGCCGACTCCGCTAGCAATGCTCGAGCAAGAGCTTGACGCCCCTAATGAGGTAGCACCCTTCTCGTCGGCAAAGGCTGAGGGAAGCGAGACTAGCCTCAGCTTAGAGCTTGATCTCGCTGCCGACGCAGTGCCAGACGACAAATCAGCCGGTCGCGATGACTTCATGGATCTCGACGTCGAGGACGAACTCTTAAGTCTTTTGGACGACAAGCCGCGACCTTCACACTCCCGCCCGAAACATGTTCCGTCGGCTCACTCAAAGCACACCCACTCCAGCAAGCGAACATCCGATGCCAGACATGCTCACTTAACACCTGATGTCCAACGTGAGTCAATGCCGCCTCCGGCACTGACCAACGTGGGCACTTCCAGGGAAGTTGCGCTGACGGGTCCTGCAAAGACGAAAGGCTCTGGGGTCGTCAGTGTGGCTTCTCATCACAAGAAGAAGGACATTAGTGAGAAGGTGAGGATACATGCGCGCTGACTCGTTGACTTGCTAACGTCAAGTTGCAGCCTATGCCGAAGCCGAAGCAGCCTCCCAAGACGAAGCCCAAGCCTGCGGCGAAACCTAAAGTCAAGGCTACCGGTAGTAAGGACGGCGCTACCTCTGCCCTCAGTCCTGCGTCCGCTTCACTCACGCCTGCGATTCCTGCCCCTATGACCAAAGGCAAGAAGACCGCCCCTCCTCCCGGACTTGGCTCGTCAGCACCCAAGCGGTCTGTCTCTGCTGCTGCAGGAACGTCTCGTTCGCGGTCCACATCTGCTATGCCCGGTGGCTCGGTGGGGCCTGAAGGCAAGGGGCAAGTTGATGGCGAGGATGGTGCTGACACGGACGATAAACTCTACTGCGTGTGCAAGACAAGCTATGACGAGGACCGAGTGATGATCGCGTGTGATCGGTGAGCAATTAACGGCGCATATACAGTACCGTTTGGTCTTATACTGACGGCTTCTCTGTGATCCCTTGTAGGTGCGATGAGTGGTATCATACGCAATGCGTGAACATGCCGGATGTCGAAGTAGACCTTGTCGACCAGTTTATATGTCCGCCGTGCATCGAGAGTGCGTATTGTCGTCGTTCTGCTCGCTGTGCTAGGCTGACGATCGACGCGTGCCCCAGGCAACCCACATCTCTCCCTCCGAACTACATACAAACGCCGATGCCTATACGGCCTCAAGCACCCCAACCCGTCCTCACCAAGTGCTTGTCACAAACCCGCTCGCGGTGCGTTCTCGAAGTATTGCTCGGACGAGTGCGGCATGCTATATATGCAGTCTCGCATTGACGCCTGGGGCGGTGACAAGAGGCGTCTTTGGGAGAGTGTCAAGAGCGCTGACAAGCGCGAGGGTGTCGCGGTCTGCGTCAAAGAGGTGAAGGACGTGCAGGAAACGGCGGACGCCGCCAAGCTCAACGGAAATCATCCTATGCCCGCTGAGCGATTGTCAGACCTTCCTGTTGAAGTCGTGATGCCAACGAAGACGAAAGTCGAGCGGGACATGGCACACCTGCACGTCCAACTGGAGAGGGTTGCTCAGAGGCGTGACGAGCTCAAGAAACAGATGGAAGTGGTCGTATGGCGGGAGAAGCTCGTGGAGTACGCGACCGCTCGCGCGGAGACACTCGACGAGTGCGGATGGGACCAGCGACTGTGCTTCGGCGACGAGGAATATGCCGAGTTCGGCGCTGGCGTTTTGGAGAGCTACGAGGAGTTGGATCAGCAGGGGGCTGAGGTGGAGGGTGAGCACATGCAGGTTGATGGTGCTCCTGAAGAGGGCGAGTGGTGGTGCAAGGGGAAGAAGAAGTGCGACCGTCATGCGGGGTATGTCCGCTCACTGTCCTCACGTAGTCAATTGCATGTTTACTTTCCTCTTCATTTTGCAGATGGCAGAAGCTACGTTTAGCCGAAGTTAGCTTCGAGAAGGAGACGATGGAGACTGCCCTGCTGCAGCTCACCACCGGTGAACGAGAGATCCGAAGACAAATTGAAGACGTTATCGACCCTAAAGCCCGCACCTCTTCCATGGGCACAGGTTCACCCTTGCAGCCATTGAATGGAAAAGCCTCCTCCAATAATTTGTCTCACTCAAAATCAAACGGTGACCAGGTCAAGAAGGGAAAGAAACGGAAGAACTAGATCGATGACACTGTATCCTTATTGGTTCCTCTTGTTCGATTCTTGTGACGTCTCTTCGATGCTTTGCATTTTGCTGTCGATTATATCATTACGTGCACAGGAGATAATGAGACATCCTCGCGAGATATCAGAGACAACTGGGAGACAGCAATGAGATAAATACAGGTAGTGACGACTCCTATGGCGTAATGAATCTGCCTGTGCTGGAGTTCGTCTATCGAATAAACCCAACGACAAGTACATTAGTATCCGTCCCCTTCGCCGCCTTCCTTGCAGAATCCTTTCTGCTCGAACAGAACCTGTGTCTTGACGTCTTCGTGATGTTTCTTGTTGAGGATATCCTGCTTGTGATATGGCTCCAGATCACTCCATTCTACCTGTCTGAGCGGGACGTCGTCCTCTTGGTCCAGGTCCTGCATATGGTCAGAAGGAGGATGAAAGCAGCCCTAACAATGGACGGAAAGTACATACTACTTCGCCCAGCAGGACAACGTTTTCACCGCGGATGAGAAACAGCCCCCGCCACATTTCTGCAAACACATCACGATGATATATTCGCTCGACCGTATCCTCCAGAACTAAATTAGCTGGGAAGCGGTTTAGTTCACTTCGGTGGGATTCCGAAGTGTTGAACTCGCGCACCAAATTGATCGTACGATCTCAAGACCCCCTGCAACTTCCTGCCGTCTCGAAGGACCACCAGCATCTTCCCTGGTTGGAGCGAGACGCGAGGAGCGATGGATACATGAGCGGACCGAAGGAATAGGATTATGGGCTCAGGTTGGGTGGGTGTTCCTTGAGTTGACTCTGGATAGACGTACTGTCGACGCAATCCACAAGCGACCCCGAGGTTGTGAATGGGATCAGCGAGTCCATGCTGTTGTCGAAGCTGCCTGCGCAGCGTATCTTTGCTTGAACAAAACTCCTCCTGTCAAAACCGGCGATGAGTCCCGGTGTTTCAGGAGTACGTCAGTTTGTCAAGTGTTATAACTTTCGTCAGGAGTGCGACGCTGATATGGCCGAGTCGTTAAGGCGAGTGATTTGAATTTCTCATTATCACTTGGGCATTGCCCGCGTAGGTTCAAATCCTGCTGTCAGCGTTAGTAATTCGTCCTCTAAGTTTTGCATCGAACTACAGAGTACAGTACCTTAGGAAGCTTTGTGAAGATGTGTCATGATTTTATTGCCCGCGCCTTCTAGTAATGGATATCTCATGGCGACACGGGAAGCTTTGATGTCTGAGGTCACCGTCGCGAAACCCAGGTTGATTTAGTATGTTATGGAATTTTGAATATCCTGAGTCACGAAGATTGAAGCAGCTAAAGCGTCTATACTCTGGGGAGACTAATGGAATTGCAGGGGGATTGGAATCTGGCAAGCCGTGCAGGTTTGCGAGGGTGTATAAGAGTTCGCTACACTTGGGATGAATGCACATTAAATACAACGGTAACTGAGCAACCTGTTTCGAAAGGAGATATCCAACGACAATGAAATGGACCTAAGGTAGCTGGAGTGCAGATGGCTGGTTTAGGTCGAGGCGTCAATACTCCCGTCTCCACACACAGCCAAGTCATTACGACGACGAAGGTGTCCCGAAGTACTGCCACTGTCCCGCCTCAGGCTTCTCCTCCAAGGGTTGCCACCTAGGGACGACTTTCAGCAGAAGCCCAAAGCTGAACCGAGGGAAACGTACGCCTTCCATTCGATCATCTTCGAGACCAAGCTCAGCTCGTCCTGGGCAATATTCAACGACACCTCAATCTGGCCCTCGTCGAGCTGCTTCTCCACCTCTGCTATGTTTCCATTCGCACCCTGCACGATCTTCAGCTTTCGCTCGGTAAGCGCCTCCACGCCTTGGCGGTAGACTGAAGTCTCCGGAATAGCGGAGAGCTCAGAGAGTGTTGATTGATAGAGTCTCGTCAGCTCTGGAAGGGGATCGTGGTGTACGTGTAGGCCCGCGATGCCTGTAGTCGTCTTGAGAACTTGGTTGAGTAGAGGACGCGTAAGACGGAACATGGTGTTGTTGGTGCGTATGTAAGTCAGACGCCTGGCACTCGTCGCACTGTGACTTGCGATAGGATGAGTATGCAAAAGGCAATCGGCTTCGCCGGGGCGCCCGCCCGAGAGCGAACCGTCACTGCACGCTTCACGATTCACGATACCGTGACAGCCTCGCTGCTCTCGTCCTTCCACTACCATGGCGGCCATTGCTCTACGGCAGACGCAGTTCCTTCTGCCGGCCTTCAGATTACCCGCATGGCGACCACTCTTTTCGGCGGCACTCATTCCAGCGTTTCTTACAACACCTCGTCCGTTCAGCTGGGTAACACCGACACTACAGTCCCTTCTCGAACTTTTACCTCCGTTCCTACTCGCGGTACCCAAAAAGAAGACCTCGCACTCTCGGAAAGCTATGCGCAGTGCAAACAAGGGTCTGAAAGATAAACGAAGTGCGTGTCTAAGCGTTCGCTCTGGATACGCAACGTTGTTTACATTTCTGCTTCACATCGTAGACCTAGTGCATTGCCCAGGCTGTGGATCACCAAAGTTGTCTCACCATCTGTGCCCAAATTGCTACTCGAGCTTGAACCGTGCGTGGAAGGCGGAGGCGAAGGAGAACGGAGATGGCTCACTGGGTGGTGTACCTGCGGTGGCAGATTGAGAATCACCCGAGGTTTGCGCTAGATATTACCTTTCTTCCCTCGACTGACACAGGCTGTTACAGTATCATTTACTGCAGCTTTTACTAAGGGGCTGGCCCTGTAAAACGGAGGATTCCTGCAGTCTAGGTAGTGTAGACTCTGGTGTCTCTCACCTTCATTGGTTACAATGCGTAAGAGCTGTGAATTCCCAGCTGCGAAGTGCTCAAAGCCCGGATAAGCCCGTACACAATCGAACGATATTGTTGGCGTCTTTCGATAGTGGTGGGCGCGAGCGACACCCGCCGGCCGATGTGCGCGCATGATGCACCTAAGCGTAGTGGCATGACCCGCCTGTGGGGAACTCACCACCAATTTCGGCTGCGAGTCTCCTATACATAGCTGCACACCTGCGACATGCTCTCGGAAGTCTGTCTGTACTATAGTTCCTCGTCATCATTATGTTCTCCAGGCTAGTCCCTCGCACCTCTGTCTCTCGTGCCCGCTCGATCTCTACGCAGTCTCGAGGCCTGGCTGCAATCCTGGAGAAGAAACCAGATGATGTAGTCATAACGTTCGCGAAGCGCACAGCTATGGGCCGCGCGAAGAAGGGGCAGCTGAAGGACACTCCAGTAGATGAACTTCTGCACGCCTTGTTCAAGGTACGTGCAGCGAATTACCATGCACGCGTCACAGATGGCTTGATGCTGTATTTTAGGCCGCTCTGAACGAGACGAAATTAGATCCAGCAAAAGTTGAGGATATTTGCGTAGGTATGTGATACCGGTCCTCAATGTGCCAGCATCCATGAACATATTGCAACTATGTAGGAACATGTCACCCACCATCACCACTGTATGTTTCTCGTGCAGCGGCAATGGCAGCCGGCATTCCTGCCGATGTTCCTATCTCCACTGTAAACCGTCTGTGTTCGTCTGGACTTCAGGCTATCAGAGGAATTGCTCACGCGATCGAGTCGCGAGAGATTACCTTGGGTATGGCAGTTGGAGTGGAGAGCATGTCCTTGAAGTAAGGTCACCCAACAGGTTATCATGCAAGCTATATTAATTAATGTGTTACGTAGTCCACGTCCGACTCCGGAGATTGTGGACCAAGTAGGATCTCACCCACAGGCGATTGATTGTGTACAGGTATGTATGCTACTATTCCTTGTCTCAACGATCGGTTGATGGTGTTATAGCCCATGGGATGGACGTCGGAAATGGTCGCAGAAGCGTACGACGTTCCTCGAGAGAAGCAGGACCAATACGCGCTCATATCCCATACGAGAGCTGAGAAGGTTAGGTACTGCTTCCCGCGACGCTATGACTGCTATTCACGCTTCCTTTCGCAGGCATCTGCCCAAGGCATATTCGCCGACGAGATTGTCCCAATCGAATTGCGTGGGACGGTCATTTCTGTCGATGATACTCTGCGAAGGGGTACCACGCTAGAGGGTCTCGCTAAACTCAAGCCTGCTTTTCCTGACTGGGGTAGTTCCTTCACCACTGCAGGAAATGCAGCTGGTCTAGGTGATGGTGCCGCATTGTGTATTCTGACAACAAGAGAACGAGCAGAGAAGGAAGGCATGCAAGTTGTGGGCAAATATGTAGCGAGCAGTTTTGTCGGTCGGTGCAATTATTCACGAGCGATCCGTGATGAGTCGACTGAATTTAATGATCAGGTGTTGAGCCTCGCTACATGGGGATTGGGCCAATAGCTGCTGTACCCAAGATTCTGGCGAAGACGGGCCTGACGAAGGAAGACGTTGATGTCTGGGAGGTAAGTGTGCGATACGCATACAGTCAAGCGGCGATCATTGACCGTGTCTTAACAAGATCAACGAAGCATTTGCATCGCAGTTCGCCTACTGCGTGGAGCAACTTCAAATTCCGATTGAGAAAATAAATCCCAAGTAAAGTGACTGTCGTTTCGTTGATGGACCTCTAATTAACATCATTGTCAGTGGAGGATCGATTGCATTGACCCATCCTCTTGGAATGAGTAGGTGCAACTAGTCGTTTCCGTTGTGGGAGGCTCTGACACTATGCACCTTCAGCTGGCACTCGTCAAGTAGTGACAGGTCTCGCGGAGCTTCGTCGTCGCGGTGGGAAGGTCTTGTGTACAAGCATGTGCATTGGCAGCGGCATGGGCGGGGCTGGCATCTTTGTTAATGAGCTTCGTCCATGACGGCAGACTATGTACTTGCTAGTGTGTAAGGGCGCGTCATGCTGGTTGTTAGGATAGCCTACCTTGCTTTCACGCAAGTCGCGAAACGAACAATGTAAATCCTGTAAGTTAGCACGCTAGAAGTCACGTCGGTGTAGAACGTTTTGTACCCGTCCAACTGAGCGCGATAGCCTGAGGATCGCGTCGTATCACGTGATGCGAGGCAGTCATAGAGTCCGAAACGAATCCCCACTAACAGACCGTCATCGAGACTTCCGACGCCCGGCCCACCTCTATTCCCCTCAAGGTTCGTGTATTTTGGTTCCTCAGCATCCCGTCAACCGTCTGCATGTTGAAACTGGGAGAGATCGGGTGGACAGTTGGCTGGATGGGCACACATTGCAACGGATGATGCGGGTTCGGCGAAGGAAGCTTACCAGTACTTTGTCCTTGGTATAGTCTTTTCCACCTTCAAAATGTCCGGCCAGATCAGCAAAAAGCGCAAGTTCGTTGCCGATGGTGTCTTCCGCGCCGAGTTGAACGATTTTTTCACTCGCGAACTCTCTGAGGAGGGCTACTCTGGATGCGATGTCCGCGTGACCCACGCCCGCACTGAGGTACGTTGCAGAGTAGCTTAATTCATCCAGGAGAGGTCTAACCGTTTTGCAGATCATCGTCCGCGCTACCCATACACAGGAAGTCTTGGGTGAGAAGGGTCGCCGTATCCGCGAGCTTACTGCCCTGGTGCAGAAGCGCTTCAAGTTCCCTGAGAACTCCCTCGAGTTGTTCGCCGAGAAGGTACAATACCGTGGTCTGTCCGCCATTGCCCAATGTGAGAGTTTGAGGTACAAGCTGCTCGGTGGACTTGCTGTCAGAAGGTCAGCATCATTCTCCGATGCGCGTTCTGTAACGTCTCATCAATGTATGTCTAGGGCGTGCTATGGTGTCCTCCGTTTCGTCATGGAGTCCGGTGCGAAGGGTTGCGAGGTTGTAGTGTCTGGCAAGCTGCGTGCTGCTCGTGCCAAGTCGATGAAGTTCACCGACGGTTTCATGATCCACTCCGGTCAGCCTGCCGTGGATTTTGTCGACTATGCTGTACGGCACGTCATGCTCAGGCAAGGTGTCCTTGGTATCAAGGTCAAAATGTGCGTTTCTTCTGTCTCTGTTGTGGCGGAACACGGCGGCTAAAAGGCCCATGTTTCCTTAGCATGAAGGGCTGGGATCCTGAGGGTCAACTTGGTCCTCGCAAGCCTCTGCCTGACTCTGTCCAGATCCTTGAACCGCCAATCGACAAGATCGTCGCGGAGCCTACGTCTGAGCAGCGCGAGCCTGCTATCATCGCGCAGCCGGCACCGCCTGCCGACGCCCCTGCGCAGTACCAGGCTGAGGAACCTTTCCAGTATGAGCAGCCGGCTGCGTTCTGATGCTGTTGTATTCGGCATATCATCATGTCTGTTATGTATCTTTGCGATCATTGTCGCTTCCCATATCCAAGTGTAAATGTTCAGATGAGAATCGATGCTGGACGGCAGGAGTAATTGATATACCAACTGGTATTAAGTATACTCTGCTGAAATAGATGTGATACAATGGTATAATCTTTAATACAATGGGATGTCCATTCGTTGCCAGTGAAATGTTCTTTCCAATACGTGACGATCGTGGGGATCTGTGACTCGGGACGCAAGATTAAACTTTGCCTGCGGTCGCTGCGATGTGGAGTTTGGCCAAAGCACAGACAAGGGGGACAGCATAGAAAGAGTATCCAACCCACACCACTGGGTGCACTAGTCAACATCTGCTAGATCGAAACTGGACACAACACTCACTGACAAAGCCGTTACTGGTAGCGGCGATAAGTTCAGGAGCACCGGAACCTGTTTTCGAGATGTCGTCGTTGAAATCTTGCACGGCTTTTCCAAACCACATGTAAATGACAAGGAACGAGGTGAGTCCTGTACAACATCAGTGAGCGTACGATGGCAAAATGGGGAATTGTGCGTCATACCGATAATGAAGCCCATGAAACCAATCCAGGCAGTAGCGCGTTGGACCATGGGTTTCTCAAATGGTGCACCAGCTCTTCCCAGGTGGGCTCGGTGTGTCGTGAGCGTGAACATGAAGAAAAATAAGAAGCTGAATGCGAGGGAAACAGCTATGAATGCCGAGCTCGTGGATGGGGGAGACGTCAAAAGATCCGGGGCATTGGCAGGAAGGACAGAAAGGTCTTTCCCGCGATTAGTGTGAGAGCTTATGAAATGGATAAAGTACAGTCTGAAAACATACTGTATGTGGGAGAGACTGTAGGAGAAGTGCAGACGAGTCCTGTCTCCTTGTTTGGTCGATAGCACGACCCTGAAAGTGAATGAGGAATGATTATACTCCTCTAAAGTGTCCTGCTCACCGAGGGCGCCCATGAAAACGGTCGGTCCATCCAACCCCTGCGAGGAGTTTGATTGGACCAAAGACGTTGACGGAGTGACACTGAGCAACGCGACTCGAGATGACAACATGACCACGGGTGCCAAGTAGGAGAAGAGAATGAGTAAGAGAGACGTCAGAGCCAACACCGGTGCCAGGTGCTGAGTGATAGCTTTCGACACGCCTGCAATCATCGTGACTAGAGCCTGAACTTCGATTGGATGCCAGAAAAATTAGACCAGCTAGAACGAGAACGTCTAAAGAATGGAGTATATCTGGACAGTTGACCAAAGACTTCTACCCGCTACTCACAGAGCAAAGACGGGGATCGCGAGCGAGTTGGAGGAGCAGGCGAGCATGATGCAGCATCTTAAATAGCAGTCGTGTTATCCAGTGAGAACGTGGTCAGTGACAGCTCCGTGTGCATTGTATATGGGATGAACTGAAAAAAACAATAGACCAAGTCCACAGCAACAGTTTCCGAGCGCACAATTGAAGGAGGTAACGAGGTAGTGAGAACACCATTGTTCCAAAAATGGAAGCCGTATAAGCAAGTGGAGCGCCGGCTTCTGCAAGCCATTCGTCACAATTAATTTCCAGAAGACATCTACTGTATGGCCTGAGTGCCTTACAAAACCCAGGCTTTGTGAATCAAGATATGAGAAATTTCCCCCCAAACCACCACATATATCTAAATTTCAGGTCCGTTCCGCCAGCCAACTTCGGGGGTTCTGGACCCAACCTCCGGCGGCGGGGGGTGTTCCACACCCAACTTTCGATGACTTTTTGGGTATTTTCGGGCGTCGAAGATTGAGCGTTTTGCCTCCGGCGGCCCCAGGTTTTCGGGATGGTGGCGTCTTGGGTCGGCAAATTGCGGGCCGCGTACTTGAAGATTTCGACAAGTGGCCGCGTCGTGAAGCACTCGCTCGCTACCCTACATGTGTTGATTCTCGCAAACCCATGCTCCTTGCACTCGCTTTTACCCTTGGCTAGTCTCTTATCTTTGGCTGAACTAACACCTACAAAAACCCTGGTCAAACAGTTTGTTCCTATACAAGGCCATCCATCTCCTAGGTCGTCGAAGCAGCGTTTTGTCGCAGATGGGAGCTTAGCCATAAAGAAGTGCCCTAGTAAAGGCGACATCTCACTGTCCTTCGTCCGTCAGGCATGGCCAAGAAGAAGAAGACGCAGCTCAAGGCCGTCGCGAGGGGGTTTGCGACTACTTCTGTTCCCAAGAAGGTTGTTCTACCGGCAGAGGAAGATGGAGTTGACATCTCTGAGACCATCGACGCGGCGCCAATCGTTAAAGACGCGATCAGGACAACTCCCGTCGGTGGTGAGCTTGCTCAAGCCCCAACGGACGATTACGACTTGGACAAGCACGAGGAAGAATCTCTGCAGCTTTTGGTAGACAAATTACAAGATAAAACGGAAAAGGATATTGTGCGGACAATCAAGGTGTGTATGTTCACTAGACTTTCTTGAGCACTATGCATATTCCCTCTAGGCGATCAAGCAAGAGCAACGGTTCTCAGAAACGCTGGTTCGCCTTGACTGGGACAGTAGATTAGTTGATAGAGTACTTTCTTTGGCTCTTGAATCTGATCACGCTGGAGGTGAATCTGTTCTACGTTTGCTATTGGAAAATTCTAATCCTCCTGAAGTAAAGAGGGCTCTGGATGAGACCGAAGAGAAGGCCATTGCTCGCCTTGCGATTACATATGGAGTTCTTAGACGATTAGGTTTCTCTGAAGACAGAGTTGAAGAATGTCTCAGGGCTACAGAAGGGGTTGATTTAGATGAAGCATTTGCTTGGGTATGTTCTCATCTATCTTCGCGTAATATGCGGCTGTTTAATTAGGCCGTTTTATCAGCTTCACCTTCATTGCGCAGAAGAAGAACTTGGTTTGCAAAACGGTCTGTATATTCTCGACTTATGTCATCGTAATCCTATTCTCAACGTGTAATATCAGGATCGAGAGCAGCAAGTGAACCCAAGACACCGACGATCAACACTCCTCAGTCACCTCGGACTTCTCTCACTCCGGTACTACCATCATCAGTGTCTGGTTACTCATCTCATGGTGTATCTTCGTCTTCCCGACGCCTGAACCCAGACATCTCGGTGTTTGAGCCTACAACCAGCGCTTCACTGACCTCGTTACATTACGACGACGGTATGCCAGAAGAGACTGACATAGGTGGAACTCACACACCGTTATTCTCTGACCATGGGCGACAGTCGCCTACGGATGACGCCAATGCTGAATTTATAAGACTAAAGTTGCAAATTTCTGACCTAACCACACATAGAAGACAGCCTGATGAAACTCGAGATGCTGCTTTCCTGCGGGGTTTGCAAAAACGTTTGGAAGACGTGAAGAAGGACTATTTCTTCGATCAGGAGGAAGCTGAAGCCCAGTTTCGTATTGAACGCGAGAAGGCGGATGCAGCTGCCCTGCGATCCAGATTGCGTGGTGAAGTCCCCGTCGTCCAGACTTTACTGTCGTTAGAGCGTTGCAGGAACCGTCCGCCCGAGAAAGAACCCCCTCCCTCAGTTGTCGGGGATACAAGTTCTGATATCTTCGACAACGAGGATGAGGAGTCGAACGGAGGATTATTCGAGCTCCTAGAGGCGATGCCCGAGACAGAAGTTTCCGATCGCGGTGTCACTGTCGCTGTTCGCGACATGGCTCTACCTAAACACTGGTCTGGCCGGACACCGAGATCATTGTTATCTGAAGTCGTACACAAAGTCGACAGATTCGCGGCCATTTCATACCAGTGTATCTCCGGACTCAGTCGTGCAAAGAGGGCCGCCGTTGAGATACACTGGGAGGGAGGCAAGACACAAGGATGGAGCATGGATGATATTGCTTGCCATGATATGTCTCAGGCCGAGCAATATATTTCCACCATCGCTATGCATGCATTGACCTTCCCCAGATCAGACGGTTTTGCCTGCATTGGATCCATGGGCGTAAGTAGTCAGACGACGTTCAGGTTGCTGCCTGCCATATACCGAGATTTATGGGACGAACTGGAGCAAAAAAGAAAGGTCACGAACGATGCCGTCAACCGTAGCGTATGGGCCAAGTTGCGGGTCATCATAGAGCCCAAGATGAACGTCGACCGCAAGGTGAGCTCTTTGGTACTCTTTGGTACTTCTCCGTGAAGCGTGTGCATGTTCATAGATGCTCCCACAGGCTAACAGCAAGGTATCCAGAGATGTTTTCGACAGGAAGGACTTGCCCGTTATCCCAAATGTTGGTCAAAGCAATGACCTCACTCCAGAGCAAATCAAAGCTGGGTTCAGGACCAGACAAGCTAGCGCTCCTTACCAGGATATGCTCGTGAGTATCATTTAGTACGTGTGGATATTCCAGGTACTCAACATCCTTCGCCCTTAGCGTCAACGAGAGCAACTCCCGATTGCCAGGTATCGCGGCGAAATTACCTCTATTCTTGACAGGTCTCAGATACTAGTTCTAAGTGGTGAAACTGGGTGGTGAGTCACGTGAATGGCTGATATTCTTACACTCGTTTATGTCTCCGTTAAGTGGGAAGTCAACTCAAGTTCCAGCCTTCATCCTGGAACACCAGCTCGCGCTAGGGAGAGATTGCAAGATCTATTGCACGGAACCTCGCCGAATTTCCGCTATATCTCTTGCACAGCGAGTATCGCGTGAGTTGGGCGAGGTTCCTGGTGCTGTGGGCACCCTCGGCTCCATCGTGGGGTACTCGATCCGGCTGGAGAGCAATATTACCAGTCGAACACGCTTGGCATTTGTTACGAACGGTATTGCGTTACGAATGCTGGAGGGTGGAAGTGGACAAGGAGGACAAGGCACTGCATTTGACGAGATCACGGTCAGTACGAGTATCAAATTGACGCAGCGGAATACTTATTTTGCCTTCCAGCACATTATCATTGACGAGGTTTGTGCATCGCACCTGGAATGGTGAATATGCTCAGAGCAATCTCAGGTTCATGAACGTACCATTGAATCTGACTTCCTACTCATTGTGCTCAAATCTTTGCTACGAGAACGTCCCAATCTGAAGTGAGTTTCTTGTAGTGCCCTCTTGCCATACTCTCTTGTCAAGATGCTGAGTCCTGCAACAGAGTTGTGCTCATGTCAGCGACTGTGGATGCTGACAAGATATCCGACTACTTTGGCGGTTGTCCAATCCTTTACGTTCCTGGAAGGACTTTCCCCGTTGATGTCCGGTACTTAGAGGATGCGGTAGAATTTACCCGGTGGAAGATCACCGAAAGTTCACCTTATGCTAGACGTGGTACGTCGTCTGCTGTCCTGCCTTTCTCCGCTTACCTCATATGACCTTCAATCCCCAGGAAAGGACAAATTTAATCAGAGCAAAGCCAAAGTGGATTGGTCAGAAGATACGGCTCCCGCAGATGATGAAGACGAAGAGGCCGAACAGGATAACGTGAAACTGGAGAAACGCTACTCTCCTAACACCGTTTCCACCGTCAACTTGCTGGATGAACGTGTCATCCCTTACGATCTCATTGTCCGCTTGTTGGAGCGGCTGTGTATTGAGGATCCAACCTACACTACCTATTCTGCGGCTATCTTGATCTTCATGCCCGGCATGGGAGAGATTCGCAGATTGAACGACATCCTGTCCGAGCACCGCTATTTTGGTTCAGAGCTGCAGTTCAAGCTCTACCCTCTCCATTCTATGATCTCCAGTGAAAATCAGGGCGCAGTGTTCGATATTCCTCCTCAGGGCATCCGGAAAATTGTCATAGGTTCGCTCGCAACCCTGCAGACCCTTTAATTAGCCTCACGTGTTGGCACAGCTACGAATATCGCTGAGACCGGCATCACCATTCCTGACATCACTTGTGTAATCGACACTGGAAAGCATCGTGAAATGAGGTTAGCTTTTATTGTATGTGACGTGCCTGTGACCTGACATTGATTTCGTTGTATATTCCAGGTTCGACGAGAAACGTCAAATCAGTCGTTTGATCGAGACCTTCGTGGCAAAAAGTAATGCTGCTCAGAGACGTGGACGTGCAGGGCGAGTGCAGTCAGGGCTCTGTTTCCACCTTTTCACAAAATTGAGGCATGATACTAAGGTACGTTTGAGCACCTTACCTGATCAAAACAAACTTACCGTGGTGATTAGCTGGCGCAACATCCCGACCCAGAGATGATGCGGCTGAGCCTCAGCGATCTTGCATTACGCATCAAGATTATGAAGGTTAAACTGGGTTCCTCTGTAGAAGACGTCCTCTCGCGTGCTCTGGATCCCCCTCTGCCTGTCAACATCCAAAGGGCCGTTTCTTCATTGGTCGAAGTAGGGCTTCTTGTACCGATCTCTGCCTTGTTACACAACTGATAGAATTGTTGCAGGTTCGTGCCCTCACTCTAAATGAAGAAATTACGCCTATGGGCCGCTTGTTGAGCAAGCTACCTACGGATGTGCATCTTGGGAAGTTCTTGCTGATCGCGACACTCTTCCGATGTTTGGATCCGGCTCTCACTGTTGCGGCTACTCTGAACTCCAAGTCCCCCTTCCTTTCTCCGCTTGGCTTGGAGAAAGAGGCCGATCGTGCGAAGCTCTCGTTCCAAGTCGGTAAGCACCTGCTCGTCCTCGTCGGCTTGCCAAATGTTGAGATGGTTCAGAAAACTCCGATTTCCTCACGCTTCATAACGCGTTCGCCAGCTGGCGCCGGGCTTGTGCAAATGGCGTTGCCCGCAAGTTCTGCAAGTCAACTTACTTGAGCCATCAGGTAAGCGGCCTTGTCTGTGAGATGACGGGGAAAATATTCACTTTTCCATTTCTCTGCGGTAGAACTTGCAACAGATCGAAGAACTGCGACAGCAATTCCTGGGGTATGATTATCTATATGAACGTTTGATCACTTCGCATTCACCGATGACCGCTTTGTAGCTACTTGGTCGACTCCTCATTCATACAAGTTGATAAGGCATTTGTTCTGGAATTGAGCAGGTTGGTTTCGTAATTACTCGGTTGGGGCGTCCGATTTAACAGTACCCACAGGGCACGCTTCACCCGTAACAGAACACGTTTCGTCGCTGTTCCTGCAGAGCTTGATTTGAACTCGTCGAACGTCTTTCTGTTCAATGCTGCCCTGACAGCAGGTCTGTATCCCAAAATACTGGCGGTCGACCCGATGCAAGGCGGGATGCGCACCATCACAAACAACCAGGCGGCGTTCTTCCACCCTTCCTCCGTCAACTTCCGTAGGAAACCCAAGGACTTCGGGGTGAATCACTTATGCTACTTCACACTGATGTGAGCGAATCGATTGCATACAATCCGACGATTTAGTGATACTCGACACTTTACAGGCATTCCAAGAAATTGTATGCTTGGGAGACGGGGCCGGTGGACGATATATCCCTCCTACTTCTTTGCGGAGAGGCGGAATTTAAGGTAAGCAAAACCCCCCAGGTTGATCCCGTCCACGATCACACATGTTCTCGTAGCTTGCGTCCGACGTTGTGTACATCGATCGCAAGATCAAGTTTCGCATCACCCCGAAGTCAGGCATCGCCCTCAAGGTTTTGCGCGCGCAGATTAGCTCACTGCTGGCAACCCAAATGCGTAGCAAACCTCTGTTAGAGTCTCAGGTGCTGTGGAACGATCTCGCCATGATGGTGCTGGGAAAGTTCAAGGTAAACGATCCCTTAGAGAACCAAGATGGGGTTACGGTCGTGATACACAACAGGAATACATGAATCTCGGTATTGTTTACACTGGTCTTCTGTCTGTGCGAATCTCGAGGACGCTACCACCCTTCACAGGTGTGTGAAATATGTAGCATGTAGCACGCGTACACCAGGATGCCTTCAGTTTTTGCTCCTTACAGCAACTATATTATGCCACGACTATAAGACATAAGCAACATATATGGGTTGCATGAATGCTTCCTACAACAAGACAGGACAACGACATGAATCGTACGACGGATCTAGTCCTCGTCCTCATCATCAGCACCGCTCCTGCTCGAGGCATCAGCACAATGTGATATTATGGACTAAGAAGTACGCACTGGATGTTGTAGAAGCGGAGCTGGTATGAGTCTTTTGACGAGGCGACCACGCTGAGCATGTTTTGCATTAGTAGACGTAGCGCAAGTAACAGCAAATACACACCGAATCCAGTCACGGAGTGTGTTCTTCTTGAGGAACTTTTTCGTGAGGTACTTGAGATACCGTTTGGACAAGGGAATGTTCGAAGTCACGGTAATCTTAGTGTCGGCTGAAAATGGTTCAATCGTCAAGAGGGTGAATGAGCCCGAGGTCATGGGCGCACCATCACGAGTGATCTTGACGCTCTCGCCAAGCTGACCGGTCTTGCCGTCGACCTTGATGCGGTCGTGCAAGAACTTCTCGAAGGCCGCACCGTCAAAGACACCATCGCCCGCTGGACGAGAGTAGTCAATGACAAACTTGTGCTTGGAAGCAGCAGCTTTTCCGGAGGCGGCTTTGGGCTATTTCATGGAGCACAAAGAGAGAAATCCAGTATAAGCCTACTGAGAAGTGGACTCAGCAAAGCGGTACTGGAAACTGACCATCTTGACGGGTGGCACGGACTCTTGAGGTGAAAGTGAGCAACCGTTTCGTGCAGGTAAATTGTGCGAATTGTCACGTGCCAGTGTACTGTACAGTTGCACCGATCGTTTACCACGGGTCGGAGATGCCCGCTAACCTGTATTTTCCCACACTCATATTCGTAATTAGGAGTCTCAGCGGCGCGATCTCGGCGACTTGCAGGTTTGCTGAAAACTTCAGACAACCATGGCCTCTCGCAAATCGCTCACCCGCGAACAAGTCGCATCTGCTCAGCTACTGGGCGACTATTCCATCAAGTCGGAGAGCACCCAACCAATATTGGACACGTCCCAATGGCCTCTCCTCCTGAAAAACTACGACAAACTACTTGTGCGGTCTGCGCATTTCACCCCCATACCTTCTGGCTGCAGTCCTTTGAAGCGGGACATCACATCATATGTCAAGTATGTGAGGTTATTATTTGGCACGTTGTGCTCGTTGAATGAACATGTTATAGGTCTGGTGTCATAAACTTAGACAAGCCGTCAAATCCATCCTCACATGAAGTTGTCGCGTGGCTGAGGAGAATTTTGAGGGTGGAAAAGACTGGCCACAGTGGTACTCTAGACCCAAAAGTCACAGGGTGCCTGATTGTCTGCATTGACCGGGCAACCAGGCTGGTGAAGTCTCAGCAGGGCGCAGGTGCGTAAGCCCGCCCTGCTCCTACATTCATGCTGTACTTATCTCGACCGTACAGGAAAGGAGTATGTTGCAGTCCTGCGTATCCACTCAACCCTCCCAAACCCTGCCTCCCTCCCTCGCGCCATCCAGACACTTACAGGTGCGCTGTTTCAGCGACCCCCGCTAATCTCCGCAGTCAAGCGACAGCTGCGAATACGAACCATTTATGAATCCAACCTGCTTGAGTTCGATGAGAAGCGCAATCTTGCAGTGTTCTGGGTGTCGTGCGAGGCGGGCACGTACATTCGGACATTATGTGTACATTTGGGGTTGATTTTAGGTGTGGGTGGTCATATGCAGGAACTGAGACGTGTACGGAGTGGTGCGTTGAGCGAGAACGACGACATGGTAACGATGCACGATGTTCTGGATGCACAGTGGGTCTACGATACGTCACGAGACGGTAAGAGCTCTTCGTGTCAAACACGAACCCAAACTCACTCCCCCCTGCTTTAGAAACATATCTGCGACGCGTCATTCGACCACTAGAGTCATTGTTAGTCGGATACAAGCGCATAGTGGTCAAAGACAGTGCAGTCAACGCGGTTTGTTACGGTGCGAAGTTGATGATTCCCGGCTTGCTGCGTTACGAGGCCGACATTTCGCTTCACGAGGAGGTCGTGCTCATGACCACGAAGGGTACGCGTCCACGTCGCCTATCTGAACACAAATACTTACTTAAACTGCCCTGAACCCATTTCGTCCTTAGGTGAAGCCATTGCTTTGGCAATAGCACAAATGTCGACGGTGGAGCTCGCCACCTGTGATCACGGTGTCGTTGCGAAGGTCAAGCGTTGCATCATGGAGCGTGATACATACCCTCGCCGGTGGGGTCTCGGACCCAAAGCCTTGGAGAAGAAAAAGATGGTTAAGGAGGGGAAGCTCGGCAAGTATGGCGAAAAGATACAGGGTGTCACCCCGGCAGAATGGAGCAAGGACTATGTCGACTACTCGCGAGAGGTAAGTTCTACATATTCGTGTGTGCTGCAGGAATGATGCTGAGTTTTCGTTACCGTCAGGAACCAACCGCAGGACCGTCTGCAACGCCCGCCGCCACCGCTGCTGCCCCGGCCGTTGCAGAAGCCAGTCCATCAAAGGAAAAGGAAAAGGAGAAGAAGCGCAAGCGGAAATCGGAGGTAGCTGATACCGATGGCGACGTCTCAATGGCGGTGGAGGCGAACGACGAGGAGGATGAAGCTGCTCGCACAGAACGGAAGCGGCTGAAAAAGGAGAAGAAGGCCGCGAAGGAAGCTGCGAAGGTGGAAGAAGTGGAAGATGATGAGGCAAGACGGGAGAGAAAGAGACTGAAGAAGGAGAAAAAGGCGCGGGAGTCGATGGGTGGCGAGTCATAGGATTCCTTCTCCTTCTGACTTCTTTACTGGCCCGCACATGACGGTAGGACACGCGTTGTGTCCAAAATTTGACCGTTATGTTGTCTGATTTATTGGTGTTGATCTGTTCATTCTGTAGGTAGCCTTCTTTGTAATCTTATCCAACACGTACATTATCTGACCGTCCCTGTACGCAGTGCAAGTTGTTTGATGTGCTCTCGTTCAGGCCTCAGACTGACGCTCGCCCAAATATCCACAAGACGCAACACCAGCGCTCACCCGTGGAAATAATGTAGTGATCGTCGAGGTATCCGATACACAAGATATCTGATATAGTCTGTCCGAGTCCTAGTACAGCAACCCCAACAACGACCGAGCAGCATGTAGCTAAAACGAGCGGTAAATATGAAGACGGTAAAGTAAAAGCGTCAGAGTTATTAGTCGTTCACAAAAGTGCAACGGCGACAGCGAGCACCGAGCCGAGCGCGAACGCGAGCTGAGCGCCGAAGCTTGCCTCAGCACTATTGGATGAGGAACCAGAGGCAGAGCCGGACCCTGAGCCTGAACCGGAGCTGCTGTTGGCATTGGTGCCGTTGAGTTCCATCGCGAGCTCCTGGAACGCTGAGAAGTTGCGCGGGCTGTCCGCGACTGCGTTCACGGCAAAAACCATTCCTGAACCACAGTGGCTGGCACCGGTCGGGGTGTGCTGCTTGCACTGTTTGCACGATTTCAACACGAAGACGAGCTTGGAAAGAGGAGAACGCTTACGTAGAACCATGTGGGAGCGGTGTCGTTGACGGTGAAGTTCCATGTGGGGAACTCGGTCGCATTAGCAGCCACTGGTCGACTGGGGACTCAAAAGTCAGCTGTTGTGCGATTAAGAAATCGGGTCAAGACGCGCACAATCCGGAGTCCAAGCCGATGACCTGATCAGTGGTAGCGTTCGTCAGAATACGGCAAGGATCAGGGAAGGAGGACTGAGTCGCGGTGTGATTTTTCTGGTGGCTGCGATCATGCACACGGATGAGTGTCTCTGTCATCATGAATTCGAACGCGACACTCACAACTCGAAGACGACCGTATCTCGAGGCTGGGCCGTAATATTCGACGGCGTGTAAGTGAGCTCACCATTGGCGCCGCCGACAACGACGGTGTGGACTGCGCCCTGTAGGGAGACAGGCGTGGGCTCTGGGGAGCCAATGTACGACGGGTACACCGAGACCCATGATGATCCCTGAACTGTGATTGTCTCCGTAACTACGATGGGCGTCGGCTGGGCGGGGATGGTGACGCCACCATACGCGGCGGTGGTCCAGGCAGCAGACACAGTAGACGCAGCAGAGGACGAGACCGATGACTTCAATGCAGCACCCTGATTCAAAGCGTTCTGCAGATAGTTGGCGAACGAGTTGGAGGAACCATCGGGTCCAGGGTTCACAGCGAAGACCATTCCATTACCGCAGTGACTCTGGGGAGTGTTCGCGGCTTGGCGGCAGTAAACCCAGACAGGATTGGTCTGTTAGACAAATTTGTCAATTAAAAAATTATCGGAGAGTCACACGATAATATTTGGCGTACATCATTGACAGTGACCGTAAACGTCGGGAAATCGTTTGTCTGGTTTGACGGGACGGGCATGCTGCAACGAACGGTTTGTCTATGCATAATTGTTCATGTAAACAAGCTAGTACTCACAACCCGGAGTCAAATCCGCCGTCAACTAGATGGCAGGGATCTTCAAAAGTCGACTGTGAGGCTGTGTGGTTCTTTTGCTCGAAGTGGAAAACGACTTGGTCCCCTGCAGCAGCGGACTTCACGTAGCATTTTCGTGAGACGATGCGCGTTTTTAAGCACCATGTAACTTACAAGGGAGCTGGGGGTGTAGATGAGACTTCCATTGGAACTCCCCACCGTAACGTCAAAAACCTGCTGAGCAGCGGCAGAAGAGGCAAAGACAACACCGAGAGAAAGAACAGCGATAGGAAATAACATGTTGATAGGGGGATGACCGAAAAGGCAGAAGAATGAAATGTGAGGGCGTCGACCGCATTGCGACAGCCTTTATACTCAATCACAAAGGGGTAGCTCAGAAATGCGAAGAGGCGAGAGACAATGAAACCCGGTGTGGCCGCAAAATTGTCTCCGCACCTTAGTATGGCGCTGCAATACCTCCGTTAAGCTCTGAAGAATGCACTAAAGACTATAAGGCGGTGTCGAAAACCAGAGAACAAGACACAATTGGCTGCAGCATCAACCTCTCCTAGTCAGGAACCGCTCTCGACCGGCCAATCATCTTCGCGTACGTGGAGAGATGACCTGCATTGGAAGAACGACGGACGTGCTCGAGGGTAGGCTAACCCATGTTCCACCCGGGGTATGCACTAAATGGAGATGGCGTCTCAAGACGGCTGGCCTTGAGGCGTTCCCGCGGCGGGGTGAGATATCTCGTTGCTTAGAGTAGCCGAAACGCGTGCTCCCACCTGTGTGGAAGCATGCCACACATCGTCGAGCACAAAAGCCCTACAGCCACAAGACGGTTCTTCGGCGACAAGTAACCTGGTGACAGGGGCAAACGATCGATGCCCCAGCATCTGCACAGCGTGCAGATCACTCACCTACTGGCCACGTGGTACGATGAAACTTCACAATAGCGATGCAGATGCAGCTGGTCACTGTGGAATCCGACAGTTGCAGTTCGGACAATGATTGACGGGTTCATACACTGTCATATAGTCCGAGTCGTGTTTGAGGCTGATGGCCGTCTCGAGCACATCGCTCGAAGTTATATGGTGACATCGCCATCCACACCCTACCTTGTTTGAAGCCCACCATGGACTGCCAGCAACAATAGAGAAGGAAGACCTCGTAGGGAAGAGATGGGTGAGTGACCCACTCCGAGCCGCAGACTTTGTCTCGGATCGGAATCACTACGTTCAGTTAGCTTTTGGTGCAGAAATACCCGGCGCAATAGCATTGATCGTTGGGTATGGTTTTATGTCGACACATCATCTGACAGGGTTGTCCATCGTTAATCTTCTGTGGGTAGGAGCTACTGAGGACCAAGTATGGAAGGTGAGTAAGTTTCAAGTGTGACAAGTAACGTGCTTAGTCATGGGTTTCATCACGCTGATCGTGACAGCGTGATCTGATCGCAAGTTCTGAGGCGCCCTGGCTTGCGACTTGCTGCAAGTTGGATAGCCTGTCCAAGACGAAGGGAGGAGGGGCGACATCACATCTTGGTAGCGAGAGGCCTCGATGACGGCGGATCATTCATCCCACTCGCGAAGCGATAGCGCTGAGGGTTGAACGTTGAGGGCTGTGAGTGGCTATCATTTGTTGGAGTTCCATCAACTGAGCAACCGCTGTAGACGCCTTTATATAGCGCGTGCACCGCGTCCTCTTTACAGCTAGTACATACTCTGGATCCCTTTGTAATCCTCACCTAATCCATCTTCTTTGTCTTCGCGGTCGAGAGTCAGAGACCTCGCCACACCTCCTTCTCTATCCACTATCTCATCGTCATGTCTCGCAAGGCCCCCAAACCGCTTCCTAAGTTCGAGATCGGTGAGTGACGCGACGATCCTGTCCATTCATCGACCTCGCGAAGGTGCTGGTCGAAGTTGACAACGACTGACGCTGCTTCGATTCGTTCCTGCCCTTTAGGTGATGACTACACCATCCTCCATGGCCTCGGCGAGGGAGCATACGGTACTGTTGCTGCTGCGCTGCACAAACCAACTCGCAGGGAAGTTGCGATCAAGAAGGTCCTCCCCTTCGAACACACGCTCTTTTGTCTACGCACCCTTCGAGAGCTCAAGCTACTCAAATTCTTCTCCGAAACATGTGTGAACGAGAATGTGCGTGTCGGGATCACGAATAATGCAGGCGGTGTATCTGAAGCCTCTGCACAGATCATCTCGATCTTAGACATCGTCAAGCCTCCATCTCTCGACGAATTCAAAGAGATATACTGTATGTATTCCTCGCCCTACCTGTCTGCCGTCCTCTGAGATACGGCTTCAGTTATCCAGGAGCTAATGCAAACCGACTTGCACCGTGTGATACGCACTCAGCAGCTAACAGACGATCATTGCCAAGTGAGCGATTGACCGAAAGATATATCGGTGCAGATCTAATACGAAACCGCCTGGCAGTACTTCATATACCAGACGCTGCGAGCACTCAAGACAATGCACTCGGCAGACATTGTCCATCGAGACCTCAAGCCTGCCAATCTCTTGCTGAACGCGAATTGCGACCTCAAGGTTTGCGATTTTGGTCTCGCAAGAAGCACACGGTCGACCAACCCGGCTGGGAAGGAGGCGGGGTTGATGACGGAGTACGTGGCGACACGGTGGTACCGGGCACCAGAGATCATGCTGTCATTCAAGATGTACACGAAAGTGAGTGTTTGTGCGCCCTTCTAGTGCTGAGGTTTAACCACTGGATATATAGGCCATCGACATCTGGGCAGTGGGCTGTATCCTTGCCGAATTGCTCAACGGACGCCCGCTCTTCCCAGGTCGGGACTATGGACACCAGCTTGACCTGATCCTGGACGTCATCGGTGCGCACAGAACCAATCCACGCCTCAATTGAAGCCCAGATATTCACGTATATTGTAGGTACACCGACACTCGAGGAGTTCTACGGGATCACGTCGCGCCGGTCGCGCGACTACATCCGTGCGCTGCCCATTCGGAAACGGCGGCCATTCAGCTCTGTGTTCCCGAAGGCGTCGCCCGAGGCGCTCGACTTCCTCACGAAGACACTCGTGAGTACATTGATGGTAATTCTCGCACTTGTACAGCCCTACTGATGCGCGTTTCCGTGGGTAGACCTTTGACCCCAAGAAGCGCCTGACTGTAGATCAGGCGCTTGAGCATCCATACCTTGCTGCCTACGTGTGTCGTCTCCTCAATTTCGCGCAGCTCAAATTTTCTGACATGTCTGTTTGCAGCACGATCCCGAGGACGAGCCAGCAGTCTCCTCACTGGACTCTGAGTACTTCGAATTTGACTGTGAGTGCACTCTTGTCGATCAATAGCGCCCGCTCACTGTGAAACGCCAGATCTCGATCTCAGCAAAGATGAACTAAAGGGTGAGTGCGCGCACCGTGATCGTTTCGTTTCAGCTAATCGCTAACCGCCATGTCAACGCACAGACCTTCTCTACGCGGAAGTTATGTCCTTCGTGCCCTGTATCTAGAGAACAGCCCTTCTCTGACACATCTAGGATTGCGGCTCGCTGTTGTACCACCGTGTCTGCACAGACTCAAAGTGTGCTTCCACGCACTGCATTTTATATACCTTTCGTTCGTACACGCAATTGAATGTATTTATCTACTCTGTGGACTTCGCGATAATATGGTTGTGAGCATGCAGTATATCCTGGAACGTCTGAGCTCGCCGTCCACGCAACGACAGCGCAAAAGCATCAACATTGATACAACGAAGAAGAGCTACAAGATGACTCAAATACAACATCGCGGCGATGAACGACTCAGCCATTCGCACGACCTCCATTCGACAAGTCCGACCATAACGCACAGTGCAAACCGAAGTCAGCAACTGGGGGAGGTGGTAAATATCGAATTTAAAGCAAGTAGTGGTAGTTAAAAAGTACAGAAAAGAATGTGAAGGGGAAAGCAATAATCGTCGCAACGCGAGAGGTCGTCCGGAGAGCTCGAGCACCACACCATCAAACGTAACCTGGTCAAGATAAGGGATTTAGCTAAGGTCTGAAGAGCCGACGGGCTCAAAAACGTGGCGCCGTGCCGGTCCAAAACCCCGTTGCGACGCCTTCAACACCGAAGTCGCCAAACCGAGTGTCCCCCTCGAGCTCTGTGCCGTACATCGTCCGTTTCATCGGAAGCGCCGGTGTCTCTGGTATGCCAGACATCCCAAGTCCAACCCCCACCTCGTTACTCGACGCCGGAGGGGTCGTCATTGAGTCCATCTCGGGGACGGTAGACAAGGTGGTAGGGGTGCGTAGCAGAGCAGAAGGTTCGACACAGCCATTCTCTACCGCTGGTGTGGTCGTTCTGGACTGACGCGAGCGCGGGCGGCTCGGGCCCGCCGCTGACCGTGGTCGGCGAGGACCACCGTGTGGGTTGAACAAGTCGTTTCGTTCCCGACGCCCTCCTGCACGCTCGATGTAGCCACCAGACGGGTCCGCCGCTCCTGGCGTTGGCGATATCGGAGGTTCTGCATAGAAAGAGGGGCTGGTCATTCCGTACGGCGCGGCGGGGGTTGAAGTTACAGGATGGAACGCAGGGTTCGTGAAGCTGAAGCTGAAGGTGGAGCTCTGTTGGGTGTTTTCTGTACCATTAGCTGTGCTCGTCACGGGTCCTGTGCCGTTCCCCGATGGGGGCGTGCTTCCCGACGAGGGAATAACGAAGAGATCGGACAGTCGGGTATCAGGCAGAGGCGGGTCGATGTACATCTCTGGAGGCTCTTCGGGTCCGCTGAAGACGGTGAATGGGGGTGCAGGGGGGGCTGGGGTGATTATCACACCGTCCTCATCAATATCACCTATGTCTTCTCTTTCAGGGGTGTGATGCTGCAATGAGGACGTCGCTTGATCGTCTCGAGATAATTTAACACGTTTCTTCGTCGGCCGAAGGCCTTTCTTCCCTAGCTCCTTTTCGCTATACGCGTGCGGCTGCTCAGCATCAACGATATTGCTATCTGGGGAATCTCTTTGTCGCTTGCCCAACGTGGATGAAGATGGCTGTATAGTCTTCGAATCTGGAGATAGGCCAGAGCCACCGTCCCTAAACAGAAAATATCATGAGAGCCACCCTTACGAAATAGAACTAGGACGCACGTTGCTCGAGCCTTACCCGCGCTTTTCTCCGACTGCGTCCTCGAATAAGCATCGTTCTCGCGCGATATGTTCATTGCCGACATAGTTCCTCGCAACATCGCAACTTCTGCCCTGAGTTCGTTTGTGAGAGTAACTTGCGCGCGCAGTGATTCAACTTCCGCAATGAGGGCGTCAACTTTTGCTTTCATGGCTGGTACTTCAGCCGACTGGATAGTCGCTTGTTGCAGATCTGCCTGGAGTGTCCGGATGTGATCCTGCAACGGATGAATCTGTGACGAATTCTTTCAGTTCCGATCAAAATGACAAAGAGGGCACGATCGTACTACTTGAGAGACATGAGACTTCACTTGCTCAGAGACTCCTTCAGAGACTGGTGGCACATCCACTGTGGCGGTCTGCATTGAGGAACCAGTAATAGTTGAATTCGAAGGACCGGCTTCTGGAACTGATGTGTTGGTAAATGCCGGTCGGCCCGATGTCAGTCCAATCGTACCTGCAGCATCGTCTAATTCTGCGCCGACGTCGTCTGTTCATATCTTCACGTGGAAAAATGAATATATAGAATACGTACCTTCATCTTCCTCCCGAATCGCCTCTTCCGAGGGCTTCACACTTCTGCTGCCTTTTATTCGCTTCTCTCTCGACACGCTCACAGATTTCGTGATTGCACGAGGACCTGTACCTCCGGCAGTAACTGGGCGCCCAACGCCTAATCTGTACTGCGTCTCCTTTGCCTTTCGGGTTCGGGACGTAGGCACGGCAGATGCTTCCAGAGGTGCAGGTTCCTGCTCCTCGTTAGAACCTGCCAATTGGTCCTCTTCCTCGTCGGTGTCGTGGACAATAACGGTGCCACCAGAGCGCATACGAGATCCTGTGGTAGACCGACTGACCACCCTTAGCGAAGAGGCCCGTTTAGGTTCCGGTGCACGGTTAACGGGCTTCGGAGGCTGCTGGGTGTCCAGCAGTAGATCCACGAGTGCTTCCGATTTAAGATTTGCCTTAATGCCGTGATCCTATATGCGAACGTCAATAATCTGGCAAACACAGTGGGGTGAGTGCATAGAAGCAGACCTTGCAGATCTTCTGGAGGTCACTGCGCTTCATATTCTCCAGCGTTTTTCGATCGTACGGCACAGGCATGGCTAGGAACTGCGGTGCGCTGAGTCGAGGGGAATTGTGCGAGATGATCGCGCGGAAGGTCCAGCACGTTGAAGAGAGGTTGAGGCTGCAGTGGTTGACGCCGGAGTTGGAATTGCCGAGCCAAACAACGCGCACAACAACGCGAACATCACGTGCTCCGTTTTGTTTGGCCACCTTCTCTTTCTCCACCCTGTCTCAGCCAATCGAACTCGGCGATAACTAGAACAAAAGTGACATCTGAAGGAAGAAAATGTTTCCATCTGATCGACTCCTCGAATTGTGGCCTCTGACACGCCTATGATTAAAGCTTTTGTATCGGATTTGTTCTCGTTCCTGAAGCACGAGGACTCCGAAGGAGGTAGCGTGAAGAGCTGGAAGGAGTATACTCTGTGTGTCATCACGTCGGTAAGTATCGGTCCACGCAGTCAATGTGTGGACAGGCTTGTTTGACTGAGATGTTTTGTGAAAGACTGTTTAGCTCGTCAGATCTCCTTGTTCTCGCCGACACGCATGTGAGTACAATTCTGATCACATTATGCTCCAAAGGTCCGCATTCAGTGAACCGCTATACCTTGTGTTGTGCAGCGAGTTCGAAGTCCTCTGTTATCGTCTGGGAGTCAAGTATTCGCTCCTTCGCCGGGACTTCGAGCATGCACGGGTCAGTTATGCATTTCAATCTTGTTTCAATCCTTCAGTACGCCATTTGCGTACAATTCCATGTATGTATGAGCATCCCGTGCTGTGCGCAATTTATCTTTCAGTCAATGGCATGTCGAACCATGTCTCGGGATCACTCGAATGGTCCACGAGCATTCCATCCTTGTTTACGTTGGCCGCACCTGACCGCTTCTGTACGGAGATATATACATGATCTGCTTCTCATGACCTTCAGCAAGAGGATCTAATTGCAGTGACGACGTTTAAACCAACCTCGAGTCTCCATGAAATGATCACCTGCTTTGCAACGCGGATGCCGCCATTCCGTCTCGCTCATGCTTCGGTGGATACTCCATAGAAGCTCGTATGCTGATTATATAGAGCGTCTGATTGGAGTACAATATTCTCTCTTCGCTTTCTGTCTGTACTCACAGCATGTATGAACCATTGTCACTTGCTGAAGTTGCCAAGCACAACGCCCGTAGGTGGGTAAACGCGTACTACCACCACGCAGTGGGCGCGAGAGCTGAAGTTTTCGCGATTCAGTTCATGCTGGGTCATTATCAACAACAAGGTCTATGATGTTACCGAGTTTCTACCCGTAGGTCTTCTCGTTGACATTGCAAAGCTGTATGTAAACTTCCAAGGTCCATGTGTTCTTGTATATCAGGCGCACCCAGGAGGCTCGAAGATAATCTTGAAGTACGCCGGACGCGACGCTACTGCCGCGTACGAGCCAATTCATCCTCCAGATGCCTTGGAAAAGAACCTCCCGAAGGATAAACACCTTGGCGTGCTGGACACTGCTGGAGCCCAGGAGCTGAAGGAGGAGCGAGAGTCCCGGCGGAAGACCAAAGATGAACTGCGCATGGAGGAGGCGGAGGCAGTGAAGCCCCCACTCAGCAGAGTCATGAACCTGCTCGACATGGAGGTGATTAATCACATCCTTGTGATGTTTGTGGGGTGCCCTGATACGATGTGTTGTTGGTAGAACGTTGCGCGGAAGGTCCTCGCGTACAAGGCGTTGGCGTACTACTCGTCTGCTTCAGACGATGAACTCAGTACGTAGCTAGGTCTGTCTCTACATGATCCCGTCGCGAATGCAGTTGAACAGCGCACAAGGAGAACATTCGGTCTTTCACTCGATTCTTCTTCAACCCGCGCATCCTCAAGCCAGTTTCAAAATGTGACCCGTCCACGACCATCCTCGGTTTCAAGTCTTCGCTGCCTATCTATGCATCCGGTGCCGCTCTGGCCAAGCTCGGTCATCCTCTCGGTACGTGCGAGTATCTCAATCAGCGCGAAGCCGCTCACCCCATGTGTCCAATGCAGGTGAAGCGAATATCACCCGCGGCGCTGGACGCACTGGCATCATCCAGATGGTATCCTACAACGCATCCCTGTCCTTCGCCCAGATCGCTGCGGCGCGTCTCAGCCAGGACCAGCCCATATTCTGGCAGCTCTACAAGAACAAGGACGACAAGATTGCCGAGGCGCGCATACGGGAGATCGAACAGCTGGGATACAAAGCGATATGTCTGACCGTCGATGCGGTCGTCGCCGGTAATCGCGAGCGTGACATCAAGGCGCCTTTCGAGCTGGAGGAGCTCGAGAGGGAGGCGGCGGGGGTGCCGAAGGACAGAGGTAAAGCAGAGAGCGCGCAGAAGCCTGAAGAGCATGCAGATGAAGCCGGAACCGCTGGTATGTTGTTGAAGAACGACGATGTCGACTTGTCATGGGACAGGGCAGGTCTTGGTTTGATTTGATTGCATTGTCGGCACTGACCCAAGTCTACATCAGACTATTCCCTGGTTGCGCCGAACCACGAAGCTCCCAATTGTTCTGAAAGGTATACTTAATTCGCGCTACGGTGATGAATTATGCTGACAAAGTGACGCAGGCATCCAGTGCGTCGAGGCAAGTATACAAACACCCACTGTTGTTCACGAGTTGTAACTAACCATTTCTGCGTGGTGCAGGACGCGGTGCTCGCTGCCGAGGCTGGCCTTGATGGTATCGTGATCTCCAACCATGGTGGTGAGTTTCCTCGTTATGATGTCTGAATTTATCTCAACTCGTCTTCAGGTCGGCAGCTTGAATAGTGAGCATGCCCTACAAATACCGCAATGCGTGTTGCTGATGATAGCTCAATGTAGTGCCTTGCCTCCGATGGAAGTCCTGTACCGCCTACGCAAACAACGCCCAGACGTGTTCGACAAGCTAGAAGGTCAGTGATTCGAGCTCGCAGTTGAATCCCGCTGACGAATTGTTTGCAGTATACGTTGACGGTGGCGTGTATCGAGGAACGGGTGAGTACCCTGCAGGTTTTACTTACCTTTGGACAAATTTCTGACCATTTCTTCCTTACAGATGTTTTGAAGGCACTATGTCTTGGAGCTAAAGCAGTAGGCCTGGGGCGAGCGTTTATGTATGCACAGAGTGTGAGCATCATCATCATTACTGCCGTGAGTCTTGACTAAAGAGCAAACAGGCGTATGGGGAGGAAGGTGTTATCCACACAGTGCGCATCTTGGAGCGCGAGATTCTTACTGGAATGCGGCTGATGGGAGCAACAAACGTGGGTGAATTGGTTCCCGAGATGGTGAGTCTTTCATATGTCGATGCCAGGTTTTTAACCGACCTTTCGGGAATCTACGAGGTCGAGCGCGTCGACTGGCAGCCTGTGTCCAAGTTATAATTTCCGACCGTTCCCTAGAGGCCTCGAAGGTATAACAGATGCGACAATGGTTGGATTACCCGTCTCTTCCTGTAGGTTAGACTCGAGAGAGAGTTGTTACATGTCAAACTAGTGCTTCAATTATTGTCGACGCTGTTAGATATCACTACATTTGACTGGGAGGAAAGAACCGTCAATAATTGATATGCAAGACGGCTGTTGAATCAACTTCAAGGAGTAGTGCATCATCATTCCAAGCTCATCCTGACCTATACTGTGAGGAATTTAAGCAGGAGGATTCCACGGTACAAGAACAAACATACCAGAGGGACTACTTCATCCAACACCTTCGCCGTTGCTTGTACAATTATTTCCCATTCGACTTTATGGAGCCGCTCCTCGAACACCTCAATTGGCTCGCCCGTTGTGATCTCGACCTCGCTCACAATTACCGGTGTCCCGCGATCAACCTCTTTCACCACTCGATGCACCATAACTCCAGTTTTCGGAACCTCGCCCTTTTGGAAAGCCTCGTATGCACGCTCAATTGCGTTCGCGCCGTCGAATGCATCGGGAAGTGCAGGGTGGAGATTGATCACTGGAATGGGTTTGGCGACATTCTCTTCGGGGTCCAGACATCGGTCTCCGTTGATCACGTCGAGGAAGCCATCGCCCATAATGTGCATCCAGCCAGCCAGGACGACGAGATCGGGTTTTTCCCTCACCACTATCCTGGCAATCTCGATGTCGTAGTCATCGCGCGTTTTGCCTGGATTCGCTTTAAGGAAGGGTTGGAGAGCAAGGTAAGAGGTGCGTATAGGAGGGTTGGCTTGTGAAGCCCGTGTCAGGCCATATGCTGCTTTCCTGTTTGATAGAACTAGCGTGATGCGGGTCGCGGGTAGTGAGGGGGTGTTTTGGGCGTCGATGAGAGCCTGCAGGTTCGTGCCTGGTGTGACCTAAGCTGGAGGTGGGATTCTGAGGAGTTACGAGAGCACACCTGAGCCCGAGATGAGGACGACTATCCGCCGCTGTTTTAGACCACCGCCCTCCGACATGGAGCAGGCAGAAATATTGTGTCACCGAGGAGAGTTACTTCGACTTGGAAGGATGAGCTTCAAGAACGAAAAGTTGTGCCGAGATCGTGCAGATCTCCGCACGTGCCGTAGCTTAGATCTCCGTGTTTCGCGGACTATCGTTTCCTGCTGGGTCTCCTGTCTCGCGGCTCATAAATACATGCTATATACACTCATGAATCTCGCCAAGGCCACGCAATTACAAAATTTCGAGAGTCTTCTTGCTTTGGCAAACAAGAGATGGACTCAGCAAGGGCGTCGCAGCGGAAAGTGGGGAACGGTCACGTGAGAACCAACCTTAATGACGTCAGTTAACCATATATAGATGGCAACGACTGCCAGGCGCGTGTTAGACAGCTTCACCCCGGACCATGTCCACGTTTCCCGACTACTACCGTCTCCTCAACATTTCTCAGTCTGCGACAGAGGATGATATCAGACAGGCGTACAAGAGAGAGTCTCTCAAGTACGTATAATGATTTAATCGTACAGACTTTACCTAATCTCTGTAGACTTGCAGGACACATCCAGACAGGCTAACACATGCGTCTCTGGAGGAGAAGAAGGCTGCGACGGAGAGGTTTCAGGTATGCGTTCACTCCTCGCTGCTCTAATTCATAGACTTACTTAATAATCCCAAGGCCGTAGCGGACGCCTATTATGTTCTCTCAGACAAGACAAGACGGAGAGAATATGACACCCTGTATGCAACGCGCGGTCCCTCCGAGAGATCAGGTGCGCCTGGAGCTTCGGCGAACTTCTTCTCTGCATTTGGGAACATGTTCGGCGGAAATGGCAACGGCGCAGAAAGTGCGACGGGCGCGACAGCAGCCGACAGACCCGATGCGGACAATGTATTTGGAGATGTCTTCGAAGAGGTGAGGGAACGTCAATTTTTTAAGAATTCCCTGGTCTGATTCTCCTTGCAGCTGCTTCGACCAGAGGTGGAACGCCATGCGCCATGGTGGTCGTGGTTCGGTACTGCATGTGGGGCAGGCGTTGGGTTCATCGTGGCCAATATTCCCGGGTTGATGATTGGTGCGGCCGCGGGAAACCGTCTCGGCGCCATCAGGGACGCTAAAGGACGGAGCGTCGCCTCTGTGTTTGCGGATCTGGGTGGTAACCAGAAAGCAGAGGTGAGTTTCTCTCTATCTAGCCAGTCATTTTTACATCGTCTCATCTCGTTATCCAGATACTGAAGGCCCTTGCTGCGAAAGTGTTGGGCGCTGCTGCGGGCTCTTTGTGACGATGGTACAACGGCGGATGCGATCGTTGGGTGTTGTGATATTATTCCTCTGTCGGATGTATGTACCGTACTTATGTATCGATAGTTTCGGGAATTTGCGCTGCGAACTGCTCGTCAAGCGCCCGACGAGGTCACTTCCATAAATATTGAGCCGATATATACACGCCCCTAATTAGTTCACCTTCATACCAACTGTTACCGAATCCCCTCGTCGCGGACATACTGACGTGTCGATGGTTGATCTCAACAACTTGCGGTCCCAAACGCCGTCGCGATCGTCATCTAGAAGAGTGCAAGGTGCTCAACGCATCCCACAGCTATTTCGCCCGTGAAGTGATATTGACCATCGACACCATCGTGGTCCCTAGCGTCCCGCATAACCAGCAGCGAGCCTCCCGCGGGTCCTAAGCGGTCAGGTTTACTTGGTTTGTGGGTGCGCTTTTTCTTTGTGCTCCGTGCTTATTAGCGTATATATACCTCCGGGTGCAGATTCTGTTGATCTGTCGTCTCTGAAGCGAAGTGAATATGCTACAAATTCTTCGTTTTTCAGCAAAGCCTGATGTGCTCTATCTTGTATTCATCTTTAGAACGTCCCGCGTCTCAAAAGGCTGAGCACGTCGCGCCGACTAGTACGCGGACCCTGCGCGCTCGCTCCTGTGTGTATCTATGTCTTATGCGCGTTCTTAACTTCACGCTCCACTTAGCGCAACATAAACCGTCCGAAACGTCCAAGCGAAGTGGGTCAGCAACTGCGAATACCAGTACTGCAACACCTGCGAAAGGAGCCTCGTCGTCAGCCAACAAGCCTAAGCGCAAGCGAGCACGAACAGCTTCCCCCTCACTGCTCCCCGCCAAGGAGGTCCCGCAAAAGCCCACGCGTAAATCCACAGGTACCGCTCCTGCACGCCCCAAAGATCATACGACCAACACCGGCCTTCTGACTCCGGCATGGTCGGCAGAATTTCAGAGCTCTGCAACAACCAACCTCTCGCAAGGCGAGAAGAATGTGAAGGGTTTGCGTGCGCCGTTGGCATCCTTACCCAGCAAAAGTATTGATAAGGGTAAGGGTAAGGGTAAAGCAAGGGAAGTTGAAAACCAAGCCGGCCCTTCCGCTGACGAGGACAACGATATCCACGGCAGCCAACGCACCGAGCAGACTGCATCCGCCCGGGGTACGAAACGTCGCAAGATCTCCTCGCCTGCGATATCTCTTCCTGGGTCTCCATCGCAAGCATGCAGCTCGCCGGAAATTGATGCAGAAGACGCGGATTCTGACCTCTCCTTCCACATGCTGGACATACCAGAGGTGGCTGCACTTCCATGGCTGCCCCAGGAGCCGTCCTCGCCTGTGCGTGCCTCGGGGGGTCCCGAGGCGAGCCTGTACGTGCCCCCAGGAGTGTTGCACCTCATCGAGAGTAAGTACCTTTCCATCTACCGCGGGCACAGGCCGAATACACTGACTGATCCTTCCCGCCCGCGCCGCAGACATGAAGCACGCGCTGGCGATGGAGACCACCGCGCGACACAACGCCGAAGCGCGCTACGCCGAGGAGGTGCGGCGGCGGCTCGACGCGGAGTGCGCGGCGGCGGAGCTCGCGGAGGAGAACCGGCTGCTCGAGCGCGAGGCGAAGGCGTGGTCGAGCGCTGCGGCGGAGACGTTTGCGGACGCATTCGCGCAGGCGTTTGCAACGAGCGTGAGCCCCGCGCGCACGGGCGATGCTGACGCCGCGACGGCGGCACAGCACGCTCTGCGCGATATTGAACAAGCCATCGCGTTGGCATTCCCGCTGAATGCTGAGAGCCTCGTCGCGGCGCTGGTGCCTGCGCTGACTTTGACAGAAGGTAAGGGGAAGGGGAAGGTGAGGGACGTGGAGAGAGATACTAGGGAGCTGAGCCCGAGCGTGACTGAAGAGCCAGCCGCTACCCTCGAACGGCCCACCCGTAAGTTGACATGGCTTTTGAATGAGATTGTGCATGCTGAGCGTTTTGTTACTCCTCGTTTATAAGTGTCACGGGCATCACCCAGGCAAATGCCTTCAGCATCTGTGCCGAGTCGGTCAGGCGGGAGCTGACCTCGGTATCGCGCTCGTCCAGCGGCGGCTTTCCCTATCACAACTGGAAACACACTAAATATTTGCCTTTGCAGCCCGCGAACTCGCGATGCCAGTGCAACTCTGTTGCGTTCACTTAGCGAATGAGCCTGTCACACTGCGTTCGCACCCCTTGGGAAAGCAAGGAGTGGAACACAGCGCGACACCAATATTATTTCCACAGCTAGTTTGTCTTTGCAGGGGCTGCCCGAAGGCTACATGCAGTACACAACGAGTAACTGATTGCAGAACAGGACGATCATGAGTAAAAAAATACGTAGGAGAACCGGTAACGGATACACAATTACGCATGTATTAGATGGATATGGTCCAGGGTATTAATACACCGTCCTGGTCGCTTTGGATATAGCACACTTGGTTTGGTTAGGATATAATGCGACTTGGTCTTCATTGGATAGCCTCGCACGGACGTCGAAAGGGTGAGTGTCGAATACGGAAGCTCAGCGCTCCTGCTGCCAGTCGATGAATATTCCAGTATCTTTATCCTGGGCTCTGAGGCTGCTGGAGAAGCTCAATGCCACAACTCGCCGACATCAGAAGGCTCCCCGCTCGACGAGCCCTCGGCCTGTCGCAGCGCCTCGTAGTCGTTCACGCCCCCAGCGCCGTTCGCCATGGCTAAGATGAGGGCATCGACGGCCTTCTCAGAGGCGGACGATGGCACATGTACTGATTGAGGATCGAGAAAATCGACAGTCCGGTTGGCATACGGGTGATGTGAGGGATCGTGAGGACTGGATAATGACAAGGGGAGCGAGATGAGGGAGGAGTTCGCCGAGTTGGTGTATGTATGCGACAGTTCTGGCGTGGAAGAAAACCCGAACGGCTGGTCTGTCGGGAAGAGCTCCTCGTCGTCAGAGGAGCACACCGAGATGCCAGAAAAGACGTCAATTGGAGAGGAATAGCCCTCGCTGCCGACCGTCGGGGAGAAAGGTGGCAGAATGTCAGGCATGTCGACCTCCATCATGCCGAGAGAATATGCCCTCTTTTTGTGTGATGGACTTCGAGTGTGGAGGTACATGTCTGGCGCGGCGGACACGATTTCGACCTCCTCGTCCTCGACATCCGGAGTTACTGGAGCATAATAGCTCCATCGGGCGTCCCGCCGCCGCGGCAAACCATTATAATGATCTGGGATGGCGGTAGGTATGCGTCGGGAGTGCTCCCAATCGCGCATACGCCGCACAAGGCCCTCCCCGCTGTCCGCAACGCTGCGGTGTAGTTCCCCAAACGCGTCCGATCGCAACCTATGCAAGTCATTGGACGGTCTGCGCTCTCCGCCTCTGCGAATCACAGATTCCGTGCGATGCAGGCCGTGATGCGCGGTACGGCGGCCCTTCTTCTGCCGGTGGGGGTACAGCTGGAAGGCAGCGGATGTGCTCGCCAGATCCGAGGCAGGAGTGTGCGCGGTACCACTGCGTTCCATGCGCGAACCTGATGGCAAGGCGCATTGCTCGTCCTGGACGTCCCAATGCGGCTGTCATCGGGTTGTGAGCGGATGGAGGGTGAGGGGAACTCACGGCGGTGTCTCTCCGCGCTCGTTTACCTCTGAGCCGTTGGTCCATGCCCCGGTTTTCTGGGAGCTCGTCAGAGGGCAAATCATGGAGCGAGGGACTGCGCCGATGGCTGGGTCGTGCCCTCTTAGTCGCGGTCCTCCACTCGGAGTCGTCTGTATACTGAATTCCGCGGATGGGTGAGGAGGCGGACTGAGACCTGAGACGGGGGAGCTGGCGGCGGACAGGAGACGACATGCAGAGGGTGGGGAACGATTGGGAGGACGGCTTGCAACGGGTCCGGGGCAGGGACCGTTTGTATAGGTGAGCGGCGGAGCGTTGGTTTACATAGTCCCCGTGCGGCATTTTCCGTGTGCAGCTGCCTTCCACTCACTCACCACAGCGCCGGTCCCATGTTTCCCCCTCGTCCCTATCGCCCATCCCACAATCTTTGCCAGATAACTACCAAACGACCACTACACACCGGCCGCGACGCAATTCAGCCGGACTTGACTCGGACTTGACTCGGACGACAACCACATCCTGGTTACTGAACGGTCCCGAACAATCTCCTACTTATCTCCCCCGTGTGTGATGCTCGCAGAGGTGCTACTGTTCTGACTGAGTCTGAGACTCAGACGTATTGTTGCATGCGGTATGCTCGTTCTTGATGATCTCTAGCTTCTTCCCAATTCTCAGGTGCTTCTTCGACTCGACTGGATTCTCTCATTCTCTCCATTGATTTATCCATGTCCGCTCCTCCGCCGGGACCGACCCGACTGTACGGGGTCACACAAGTAAGTACCACCCTGCAAGTCGTCCTTCAGCGCTGTGACATGACACTCTGCGGATATGCGGTCTATGTCGGAGCGCGTATCGGTGATCTCACGTATTCTGTACTTCTGCAGGGGGAAGCGTATCATATTCCTGCGGAATCATTGTTCAGCCAGGTAGTGGCAATTGTGCAAAAGCGGACCCGCAGGATCTTGTCGGGACCGACCATGGCAGTATCGTGGCGTTTTCTCTATCTCGTTCTCGATCACCATGGACTCCATCGGCTTGTTGGGCGGTCTCCGTGATGCTGCTCAATCTCAGTCTTCGATCGCAACAAAAATGACAACAAATTATCTATTCCCTTTTCATTCCCATTCCGTTAACATCTCGATTGAGGCAACTGAAGATGATGGACCCAGGCAACGACCTTGCGAGCTGAGTGCCTGCCTGCCTTCCTGAGCCGCGAGAGGATTTTTCTGACTCGCCAGTGTACGCAGCTAGTTGAGTGAGATGGATTCCGGTCTATGACGCGCTTACTGCAACGCAGGCTCGGATTATATGCGTTACGAGACTTATGTATGTACTCGAAGTTCGATGTGTCCACTTTCAAGTCTCCATCCAGTTATAACTATCCTATAGCGGCTAAGGATATCCACGGCCATAGGACTTCGAAAGCACCGCATCCCGTCTGATCTGCGCAGTTAACTGAAGTGCCGCCCAGTTAGTACCACGGTGGGGGACCACGCGGGAATCCTGGGTGCTGTGGTTTTTCTTTAGTAACCTCTGGATGCAGCTTCGCGGCATGTCTGATGTCGCATTCGTCCTGTTGACAGGTTTTTTATCCTGCCGACCTGTAAACACGCTTATGAAGACAGTCACCCTGAATCAGATCTAGAGTATATTATTTTGACTTCCGACTCGCAGCACCAGGCATATTTCGCAACTGGGGTCCTCATTGCACGGAGCTTCGTGCGTCACATTCACACCGCACAGTCGAGCAAGGTGTATGCAGGAGACTTGCTTCACGGTACGAGCGGATAGATGACAAACAATGCGCTGTAATGTTTGCCCAGTTGCACCCGAAATGATACAACCCATCACTTCCTCAATAGTATATACACAGGGTCCCCGAGCACGATACCCGTCATATGTCGAAAGGAGCCCGTCAGCGACATGAGGAGCCCACCAAACGACGCATACGCCGTTCTACATAGTCAGCATATCAGACCGCCAGTCAGCTAAAGCCGGGGTGCTGAAGTACTCACACAATCTCCGCCGCGCCGCCGTCGAACCTATATACCTTTTCATAGCATGAGCCAGCACAAATCACAGCAAAAGTGACGAGGACGCGCCCACTTTGCGCAGGCGCGCACGACGCGAAAGGAGACTCACCTTGCCGTACATCACATACTCGTAGTCCTCTTCGAGTCCACGGCGTCCCTTCCCGTCTGGCCTCCACACGTCGTTGTCCTTGTCATCATCCCCACCCGCAGTTGGTGGCCCCCGCGCGAGGGACGACGCAAGTGCGAGTGCGAAGGACTGATCCTGCTGTAGCGGGTAGAGTTCGACATTGTAGTCTAACGTGAGGTCCATGTCGTAGTTTTTTGAGTGTGCGTATAGGCGAGAGACTAGATATGCAGTGCAAAAAATAGACGGATCAGTAGGGAGGCCAGGGCTTCGCATGCAATTGGTGGACCTCGGTCGAATTTTTTGCCTTCCTTGTCGATGTCGCTAATCGTGAAGATGTCGTCGAAGATGACGTTGGAGCTGTTGGAGGCCATTGCGATAGTAAAGTACGTGGGCAGTCCCCTATTCGCAGAGTGCGAGACGATAGAATGGAAATGGAACAGTACGGAATGTCAGTGACCGTGGTTGGAGGTCAAATGAATAAGCGCCGGACGCGAGCGTGATCGTGTGTTGCGCCGCGGCGTTACACTGCGGCCAGTGGCTTCAACAGACTGGCAGCAAGTCTGAGCGTTCAACGTTCAACGTTGAACATCTGAACTACCAGAGATATGCTCCAATATCTTCAAACTCCTAGTCTAGATCGCTGCATACAAACGCAACATCTCCGCGACTAATTACCAACTCCCGGCTCCTCTAACCTGCACCTCCAAACACTTCCTCAACGCTTCCCTCGTGTCCCCGACCTGCCAAGTTGAAATGTCATGCTCCTCACCTTCCTTACACTGTACTGGTGTAAAAAATGGAGCGACACAGACCTTGCCTATCGCGCGGAAGAGGTCCTCCAAGATCCAGGTGAGGCGCGGTCCGGTGAGTTCAATAGCGGGCTCTGAGTTGACTTCGAGAATGTGCACCTGATATTTGCGTGTGCTTGGTGATGAGAATGGTGCAGTATGCGTGACGAGGAAGTCGACCCCGTAGAGCTCGAAGGCATTTGGAAGAGGCTTCGATTTAAAAGTCAATACCAGCCGTCGCATCGGGACGCTGTATATACCTGGAAATGAACGCTCATTTCTAAAGCGGCCTTGAATGTCTCTGCAAGGACATCGGAGATTTGTGCCTTTATGTCCTCGATATCTTCCTGCGCGAGGACTGGCGATAAGTGGCGTGCTTCTGCCGTTCGGCGCGCTTCTTTGACTTGTGCTTGACTGAGAGAGCGAACGTGATCTACTTCGAGGACTTCACCCATAGCCCGTGGAGGCCGAGGCTGGTGCCTCGGCGGTGCAGGTTGTTTATGTTCCTGTGGAGATGGTGATGCCGAGAGAATATGACACCCCACAAGTTCATCCAGCAGTCTGACCCCGGCCTCACCTCGCTCACCCTGCAAGGACGTATTCGTCAGATGTGCCGCAAGGTCTCCATTGACGGCATCTTCATCGTTGACTGCAGAGGTAGGCGCAGCATACCGCACGGCGGAGAACAGAGAGAGTATTCGGGTATACATGTACACTGTTAGGGCACCAGAGGCGACGCAGTATACGCGTAGGTGGAACTGTTCCATCGGCTATGAGCTAATTCATGGTGCTGGAAAGGACGCTGAGCTGACTTTGTGTCCGTGGAGGTCCTTGAGACGCGGTTTGGGCCTTCCGTCTAGAGGGACCTCCAATGGATCCACGAGAATACTGTTGGAGAGATATTCCTGACAGTGAATGTCAGGGTCTTGGCGGGTAGGAACCACGGTTCTTGTGACTCGGACGGAAGAGCTCACTTGAATAACAAAATGGCGAAGCTGAGAGGTAACGACGTTCGTATCGAGCCCTGGGCGTTCCTCCTCGTCAGAGTCTTCGTCGAATCCTTCAAATATTCTTTGTAGCTGCTCCTTGCTGTGGAAAAGCCTGATTCCCATCGCGCGATCCGCCATGCCAGGTTTCAGGATCCACCATCGGTTAGACCGTTTGTCCAGTTCCTGTCCGAGATCGTACAAATCATCGCTCCACATCTCATCCAGCTCGTCAGCATAGCTGATTTCCAGCTCCCATGTTTGCGGCGACGCGTAACTCAGGAGTGACTCCGGATGCTTTACGAGATAATTGTGTATGCACCGAGAGAGAAAGTGTTTGCGGATGAGCGCCTTGCGTATGATATAGGATGAGGATAGAACTCTGGAATCAGCGCCGTATGAATGCGTCAGGTCATGGTCAATCAAGTCGTAGGTAGACCACTGGAGTAGGTTTCTCGGAGATGAAACGTAGTCTTCCGGGAGAGATGTGACGGTTGATGGAGGAGGATCAAGAGAAAGTAAGGATTTCCGGACGAGAAAATCCGTGAGCGGTGCAGCCGGCCAGGAGACCAGCGCAGTAAAGTCCTGCATAACTATCGGTGATTTTCGCCTTGTCCACTTTCCGTTAGAAATTGATTTTCTTGCAATTGGAAACCTCAGCAAAGGAACCTTAACCCTAGATTCGGTACTGATTCACATGTCCGCATGCGGAAGGGCTCATATTTGAGCGACCGCGCACACGACGCGGCCGTCGGCGAGGGAACGTCTCCCGAGATCGGTTTCTTACCGACCACCTACTGCTACTTCGCTTTGTTATGCATCTACACGATGGGGAACGCGTATATCTTCAGTTTGCAGCCGACCTTCACGCAGGGTCTTATCCTCGGGCAATTCTCCGTCTTCTTCCTACTTGTTCTCATCCTCAAATACCTCTTCTTTGATACCGTCTCGGAGCACAGCAACAAGGTGTCGTCGTACCTGCCAAAGGTTGAGCGTGATGACGAGGATGACGAGTTCAACGCCAACTTGGAGCAACTGAAACTGAAGACGGAAGGTCAGTCGGTTCCGGAGAGTGCAGACTGGCTCAATGTTTTGCTGCAGCAAGTATGTCGATTACATACTGTTTCTATTTTCTCGTTGTGTTGAGGACCTTTTTCTTAGGTAGCGGAAGTATACCGCATGAAACTGCGCGATAATAAGCCAGGACCAGAAGGAGACGAGGTCGCCCGCAAACGAGTGGAAAAATATGCAAATCAAATCCGCCCTCCGGGCTTCCTGGTTCGTACGGTATGCTTTTCCGTAATGACATCCGTTAATCCCATACCGCTGTTCCTAGGATCCAATCAAGGTGCACTCCGTAGATTTAGGCGTCGTTGCGCCTCAGCTTTCTCGTGCACGTCGAAAGCACTATAATCCACCCGACTCGGTGAACCTATATGTTATCTTAGGAGTGATAATAACATGTGCTGAACGTCGCTGCAGGCGATTGAATTCGACATGACATATGTCGATACCCTCTCCGTCTCGCTTTCCACCTCTGTACTATTTAATTACCCGTTCCCGGCCTTCGCACGCCTCCCCGTATCCCTCACCGTCTCCCTGTCCCTGTTTTCTTCCTCCGTATGTCTATAATCACGTTACCGCATCTTGGTGCACTTATCTTTTATCATGCAGGTTCTTCTCACCCCGCCACAGCCCCAGTCTCCACACCCCACCATCACATTCACCCTTCCGACTCCACAAACTGAGTTCACACTCGAACTGCGCACCACATCCCTCATGGGCAGTCGCGCAAAACTGGCTGATGTACCAAAATTGCACGAACTCATCACACATCAGGTACGCTCAGCCCTCTTCTCCGGCATGCGTTTTTGGCTCACGTTTAGCATTGCAGATACGACGAGTGCTTGAGGAGAAAGGCACATGGAAAGTCGTCCTCCCAGGACTGGCTACAGTGAAGGAGGTGAAGGAAGACGTCCTCAGGGAACAGATGTTGGAGGAAGCACTCAGCTAATGCAAGTTTCAGGACGCCTGTGCCAGGCATTTGTCTTTGTCGGGCTATGTTTATTCAACGCTTCTTTCTGACGATGCCTAATCCAGGTTATTCACGACATGTACGCTAATGATGTTGTAATTTCCATATATCTATATACCATAAATTCTTTCAAGTCCGCGGGTTTATAACGAACTCTATGCATGACAGCTATCACGAGAGATAGCGAGGAGCGACAACAGAAACATCGCAATGCCATACGGAACATCTCGTCGAACCCCTGGTGGATAATATGGGTGACAACTGCCTGCGGACAACCTTTCTCAGGAATTCTGCAGCACCGCCTAACCCAGCAGCAACAGCGCTAGATCACGACGCCTTCGATCTCTTGTGAGAACGACCATCGTTGTCTTCATCGTGGCGGCGTTTCGAGGTGACGCTCGCGGCGGGGCCAGTGGATCCTTCTTTGGGAACAGGAATAATCGTCTTCCCAGCCATCTCCGCTTGCAGGACAATATCCAACTTCCGGTTGTAGCCAACGTAACGGAAGCCGATGCACGCTATCGTCAATATGCCTTCCGCGTACATGTTCTGAATCATCTTGCTTATTACCGGGGGTACCAGCTCTGATGAGGGCGTCGTGCGTTGCTCGACGCGCTCGATGAACTACGAATCGAAATATTTCATCAAAAAAAGAAGCCTCGTTCGCAGGTTCATGTTCACACTTACCTTGGGGCCATTGACGATTTTGCGGATCTCGTGGGCAGGCAAGGTGGCGGAGCCTATACATTCGAAGGTGCCATAGTAATACCAGACATCCTGCTGCCTGTAGAAAAGGTCCCGCTGCTGGGATGGTAGTTCTTTTAACCTTTCCACGAAACCAGACTTCTCCCAAGTGGCGATACCCGACTGTGCCATGGGGTTGATGAAATACAACGGAGTCAGAAGAACACAATGGCCAAAGCTAGCTTGGGGCCAGACAAGGTCGTTGTAACTGCCCCGTATGACATCGCCTGGCATACTGAAGAGGAGTTGGTTGGCAAGTGGTTGGTGTGTGTCGGGGCTCGCATGAAGAGCTTACCATAAGCCTCTTGCTGCCTAAATGACTCGAATCAGCCAGGTTTCTGGGCGAGGCCTGTGACTAAAACTCAAGATATACACTGACCTTTGACAAACAGAAGCTCCTGCCCGATGTCATGGGCTTCAGAGATTTTAATGGGGGCTGGCGCGCATCCGTTTGGGACATATTCAGAAAATGGAAATGCTTCAAACAGAGTCTTCGCCTTGGACGCAGCGGACGCCTGAAAGATCATCAGTCTCTGTCTTGAGATAAGTCAGTATTCCTACTTCTGAAATCGCCGCCCGTTCCAAGGCCGCGTCTCGTTTGACTACAGCGTCATCAAGGCGGTTTTGGAAATCACTGACGGACTGGTAAGGAAGAATTAACATATCCAGTCGACCACGGGTGATCTGATACTGCTTACGTCCTTCAATTCTTCTTTGAACTGTTTGGCCTTTTTGTTTGTACTTGCCCTTGAGCGCAGCAAGTTTATCCTCCAGACGTCCTGTGATTTGAGCCTACAAGTGGAGATAGGTAAGTTCCTCAATGTGGAGAAAAGGAATCGTCCCACATATTCTTCGTCCTTCCGCGCCCCGTCTTCAAGAGAGGCGGATAATTGCTGGCAAACTTCATCGTATGACTAGGTTCATGAATGAGTGCAATTACAGTAGATATGCCAGTACTCACAGAAGCGTTGGACAAGTGTGACTTGCCATCTTGACCCTCCAGTGCGGCTTCCAAACGGAGACGCAAATCAGCGAGTTCGTGCTTCAGCTGGTCATTCTCCCTCTTGAGCGCAATATTATGATCTACATCAGACAACGTGCTGGAAGTGCTGTCCTATATGCACTTTATATTTGAGTTCCAGTGTTATAAGACATCCACTTGAGATGATGTAGTCGTACCCCGCCTTTCAGTTCTCGTAGCTCTTGTCGGACGAGTTTGAGCTCATTTCCCAGAAGTTTCACCATTTCCTGAGCCAGTTCCGCATCACTGCAGACTGACTCCATGACAATATTAATCGTCGCAGACAACGGTGAAATGGATCATGTACTATAAGCGCTCAATATTCCGACTCGATCAAAGTTGAATCCGACCCTTGCCGATCGGCGGTACGACGCGTCCCGGTGTCCCGGGGCAGTCACATCTCATCCGGAAGTGTCGCAAGCAGACGTGCAGCAATAACCGGCTTCGATCCCGTAGGCAGACTACAATATAACCCTTGTTGAGTGGGGGAGGATGGGTTATAAATGGAAGAAAGAATAATCAGCCAACATTTATGGTCCGTTTGAGGCCAACCAGGGATGATATGGCATAGACATTGCCCAGTGCGCGACCCTCCTGCAGTGGAGTCCTGGACTCGCGACGACTCGGAAATGCGGCTCTCGGTGCATAGTAGAATTCCGCGGTAACAGGCCAACAAAGTGAGAACTAAGCATCCGTATTACGTCTTTGTTTCTTGCAAGAGTGTCCACCTTCTCCATCAATGCTGCGCTTTGCCGAGATAGCACCTGTCGAATCTGTAAGAACAGAATCGACCTTTCCAACCCTTGCTTGCGCTTGTAAGGCTTGGTTCAATGGGTGATTGAAGCCTACGTAACGATATCCGAAACACGCCACCGAAAGTATGCCTTCGGTATACATATCCTGCATCATCTTGATGATGAACGGCGGAACAAGTTCTGGTGAGAAGATGGTGCGCTTCTCGATACTACCCATGTACTAAGGTATGGGCATTATTACCGGTTTCTGAAGATACAGTTTGGTTATCTGAACTCACCTTCGCGCCAAGTTTGCGGACATCATTTGCTGATACCTCTGCCGAGCCGACACATTCGAATGTACCATAGTAATACCAAACTTGGCCCGTCATGTAGAAAAGGTCGCGCTTCTGGGATGCAGGTTCGATCATCTTGGCACACCAGGTGGACCTCAGCCAAGTACCACTGTCTGTGTCCGATCCATAAACAAAGTGATGCGTAGGAACGAAAGCCAGACAGTGCCCGAAGCCATCCTTCGACCACAGTAGCTCATTGTGACTGAATTTGACAAAACCACCGGGGACACTAATGAACTGCTTGAATGTATGGATCTCAAGATTCAGCGTGGAGCATACCACAAGTCAATGAGTTCCTATGCCAGCCAGCATCAAAGATGTTAGAGGAAAATGTTTACTTGTAACAGTGATCTGGCTCACATTCCGCAGGTATAAGTGCTTTCCCGATGATAGTCGTCTCATTGCTTTGATGGATGGTTGGGGTATGTCTGCCTGGGACATGTTCAGGAACTCAACTGCATTAAAAGCAGGTTTCGTGAAAGTGAAGGCCTGGTGAACAGTGAGTATGAACAGTGGGTAGTATAGCATGAAGTGATATGTACTCGTTGCGCTTCTGCGGCTACTGCACGTTCCAAAGCTGCCTGTCGATTGGCCGCAGCTTCGTCAAGCATTTCCCTCATGTTATTCAGAGACTGTTTGAAGATGTATCGGATGTCCTCTCATCCACGGACATGGACGGATTTACCTGCTGATTTTGGTTGTTTAGCTCCGTGATCCTTTGGTACTTCTCCCGAGCGGTGATTATCTTCTCCTCTAAGTGCTGAATAAATTCTGCCTGACGATCGTCACTATATATCAGTGGAGCAAGTGACATATAACATAACGCTCAAGGACTGGATGACATACATGATCTACATCTGCTTGTGCTCTATCCTCAAGGGTTTCCGACAGCTGAGCGCATACTTCATCGTATGGCTGTACCCCAAAATCAGCAGAGTATCATGCGCAGACGATGCAGATATCTACTGAACTGAGGGATTGGATAGATGCGAATTCTCATCTTGAGTTTCAAGAGCAGCCTCCAAGCGCAGCCGCATGTCAAGGACATCGCACTTTAGTTGCTCATTCTGCCTTCTCAGTAGTCGTTGCTCTGCCACGCTTTGCTCAGAGGAGGCCCTCGTTCTGTTATCCTGTCGGGTTAGGCATAAGCACACAATGACGGTAACAGCAACACTGGTCTTCACCTTTGCTTTCAGTTCTCGAAGTTGTTGGCGAGAAAATTTCAGCTCGTTACTTAGCAGTCTCACCAGTTCTTGGGCAAGCACTGGGTCGTCACATAGTACCTCCATGACCTCCACCTCCGAGACAACAGGACGCAACGCGTCTCCGTGCATTCCTTTTCTGTGACCGCGCCTCTTACGTACACACCAAGTGCTCATCCGGAACGACCATGGCAGATGCTGCTGGACCTTCTACACCCTCTCGTAAACGGTCGCGCTGGGACACAGATGACGAGCATACACAGGAGGCCACACAGCATCAACAGCCCGCGTCAAAACGACGCTCGAAAACGAAGTCGGTAGCCGAAGGCACACCAGAACGCGACCAGTCCAGTGTCCGAGTACAGTGGACACGTCCTTCGTACAGCATATATGTCCCTCCGAGAACACATCATCCACCCCTTCTGCCATCTCGCTCCGTTTACTGCTATGAGCGGCTAAACTCTATCGAGGAAGGGTCTTATGGTGTTGTCTTCCGAGCTAGAGACAAGGAGACGGGGGATATAGTCGCGCTGAAGAAGTTGAAACTGGATGAGGAAAAGAATGGGTTCCCTATTACTGCGCTGCGCGAGATCAACTCGCTTATGGTGTGCAAACACGAGAATGTTGTGGGCATACGGGAGGTAGTCGTCGGGGATACACTAACACAGTACGTCCCTTACATGTCACCATTCACGCTTAACATTAATGGAGTACCAAAGGGTTTTTATCGTGATGGACTTCATTGAGCACGATTTGAAGACGCTGTTGACCGTCATGCCTTCTCCGTTTCTACAATCTGAGATCAAGACGCTCCTGCTCCAGCTTCTCTCCGCCGTAGCGCACTGCCACGAACGCTGGATCCTCCACCGCGACCTCAAGACAAGCAACCTACTCATGAACAACCGTGGCACGATCAAAGTCGCAGATTTCGGCCTTGCGAGGCGATACGGTGATCCAGTGGGTGTGGGCGGCCTAACTCAGCTCGTGGTCACCCTGTGGTACCGGTAAGTGGCCTGTCTCCAATACACGTGCGTGCAACACTGTCAGCGGCTTTTTCTTGCGCAGTGCTCCTGAGATTCTGATGGGCGCGACGACGTACTCTACCGCCGTCGATATGTGGTCCGTCGGGTGTATCTTCGCAGAACTACTCCTCAAGGAGCCGCTCTTCCAAGCGAAGGGCGAAATAGAGCTCCTTTCCATGATCTTCAAGCTTCTTGGGCCCCCAACACCGTATTCTTGGCCAGAATTTGACAGGTTGCCCATGGCGAAGTCCATCAGCCTGCCTCCGGCACATCCGCCGCAATTGCGCCACAAGTTCCCATACATCACTGCAGCCGGTTTGGACCTTATGTCGCGCCTGCTGACGTACGATCCGGAAATGAGGATATCTGCTGAAGAGGCCCTGCACCATCCGTACTTCAGGTATGTCCGGACTTCTTGCATGCTTTTACGGAAGCTAATTCATGATGGAAGCGAATCACCTTTCCCTAAACATCCTGACCTCTTCGGATCATTCCCATCAGCAGCGGCTGGAGAGAAGTTCGTTGGTTACTCACTGTTGTATCATGCGCTTACCGTGTGTTTACAGACGACGCAAGCCATTCGATAGCCCATCTGCACCTGTGCGAGCAGCAGATTATAAATTACTAACCGACGACGACCCGTAGTATATCCGTCGTGTACTGACTTACCCGTGTATCGTTTACTTCCAGATGATCGTTGAACATGGAACGATTTGAACGACAAAATATGTTATTAGCCAGATAATGCTGCTAAAGTACAGAAGGAAGCCAAAAGCGCGAGTACATACGAAAATACATCCGAAGAATCGCCCAAACACTACACAGACATTCAATCCTCAAGAGCCGTTAGAGCATCCCTCATTTTCTTGAAACGTTGTTTGGTGCGTTCCGCATCCCCGCACTTGTCATAATACTCCTGGACCTCCTCCACTGTAAAGCGGAACTCCTGCGCAATATCGCGGACTGTCTGGTCAACGACGTGCAAAGCGGGCTGCTCCTCCCCGTTCTGAGCGGGGCTTTTGCTGCGGGTAAGACATTCGATTCAGCACCTAGCGTAATGCAATAACAACTAACCTCGTCCTCTGCCGCTTAATCGGCCCCTCTTCTTCGTGCTCCTCAGGCTTCCTCTTCGCCCACCCCGGTGTAGGTGCGTTACCTTCGCGAATCGGCCATTCATTCTCGTCATCCTCCATTTCTTCCTCAATCGCATTCTGTCTGGCGACAGCGATGTCCATCGGGCTCCCGGTGGGTACCTGCATGTGCTGGAAAATAGGCGGAGGACCCGGCACGTACATCATCGGGTTGAACCCATCGTTGGGGCCCCCCACGGCGGTGAGCACACCCGCCATGCCCGGGAGCGCGACGGGGACGGGCACAGGGAACGGGTCGATCTCCTCGCCGATGTTGGAGGGGCCCGGGACGGTGCCGTTGTCGGAATTGTTGCGCGCCTTCTTCCGGACGCGCTTCGGCTTCTCCTCCGGCTTGCGCACGTAGCCGTACTGGCCCTTCTCGCCGTGTGCCGGCTTCTTCTGCTCAACTATCTCAGAGATCCTGGCGTCTAGGCGGGCGCAGTTTTTCTTGTAGCGCTCGCGCCAGGATTGCCAGGTGTGGCGGGTCGCCCAGGCGTACTCGGGGTCGGAGGCCTGGGGCGGAGTATAAGATTTCCAACGAAACGGGGAGAGCAGCGTAACCTACCATTTCACACAGCTGCTGGTAAAGCCTATTTCCAGTCCTGCCACCGGTCTCTTTATACGGGATCTTCGCTGCAATCCAATTGCAGAGATGCTCCTCATCGTCTTCCGTAAACTGTGTTCTCCTACATGCATGTGATCAGCAGCGGTCGAAACAGCGGAAGCATGGTAGCCGCTCACTCCTCGCCGGGACGTCTTCCGCCAGGGTTCTTGTACACCATGGGCGTGTAGATCACTGCGCCCTTCTCGATGCACTTCTTCACCCAGAGGTACGACTCAACGTATTTGTCTGGCTCGCCTTGGTACGTCTTGACCAGGTGTTGGAATACGTCTGTATTGGGATCGGCCAAAATCACTCGCGCGGATTGTGCGGAGGCGGTAGGATCGCCACCCGAGTGCTATGCGAATTGGTTGAGTTAGTCCAAAAGCATAGTAAAGTTGAAGAAACAGGAGATAACAGTGTTAGGATCCGGTCATTCCATCCGTGTCTTCTGCTACGTGATGCGACACCTCGGTCCAGAGCGCACAGGATCAACATAGGACACGATAGTACCACTCGAACAGAAAGGCTTCTTGCAGCATCAAAGAGGCGGAAATTCACCATGATTCGCGTGCTGAGCGCCGCACGGGCGTTCACATTCGCGATGCTAGAATCGATGTGCATCCGGATTGGCTGGCCCTCGTGCACAAAGATTTGCTTGAGCAGCATTCCATGTATCTTGCACGCCTCGACATATGTGTATGGAACGAAATACCGCTCGGGACGGTCGGGGGTGGACCAGCAGAGGCGAAGACGCTCCTCCTCAGCGGTGCCCGGCTGAACCAGTACATATCCGGCACGGGGCACCTTGGATTCGACCCTTCCTCCAAGGGCCTGTAGATGGTCTTACAGTCAGTATCAGGTCGACCGAATGAAGTGCGTCGCCACCAACCGCTATGGTTTCGCAGACTTCTGCCTGTATTTCCTGGGGGATGTCCTTCTGGATGAAGAATTTGACAGCCAGGCCATTGCTATCCTGGAATATCGGCTGTGTCGCGCAAAATAGAAGGAAAACAAGCAATCAGCATGTTTATGGAAGGAGGAGGAGCGGGAACGTACCATAGTGGGGGGATGGGCTTGGGGATGGAGGAGGTAACCTTGTATGGGGGTTAGAGTTTGTCCGTTGCACCGCAAGGTTAGGGTCCCACGATTTTAGGGTTCCCACGATCACCTGCTTACAGGCCAGCCAATGGCCTTCCCTGGCGTAGTCAGCTCTGTTTCAGCCTGGCGTATTCCTGAGAAACCGATGCTCAGAAATTAAAGGAGAAGTTGCCACAGACTAGTGGTCGATGGGGTATTCATGACGGGAAGAAAGGATATACACTGGGTTGGCCAGGTTGTTCTTCAGTGCACGTGATCGTATTTCGCGAAGCCCCCGGACTCGGATGGGCCACACACTCCCTAGCTGCATCTTCATTATGCCTCCGCGAATTTCTTCGAAGCCCTCTCAACAGGATGACCAGCGGGACGGGGCCTTTGTCAAGGACATGACAGAAAGATACACAAATTACCTCGTCATTGCAGAGACCTGTGGTCGCACAGTTCGGGGGATGGGTTACGGCGAGGACGATGCAGACCGCGTGCGGCCCGTCTATGACCAGGTCGTTCGAGACTGGTACAATGATCCGACGACGATTATTCTGCGAACCAACAGCGCGGAGCCCAACGAGCAAGCCGCATTTTTTCGCCAGTGTGATGAGATCTGCGCCACACCACTCGACAGTCCATACAAGTATGTATCTTCGGTCTGATTGATATGTTCTGATCTTGACACATGGGCACATGTAGGTGTTTCTGGGTTGGCTTTGCCGCCACTGCTGGAGCACAAGGATTGCGTTCCCTGTTCAGCAAACATCCAGCCAAGTCCAAGATTCTCAGGGAGGCTAGCGATGAATCGTAAGCACTACATTAATATGTGCATCTTCTGTATGTTCATTTAGATACCCCAAAGAATTCAGCGGCTCATTGGGGAACAGGGTTTTCAGCAATTGGCAAATTTGGCGTCTTCGCTGAATCCTCAGCAAATAGAAAATGCCTCTTCGCTGGCTCCGCGAACTATGGACCCAATGGAGCACATCGGAGAGACAATACGGTACAAGGATGAGAATAACAGCATCGTTGAGTGTACCATTGAGGATGCGGGGACCAGTATCGTGAAAGGAGACTTCTTCAAGCTGTCAGACCCTGGCGGCGGGCAGAAGGAGGTCTCTTCCGAAGAGATGGCACGTATCTTGAGGAATACAGTATGATTGAACTTTTCCCTTACATATTTTGGCAAGCTTCCTTTCATCTGTCCTCAGAATATTCATGTATTCTCACTAGAACCTATTTGAATGATCATTCCCAAAAATCACAGGCTTTTGACCCCCTTGTGGCATTTCATGCAATTTTGTGCTGATTCTGGTGAAGATTCTATTGCATCATACTCAAAACAATGCAAGATTCACTTAAGGTACACGGCAGCCTGTCTCACTAGGTCTTGTTAGTGCATGTCTATTTTAATCCCTGGTGAAAGGGCAGAAGTCAAGAATCTCTGGTAACAAGGCTGAAATGGATATTTAAGCTTGACTGTCAGCATTATATAGCAATGGTACAAGTAACTACTGTTACGCGGCAGCGAAACACGAGCATCAAGTCAAGTCGTCACGAGACAAGGTCTTAGTCTAAGACACAAGTCCATTCAAGAGACACTTCTGGTGATGTCCTCGCACTGAAGGTCGATCAGGGTTCGCTCTTATGACTCGCAGTAGCTGTCTTGCTACTAACGGTCGATCTCAGTCAAAGGCAAGTGAAATGCTGGTTTAATGGTAACCAGGTCGAGATGGGGATCCAGCTCGACGAGGTTGACTACTTATACAAAAGGTATCCGCAGTACTATGCAGTAATACGGGATCGTTCATTGGCTAGATAAGGTGAAACGATGTCTGGGCAAGGTAACAGCGAGGAAGTAATATGTATGGGAAAGCTGAGTAAGATCGTGAGAGGTAATCAGTACTAATGGGAAATAACAAGTCGTGTATCAGAACGAGGTAAAGATGAGGCATACATGCACGTCTTGCATGTGTGATAAGAAGGTCTGGAGTTGGATCCGGTGTACCCCTAGACTAGGGGTTCTGGACATCTGGGTAGAGAATCAGAGGTTGCGCTCCAATGAGTCACGTGGTGGACCATGTGGTCTGGTAAAGTAAAGGGAATGAAGAAAAGAAAAAGAAAAGACGTGCCATAACTGAGGAGCATTGTAACAACTACTGTATTACAGTTGACTGTTGGTCACACCATAGATACATGTGTTATGGAAAGGATTACTAAGTCAGAGTTAGGGCATAAGACTGTATCAGAAAAGGTGTGTAAAAGCATATGGTAATAACATGTGAAGCTGGAGTTGGATCCAGTAATAAGAAAACAGCTTGAAGGGGTCAGTCTGGAGATAAGAATGGAGATTGAGCTCCAGTGACACAAACAATATGATGAAAGAGAAGAAGAAATGAGCATAGATATACACTGTTGAAACAGAGACAGTCATATAAGAGTACCAGGAGGTTATTACACAAAATATGAATCCTTGAGAAGTGTCAATATAGAAAAGAGCATTTAAGAGAATTGCAACACTGACAAGTCTCATTCAAGTTATAGTACTAAGGCTGACACCAATTGTTGCCATTCATAGCCCCTGGTAGAGTGCGACGGACTCCCTGAGGCAGCAAATTAGGGGTTTGGGGCCAACCAGGAGGCATTGGCACTCCTAAACCTTGAGTGAGTGTGGCAGGTGTCGGTCCAATGAGATTGGATGAGTACATCCCAGTCAAGGCGACATGCTGGGTCACAATAAAAACTTGTCTTGGCACTTCAAACGTTTGCAACCTTCTAAGTGCAGAAGCAAAGATGCCACGGGGCTCTATTGTTCGCAATTCCATCATATGTAGCCAGGCAGCCACTGCTGTTCCGAATCTCTGCCACACTGAATACTGAGCATGAGTGTAGCCCCTAGTCCTGAGAGCATTACAAATCTGTCTATAGACAGAGCCTTTAAGGATGGTCAGAAAAGAAAAGAGGTAAAACTAGGCCTCGTACTAGTTCTTGCTCCCCACCCATGAGGCAAGGGGTCCACAATGTTGCGATAAAGCAGGTCGTACGATATGCCATACACACTGGCGGGTTGCAGGTATAGCTCAGGTGGTGGCATAGCATTGGCAGCCACCACGTTGAATGCCTGAGCAGGGAGGTGTGCCATTGAGCAACTCGACGCCACAGATGATGACTGCCAGTGGTTGTGAAGAACCGGACACCGGACGCCACAGTCACAATGTGCGCTGGTTCTTTACTGCACGTGATCGTGTTACCTCTATAAGAAGCCCCACCACCACCACCACCACCACCACCACCACCGCTGTCGCTATCGTCATCAGCAACCTTTCATAAGCCCTACTGGTCAGCTTAGTCTGGAATCGCCCTTAATCACAACTCGCTCAGTCCACGCTCATCGGAAGTCCGTCCCATACTCTAGCCCCTATTTCTTATGTCGTCCTTCGTCCTTCCTCCACCTGTTTGCCCAAACATTCCCTATTCCCGTGCCGGATCGCCCTCACTGCAGACTGATGCTAGCGATGCGGTCGTAACTGGAGTCGAACTAACCGTCTCCGGTCTGCAACACGCCTCCATACAGTCTGCGCACAATCAACTCTCCCAATTAGTGTCTGACTACAACATTGCTAACCCCACACAGCTTCTCCCACCTCTTCAGATCCACGTCGGGGATCCTCGCAACCCCGTTGACTATGTTTATGTCTCCCTACATCCTAACCTCACCGCAGAGCCTCGTCCAGACGTTCTCGACGGAGTCTGTGTAGCGTTGGATGGTCGAACTGGAATCCGAGCTCAGTGGAGAATTGGAAGTGGCGCTGACAGATCCCGGCGCATTATGTTCCCCATCGATAATGAACAGCATGCCCGCGCAATTCAGCCACGAATCGAAAAATGGCTCCATGATCAGAAGATTTCCTGACAACTGTCCTTCATCAGCAAGCCGTCCACAGGATCGCACCGTCTCACCTACGACATTATTGATCCCGCGCACGTCATTCGCATCCTCAGACAGCCGCCCATCTTCGATCATCGTACCTACTATGCCATGCAGTCCCGGTTTATTTCTCCCGTATATGGTCTCGAAGTTGCGGTTGCAGGATGCGGAGAGTTCCAGGGAATTGAGGGCAGAATCAACACATACATCCGTCGGCGCTATGGAGATGATGCGATCGCTTTCAGTCACACCGTCATGGATGGCGAGGTGTATAGTGTTGTTCTCAAAGACTGGCCTACCACATCGCGACTTCTCTCTGACCCCTTTGAACTTCTGTCTGATGCATCCATTCCTCGCTTCATAACAATCTCACAGCCAATCCTTCTTTACCTCCTCAATAGCGCAGGCGTGCCCACTAATCCTTCCTACCTTCAATGCTCCTCTTCGGCAACATCCACTGATCAGCGCTACTTTCAGGCTCAAATCGATGCGCTGCGACAACAAGGCGTCGAAACTGTTCACACGTTCTCACAGGTGCTCTCCGAGCAGCACGACATCATCTCCAAGCTGCGCTCTCAGAATCAGCATGTTCTTTCTGCAGTGTCCATGGTCGCATCCTCGGTACACCTGTCGAGTCAATTGTCTTCTCTCGATAATGGCCTGGGCCGAATGGAAGACAGGCGCGAGCGACTTCATGACAATATGGCCTCCGCTACCACTCCCGAGGCTTGTTGCGCCATCCAATCGCGCCTAGATCATATCGATGATGACATCCATCAATACGAGCATCAGGTTATTGCACAGCGGCGGTCCTTGCAAGCGGTCTCCCTTCATGTTGACACGACACTGCAACTTCCCCCGACACCAGCTGCAGAGCCAACACTGATGCCCATGGAGCACCCTCGCCCAGCCCCAGAGCCTGGTGAGGAGGACCGATATCATGCCCGGCAGCGCACTTCGACAACTGAACAGCCACCTGAATCTAATGAGATGGAAACAGAATTGGTAAGCGCCCCTCCGCTCTCCTCTGAAATGCCTACATGTCGTCCTCAACCCCTCTCGTCGCTCCACAGTGACCGACATGCGGTGGCTGCAAAGGATGGATGTGGACATAGTACGAGGAGGCAGAGTGGAAAACTTACGTTACAGCACACCCATTCTCATGCATGCATGCCCCCCTTTTTCATCTCTTCTCCTATTATTTTCTGCCCATTTCTCATCCTGTTTCTGCTCCTTCTCTTTTTCTTTCCTACGGTACATGCTACTACTCCATTCCACATTTTCAGTCTCAACACTAATGGACTGGCTAACATCTCTAAGCTAGCGGCTGTGACTAATACTATTTCTGTGCGGCAGCCTCATGTCTGGGTATTGAATGAAATCAAGTCTTCCCAATCCCACGCCTCGCGAGTGCGCATCCACGGATACAGTACGTATGAAGAACCTGGTATCCCCATACCCGGTACACATTCAGGAAAATGGGGAGTCATTGTCGGTGTAAAACGCACCATCCATGCACAACGCCTGCCCACTCCACCCTCCCTTCGTGGCCGAGCGGTGATCCTTGACCTTATTCTACCTACTACCACCGGTCGAGGATTCTTCCACCGCTTCATTGGGCTCTATGCACCTTGGGACCCAGGGAATAATGACAATGACCTCTCCTCCTTCTGGACTTCGATATCCACCCTATGTCGAGATGCTCCATACTCATGGTGTATTATGGGAGACTGCAATGCCTCGCTAACTGCACAGGAAACTCTCTCTCCATCTCCAATCCTTCCCCCCTCTCGACTCTTCTATACAACATTTCTCCACGATGTCCATGCAATCGACCTGTGGTCTCTACAAGGTGATGCAGATGCTCACTCTATGTACACCTTCAAGAACCACCTTGGCCAATCAATCATTGACCGAGTTGCCCATTCAACACAAGGATTTCTCAATGGCTCCGTCGCGACTATGAACACCTTCATCCCTGCTACGGATCATCGCCCAATTACTGCATCAATGGTTCTGACTCCTCCCCTTATGCATGCAGCATCACTGCACCTTCCCGACTCACTACCACCACCCGATGTCCCTCCCAGGCATTACTATCCTCGGCGCCACGAGAAACACCACTTCCGCACTTATGCTGACAATGTTGAGCAGCTAGTCCATGCTGAACACCTTGATGACCACGACATCTCCGATGATGACTCCTTTCAATTCTGCTATGATGCACTGACCCGAATTTTCCATTCCGCAGCTGATGATGCTTTTGAACTACCTTGTACCCGAATGCAACATGTGCACCCCTTATCCAGTCCTAGCTTGCGCCAACTTGTAACTGAGATTTGCTGCATCAATTGCCTCATCTCCGCTGAACGTCAAGCACGAATTTCGTTACTCGCTGCATGCGCTCCCTGGGCCTCTACCTACCTCTGCGCTTTCTCCTTCACCCAACACTCCGACGCCCCAACTTGTCATTCACTACTGGCATTCCTCACCTCCATACGGCACACACTGAATAAGCTCAGATACCGTGAAGAACACAAGGAACTTCAACGTCGTGCCACCCAAACAGCGAAGCGGCAGATCAATAGCGTCCTCCTAGGTGGATCATCGAAGAAGCTCTATCAAACGGCTCATGACACCTCTGGTCCCCCTCTCGCTGTGACACCAGATGATGACCCAGACTCTTTCATCACGGCACCAGATGCGGTAAAGATGCACACACAAGCTTACTTTAATGCTCTTTTTTCCCGACAGCAACGACCACCAATGGCCAAACCATGGCTTGACACTCCATCCGTGACAGATATTCGGCAGACCACTGCAGCTGATCCATTCCACTGGCCACAGACTATGTCTCTCAATGATCTCCGCCTCCTCCTCCACCGTGGCAAGCCTCGCCCAGCTCCTGGACCTGACGGGTGGGAGAAGTGGTGTGTAAAAGCACTTCACGACTCGTCTCTCCGCCTCGTCCTCAACCTCTTGAACTATGAAATTTCACAATCTCATATTCCTAACATTGTCAAACCATGCACGCTCTCCATGCTGTTCAAGAATGGACCACGCACATGCCTCTCCAACTATCGCGGTGTCTGCTGCAACAACTTCCTGCTCAACACTCCTTTTGCATGGCTCAATCTCCGACTCGTGCCATACCTAGTGCAACACCGCATCCTCCCAGAAGGACAAGTTGCCACTCAGCCCGGCACTCAAGGACGCGACCTTACCTCCTTCCTCTCCCAATTGGAATGTTGGTCCAATCGCACACGCACTCCCCTCTATATTTTACGTCGTGATCAACAAAAGGGATTTGACCACCTGGAACCACAAGGATTTTACGATGCTGTCACTGCATACGGTCTTCCATCTTCACTTGTCCAATTTGACATTTCGGCACAGTCTGACGTTCCCTATCGTATCAAGACTGCATTCGGCCTTACAGAACCGATTGTTATTTCCGGAGTAACCAAACAAGGCGGTCCTGTCTCATCGCTCAAATCTACCCTCACGACAAGCCTTGGCAACCACTGGCTACAGGACACCCTGCTTCAACACCACGATGGCATTATTGTCTCCTCCACACAGCATCGTGTGAACAGACCGCACATTCCCGACAATCGCCTCACACTGCGCATCGCCATGGTGGAAGCAACAGATGACTCCGCCATCATTGCAACCTCTCAAAATTCCCTTCAACGCTCCTGTCTCATGATGGAGCGATTTCAGGTTGTATACGGTTGGCTAACCAACTGGCTAAAGTCTCTTCTCTTCCTTCTCAACGTTTTGAATGCTCCCCCTCTTATGCGCATGCCTTCTATCTCTCCCTTTCAGCCTGACTCCGACCTTGTTATCTGGCATGATGTTCGGGTTGTCACTTCACATATTGATTTCCTCCGTGTCTGCATAAATGACCCGCAGCATCAGTATGAGAAAATCCGTGATATTATCCTGACCTTTGACCTACCCAATCTTTTCCTGCGTCTGCCACTAACCGCCCTCCGGCGTATCTTTTCACAGTGTCTACTATCTCGAATCCGCCCCCACCTCGCCTTCCAACCAATTTCCCGTCGACATGCAGCCCAACTCGATCATCTTCTTGCCTCATGCATACACCATTACTTCTCGTTTCCCTTTCGCTTCAACTCCCAACTCCTCACTATCCCCATTCGCCACCATGGTTTTGACTTTCCCTCCATCGCTCGTCTCAATGACTGTGCAGCCATTACGGGCCTGCTACGTGACCTCAATCACCACAACCCCACCTTCCGCAATATGGCGCGCATCACCCTCGCTGACTGGACATGCACAATCAACCACTGCCAATTTTCACTCCACCCACAATCCCCTCAACGCTCCTTCGCACGTCAGACTCGCAACCTCCCATCCTCCTGGATCGTCGCCTACTCCGTACTCTCCGATCTCAACCTCTCCATCCAGATGACAGATCAATCACATCTATATTCCGGTGATGTATCTCTCCGTCATTTGCTTAGGCTACTACCCCCTTCCTGTCATTCACCACGCCCTTCCATGATTTCTAACCTCGAACGTGCGGGACTCACACACCTATGTGATATTGCTTCGTGGCCCCTGCTCTCTCTCGATGCCCTTCCACCCCTTCCACTCACTCTCCGCCCTCATCACCATTTGAGCAGCTTACTCCGCTTCACGCCCGCGGCACCTGAATGGCACGCGATGTGCGACTGGTTAATGTCACTAACCCTCCCACAGCTTACGGCGGCACCCTCTCCAAACACCCGTGATTGGACACTCACCCTACCTCGACCCATGCGGCAATCCTTTGCGGAACATGTCCTCTATGCCTTCTTCCTCTCATCATTCCTCCCCAAATTCCCCTCCACATCCATGTCATGTGCCTCCGATGGATCCATGGTACCAGCTGCACCGACCTTTCGCCAGCCTCGTTCTGTAACCTTCGCCACTGCCAGCCCTTTTTCCACCACTGTATGGTCCCTATTGACCTTCCGTAATGCAGCCTCCATCCTCTATGCCGAAGTCTACGGCCTTGTCGCAGCATCCCTGCAAGCACACTCTTTTCCACTACCGCCATCTCCCCCGCTTTACACTGATCATCTCAACTCTGTTCGCATTATTAATGACTCCTTATCCACCTCCTCCCCGCTCCTCCCACATCACTGGGCATCGCTTCCAGCCTGCTCCCTTTACCGATGGCTCAAAACCATCCTCACTACCTTCCCATCCTCCTGTACACCAGCAGTAACCTACACAGCTGTGCACACCTCCTCCGACACACCACCGTCTCGTGCCAATGCGTTCGTTGATGCTATTGCTTCACAGTCTCATGATCTTCCCTTACCTACTCCTCCTATTCCCACTTTTTCCATGGACGACTACACCTTATTCTCTCCCTATGACGGATATATTGAATCCTCTCCCACCACTTATATCTCACACGCCCTCGTCACTGCTGTTGTCCAAGACCGCTCGTTCAAACCCCTCCGCAACATTGTCCTGCCCCTCTACAACTCTCAGCCACCGCTGGACTACCCCTACACATGCGCGTCATCAGCCTATTCCGCACTCGTGCAACTATATGCTCGGTGTGGACAGCTTGACACTGCATCTCTTCGATCCGCGCGCTTCGGCGATACATCAGAGTGGTGTCACTTCGGATGCCCCGTGCTGGAGACCCCGTATCACATATTCGTGCAGTGCCCTCGCTTCAACCACTTGCGTGCCGATGCTCACCGCGATGTCATTTCGGAGACGTCCAAGCTTCTGACCGGAGCTGAAACCAACCGACAAATCATGGAGGTCATCCTGCACAGCGCTGCATCACTCTTCGTGGACCACGAAGCTTGGCCGCAATTCACATCATACTACTACCTGGGCATTGTACCAAAAATTCCCGCTCTCCAGCCATCCAGGAATCCGTCGCACCAACGCCTATCCGCACATATCACGCACACATGGCATACCTCCAGCATACACCTCGCAGGCAGAATATGGGGGGAATACAAACGATGCATGTCTACAGCATGGCGTACGGCCAACTCTGATGTATATACTCCCGCTCATCTCCCGCTTCACTTATGCCATCTTCTACCAACCGATTAACCCTACCCTTCTTACTCTTTTTATTTATCTTTCCTCATAACTCTCTCTACCTACCATATACAGTAGTTGACGAGGTACTCCTTACGTACCTGAGCTGTGTAATCGGCGTAGTCAGCTAAATCTACTCGTTTCCCCGTTCGAACTTCGCGAAGCCCCGGACGCCACACACTCTGCCATATCTTCATGCCTCCGCGCATTTCTTCCAAGCCCTCTCGACAGCATGCTCAGCGGGATGAGGCCTTTGTCAGGGACATGACGGAAAGATATACAAACTACCTCGTCATTGCAGAGACCTGTGGTCGCACAGTTCGGGGGATGGGATACGGCCAGAACGACGTGGCCCGCGTGCAGCCCGTCTATGACCAGGCCGCTCGAGACTGGCGCAATGATCCGACGATTATTCTGCGAACCAACAGTACGGATCCTAATGAGCAAGCCGCATTTTTTCGTCAGTGCGATTCCATCTGCGCCACACCACTCGACACTCTATACAAGTATGTATCTTCCATCTGATTGATAAATCCTGCCCTTGACACACCGGCGTACGTAGATGTTTTTGGGTTGGCTTTGCCGCCACTGCTGGAGCACAAGGATTGTATTGCCTGTTCGGCAACCATCCAGCCCGGGGTAAGATTGTCAGCGACGCAACCGATGAATCATAAGCACCACGTTAATATGTGCATTTTCTGTATGTTCATTTAGATGACCCGAAGAGTTCGGCGGACCATTGGGGAACAGGGTTTTTAGCAATTGGCAAAGTTGGCAGCTTCGCTGAATCCTCAGCAAATGGAAAATGCGTCTTCGCTGAATCCGCGCACTATGGACCCAGTGGAGCACATCGGAGAGACGATACGGTACAAGGATGAGAATAGCAGCATCGTTGAGTGTACCATTGAGGATGCGGGGACCAGTATCGTGAAAGGAGACTTCTTCAAGCTGTCATACCTTGGCAGCGGGCAGAAGGAGGTCTCTTCCGAAGAAATGGCACTTATCTTGAGGAATGCAGTATGATTGAACACTCCCCTGATGTATTCTGTCAGCTTTTCATCTGTCCTCGGGAACATATTCATGTATCATCTGTGCCTCTCGCTGGAACTCATTGAAGTTGCATCGCGCCCGGGGTTAGTTACAGTTCACGATTTTATGGACGATTCTGACAACGATATGAACCCCTCGTCTTCCCTCTTGGAGGTTTCGTGCGAATGTGTGCTGATTCCGGTGACGAAAATACTACACGGCTCGTTCGAGTCGTGCGACGGCCTGTCTCGAGCATCGGTCTTGTTAGTGTGCTGACCCCGAGGAATGGCACAAGTCGAGAATCTGTCTTGGAGTGTACACGCTATTACAGCATGCTTTTGTTATGAACGATACGTATAGTAATGGTTTCTAACAATTGTACATGATGCTCTCCGAAGGGTTGCTTGGATACTCGAGCTGGAGGAGCCTATGAGCACTGAGCATTGGCGGCTACCGCATTGAATGCATGAGCGGGGACGTGTGCCATTGAACAACTCGACGCCACAGACGATGACATCAGCAAAAGCGGGAAATTTTTATGTAAGGTTACACCAGTTACATCGGGGTAGCAAGGGTTGTGTAAGTTACACAGGACTAGTAATATTTAAACTGATTTGTAATCAAAGTAAAGGTAGTAGAGGTCTATAAAGAAGATAACATAGAACAGAAATTGATACACAAGTTAGAACAAAAATACATGTCGACAAAGAGTTGTCGAGCGATGTAACCCAAGTCAAACGTTGCTCACCAGGTTACACAGTCGAAAGAACTTCTAGACGCCTAGCGCTCTCCGCAGAACTCGCTCCGAGTTGCTCTTGCATCGTTCATATTCAGGCCCCCGGATACCGCACCAAATGCAAGCATTAAGGCAAGGCTCTTGTCCAGGCCACAGTGAAAAGATCCGAAGTTGTTTCGAGGCAATTCTGAGGCAATCTGAGGCAATTCTGAGGCAAGTCTCGATGCATCGTGACTACCATCCGCCGACAATTCTCGCCACCCTCACTCGCGTATAAATTCGCAGCATCTGCCACTGCAATGTGCCTGCCAGGTGAGTGCCATTACACGCGGCTAACTGTATCGCACAGGTGATACCGGGCTGTTGTTGTGCGCAGCTTGGTTGGGCTCCCGTGGTTGGAGCGACACGCGGTGCGTTCTATTTCAATCTCTATTGTTTTATGCCTGTGGGCGGAAATGTAAGTGTGTTGATTCCTAGTGTTGGTTGTTACAGTGGTATGTGGGTGTTGGTGTGGTAAGTAGACCTAAATACTTGTTTGTTATGGCGGCACGCGGGTTTTGGTGCAGTGAGTAGGCCCAAGTAGTTCTAATGTAGAGCACTTTGTACGTGTTGTACCGCTGTAATATAATATGTTGACATAATTTGGAATACTTTGAGAGTTATGAAACCGATCCGAATGAATCGGTTTCGGTCTGTTTAGGACGGTCTGTGCCTACGTGCTACAAGTGCATAATAAATTTTGCAGGAAGTTATATGAGCTTCATAACCTGTAAAATGTTTCCAGAGTTTATAACTGATTATGCCAGTTGGCAACTCTGCAATCTGACTCAGGATTACAATGCAATGTATTGCTTGGTGAAAAAATTGCACAAGTTACGTGGGATTACACCTTTATAATCTCTTTGGAGAAAATTCCCGGTTTTGCTGATGGACCGGTTGTGAAGCTTTGAAGTTTGAAGAACTGGATGCCACGGCCATCAGCAAAAGCGGGAAATTTTTATGTAAGGTTACACCAGTTACATCGGGGTAGCAAGCGTTGTGTAAGTTACACAGGACTAGTGATGTTTAAACCAATTTGTAATCAAAGTAAAGGTAGTAGAGGTCTATAAAGAAGATTACATAGAATAGAAATTGATACACAAGTTATAACAAAAATACATGTTGGCAAAGAGTTGTCGAGCAATGTAACCCGAGTCAAACGTTGCTCACCAGGTTACACAGTCGGAAGAACTTCTAGACACTAAATATAATGTTGTAAGGAGCGCCTATTGGGCGTCTACTAGCGCTCTCTGCAGAACTCGCTCCGAGTTGGCTCTTGCGTCGCGTTTTAGTTTTCAGGCCCCCGAATACCGCACCAAATGCGAGCATTGAGGCAAGGCTCTCGTCCAGGCCCTCACAGCGAAAAGATCCGAAGCCGTTTCGAGGCAACTCGGAGGCAAGTCTGAGGCTAATCTCGATGCATCGCGACTACCATCCGCTGACAATCCTCGCCACCCTCACTCGCGTATAAATTCGCAGCCTCTGCCAGATGCCCGCCAGGTGAGTGTTGTTACTCGCAGCTAACTATATTCCACAGGTCTACCAGGTTCCTTGTTGCGTGTGCTTGATCGGGCTGTCGTGGTTGGAGCGACTCGCATAGTGCGTTCTATTTCAATTTCTACTGTTTTATGCCTCTGGGCGGACGTGTAGTGTATGTTGATTTCTAGCATTGGTTGTTACGGCGGTACGCGGGTGTTGGCGCGGTAAGTAGGCCTAACTACTTGTTTGTTATGGTGGCACGCGGGTGTTTGTTACTGCGGTAAGTGGACGTTACGGCGGCACGCGGGTTTTGGAGCTTGTAAGTAGGCCCAACTAGCTCTAATGTAGAGCACTTTGTCCGTCGCTGCAGTAATAATAATATGTTGACATAATTAATTTGGAATACTCCCACTTTTGAGAATTATCAAACCGATCTGAATGAATCGGTTTCGGTCTGTTTAGGACAGTCTGAATGTAGTGTGTAATAAATTTTGTAGGAAGTTATATGAGCTTCATAACCTGTAGAATGTTTCCAGAGTTTATAACTGATTATGCCAGTTGGCAACTCTGCAATCTGACTCAGGATTACAATGCAATGTATTCCTTGGTGAAAAAATTGCGCAAGTTACATGGAATTACACCTTTATAATCTCTTTGGAGAAAATTCCCGGTTTTGCTGATGACAGTGATCGTGTTAACTCTAAGTATAAGACTGGACTCAGATCTCTGAGACGCCACACTCCCCAGTGCAACATCTTAATTATGCCTCCGCGAATTTCCTCCAAGTCCTCTCGACAGGATGCCAAGCGGGACGAGGCCTTTGTCAAGGACATGACGAAAAGATATACACACTATCTCGTCGTCGCAGAGACCTGTGGTCGCACAGTTCGGGGGATGGGATATGGCGAGGACGATATGTCCCGCGTGCAACCCGTCTATGACCAGGTCGTTCGTGATTGGTACAACGATCCGACGATTATTCTGCGAACGAACAGCACGGATCCTAATGAGCAAGCCGCATTTTTTCGCCAGTGTGATGCCATCTGCGCCGGACCGCTCGACAGTCTATACAAGTTTGTGTCTCTTCCGTCTGACTGATGCATTCTGGCCGTGACAAGCATATAGGTGTTTTTGGGTTGGCTTTGCTGCCGCTGCTGGACTGCAAGGCTTGCAATGCCTATTCAGCAAACATCCAGCGCGGTGGAAGATCCTCAGGGAGGCTAGGACAGAATCGTAAGCACCACGTTGTTCTGAACATTTTCTGTATATTTACTGGGATATCCTGAAGGGTTCGACATAACTATGGGGAACAGGCTGTTCAGCAAATAGCAAATTTTGCGTCTTCGCAGAATTCGCGAACTATAGACCCAATGGAACGCATCGGAGAGACGGTGCAGTACAAGGATGAGAATAACAACATCGTCGAGTGTACCATAGAGGATGCAGGGACCAGCGTTGTGAAGGGAGAAATTTTCAAGTTGTCATACCCCGGTGGCGGGCAGAAAGAGGTCTCGTCCGAACAAATTGCGCGTATCTTGAGGAATACAATATGATTGAAGTTTTACCTTATGAATCCCGTCCCTACTGTACATGATGCCCTCCTCTTTAGACGCATGAATAAATGGTATCCCGACAGTGTTGAAGGGTCATACGTCGCTTAAGGCAAAACCTTCCCGGGATTCATAATCCCGTTAGGGTCGAACAGCTTCTTGATCCGCTTCATCCACTCAATACTCTCCGCGTTTTTTGAGTAATGCAGTGCGTGCGTCTTCATGACGCCAATGCCGTGTTCGGCAGATACAGAACCTCTGTATCTCGCTGAGAAATGGTATTATTCAGCGTCAACCAGACATCGCAAGAATTTTTGACTACTCACAAACGAGCTCGTATACAAATGGCTCCAGTGCAGCTTCAATTTCGGGGGTGTACGCATCCGCGACGATATTCAGGTGCAGATTACCTTTACCACTATTAGCTCATGCCTGTGAAATCCGAATAGCAGGTACTCACTGTCACCCACATGCCCGTATCCAACGACATGCTTGACGGCATCAGGGTGCAACAGGCCCTTGGATCGGATGTGCTCCCGCGTAATATCTACGACCTCCTTGAACTTGTCCAGAGGCACCGAGATGTCGTACTTGTACGCCTTGCCCTCCTTCGACATGGCTTCGGTCAATCCTTCCCGGATCGCCCATAGCGAAGAGAACTGTGCCGGCGATGTCGCTAGGACACCGGTGTTGATCAGAGGAGTATCGGCCTCCATGAGGGTCGTCAGCAGGGTGTTGAGTTTCTGAGGCATAGTGATAAGAGTTCTGCTGTTCGGCCCGTTGAACTGTAACTGACCTCCTCGTCATGTTCTCGATTACTTCCGCTTGTTTCCACCAGAACGAAGCAAGCAGCGCCCTCCACATCTGCAGCATCCAGAGCACGACCCTGGCCATGCTTGACCGCGAGGTCGTATGCCTCCCTGTCGATGAACTCAAAAGCCGAGAGGATCTCCGACAGCTGTCGCTTGACCTCCCTATATAGCGGGAGCACATTCTCGAACTTGGGAAGTGCGAGCATTACATTATTCGACGCTTGCGGTGCCGCCGCTGCCAGGAGCGAGACACCAGTCACAATACCAAGTGTACCCTCAGCGCCGATGAACAGCTGCTTCAGATCATAGCCTAGTTCCACTCAGTTGATTTGCCCGGCATACTTGGGGCAGAACAAACCTGTGTTATCCTTGCGTGAGGTGGAGAGTTGGTCAAGGATGGAGCCGTCGGGGAGGACTACTTCCAACCCCAGTACATTGCCGTGAAGGGAACCATATCGTAGCAGACGAAGGCCACCCGCGTTCGTGGAGACGTTCCCGCCAATGTGACAGCTTCGCTCATGTAAGTCCGCAGACAAGCTCAGTGCACGAGCACGAGTCTCGTGCTTACCTTCCCTTCGCCCCTAAGTCAAGGGGTACGACGTGGTTGTGACCTGACAGATAATCCGAAAGCGACTGGAGGATGCAACCCGCATCCGCTACCAGGATACCTACCGAACGGAAGTCACTAAGCATACAATAGGGTACATTGCGGGCGCGATAGCCACATACCAGAGACATCGTCAAACGAGCGAATACTCGACATATTTGCGAGATTGATAATCAACTCATCCCCGATAGGAACACTGCCACCGACGAGACCGGTGTTACCTCCCTGAGGTACGATGGCTATCCGGTGGTCATTGCACCACTTGACGATCTCGCTGACCTCCTTCGTGTTGCGTGGTTTCAGCACGGTCGTGGCCTTTCCGTGGTACTTGTTCATCCAGTCATTATTGAACGGCGCGAGTTCTGAAGCAGCCGTTGACGAGGGGGAGAGGGTGGAGAGGATGGCCGAGGAGGGCAGGATTTTGGAAAAGTGGGCCAAGTCATTCTCGGAGACGGAGTGATAGCGAGAAAGCGAGTGTGTGAACCGTCTGACAGGACGAGAGGAGATGCGCCGGGCGAGGTAGCGGGTGGAGAGCATGCTGGACGACGACCTCCTGCAGCACCGCAGGCTCCGGGATGCACTCGAGTCCTGGCGTGGGGTAAGTAGTCGATCCCACGTGATGCCTCTCGATCGCATCACCGATGCGGGGACGATGCGGGGACAGTGCGGCGGTGACTTGTGTTCAGTGCGACAATACCAACTAGTAGTTTCCGAAGCATAGCGGAGGCATGTATAGAGCAAGGCGCGAATACACTAAACATGTTAATACATAACGATGTACTGGTATAACAAACCAACGCGGCCATAATTCACAGAACAATTCACCAGTCAAGCGACTTAACCCACCCTCACGAGGCTCTCCAGTTCGGAGAACATCGTTTCGTCAACATCCCGCTGCATCATCAGTCCCCAGGTGATCTCCTCCTGGTATCCACTCAGCAGCCCCATCCCCTTCTCCACCCGGCTCTCCCCGTGCTCGCCATACCCCATACCAAAGCTGAGAGATGGCATCGCCGACTGCGACGTATCGAACGAGTCCTCGGCGTCGTCGATGAGCTTCATCGACTCGATTGCTCGCCGCACCGAGATGACGAAGTACACTCGGACGTCGGGCGGCGAGTAGATCGTGAATTTCTTCACTAAACGCAGCATGATCTTCGTGAAGCCCAACGTCCGGTCCGTCTTGATGCGCTTCTTCAACTGTGGCGGCGCGAGGAACGCGATGCAGTAGATCGCCATGACCAACTTCTCTATATAGCTCAGCCACACGTCGCGCATCACTACCTGGAAGTCGCTGTCAGACACCGGCAGCCGGTGCACCAGCGCTTCCATGAGCGTCCATAGCCACTCAGATGGCACAGATTGAGCGAGTACGTGACGGTTATCGTCGGGCTGAATGAGTCGCGTGAACGCCTCCAGCGCGTTGTCGGCCAGAGACGGAGGTTTCGGCTGGTGCATTGCTGGTGGGATGCCAGACTGGAGCATACATGCAAAGGGCGAAACCGCTTCAATCTGATCCGACAGATATGATGAAAGAAGCTCGAACGCTCTCCGTACGTTGCGTAGAACTTGTGGTCGATGCGAAGAAGTCTTGGACAGGTCAACGAAGCCAGCAATGTTCATGAGCGTATAGACGACGTCTTTCCTGACGGTGATCAGGTCAGACAGTGTGAGCGCGGGTGATGCCGCGGTCGGCAATACATCCGGCTTGGAAGGAGCTAAGTTACACAGACGGAAGACGATTGTGAGGAGCCTGTCATGTTTTGCCAGGAAATCCTGGTTTTCTGGAGTCATCGAAAGGTTACGAAGAATGTTCACGACAGAAAGCACAATGTCCCCGGGGCGCTGCCGCAGACCTATATTAGGGTCCTTCATGCCCTGCCTCGGATCCAATCCAGCGAAAGGTCGCGTACTATCCTCAAACAGCATGTTCACAAGCTCCCGATGTGTCCTGATTGACGATGGGGCGGGTCCGTCTAAGACGTCGTCCTCATCGTCCGCACCGTCAAACGCGACGTCTTCCAGCAGGTCTAGCACTTCCTCAAAGAGATCCGGCGTGTGCGAAACAGGAAAGCCGTCCTTTTGCGAGCTCCGCATGAGCGTTAGCATCGTGAAGGTTGTTAACGCGTAGGATAGCTCGGTCGATATTCGGGATCGCAGAGACATTGTCAAGGCCTCGATGTCGACTTGGCCCCATTCATTGAAGTCCTTGAGTGGCCGGTGAGAAGCACGGACGTATTCGTGCTGAATCATGTCCAAATCACGACCTCCTGCGGTCTCGATTTCGCGAGCAAGCGGGACGTATTCAATTTTCCGCCTTTGAGGCTGTCGAGGTACGCGCGTGGTAGTAGGTGGTGCTGTTGGAGCAACGTGACTGCTGAGAGCAGGGATAGGTGGCGCGGAACCTCGCTCAAGACCGACAGACTGATTATAGCCCAACGTAGGTCAGCAGGGTAAGCTAGTTGGCAGCCGAGAGGTACTCACAGGACCTGCTTCCGGACCTTCTGAACCTCGTAAACGGACAATTCAGATGTCAGAAGCAACTATGACGATATGGAGCTTACCAGTCTTCTGCCGCTTTGCGTCAGCCTCTTCAGACTCCCTCATCTTTCTCTTCCGATCTATGCCATGCTCCAGAGCAGAAGTAGCGACGTCGAGGCCGTTTGAAAAGGAGACATTTGATTGCGATCCGTGCTGTGGTATGGCGGGATTGCTCATTAATGAGTCTGCCGAAGGAAGTCCAAGACTTGCAGCAGCGCCAGACAAACCAGTCGATGGTGGATGGGACGGAAGCCGGGGTGTAGGAGGAATAGCTGGAGTGGAAAACTGGCCGCCACTGGCACTTTGAACAGATGAATCAACAGCCTGCGAAGAGCTCGCTTGATTCAACCCCATGAGGTTCGAGTTCATTGAGTTTCCAGCGAGTCCTGATATGCTAGCCATTTGTGGCGGCATGTTGGGCGCTCCAGGTCGTACTTGAGAGCTCCCTGGTGCATGTTGTTGCCCACCAGAAGGCATGCGGCTATGCATTAAGCCTCGCTGTTGCTGTTCTCGCATTATATTCCTGCGATATGCTTCTTCAAACGGTCCCAGAATTGTCACATAGTAGTTGGACAGAACAATCGCGACGGACTGTTGTCCGTTCGACTGCGGTACTGGAAACTGTTCAGGCAGGTCAAAATAAGGCAAAACAGCCGACCACATATTCTGCTGGGTGAGCTGGGTTCAATTAATTTGGTGAGCACATGCGACGCGTGCATCGGATAGTTCAACGGACCTTGGAGCCTCCACCAGCCTGCAGCACGACCGCCCATAGTTTGTACAGGTCAACCTCCTTGCTCGCCAAGCGTACTACGCCAATGTCGACTATGTCAAGGTTCTTCCAGAGGGAGTGAGTTGGGTCGAATGTGGCGGGATATGGAACGCCGGTCAGAGGAGGGGGGAGAGGCGCGTTGCGCTGGTTCATGACATTGGCAAGGCCTTGCAACCACTGCCGCTTCTTCTGCATTTGGAGCATGTGCTGCATTGCTGCATTGCTAGCTTGCATGTTATTGGGCTGGGTCATGACAGCGTCGGCATGGGAGACAGGAGAGGCAGGAGTAGATGGACTGACATTAGGATGATGGCCGGGCTGTTGGAAGTCAGACAAGGCGCCGAGTGAATGGCGAGGGTCCTGAGGAGCATCAGGGCGGGGATGGGCACTGGATTGCATTCCTCCGAAATAAGGCACCGAAGTTCCGCCTGGCGCAGAGCGATTTCCCGCTTTCGCAAGGCTAGTCGCTTGGAGCGCCGCCATCTGCTTAGCGGTGTATTGATCGAGCCCGAAGGACATAGAGTTGTCTGCAGCATTATTGTGTAGGGCGGGAAACGGCTGTGATTGACCAGGGTTGCCGAAATTTTGTTGCCTACGAAGCCGGAAGCCGGAAGGAGTGAGAGATCGGAAAAGCTGGGAGACGGTGAACAGGCGAACTCACATCGTGGTCCCGGGCAGTTATTTGTCCTTTTGTTCCAGCCCTCCTTCAGCGTCGCTGCTGCCTCTACCGCGTGGTGCTTGCTGAGCGCCGTGCCGCTGCTTGCAAACGCGCGGGCTTCCAACCGCGTGACTCGTCCCTTTCTCAACGCTCATGCCTGCCTCAGAGATCGACGAGATTTTTGCTTCCAAAGGCAAATCCTCTGCTCCCAAGCCCTCTTCTTCAGCTCCATCTACAGATACACCACCAAAGAAGACGAAGAAGAGCGGAAAGAGGAAGCGGGAAGCCAAAGGCGAGACTGAAGTCAGGGACGAATCGGAGAGCAAAAAATCTACCAAACGTCGAGTCCCTGAAACCGTCCTCGATCCTTCCGCTCGCATAGCTGCCCCTGCCACTAGCAATAAGTCAACAAAGTTGCAAAATATTGCCAGCGACAGTGCCGCAAAGAAAAAGAGTAAAAAGGCCATAGAGGTCGAGGATCGCTTCAAAGATTCAAGGGGCACGGGATCGAGTATGTCCTCGCTACTGACCCTCTATTTGTTCGGAATTCACAGTATTCAGGACGCACAACGGAGGAAGGGTTCGCGATATACAAGGAGAGCGATCTCGGGATCACAGAACAGGGTGGAAGTGAGTGAAATTTTTGTCTCACCAATTTCGTCTTGTCGACTTCTTCCTCTAATCCATACAGATACGCCGTTGTGTCCGTTTGATTGCCAGTGTTGTAAGTCGTCATCTATCAGCTTATGCCTCCTGAACTCATTGTCCGTCCAGGCTTTTAATTATAGCGTAGCCTTTTGTCCCCTTAAATCACCATCAACTCGGATCCCGTTTTCCTTCTCTTGATTGCTGCTCATCGGCTCTATCGAAGCCTCGGCTACCGTGTTCATGATGGTTTCACGAGGTCAATGTGTAGCCAATATCGATGACCTTTTCGTCCCTTTCCATTTTTCTTGCTTGGGATCTTGTGCTACCTGACGAGGAACGTGTATAATCTATTACTGGGGTACATTCAGATTCCAATTCCTGGTTTCTTCCTTACGGTGAGTCTTGATGAATAAAGTCCAAAATGTTCTATTCACGTCGTTTCTAGAGTGTATTTTACTTATTCTGTACCCGTTAAATGCATAAGCAGGCCATCTCTTAAAACGCGATATTTTTGACAGTTAAGCCTCGTCTGTCTAAATCCTGGTCGTGCGCCCTCAATTTGCAGCCAACCTGAAGGTATGCTTCATCGTTTGATCTCCCATGGGTCGATGTTTAACGGGACCCAGTGTGCTTTCGACCGCGACTTCGTGTGCTTATCACCCTCTTCCGAGGTACGCTAGTTGTCCCGACAATACAAATTGTATCGCTCAAGCTCTACATCCCAAACCCACTCAACCATGCAGTACTGTTTGGTCAGATCTCACTTGTCATGGAGTCTCGCAAAGATCGTGACACTGACTTACACCTTCGCCGGCTACTAAGGTACCCTCCCGAGACGCATACCTACGGCTCGTCGAGGTCAAATCGTAGCCAAAAGACGAGGTTTACCGTCCATGGTCGCCTCTTCTGTGTACCGGCAAGTGGACACGTCGGTACGTAGTTGGCTCCAAGGGCACATTCAACTACTGCATCTTTAAAATTTGCACCGTTCGTCATTTTATCCTCCGCTTTAGTCTCAATCTTCTCCGCTTGACACTCACCACTTTCCGTCTTCCCTTCCGCTTGCATTGCTTCAACATGTACCACGTCCACGTCATGCCTGTGCCCTGTCGGACTGAACGATTGCGCTTATGGAGGTGCGGACGTGAATGCTGTCAAGTTCCATGCAGCAAAACACTGCTGCAACTCAGCTTCGAAGAAATCGCGGAGCGCCCAAAGGATCTCTTGTGCACGAATATTTCGTCCTACGTGTATGGTCGAGATCTCTGGAGGAAGCCAAGTTGGATCCCTCATACCTGTAGTTTCATATCTCTCTTCGTGCATACGAGCCCATCGCCTCTGTGAACGGTGTCCACAAGACCACCATCAAGAGCAGAGGGAATTCTGGAGTAAGTGTGTACGTGCCAGAATGGGTGAGTCTTTCGAACATTGATCCTATCGTGCATCCATTTTCTGAATTGCCGCCCACAGCTAAGGATCATGCTGCGCTTTGCCGCGCTCCAGAAGGGGCGTCACTTCAAGGTCTCCCACATGAACTGGGAAACCTTCTTCCGCATCCTGGTACACGAGGAAGATGACATGTCGCTTGCAAGCCACGATATGATCATCGGGCCAGCTGATTACTCTCTGAAGTACGTGCAAGTGTCATCATTCCATCAAATCCCCTGTCTCCCTTCCTCATGTCTGCCTTTCATTCAGGGATTCGGCATATGGCCTTAAGAAGCATAATATCAAGGGCTATCGAAAAGCAACACCGACGAGCTGCTGCGCTCGGGGAACAAAGTGAACGTGATACGTATGCTCGACGACATCGCGGACAGAGTTACAAAGACACCTCGACCCCGGTCCACTGTCCTCGAACGAGGCGAACTTATCCCTGACGATACCGTCCTGAAACGAACTTTCGGCAGTTGTGGGACTCACGTCCTGATGCTTAGGAGTGTTAATCGCCACTGGAACTATTTAGAGTGTTATACTGATTACAAAAGCGACGTCTGGATTTCTCGGACATATGTCCCTCCTTCCGAGAAAATCTGGAAATGCTGCAACGTCACCGGTCATTATCCACTTGATACCCTTAGGTACGTATCCATACTTACCTGGTGAAATGACACCAATCAGGCTGCTGTCCCGTGCTATGTATCGTGAAGGTCGTCTCCGTTCGGCCACTGACTTTCATTGTCGAAATCAAGGCACGGTGGAAATTCAGGAAAAGGGCAAGGCCGAATTTCGAAAGTTCGTGCTCAATACTTACAATGCCATGATAGTCAAGGAGACAATCATGGATCAAGGAAATATACCCTCCCTTGCTCTCTTCTGCCGTTTTGACATCGGCCTCATCGAGTATCACAACCTCCACTGCTTCATTGGCGGTGGCGCGCAGCCATGAGCCCCCCTTCGATGTGTTGGCGGACGCCCTTGGTGATACCCTCTACACGTGAATGTGTGGGCTGAGGACACCAAATTTTCTGGTGCGGCCTTGAAAGTTCTCTCCCCATCCTGACCTTGTTGGATTCAGAGTTAAAGTGCTGTATGTATCGGTAGTAATGTGATTCTATCCATCTGTCTTTCCAAATTATAAGATTATACGTACGCCCGCGTACAATGAAACAATTTCGTGGAGATGGTTGAATGCAAAATAACGTCGACTACACATGTGTCTGTTAACGTTGACGTATAATGCTGTGCGCTCCGACAAGGTTGGTAAGACAGACTCCCACTGCGCGATCCTGCTGATGCCGCCGGGATCATTGCCTAAAAGCATTCGTGCCCATGGACAATACACATCTCAGCCTCTTACCTAACCTCGAAGCCGCCTACTTCGTCTTAAGCACGCTTACTTCTGCCCAGCCATGACCTTGGAGCCGCCACCGACCTACTCGCAACAAGTGCCCGGTCTCGACGGTCCACCTGACGATGGAACCCGAGCCATCGAGGCCCAAATTCTGATCGTCCCGACGGCGAATGCGATCAGCTTCCAGACAGGATATCTGGGCGCGGAGGGGGAGCGCGCGGCGATCGAAGGAGAGTTGCAGCTGAAATGCGCCGACAACTTCGAATGGGACAAAGTGTGGGTTGCCCGGTGGTGCTTCACGGCTGTAGCTAATGCGACCACTTCTTAAGGACCATGTCTCTACGTACCGTGGAATCGGCTTATGGCGCGGACATCGAGCTGGCCAATACCGAGGTCGTGCTTTTCCCTGGATCCAGAGAACACGCCTCCCGCTCGAGCTTTCCGTTCTCTATCCCTCTGCCCCCAGATACTCCTCAGTGCATACACGCAACCTACTCTTCAGTCACCCATACCCTGTCTGCGGTGGTATCTCTCGGCGACTCTCCCATCCTCTCCAGATCTCTCACCGTCCATACCCGACAATACACCGCCCATCCATATACCTTGGATAGCGCTCCTGAGACAAGAGTACTGGAAGATCCCACTCGTATTGAAGTCCAGGTTCCTCGGACGACGTTCACGGTCGGCGAGCCCATACCTATCTATATCACCGTACCTGCACCCGACAGGGAACTGGTCGTCGAGCAAGGGCTGCGGCTCCGTAACATCCGGGCGGAACTAGTTCGACTCATCAAGGTCGACAGAAGCGATGGTCAAGACGATGATATTGAGATCAGTTCCGACTACGACTTTGAACTACTGTCTGTTCCAGCCAGTGACGAGGCGGACGACGCTGGACCTTCCCCATCTCTCCCTGCGCAAAAGGGGTCTGACCCTTCATCCTCCGGGGAAGGCGTGGACTTCAGGACGTTCACAGGAGTGCATGGAGAGAAGAAGGTGGTAGCTTTATCCGGTGCATCCTGTCGGTTACATCCAACTCGTCCCATACGCATTCGCCTAGTTCTCCATAGGCCATCGGATTCACCTATCGCTCTGTCAAGTGAGAATTTGCCAGCAGCAGATCAATACACTGCGGATACCGCGCTGGACTGCGCTTCTATTTCGCAGACCACCATACTACACCGAGTATCGTTCATGCTGCGTGCTCGTGTCACCTTCATGAACATGGCCAACCACACAGAACGTGTCTCCATTGTGTCTATTCCCATCATAATGCTTCCTCCCGCTGCTCCCCTTCCCGAGGTCGAGCAGTCGATGGATGCTGCTTACCACAAGAAACACGATCGACCGCCTGCTAGGACCGTTAGGATGGAAGACACGGATGCGCCACACTATGACGACACGGAGGCAGGACCTAGTTTCTTAGGTGGTGCGCCTCCTCCGTTTGAAGAACGGGAAGCACCCCCACCATTTTCCTCTGCAGGACCTGAAGCCTCGACGTCATCCAGATTGCCCACCTTCTTAGAATCCGAGACGGATATATATGTTCCTTCAAGTGAGGATCCCTCAATTGCCCCTCCACCACCGCACATCCCCGAGCTGGAAATCGAAGGCGAAGGGACGCTTTTCGGCTTCGCAGTCTCGGAGCAGTTCGACGGCTATGCAGAAGATTTAAATCGCTCATATACTCCGCCCCCAACCCTCGAAATGGCTTCGAGGGATGCTAATGTGACCGGGTTGGCTCATTACGATGACGGCGTCACGATTCAGGCGTTGGGACTCGCCCTTGAGCAGCATGATGATGCGACAGGAAGTCAATTTCCCCCTCCACCACCGCCAATGGATGATCCTTCAGATCCTCCGCCATGTATTGACTCCGCCTTCAGGTCTCCGGGAGACACTCGTCAAGGACCGCCCCCTCATCCTCTAACTCAGCCTCTTGTCCTCACTACGTCTCGGGTGACCGACGATGCGGCGCATTCCTCACCTTCCGATGCTCAAACAGAATCGCATGGACATGCCCCACCTCCTTACCGCACACCTGATAATGGAGTTGATCACGAGCACGAGCATGTTGTTCGACCCCCTCCATACGTTGACCTAATACCGCATCCTCACCACGCATAGCTTCCCAACATCCTTCATCCCTCGTTGTATCCCGGACCGCATGTTGCATCTGTGCCTTGATAGCAAAATTCGTAATCTCATGTCCGCCTGTAATGACCGAAGAAAAAGCAAATACATGTACTAGAAAACGATACCATATAGATCGGAGACGTAACCAGAAGAGAAGATACGAACGTATCAGGCGTGAGCTTCATGAAAAGGGGACGGTTCCGCACATATATATGCCGCTTGATGTCACACATTTAGCAATTGCAAGCCTCTTTGCCCTTCGCGGCGTTCTCCTCAAGGTTCACACCTCTTTCCTGTGCGGCACCAGCGCGCCCTCCCGTGGCACCGGCACGACCTGCACCCCCGCGGGACGATGCCAGAATCTGTTCGATTGGAATCTTCTTGGCTGTCGACACCACGAGAGACTAGTATGAGCAGTCTGTACTGTAAGTGGAACAACGTGTGCGTACCAATTTCGGTGAAGATCTCCACAACACCTTCCCCAGTCTTGGCACTCGTCTCGAAGAAGAGTAACCCAGCCTCCTGTGCATACGCCTCAGCCTCCTCTCGAGGCACTTGTCTCAGGCTCTCCGGTTCGCCGCTAGCGCCGGCGTTCTCCCCAGGCGTAGCAGTCGCATCGTCGGCCTCGTCTTCGGTCTCCGGGGTAGTTACTTCTGCAGATGGCGATGATGGCGATTGGACGAGGTCGAGCTTATTTCCAGCGAGAGCGATGACGATGTTGGGGTTCGCCTGTCTTTGCAACTCCTTCACCCATGTCTTCGCCTTCTCGAGACTAGACGCCTTCGTTACATCATACACGACTACTGCAGCTTGAGCATTGCGGTAGTACATAGGCTAGCAAATCGGAGACATAAGAATATGAGAATAGCGATTGCTGATGAATAAGATTGCGCACTGCGAGTGAATGGAAACGTTCCTGGCCAGCGGTATCCCAGATTTCATATCGCAGAACACGGTCTTCGAGTCGGCATTTCTGCGTCAGGAATGCAGCGCCGATGGTAGGTTCCTTGTTGGCTTGAAATTCGTTTGAGACCTGAGTCGAGAATGAACACAATAGTCTCCCTGATCCCTGAGAACACTCACAAATCGGAGAACTATAGATGACTTTCCGACAGCAGCCTCGCCTGAGTACGAAACCACCTGTGAGCACAAGACTGTATACACTCGGCCCTCTCCACAATGAGCTTATTGACGCCTTATGGACGGCAAGCAAGGCATCTCGAGTCTGCACTGCAGAGCCCATACCAGCAACATTACGGAGAGATTGGACAGTAGGAATAAGCCTCACCGAGTAGAACCAATTTCACCTGGACAGACCTCTCCGCTGAGCCAGAAGCATTATCGGCCATGACTTGTTAATTGACGAAGGATTGGGAGGAATATTCGATGACGATAAGTAGGTGATGGCGTAACAGGCGGGCACAGTCACGGTGGCGCACGGCGAGGCTCCCGATACTGTTTGTCTGCTGTTTGTCGCACAGCCAAATATGTCGAACCTGGAACTTCACTTTAACGCCGCCCAATATTTGTCGCAACCATCAGGCCGAGTCAGGATCAAGCTCTCGAACGTCAGGTAATGCTCCATTTGAGAACAAACACACAGTGTGGAGACGAAATAGCCTACAACGGTAATCTACGGTGCATTCGATTCCAGAGGCATAACGATCTCGTAGAATGGCTTCAGCTCATCGCAAGTCACATAGATTCCATCATCAATCGCCACCTCGGTAGCGGTCGCGAAGACCGTAGGACACTGGAAGGGTATCGTTGCGCTGGGAGTGATTGTGTCGAGGATTGCTCTCTCGGTGCCCGCTGCTGTTGACGAATGCTCAAGTTCTCCTAGGTCTCGCGCAGTATGGGAGGCAGGGGCGTTCGGTAGTGCACTGTTTTGGTCATAGAACCAGAACGGCATGCTCTTGTAGTCGCTAACCTGCTTTTGCAAGAAGGCGGCATACTTCCCCTTCGGATCTCCATACGCAGCAGCAACCGCAGCGACATGAGGGAAGATGTCCGAGACGTCCTCGTCCTTCGGATCGAGGCTCATAGTGTAGTCCAGGGCAGTCTGAATGGTCGCGCCGTACTTCGACTTGGACGTCCAGAGGTTGAGGCCTAGCTGGTCGCCCATCTTGGCGTTTGCCTGGACATATAGCGCTGAATCGTCATATTGTCGATCACAGAGCGCAGGGGGAACCTACAATCATAGCCTCTAGATTGAAACAGCGGTAATGGTATGGGCGCGTCCGAACCGCTTCGAACGGTTGCTCTCCCGAAGCCGCGACTTGGTCCAGGTATTGCTTGGAGAAGTAGCTCTGGAGAGTAGATATGGCGCCGCTGGTGTCCCCAACATACATCTTCGTAGCAGTCAGTTGATTCACATAGAACGAGAAGTGATTGCTGTAATATGAACACGACGGTTCAACTAAATAACGATCATGAGATGCAATGAAAGTATTCAACTCACTTGGGTGCTGCAGCGGTCTGCTTCCCGATGTCACTTGTCTGTAGCCACGAGACGTACTGGTTCGTCCAGGCCAGCATACCCTTGTCTCTAGCCGACGTCCAGTCCGGACTCCGAGCAGCCTTGAGCATCTGAATACCATTGATCACCTTGACCATGCCCCGTAAGTCCAAGACTCCCGTGAACGTGCCAATCTGATGATCTTGGCCCGGTCCCCGGACCAGCTGACCGAAGTTGAGATTCGGATTCATGGCGGTTGATGGAGACAGGAAGAACGCATCGATGAAGCCGGCGGCATTCTTGGAGAAGGTGCTAGTCTTCTGGAGGACATAAGCCACGCAATTGTAGAAGACAGACTCCGTCATGTCGATGACTGCGGGGGAATCGGGCAACGAGCGTACGTCTGGATTGAGCTTGCCGTCACGCACCTGGTAAGGACAGGTCGTCCATGCTTCAAACGTAATCAGTATAATCGCACGAAGAGGCGAGGGATGGGCACAAACTCGCGCTTGGAGACAGACTCTTCGTAGGCGAAGGAGTACACGAGCTGTGTTGCGTCTTGGCGGGAGCTTGCGCAGGCGCAGGCGTCCCATCTACAGTACCAATAGAAGTCTGACTGCTTCCATCCGTGAGAGCAGGAGTCACGCCAAGTGTAGGCAGCTGGGTAGGTAAGGCTGGAGCACTCAACGTGCCCGTTGTTGGCAGAGAGTCAAGATCAGCAGCAGCATAGACGTCCAGCGGCGATGTCGTGTCATCAGGAGAGCGGAATGCCAAGTATCGTATGCGGGGTGGGTCAGCGACACCTGAGGTTGTGTAATTCGTTGCTCGTCTAACATGTTTCATACGGTGACGAGGGTGAAAGACGTCTCCCCTCGCTGCAGAGAAATCGCCAGCTTCGCGAGGTACAATGAGGATGTCCTCGTCGTCTCCGTCTGGATCGTTGGGATCGTCCGAGTTGCCGTCGTCACCAGGGTCTGAGCTATCAGGGCCGCCACTAGGGTTTCCGGGCTCATCGCCACCGGAACTAGGGTTCATCAGGTGGGTTGCACCTTTCGAGCACCAGTTGCAATCCGGCCAATGACTTGTAAGCATATAGATGCACCGTCAAACGACGGTATACGATCGAAACTTCCTGGATGTAACTCACTATGGGGCCCAGCCGAGGTAGTCATGAGAGTTACCACTTGGCGGTAGCACAGGATTTTTGGTTGTGATACCTTAAGGTTGGGTCTAGCGTAACAGCAAATATCTCGACGTAGGAGGCTTACCCCAAGGTCCGGCCTTTGCCGTGCCACCTGCACTACTAACGATCTGTTGTCGAGCACCGGAGGTATCACTGGATCCACTTCCGCCTGCTTGCTTAAGTAGGTAGTCAATGTTCACCCACTCATTGTTTGGACCTAGAGATATCGGCTAAGTACCATGGACGCACAACTGGCCGTAGCTTGAAGATAGACTCACTAATAGCAAAACCGACTGCTGCCGACAGAGACAAATAGGCAAGAATTCTCCTCATGTTTCGCAAGATACCAAAAAGAGCACAGAGACAAGATTTAGCAGCGACGAAGAACCTGCCAGAGGTTGCAAGTAACGAAGACCAGCTTCCACAATTAAGCACCAGACTAGGAGACAACGAGAAAAACAGAGTCCAGGAGCTGTTAGGCTGACAAAGGCATCAACACTTGTGGAGCGATTCACGAGTTTCAACCCAGGCCAATGCACGCCTTGCCTGTGCGCAGTCAGAAACACAACGAATGTGTTTGATGACGCACCGGGCATGTAGTGGTTCAAAGGAATATCAACACGGCGTGTCTGTTGCAGGCTGGGCATTCCTAGTGGGAGGTACGTGTTTGCATAAGGCATGAGCACTGAGTGACCCGGTGGCTTCGGCTCCTTCTGTGAGACAGTTAATTAGTCCGACTAATCATCATGAGAGTGGTAGCATCCAATGAATGAAGTTCCTCACAATTGGCAAGTACAAGTGAACGAAGATAAGGAATGATTCTGTAGCGTCAGAGCATGTTGTTCGCTTGCAGTGTTGTGTCTGTTTGCTCATCGTTACGTACGTTGAGCGTACTTGTCGCGAGAGCTCGCGGTCACTTTTCTGATTGCACTTACTCGATCAGGTAAGGTGAATAGCAAGCGCCCAACACTGCGTGCCTAATTCGGTAACCGCTGCGGTTGGTGCCGGCAAAATTGGGGAATCCATAAAGTCTTCGGCAATGCCTGGTGCACCTCTGTCGCGCTTCATGCGTAGATGCATGAACGAGGTGGAGGATGGCGTGTACATCATTTGCCAAAGATTCTTGACTGCAATCGCAGGCAATTACAGTCTAGGAAGCTAGCTATCAGCTGGATGCCATTATTACCAAGATGAAAATGATGCAATACATACACAGAAGGGAACGTCCCTAAGGTTGATGAATTCAGGTGAGCAGTAAGATTTCCTTCGTAATATTAATGTTCTTCTCGTAGGCCTCAAGTCCGCAGGACCGACCGACGTGCGATGGTGCGAGAAGTTTCATTCTCCAATGTGTCGGTCGCACCCACCAAAATGGCGACTTATGGCGATGGATGCTGAGTGCATCGCTGCGTCCTGGAGCGCGTGATACGACTACGTGGATGGGGACAGGATTTCCTGGTCAGTCGTCCGGCGGGCCCCTCCGGAATTTCCGGAGAAGAAGCTAAACCTTATAAGTGTGACCCCGCATCAACGGAAGCTGTACTACTTGATAGCTCGGCCGGAACGTTTGTGAGCCTGCCACTCTCTTCCAACAGCGTATTGAAACTCGGGCCAAAGAAATGTGTGACATGGCTGGGACCGACGCTTGCCGCGTATGGAGCGTCTCCTTCCACAAATGGCAAGGCCGAACTTGAACTTCATCCCGTCACAATAACTCGCAAATATTCGCGTAACATGGCGAACCTGTATCTGAGATATATTGGGCTTCTCGATAAGGCAGCTGGTACCTGTTCAGAATTCCAAAGGCTTCTTATCATCACTCCAATATGAGGATAAAGCCACTCGAGGTCTCTCGCTTACGGGGTAGGACCCTCTGTTGCCAGCCAGCATGCCTTCTCCTTCCCTCCGCAAAGTGTCCGACGAGCGCGACAGTCAAGAGAAAGCCGAGAAGTCTCAAGGGGATGCTCTTGTCACCATCACTTCTCTGGAGGGCGGAGATGGCGAATGGCAGTTCACCGCAGAAGAGATCAACAATTACGAGGTCGATCCGGAGATGAACAGACGCATTCTCCGCAAGTTGGACACTAGAATTCTCGTGCTCATCTTCTTCATGTATTTGTTCTCTGCGCTTGACCGAGTACGTCTTCGCATCATGATCCATCGCGAAATGCGCTCAGTCTTGTACTTTTCCTGTGCAGGGCAATCTGGGAAACGCAGTGACTGATGGCATGACGAAGCAGCTTCACTTCGTCGGGAATCAGTACAATATCATGCTTACTGTCTTCTACATTCCGTGCGCGTTCTTGTCCCTCGCGTCTCTAATCGAATGCCGACAAAGTGCAGATTCTGTATCATGACGATTCCAGGTGCGCTCTTGACCAAGAGATTTGGACCGCATCGGATGCTTCCGCTCTACATGGTGCGACTCTCTCGAGGTGCTACTATGTGCTTAAACTGATTGGTTGTTTGCATCTAGATGGGCTGGGGAGCGATGGCTATGTTGAACGCGGCATGTAAGAAGTACGCATGTCTCTCCTTCCTGCCCTGGAGCACTCAATTTGAGCAAACACATCATTACCCTTCAGTTATGGTGGTGTAGTCGCCGTTCGAATGATCCTCGGCGTGGTCAGTTCGATTTGAACTGTATTGTTTCGTCTTTCATAGCTCATTTAGTAAATAGTTCGAGGGTCTGTTCGGTCCTTCCCTCGCTGTTTTCCTTTCGTTGTACTATACTCGAGCTGGTCAGTACCCGTCCGTTGGGATCATTGGTCTAAAGCGCATGCAAATCACTCTCAACCTTATATACAGAGATGGGCAAACGGATGGCTGCCTGGTACTCTTCAAGCGCCATTTCCGGCTAGTGAGACCTAATTTCGGGCAGAACGATCCTCTGACGTGCACGCCTTTCCACCCGCTGTAGGCGCTTTCTCGGGGCTTCTCAGTTACGGTCTCTTCCAGATCAGGTCACGCCTGCACGGTTGGCAGATCCTCTTCCTGCTCGAAGGTGGTCTGACGCTCCTTACCGCCTTCATTTCTACGTGCGTGGTGCTCTGAGCTCTGGTATAGTCGAACTCACGTCACTGTGCAGATTTGTTTTGCCACCGCATCCAACTCGATGCTCCTTTTTAACCAAGGAAGAGAAGAAGGCCGCCGTCATGCGTTTGTTGAAAGATGCGAGTCACCGAGTCAACGCTCCTTGGGACTGGAAGGAGATTATGGCTCCGCTGAAGGAGTGGAAGTTCTATGTGTGGATGGTTTATGCTCTGGTCAGTTACTCTGGAAATTCCGTTATTGAACTCTATCCTAATTCAACGTTCCAGTGCTATGGAACAGCCTCGTCTACCGCCGGTACCTTCCTTCCGCAGATCCTGGGTCGTTTCGTGAGTCGGCTTACCTCCATACTGCCTGAAATCTCAACTACGCCTTCCAGCACTATAGCACTGTCAAGACCAACTTGTGCGTTTTATAGTCCCGGGGAGGTTGGCTCATTAGTACTCACACAGAGTTCATCTCAGGTATACCGTGGCTCCCAACATTGTCTCCGCAGTCACACTCTGTGCGTACTCTGTTGGTTGGACTGATTTAGTGAATCATTAAGCATACCGTTCACGTCGCAGGGATCACCGTTCTTTCTTCTGATTTCTTCAGAGAGCGGTCCATCCATCTGATGACTGCCAATGGTGTGTGCCGTTGCCGTTTACACAATATCTTCGATATTTAACAAATATTATCCCACAGCTCTCACATTCGCAGGATGCGTAAGTACCACACCTAATGGCTACGGCGTTTGAACTCACGCGGTGTGCGCTCGCCACAATCAGCTCGGTCTCGCATGTCTTCCTGTCAGTAGTGACCACGCGGGCTACGCTATGTGCTTCCTCATTTCCATGGGTGCCTTCACGCCTACGTGTCTGTTCCACACCTGGTACGTCCGTACAGTGCCTGTATACTGTCTGTTGGACGAACGTTATGTGTCTCAGGCACAATAACAACGATCCGAACGAGAACGGTCGTGCGTTCCGAACAGGTGTCATGACTTTCGCTGCCAACGCCGGAGGCATTGTCAGCTGTACGCAACAGCCTCATAGTACCTTCTTCATGGTCTTGGCTCACCATTGGCCGTGTATTAAGCCAACATCTTTCTACAGAGCGATGCTCCCAAGTACACTCGCGCACTGATCGTCAGTGCTGCAATGGAGGGGTGTGGAATCTGCATCTTGATCTGTCTTAGTACGCCGTCTGCTTCACTGCTGGCATGCCTTCCGCTCATGCATTTTATGTGTTTTCAACTCCAGGGACTTATATGTGGTTCGACAACCGGAGAAGGAACAGAGCGCAGGGAGTCATCTGGACAACCAAGGATGTTCCCACTGCCGTCCTTTTCGAGGGTCCGAAGAATCCGTCTTTCCGTCACTTTTTGTAGACTATAGAGTAGCATGTAGACATCCGAGTATTAACTCGGTTATAGCACCGGCGCGATGTGAGATTTGGCGTAACTTCTTGATCAGCTCAAATAGTAGTATTCCCTGCTTCAATTATGTTATTCGTTGCCCTTTTGGTTCCCCCGCATCCCATCTGTCTGCCGGAGAAGTACTTTTTGAACTCCCAGCCAAATCAGCCAATTTGAAGAGGAGATCGTGTTTTGCATCTGATCGAGACGCGGCCACGTGCTACAATAGTGCTGAACGCGGGTAAAATTTTGTTCTCTGCGCCTCGGACTGTGCTATGGCGGGCTCTCCTGTGCTGTCGGCCAGTACAGTAGTGCTTCAGAAACGGAAGAGGACGACAGAACCACTGGTTCTTCATCTTGCTTCTCCACCGCCAGGTTGTGACGTCCTCTCTGCTTCTGAGTCAGAGTATGAGCCTAGCTCTGCCGTCATTCGCATAGATTCTGATTCTGGTGAAGTCGCATCCTGGAAGGGCGAGAACCACGATCCGAAAAGGCGTTACAAGTGCACTTTTGATGGATGCACGAAGGCCTATTCAAAACCGTCACGTCTCGCCGAGCACGAGAGGTCGCATACAGGAGATGTGCGTGCGTTACCAAATGCAAGGTGTGCTGATCGTTGACTGTCAGTTCAGCGGCCGTTCGTATGTACAACGTGCGATAAGTCGTTTCTCCGCGAGTGTCACCTCCAAGTGCATGCACGAGCGCACCTCCCAGGGTCGGAAAGGCCGTTTGCTTGCGAAGAGCCTGGGTGCGGCAAACGCTTCTGGACCGCCCCGCACCTCCTCGCGCATAGTAAAGTCCATACGGGAGAGAAACCATTCAAAGTGAGCATTCCATTATTTGTGTGCTCTATTCCCTGACAGCGGATGCAGTGCGCAGAAACCTGCTGCGATGCAGCATTTTCGAAACATCATCAATTACGCGAACACATCTGTTCCGCTCATCGTCCTCCTGGGACAAAACCGTATCGCTGCGAACATGCCGGATGCACAAAATCGTTGCCGAACAATCAGAAGCTACGTGCACACATGAAGACCCACGACAGTGAGTCGAAGTCAGCTATTCTGCAGCGTCTGTCGGTCATCTTGTATTAGATAAGCGCTACACCTGCGTTCACGAGTCCTGCTTGCCTGCTGAAGGTGCATTGCCTACCTACTACCCCACTTGGTCTTCCCTACAGCAACATATGCGCAGTGCCCATCGGCCAACGTGCCCCTACCCATCTTGCAATGGGAAGACTTTCAGCGCGCAAGCGGGTCTCCGTGCTCATCTCAAGATACACGCACAACGTGATGCCGAGGCCGACTTGGACAAAATGGGAAATGGTTCTGCCGACGAATGTGAGGACGAAAAGCCGCGCAAGCGACGCAGAGGCGGGGAACTTGGCAGAGACTGGATCTGTGAGATACCCGGATGCGGAAAAGACTTCAAATCTGTACGTCGTGTCCTGTCTCACATCCTCGGGTGTGCTGATTGTTGGCATCTGGTTGCAGAAACACGCGCTGACGACGCATACAAATGTGTCTCATCTCGGCCGCCGCGATTTCGTCTGTTCACACTCGGACTGCGGACGCGCGTTTGGCTGGAAGCATCTCCTCCAACGTCATGTTGCCAAGGTCCATTCGAATGATCCCCTGAATTCTGACTCTGAAGAGGACCACGAAGCTTCGGATGAGGCCGAGGCCAGTGGTATACAAGCTCAGGAGCAGCCACGCCCGGAAGAATCGTTGGCTATAGACTTCATCACTGGACAAGCGTACGCCACGCACTCGCGGGAACAGATGAACTGCCTCAAGGTCCTTAAATGTCCGCATCCCCACCTACCTGCGATCTTCGTAGTCGATGATACACTCGCTCCTTCAGGCTCGGGCTCGCGTCAGCCTGAATCATCTAGTCATACCGGTCTATGCCAGTACGTTTTCAGCCGCGCATATGACTTCCGACGCCACATGCGGGTAGAGCATGGGATTGAAGTAGAAAAAGAAATAGTCGACGAGTGGGTGAAAGAGCAGAAGGAAGCCAAAGCTACTTCCGTTCGCAGTCCCAACTGACCCGTTTTATCCGTACCATGCCCCAACGCTCACGATATCTTGCTGGCTTGGCCTGCGGCGACCCTGCACAGTTTGCCGCCTCTAATCGGATGTGCACATACATGCTTTCAATGTTCTTCATCTAATGTACTTTGCTACATCACAATGGGCCGATGCCTGCTGATGAGGGGGAAAACGACTGCAACATACACGGAAGATGCATATAACTAAGTTGACATAGCACATTAACGCACAAGTGGCGAAGCCTATCCTAAACGACAGGTCGCCTCCACGAATAAAATAAAGCAGGTATGTAAAAGGTCATCAAGACGGGTTCACCGATAATCTCAGTATCCGAAAGGAACCAGTCCTCCTCTCGCATATGTACAGCTCGTCGTTCTTCCTCCCTAGGAAGAGCACCTCATCTTGCAAGAAAGAATCCACATCGGCCGAATGCGAAAAGTCAGATCTTCCCGGTGGCTTGGCTGGACCCGTGCTCTGCTTCTTCCGGTGTGAAGGTTTCGTGAGTGCAGGTAGAGACGACAACGATGAAGACGAGGACTGCGATGACAACGGCGACCCGATCTTCCACACGAACGGCTCACGTCGATTGATGCTGGAGGAAGCGGGCTGGAAATGAGGGTATACTGTACGCGAGTGGTCAGCTGGCCGGAGCAGCGCGTCGCCGAAGTCGACCGCCTCGAGACCGCCCTGTCGCATAGCCACGAGAACAGCACGATCCCGCACGTCGAAGGCCTCTAGACGCTTCACATCGCCCAGCTTGGCGATCCATGCATGTTGCTCTTCGCTGTCGTCCGGACTCCACAGGAACCGTCCCTTGAGAACGGATCTGCCTCGAGCATCGACAATGGTAGTACTATGTCCACCGCGTGACGAGTAGAAGAGAGCAGGAGGGCCGAAGTGCTTCGGTTGCGACAACAAGGAAATCGGGGAGAGAAGAGGCTTGGCAGCATCTGGTACTAAGACTGACTGAGAAGGGCTGGGTAATGGGGGAGAGGAGCGGAAAGGATGCGAGGGGTCCACACATTGTAACCGCAAATCCTTGAGCAACATATATTCCGTGTCCTCCTCACGTCTCACAGGTAGATCCGGCGGAAGTAAACCGTCCTTGTACCACGCTTGCATAAGCGTTGACTTCCACGGGCCTAGTGAAACGTAGTCAGAAAATCGCCTACAGGAAAAATTATCAACTCACCGTGGACCACACCTTTCGGATCTCGATAGAACCATTTTGACGGCGGAGCCGGTATCGGTACAGGAAGACCAGGAGGAGAGAACTGCACTTGAGACAGATCCACATTTGAGCTACCGTTGACTTCAGGCTCATACTCGCTCCTGTACTCTAAGAAGGAGGGATAAGTGGGTGGGATCACATAGTCATCCGCTATTGTGGCCAGTGGGAACTTAGGTGCAAAGGACAGCTGCTGGAAGGTGGTGTAGGGGCTGGACTGTGCGGCGGCGACGGCAGTCAGTTCATCTGTTGAGTTGCAGGCGGTACTTGAGCTATCAAGCTGATGTTGTGACGTGTTCGAGGGGTGCGCCGATGTAGGGGTAGACGGAATTTGTGGTGGCCCTCCCACCACCCCTTCTTCAGTAACTGGGGTGGATGGTGCAACGATGGTGACGTTGACCGCGGTATCATCATCGCCAGCACCAGATCCCTCTGCATCGGCATCCAGATTTTGATCAGCCTGGTCGATCCTGTTTTCACGAGCTCGGCGTCGTGCGGCCCTACGCTCAGCACGCCCTATCCTGACCTCTCTTACCCGTACGGTGGCTGGTTCCAAGCCGAAGACATTCTGTGAGAATACGAGGAATACCTCCACCAGATCGTCGCCCTGCAGCTGCAACTCAAGTGACCGAGGTGAGTCTGGAAGAATGAACGTCCGAGAGAGTCCAAGAGCAGTGCGGTACGTTCCCGCGAACAGCTCCACCTTCTCCCCGTTTTCTCCGCAGAGGATGGCAAGGAAACTGGAAATGGAACATAAAGACGTCATAAGATGATGACACTGAAAGAGCACGAGCACAAACCTTTTCTTCGCAGTCTCTACCGCTTTAACCATAACAGCACCCTTTGTGCCAGGAAGCTTGACATACTCCAACTTCGGCGCCGGTGCGTGTGGTGGGATAGGTCCCGCTACTGTCCGCTTGACATCGCCCTCTGATGCCCTGGGCAGAATGGGTGTATCATCTGACCGACGAGCCTGGAACGCATTGGTGATGATCCTAGGAAGGAACCGGGTGGATGCACTAGGTATCCGGGCAGATGGGAGAGGTGGGAGGTCGCCAACAAGAGCAGCTGCAGATCTCTCCGATGTACCCGATGGTCCGGGCGACGTCGATGGTCTGCTCGGAGGGCGCACACTCACCGTAGAACTCGACTGCACGATACGCGTAGAGTTTGAGCGCGTCAACTGAGAGGTAGTCCGTTCCCGCATTTCTGTCGGTTGGTCCTCCGCCACTGAAGAGCTTCCACCGAGGGCTGTGCTCTCTGGGAGAGATGGGATAGATGACTGCGAGTTCCCTGGGATGTGTGTGAACACTCCGCCCAACACAGACCATCGCCTACGCCTTCGCCCGGTCGGCTGTTCTCCCAAACTCTGCCCCGTGTAAGTAGACTCGGAAGTCCGCGGACTGGCAGGTACCTCGTCCTCACGAGCATCGAGGAGGATGGGCTGTTGTGGACGACGTGTGCCGACAGGCGGTAAGTCAGGTAAGCGACTCTCCAGAAGAGCCTCCGCCAGACTGATACGCTCTCGGGTAGGAGTCGAGGGAGAGGCCGGCTCCATGTCGCCGTCATCGTCCTCGTCTGCTTCAATGTCCGCATCCACATCCGCATCCGCATTGGGTGCTGTATTGCCAACTGAGCTTAACGTCGACAGCGTCCCCATGCTAGGCGGAAGCGTCAACGCTTGCTGTAATGAAAGAAGCGTTGGCGTAGGAGATGGGGGAGGGACCGGTACCACGTTGGTGACGGTGTTTGTACGCGTGATGGTGAGATCCAGGTTCGACGGGCGACTTCTCCGTGTCGTTCGAGTCTGTATGCTGGGCGCGCTCTGTACACGGCCCATATCCAGCGTGGGGCGAGAGCCAGCGGTGGACGCGGTAGTAGCGGCCATTGAGCTTGTTCGTTCGTCTAGCATTTGGCTGCCGCTAGGTGCCGCAACCACATTAATAGCCTCGTCATCGCTTGATGCCCAATCCGCCTTCGCATCCTCGTCTACCTGAATCGGATTATCCAGCGTATGGTGCCGATTCATCGTGCCAGCCATGACCTCGCTGATGGAAGTCGCGCGAGAGCGTGTAACAGGCGCAACGGGCGGATCGCGAGCGCGAGGCGTTGCGGGAGTGTTATACGCAGGCGGTGGTCCTGTAGGGGTAGTTGGGCGTGCTGGCGTCTTCGGCTTGGCCTTGGGCGCCTTCACGGTTGCAGTTCGTGCAGGAGGCTTTGGCCGACCAAGATGAGGTACAGGAGGAACAGACCCAGATGTCCAAGGAGCAGAGTTCTTCCCCGACACCGGAGTTACGGGTGTCTTCCCGCGCATATCCTTCTCAGTCGATCCCCGTTTTTCGCCATCGTGATGACCTAGGCCCGAGTACGTGACTTGCGAACGTTTTGCCAACTCTCTCCGTGCGCGTTCCTGCTCCCTCCTCACCTCCGCCTCCATTCTCCATTCGACAGCTCGTTTGATTTCCTCCAACGCGTACACCCTCACACCGTCTCTCCGGCCTGCAATAGCAACAAGTACTCCGCGGTGCTCCATGACGACCACACTCTTAAAGGGTACCCGTCGGATCAGCGCGTAAGGCTGTGGTGAAGGCGGACCTATGAGCGGCAGAACATCAAGTCCCTGAACGTGACATAACAGCAAGTAGTGAGGTCCAAGAAAAGCTCCGCTAGAAGGAGGGTGACTGGAACTCGACGGAGAAAGATGAGCAGTGAGCGAAGACAGAGTCAACCCAAGATCTATGAGAGATGGAGCTGGCAATTGAGGTGGAGGAGTGGTTGGGCGGGAAGGAACCGGAGACGACGCGCGCGATGACGAGGCTGCCTTTGGAGTTGTCGGAGTAGATGCTTCTGAAGAAGGGGCGAGCGCAGGATCTCGGCGGTGTATGAGGGAAGAAAAGAAACCAGACAGTCGATTTGACGCCCGAGCCTGCTGCAGTCAGCAGACTCACCCAGAAAGAACGAGTGAAATACACACATCAAGCATAGAAAGGCGGTTGTTTCGCCTCACCTGCGCGGTAGCAGGAGATGGAGGTGCCAGGTTGGAGCCCGGCGTACTGCCAAACCTCGAGGTCGAGTTTCGTGCTGACATGGGCGTAGGACTTGTAGGCTCGGTGACTTGGACGACAGGCATGCTGTGCACGCTCGACGCATCCTGCTCAAAGCCATTCTCTGGGACAGCAGGGGGGTTGAGATTGGCAGGCGAGTCGGTCTGAATGTGAAGCGTCTTGTCTGGGGCAGCAATCTTGTCGGCTGTGACGGTCAGATCCTCATCCTGTTGAGTAACCTCTTGGATGTCTGCCTCGTCATCCGTGTCGGCCGCGCTCCATTGATCGTACTGCATAGGCGGTGGAGAGCTCGACGAAGCAAAGTTGACGTCGATACTGTCTGGGGTAAGACCGGCGGGATACAGGGACATGGGTGGAGGACGAGAAGCGACGGTCCGGTTCCAGTAAGGCCGGGAATCAAGGATATCAAAGCGATCCGCGAAACACTGAAAAGTTCTGGGCCTTTTGAGAAGGAACCAACCTTCCCGAGGAAAGGACGGGAGACAAGGCGAGGAAGGAAGGACTGGAGTGGGTATACGTAGTCAAGCTTTCAAGTACCGTGGTGGTACCGTGGTGGCAGTCTGGCAGACGAATGCAAGGTGTCACGCGCGCGCTGACATGGCCGGAATCGCGATTCTCTGACTTCGGGCACAGTCAACATCCTCACGCTCGGACACAACATTGATCATTCAAATTAGGCTGTCAACTCCTTCCAGAGAGCAACATGACAACCAGCAAGTGGCCAAAAAAATAATTTAGTGACAGATTGTTCCATGCTCATCCACGACCGTGCTCGGATTCAAGCTGACACTTGCTGTGAACATCGTCGAGACTGTCCCGGAACGAACATGAATATGGGTAACGCCACGACATCCATCAATCCGCGTCAATCACCAACTAATCATCGTCGTCATCATCGTCCAAGTCACCACCGTCCGCCAGTTCGCATCCGAACGGGTCGCCGTCCTCCATAGCCTTCTTCACTTCTGCCGCCTTCCTCTTCCTCTTCTCTTCAGCCTTTCGCACCGTCTCTTCTTGCTTCTTCAAATATGCTTTGCTGCCAACCACTTTCTGTGGGTTTTTGCACAGCTTCAGTCGCCGGTCAACCTCCCGAACGGCTTCCACTTCCGGTGGGGTACCCTGTGTTAGGATCATGGCCTTCAGTGGTTCCAGGAGCATCAACACCGGTGGATCATGACCATCAGAATATTTTGACCGCGCCCAAGAATATGCGAGGGAAGGAGATGCCAGCGCAAGACAGGCGAGGGCTATTTGTGAAGGCGTGTAGACTAGCTCGGCATCCGACAGTCTGGATGCCCGGACGTGCTTCAATGCAGCCTCGTATGCTGTTCTGAGCTCCTCTATCGAGAAATCGGGTAGACTCTGTCTCCGCTTAAGACCATTGAGTAGCATACAATATATGATACGTACCTGTATGTCGAGGTAGAGACCCCACAATGCCCTATGTGCATGCCAAACGGCGAAGTCGAAACCTAGACTCTGCGCCACCAGAAATTCGAGGTCTAGCACATCTGAGGGTGTAGTCTTGGGAATATGTGAAGTATAGGCCTCAAGAGCTATCGGATGGTTCGTCGTCTTCGTCGCAAGGAAAAGGGCAGTCAACCTAGCACTCGTCCTTCAGCAGCTCGCGGGAACTTCGACAAGTATGGAAACGTACATGACATTTTTTGGATGCCAATCCATCACCGTATTCTTGAGGTAGAATCTCTTGAGGTATGTTACTGCGGTTGCTTCCACTTCTTCTGGGAAGCGGAAGTGACCACATAGCTGTGAGATCTTGCCTACATACAGCTTCACGAGCAGAAGCTCTTCGTCTGCATTCAGGAAAGATACACTGGAAGAGGAGCCTAGCTAAAGCGAAACTAATCAGAGAGCAGAAAATGATAGCGCGTTGCACCGGGCGTGCCTCGTCTGTCTCGAAAGCGTCGCGGATAGCCTTGACTGCAGCGGCGTTAAGGGTAGTTCGTGCTTGTGCGAGCTGTTCGGGGGAGTAGCGCCAATGACGGTACTGGGTGCTACCTTCGTATAGAGAGTGTTTGGAGGAAGATGCTTCGCTAGTTGATGCTGTCGTTGGTGCAGTCATGGCGGTCATGGTCATGTTACAGTGCGTTGAGAACAGATGAGCAAGTTTACAGGGAGATCTCGATCTGGAATCTCGATCGAGGACGAACGTGTCCGAAACGGGAATCTGTTTAAGTTGCGTCTCCGTTGTCTACTTCCCATGCTCATGACGACCATTTCCGATAATCTGGCCATGCTCGCTTGACAACTCCCGAGTATCCGCAGCCTTCTCTGAGGAAAAATGCATTCGGGTTTTGCGGTCGTTGGCATTGCGCAGGCCGCAGGATATCCATCATCTCGCGCAGGCGCTGCAACTTCAATCCGTGGCAGGGCACGGCCACGCTGAGACTATGGCCTCTAGACATCGCTTCGCCATTGTCCATCTGCTAAAATTGTTTCAACTTCTTCATCTTTTTATCTGCTGTACCCTTTGCGTGGAGGTCGTTCACACAGAAGCTCGAGCTCTCGTGAAGCTGAAGGATATCAATTTCGTCAATAGTGTCGCGAGAGAAAGACTGTCCGCATATGAGAGGTACTTTTCTGTTTCCTACATGCTCTATTGTGGTCTGATGACTGTCTTCGTGCAGCTTCAGCAATATGTCCCTCTTTATTCGTGAGGGACCTGCGGATGATGCGCCCAGCTCCGCGAACAGCACTGTCACAGGAAGTGGAACGTCTGCCTTGACCATCGTACCATCCAGTTTTCCTGCGACCGCTGTCACCGAACCTTCCACTGCTCTTCCGACAAGGTTTTCAGGAAATTACTCTTCCGCCGCTTCCACCACGAACTTCCAGACGCAGCCAAGCGGGACTAGCGATGTCGTCACCGTGACGGTGATTCCGACAGCACAGTCTGTCACCGTGGTCATGGTCTCAGTGGAGACGGTCATCAGCACAGTAACAGCACCCGGATCAACAGTTGCATATACTACGACGTGAGTCTCATCGATATTGATGAATGATGTTGTATAGATGCGATTCGCTTGTTCTGACTTTTGATTTCTTCGACAGCCAAGAAGAGACCCTGTGGTCGACCGTTGATGTATCCTCGACACAACAACCTGCAAGCTCTTTACCGGCGGGGTACCTCCCCGTCGATGCAGCCGACCATAGCCTACCGCGTTCCTCCGTATTTCTCTCTATCATGCTTTGCGCTGCACCTGCCCTAGCTATGATAATTTATTGATGGATCTCTATGTTACCGCCCGTAGTTTTCAGGATACCTTGTCTTTGGACGCTTCAATATCACCAGGACCATATATCCCTCCGCATTTCCCTTGGTAACAGTGACATCATACTTGTTCGTTAGAATCATGTACTTCGAGGTACTCTACTCCATCTCGTAGACGGTCTCCTGTACGTTGTTGGGGAGCTTGAAGCGTGTAGCGGAACGATACTTCGATATCCTCTCAACACCCCATACAGGATAAGCAAAAGCTAAACATACACGGGAGCCTATCTAACTAGTAGAGAAGGGAGCATGGACGGTACAAAGTAGTACAACAACGCAGGCAAGCCAGAGATACCAATACATCCAGTAACAGACCTACGCAAGTTGCGCTTCGAGTAACTTCAGATGCCCCAACCCACAGGCACCCCTCTGCCAGTCCTTCACCAGACGATACTTCCTCCTCTGTGTACAGCCACGCACGTCGCAGCGTGGCGGCGTTCGTGCCGCTGCGACATCCACGTCCGTGGTACCAGCGGGCTGAGCTGCAGCGGGAGGGAGGGCAGCAATGGGAACGGAGAAGGACAAGTACATGGTCGGTTCCGCTTTCTCAGCCTGCCCCTCCCCCTCCCTCTCCTTGTCGTTCTCTCTCTCTTTCGGTTCCTCTCCCTCCCCCTCTCCCTCCACGTCCATCCCCACCTTTTTCACCTTCACCTCTTCCCCGGGCTGCGGCTGGGGTCGCGAGCTTGAGATCCACCTGTACATGGTGGGCACGGGAGCTTGGGCCTTATCGTCATGTGGGGCCGAACCTGGCGTCGGTCGATCGTCTGCGGTGGACAACGCATTGCGCTTCCCCTTTCTGGTCTGCTTCTTCAACAGGCGGTTGATGGTTTCCGCCTGTGTGGAACATGAGCGGTGTTGAGCACACCATCAAGGTGACTCGGTGCGCCTACCTTCTCATCCGCAAGCTTCTTCTCCGTTAGGTTTTTACGTTTTCGCGCTGTCTCTTCGCGCTTCAGGGCGATCTCCCCCTCAGTCAAAGGTTTCTTCTTCCGTGGATTTGGCGGCTCCACTGTCAGCCAGAGTGCAAGTTAGCAATATTTCAGCAGTGACTTTCAAGGATAGTGGGAAATGAGAGGTAGCACACCTAAGGATACATGCGACGGGTCCACCACATTGGCGAGGACGGCTTGTCGGGCAGTCAAGGGCCTTCCCGCAGTACCTGTAGTTGCAACTGAGGCAGAACGAGTTGACCCGAGCTCATCTTCGTCAGTATCCTCAGACTCGATGTCAATCTCTAAAACGACAGACGTTAATGCGAGACAAAAGGTGCAGTGTGAAACACCACCGTACCCCGAGATGCTCCACGGCGAGAGGGTACGACAGACTCGTCTGGCGTGGTGGTTGCAGTAGGCACAGCGCTGTTGAATCGCGAGAATTTGAGTTTGATCTTGAGCCGAGGTTGCACAGCGGGATCAGGGCGTTGCACCGGGGGCGGCGACGATGAGAGTGCGTCGACGTCAGTATTCTAGAGAGCTCTGCAGTTTAGCCGGAACAATCGGGAGTGAAAGACGAAGGATGGCGTACCGCCTGCTCCTCTTCATCTTCCTCCTCTGCTTCCACGTCTTTGTCGTCCACCCCTTCGTCGTCTCGACCAGGCTCATCTGCGCCCGACGCAGGATCCTCGTCCGCGTCTACATCCACATCCATGTCATCGCCCTCCTCCTGGGGGTTCTCTTCGTCCTCTAGGTCCATGTCTGCGGGCTCGCTATCGGATTGGGACATCTGCATATCTGCGCGGCAGCAGTTGCGATATTTATATGATGCAACAAGCGAGGATACACACCGCTGCCCGCGTTGGACTCATCATCGCGTTCTTCCTGTGACATCCGTGGCGCCATGGAAGAATTGGAGTTGCCGGTTTTGAATTCTCGGCTTCCGATTCGAAGGGGCTCTACAGGACCCTGGATAATCCCCCCGAAGGTCGTCGCCAAAACCCCCCCAATTTACAAAAATCTGTCCGGCCCGTTTTTGGCCGGTTTAGGGAGTTTTTTGTCCGGAAATAGCGACATCCTCGCTCTGGGGACGTCCATTTTAGGCAATTTGTGGCTATTTTTAGCCTTTTTCGGCTTTTCCCGGCGATTTTCCGGCGATTTTTGCCCCAGAACAGTTCCATGTCCGGATAGTACGACGGCTACATGGTCCTTAGGGGGTCCATTTGTCCGGACATGACGACGGCATGAGGTCGATTTTCGCAAAAATCTGTCCGGATTTGGCGACGACCTTTGTGGGGATTATCCAGGGTCCTGGCTCTACTTGGGAGCCGCGCGCCAAGCGTTTCCAGCAATTTGCTAATCATTAGGCGGGTGCCGAAAAATATCATGCATGGTCGGACACCGAAATTAATATTCAGAAGAGCTGATGATGTTTGGCTTTCTTTGGCTTTGGTGGCTGGGTACATTCTCTTACGGCGCCTCACCATAGTGCGGGGTGAAGCACGCTGCTTGCCGCTCAAGTGCCTGGACGGGGCTGATGCAGGCTCCTAAAACCATCCGTCGTTATAGCGTTCTCGCTCCTTTATCCCAACATTATGTTTTAAAAAATCATGTGACATATGTTTTGTGAGACTTACCCTTTATATCGAAAATTACCGAATTAGGACGAGCATTAAGAGGAGGTGAACACTATAAGACGGCTGGCCAAACTCGTTATCCGAGAATACGCTGAGCGCGCGCAATCAGTGTTTCTCGCAGGAAATTGCGAGTAAACCCTAGGGTGGGTGTTGTTTTGCACAATGTGGGCAACCCGAATTCGGTGTTCACAGTCATGCGCTCGCCGTCTCGCATCGTCACAGAGACATAGAAGCAAACAGAATGCAATGTGGTTGTAGTATTGGGTTTAAAGGGTATGCTCTGGGTATACTACACAAACCAAGCTCCAGCACCAGAAATGTAAAGGGCTGTGGATAATTACCTGCTCCTCAGTTCCTGCAAGAATCAGAGCACTCAGTGATTTGTGATTTAAAGCAGTGCTGTTTCTGTTGCTCAATCATCCTGCAACTGTGCGACAACAGCGAGCACATGATGAGCACTACGCGAACACCGAATTCGGGTTGCCCACATTGTGCAAAACAACACCCACCCTAGGGTTTACTCGCAATTTCCTGCGAGAAACACTGATTGCGCGCGCTCGGCGTATTCTCGGATAACGAGTTTGGCCAGCCGTCTTATAGCGTTCACCTCCTCTTAATGCTCATCCTAATTCGGTAATTTTCGATATAAAGGGTAAGTCTCACAAAACATATGTCACATGATTTTTTAAAACATAATGTTGGGATAAAGGAGCGAGAACGCTATAACGACGGATGGTTTTAGGAGCCTGGGGCTGATGCCGATTCCAGGTTTCGCCCTTAGCCGACTATGTGATCATTTTCAGCAGCCGCCTATCGATTAGCAAATGGCTGTCAGTTTATGTGGGTGTAGTCTTCAAGTTTTCCGATCAACTTCCGACTCTCCGGGTGGCTCGGGCAGAATTGCTGCAAGTTCCCCAAGGCCGGGTTTTTGTGTCAATATAACCAACACCACTTTCTCTTCTGCACCGACGAGCGTATAAAGATTTGCTACCAGAGTCTGGAGTAACTAGTAACCCTCTGTAAAAACGGGAAGTCCAACAAAGTCATATGTAGTCAAACAGTATACAGTCGTTGTCGCATTATAGTCTACTGCTAGTCACAAAAATTGTCAGCTTACAAATTGAGAAAAAAATGCCAAGAAATTTGTCATACAGTAGTCTGCAATAGTCAAGAGATCTGCTAGAATGTATTAAAGCCTTCTTCTAGATCCTCTGCCTCTTCCTCTGCCTCCCTGGCCTCTCCCCTTTCTTCCGGGGTCAACCAATCAAGTCCTGGATGCTTTCTAAGCACATAGACAACAGACTTGTAGTTCCATACTCCAACAACATCCACAATTTCTGAAATTGGGGCAACTTTGATCTCATTAGACCACTTCCCCTTCCAAGTCTTCAATGGATGCTGTATATCATTGATTGGATGATAAACAGCTATTGCCTCTCCATTGAATTGGTAGAATGCAAGTGCTTCACCAAAAATTGGGGCTGTACTTCCAGCCAGATGACCCTCAAAGTAGCGATGAGATCTTGAGGGAATTTTGCCTTGGTGAAGCTCGCCCAAATGGCTGTTCAAGACAGCACCTTGACTGCCTACACGTAGTTTTCCATATCTTGTAACAATTGCATCAAGATTGAAAGCAATCTGCTGTGACTCTGAGATTGCTTGTAATTGTTGATAGAATACCGTTCCTGGTTTACGCTCCTTTTTGTTCACTGCAAATTTGGAAAAAAGCAATGGCTTATTGGTGTCTGGTTGTTTCGAAGTCGGTGCGAGTGCAGGATAGTATAGAAGAAGGGATTCAACAAGTTGTCTTTCCAAAATTAGGTTGGCCAAATTTGCAAATGGTGCCTTCTTGGAACGAATTTTTGAACCAAGTTCCCCAATGGTTCTTTCCATAGTTGCTTGTGAGCCAAGGCGTATAGAGCCATACCATTTGATGTGGATGGGCACATGAATTAACTGAAAAATGCATAGCCGAAATCTTGAAATTTTTTCTGGATCGACTCCAATGTATAGTGTCTGAAAACCTATCAGAAATGTCTTGATCATATTGTGAAGCCAGTGAATATCGGCATCGCTTCTAGGCCTGATTGTCATGGCAAACTCTACAATTTCCACAAATTGGGAAAAATTATAAAGGACCATAGAATTGAAGCCCAGTTCCAATCGAATTGGAAGAATATACCAATGAAGCAAAGCCATCCATTCGTAGATTTTGTACTGGCTTTGTCGTTTCAAATAAGGATCACGAACTGGTCCACAGAATGATGGAGGGAGTGAGGACATTGCTTCTGAGATCAGAGTTCCAAATAATGCTGCTTTCTCTTTGCTGAGATGAATTGGATCTTGAGGTGAACTAAAAGTAGTCCACAAATCCCATATAAAAGCCATTTGGTTTTCATACTGGAGGTGAAATGGATCCAAAGGATAGAAGGATGGATGTATGAATGCATGACTTGCTGCAGCTAGAGGCATACGAGAAATTCCAGTATCTCGTGTAATCGCAGCTTGTTCTCTCTTTGAGGTAGCATGCAGAAGCTTTGCAATGGTGTCCCAATATTTTGTTTCAGTCCGCAATGGTAAATTGTCAAGATCATAGAAAGGGGTGCGACTGGGATTATATCTTGCATTATCTGGAGGTGATATAGGATAGTACTGTGCCTTTGCTCCTTTCTTGAGGCTCGAGCGTGCACCCTGTACTTCACTAAATCGATCACCATGAAGTCCAGAGTGTCCTGCCATTCCATTCATTTTTGCAGAGCCCAGCATATCTCCAAGGACCATGCAAAGAAAAGCATGGTGAACAAAATACGAGGAATCGATGGCATCCCACATCCAAATGCCCTCACTTGCCATAGCTAGATCTTCAAAGAGAGGTTGCAAAAAGGATTCAATGTCTCCTGGACTTTGTGGGCCTGGAATAGCCATAGGAATGAGAATGCGATGAGATTTATAGCGCAGTTCTGGAGGGAGATTCAGCAAGATCAGGATAAGGATCCATGTGTTTGAGTGTTTCTTCATTGTGAGCTGAGCACCATCTGTGGACAAGGCAAATGCAATATCTCGTGAATCCCGAAATAGATCCATCTGTGTATAATGATGGATGTGCACATTGGAATCTGCAAAATCTGAATAGAGCCTTTGAGACTAGAAAATTCTAAATCAGTTTCAAACATATTAAATATATATATATAAGTAAAACCTACCTGTGAAGCTTCTGCAAGCAATTTTAAGGTCTGCTGTAAACATTTATCCCTATATCGTAGAAGTCTTGAAGTCTCCACATTTGCAAACATGGCCTTGATAACTGCAGTAAATGGGGTATAAAGCATCTGTGCTCTGGGCTTTTTCGCAGCTCGGTACCGTGGCTTTCCACAGAGTTTGTTGTCTCGAAGAAATGGACAGGTATCCATCTTTTCGAATTGACCAGTATAAGCAATGCAGCTTCGTGGACACATATCAATTTGCAGTGGTGTGGTGTCTGTTAAGGTCATTGCTAGCTTGCGGACCAAATATAGGGACAAGATATCCACTTGGGATGCATCTGCCAAAACATTTGCATGATAGTTATATGCTTTCACTGTTCCATTGGACAGCTTCCAAGCAATATAATGTCGAAGAGATTGAAATTCAGACCTAGATAAATCCCATGGTGGAGATGCAGAGAAAGGAGGCTCCGAGGGACAGGAATATTTATTCAGGAGAGCTTTCTGAAGATCCACTCGTGCTTGAGGATATTGAAAATGAGCAGGCTCCGCGATATCGTCTTGAGTCTCAGTATCACTTGAGTTGATACCACTTGTATCACCATCATCTGAATCTATATTACTTGAGTCAGTTTCTTGAATTTGAGGAGGAAATATACCACTTGTATCACCATCGTCTGAATCTATATCACTTGAGTCAGTTTCTTGAATTTGAGGAGGAAATATAAGAAGATTTTCATTCTCTTCCTCGACTTCTTCCTCAGCTTCTGTATTGGCTTCTTCCTCAGCTTCCTTCTCATCATCCTCCATATCTTCATCCACTTCCATAGCATATACCTCTTCCATATTTTCATCAACTAGATCTCTCTCCTCACTTATATTCAAATTGTCCTTAGCATTGGAGGCTATAATTATATTAGCTGTAAGATTTACCAATAACTAAGTAAAAAACATACAAGGATTCAAACTGTCTGAGTCTATAATTATATTAGCTGTAAGATTTACAAATAACTAAGTAAAAAACATACAAGGATTCAAACTGTCCTTAGCATTTGAGTCTATAATTATATTAGCTGTAAGATTTACAAATAACTAAGTAAAAAATATACAAGCAGCCAATATTTCACTGGAAGCTTCTGATGATATGTTCCACAGTGTCTGAGTGTTCAAAGAAATACAGGTGTGAAGATGGTCACGAAACTCCTCTGTGTGAAACAGATGTTCAAGCTCTTCAATATCTTTGTAGAGGTGTTTTCGAATAGTTTTGGGACCGCGTTCCTTGCTGGGGTGGCATTGACTGCACTGGCAAAGCATATTGTCTTTAGTCTCAGGAGTGTAGAGCTGGTCAGAAAAGTGTAATGAGATGTAGTGAGAGTCAGAGAACAAGAGAGCGGTACGGCCAATAGCCGTGTTGCATCCGTCTGGTTACAACGTGGTCCATTTCCTAATTTGGATTGCTGACAAATCTCGAAAACTCAAACCTTGCGGACATGGCGCTCTCTGTGTTGGCCGCCTAGTAATGTCGTTCCTTCTGGATCTGCAAGTCTTCATCAGTCCTTCACTGATCATGACATTGCAGGGCTCGAGCTCTCCGAACTTATGAAGAATCGCCACGTTGCCGACTTGTACACCGAGCTGCGCAGAACAAGTGCTCAGGTGGTCAAGTTATCTGATGTACAGACTGAATTGATGCAGGTTATGCAAGAAAATAAGCAGTTGACACAAGAGCTGCAGGCCTTAAAGTCCGAGAAGAGCCGATCCCCAAGTTTTGTCAGGTAAGCTTTTCCCCTCATGTTCGATCCGATTAACCTATATACTACACAGTACTTCGACACTCATGCCAAGCGACTCTGTTTCGCATCACGGTGGCACGATCTCACAAGATAGCAGCATCGTCTCTCCTCCTGTGCCGAAAAAGACATATCCATTCACGGTCCTCTGGAACAAAGAGGATTGTAAGAAGGACGACGATGTCCACATCACGGTAGCTAATCCTGAACGGATTCCTATGGATCAGGCCGTTCGACACGAGAACGGTGACCTCATCTCAAGCGCAGAGTGGCACGCGATTCAGACGACTGCACGCGTAGTCAAGAACGAGCTTCTCTCTCTTCCACCTCCTCGAGACCGTCGGTATCGCAACATAAAGCGAACAAAAAAGGTATTCAAGGCTGCATATCCACACGAATGGGAAGCAGCCATGCTGAAGATGGAGAAGCAACAACTGTTGCTCGCCCTTTGCTCAGACCATTGGAAGGCAGAGTACATCATTGGTCCTATGCTGCTCCAGCAGCACAAACCCGACTCCGAACTCGACAATGACGATGACGACGTTAGTCACGTCAGCACTTCCGCCACCAACACTCATGCATCTGAGCGCGGTGAAATCTCCGCCTCGATGGCCTCGCAGGTCTCTGTTGCCAACAAGAGGCGCCGTGTCCACTCCACTTCTTCAAGCAAGCCGAAGAAGAAGCCTGTCGCGGGTGTGGTATCGCAACATGCAGAGGGTCGAACATCTGGCCCAGTGGCCACACCTGCATTGGAACCGCAGCTGAGTCTAACGTCTGTCCCAGTGACCATGCCTGTGGAACCACAGCTGAGTGCAATCGGTAATATTCTCGGTAAGTAAATTTACATGGTCCTTTTGCGTTATTGAACCTCATTGTAAATAGCCCAAGTGCCTTCCGCGCCTCCCTCTGTCGTTGCCTCTGTCATCTCTCCTTCGGTATCTGGCCTAACGGTGAAAAGCGCCATTGACATCAGCTTCATCAATGTCGATCCGTCAATCGAGAATTTGATAGGTACGCTTCGTTCATCATTATTGTTTGTTTATTTATTTGCTTGCAGATGCCTTGTCCAGTAGCCATCCGGATTTAATAAGTGGTTTGGAGCTGCTCAATTCCATGAAGCTCACACCTGTATTCGACATCGGTTCTCCGACATCGGAAGTCATCACATTCATCGAGCGCATCGAGAACGCTGATCCTAACTCACCCGACCTCTCGGAAGACGATCTTGGAACGGCGTGGGGCCATTACCAGTTTACAGCAGGCTCGATGACCTCCAGCTCCACGCTTGTCTCATGGGATGGCATTGGGAGTGAGGCCGCGCGAAGATTAATTGCCGCCAGCATCAAGACGTGCAAGGTTGCAAGACATGTGTGTTTTGTCAGCGGGATCAAAACGAACGCGTATCTTAGTGATGCATACTTGGAGACGACAGTTGAAATCCTTTGGAGGCTCTGGAAAGCCGCAGGAGGAGTAAGTGCTATATTATCTTGGCGGGTGTTGCTTCTAAATATGTTCACTACAGCCTGTTGTGAAGGGGAAGGGCAAAGCTTTCACATCATCGGACTCACGCACCATGTCCACTGCTGACGCCATCGCCAGTATTCCTGACTCCTCTGCTGCCACTCTTACCCCCTCTGCCACCACTTTGGTCAATGTCTCTCAGCCCTCTGCCAACATCGGTTTGTCCATGAACTCTGATTCGTGCCCTTCCAACTCGTCTGGTAGTGGAAAACCTATGGCCAACAGCAATTCTGACCCGCGTGCATATATCACTGTACGTACATTTAGCCTTTACCGTTTATTTCCACTGACGTGCGCCACCGGATAGTCGCTCAACAGAGACGAATTGTTTGAATGGATCATCGATCGGAAGTTGGCGGTCAATATGAAGCTCGGAAAGAAGAGTTCCTCCGTTAAGAAAGGTAAGAATTCTCCATTTTTTTTACCTTCTGTATGACTTGGTGCACTCATTTTCGTGTTTACAGACAAGCTCGTATCAATCATTCTGTCCGCCGAAGCGACCGCCCAGCCGTCTAAGGCAGAAGTCGACGTCATCGTGCAGCAGGTATGATACTAGTCCCATTCTTCGCATCTACTTCTGACACTTTGGTTTGCAGCGCAAGCTTAAGAAGATGGCCACTTCAAGAGTTTGAGCCTCATCACGAGGAGGGGAGGGGCGTGTCGCTGCTGTGTCGCTAGTGCCAAATTGTTCTCATTTGTAGTAACTCTGCGTGATGAATTCATGACTTTTGATGACCTTTGATGACTATTTCGATGAAAGAGAGTGACTGGAGTTTGACTACTTTATGACTGAAATTTGACTATGGATGACTATGACGGACTATTGTTTGACTTTACTTGGTGGCTGCGGTGTCGTTACCGCTCCCCAACTCCAGACTAATTCTCGACTTTTTGTAGACTAAACAAAAATAGTCACAGGCTGGTAGCTAAAACACAAAATTCTGGCCAAATTGACTAGTACACAACTATTTAATGACTCTACATGACTTAGTTGGACTTCTCATCTTTACAGAGAGTAACCTCTGCCAATCGGAAGAAGCGTACTGTTTTCAGCCGCACGAGAAAGAATTCTAGTCTTGCAAGCCAGACGATCGTGCTGTGCGGCCGTTCCTCGGCTCCGCCTCGGAGGCTGCCGAAAGCCAATATCGGACATCGAAAAACCATTGCGTTCTACCATGGTTTTTTGATCTCCGACATATTAGTTCTCGTCGTAGTTGAACGGTTGGAGAGAAGAATTCGGACAAATGCGAAAATACCCGTGAGAAAGTGGAAACCATCCCGTTGAAGGTGTGCATACTGGACGCGTCACGTCACGCAACGCGTCGCGATCACGAGGGGAACAAATAACGGGCAACAACGTATGCTTACCGTCGCAACGCGTGGTGGGACCACTCTGGGCGTCGCCAGGTCGCTTGCATCAATATATAACAGACTAGCCCGACGACTCCTCTGCTTCTCCAACCACCATCATCGCAGCTCCCCGCTAAGCCTGGGGATTAGAACACAACCGTTCCTTCCTTCCAGCATAATCATGGCACCCAAGCGTAAATCCGATGTCATCGACATTTCAGAGGACGCGCCAGTCGCCGGCCAGTCGACTCTACCCTACAAGGAGAATGTGACCGATTCCAAGAAGGCGCGTTTGTCGGGGCCAGATGCAGTTGAGGCGTCGGCAAGATGTATGAACGTGTAATAGCTTTTTCGAAGACCATGCTTGCTCATCGCCTGTCTTTTTCAGGGTGATTTGGCAATATAGTGAGTGACACTGAGCAGTCGTAACCCGTTGTCGTCCAGTAGCTCACATCATCTGTAGCGACGATTGCAATGAGATCAGGAGGAAGATTCGCCTTCTGCAGAAAACCCCCGGATGGAAGGTCAGTCTGAACCAGTATTCTCTCCCTGTCACCGCTCAGGCAATACTGTTGCAGGTTACTCAATGGTTGAGAGATATCGGCAACGTCAACAGCAACTCTTATGGTCGATTCAGTAAGCGGTTCTAACTAAGCTCGCACATACTCTCGTTGTTCACGCTATTGTTTGTGTACAGTGAAGGCATCTGGCCCACACGGGGGAGCAGGCAACAGCACGTACTACGCTGCGTAAGTATTGGCCGCCCGTATGCTGCTGAAGGTCGCTCACCTTAAGAAATCATAGCTATATCTACTTCGAGAAGGTCCGCATTTTGGAAGGCAAGAAGAAGACAGCTAAGCGTCTTCGAAACGAGGGCGAATACGCCGGTGGTCTTCCCCAGGAGGACCGCAGTCGCGTTTGGGTCTTCGGGCCTGCGTGAACCATTCAGCTAATAATCATTTGAGGCTCGAGGAGTACAGTACAGGATACAGTAATAGAGCAACCGGTTGTAATGTTGTGCTCAGCTATGTTTCAGTTGATTGTCCATGATCTCTTCTCCATGCCTCGATCCACTGCACGATGCGGGCGACGTTGGACTCAAGATCCTCTGTACTTTCACTTCGGAGCTCGACTACGATTTCTGCAGGGTAAGACGAACGTGCTTCATCAAGGACAACCTCCATGATCTCGGCCTCGTTGTTCTCTTGGATCTTTTTCAGAGAGTATCCTCTACGGTGGTAGCGGGGGTCAGCCGAGAGATGGGGACGAGACCTGGACGATGTTGCTCGCCTTTTCTCGAGACGGTCCCAAAGCAGGGTGTGATTACATCGAAGTACGACTACTAGGTCTGCCCACCGCTCTGGAAAGACCTCGCTTGTATGCCAGTCGAGAATAATTCCGCCTGTCGATGCAAGAGGTTCTAGCTCGTCGAGGAGCTGGTGGAGTAAAGCCTATGAGACTTGGAAAGCGATGCTCAAGAAAGGTTGCGCACTCTGTCCTCGTCCACAGTATAGCTCTGCCATTCCTCGTCGTAGGCCTCGTAGAGTCCCTTTTCTTTGACCCAATCACCCACGTTGATATGTTGCAGCGGGATGGGTGACTCGTCGACTAAGAGTTGTGCATGTGTCGATTTCCCAGTGCCGGGGGTGCCTGTGATGATAATGACAGGAGCACTCCTTTCGTCTGACATGGAGTGGCTTCGGACGGAGGATTAAGCGCACAAATTCTGCAGATGGAAAACAATGGAAAAGGCGCGAGCTCGGAAGGACCCGAGCTGAGTCGTGTATCGCGCGGGTGGTGTGGACGACATGAACTCCGGCTGGAGCGTCGTCTTCCATTCACGCGGGCGCATGGCATCTGCGCGAGTGTTTATGGCGATATCATCAGACTATGTTTGGTCAAGTGCACAGAGAGACGCGTGCTCGGGGGACATATCAGGCAGTATTCAGGACCTGCCGTCACATCCCAATTGCATTCTGTCAGTCAACCTGCCGAACGCCCTCAGCCTGCTCTCCGAGTCCCGCATCCCTGCTCATGCCCGTCGCTAATTAACCCCAACAGGCGTCCCTCTCCTCCCTCCTCTTCCTGCACACCTCAAATGTCTGAGGAATAATACCAGCGCACCGACACCTTCGCCTCTCCGTTTTCGCCACTGACGACGCCCTCGGGAATGATCATCGGCTTTGCCACGGCCACTCCGAGCCCGCTCTTGTCGTCCCCCGCTTTTTTCTCTACCCCCTCACCCTCGCTCTCGGTGACCTCAGCCCATAGTCTGCCTAATGTTATTCCCTTTCCTTCTGCGACCTCGGACATCGTCCTTCCCTTGATCTCAGCATTTCACAGTAGTCGTCAGATCATTGATTCTCCGCAGCCTTTCGCGTCGTCGTGTCCAACTCCCGCTCCGCCGCACTCTGCCGCTATAGCTCTCGGCGGCTCCTCTACAAAACTTGAGGTAGCCAAGGCTTACTTGGTTGGCTCTGGTGCACTGCTGTCGTTCTTTGTCTGGAACACTTTCACCGCGATCTCTTTCATCCGGAGGAGCAGAGCCAAGAACAACATACTGTTCTATTTGCTCCTGGGCAGTCAGCTTCCTGGAGTAGTGGGGGTCACGGCTGCGATCATCGCTGAATTTGTCCAGACGGTGGACTGTACTCTGTGAGCTAATGGTTGACCAGGGATATGTGAATGTTCAAGCGCTCATGCCGTACTGTTAGTATTGGTATCCTGACGGCTATATGCATACAGGTAGCTCACGCTCTCATGGTGCGTACTACAATTGGTGAAATGAAATCCCTTATCGTTACCTCTCGGCAGTTCACAGGCATCATGGGGATTAAAGCATACCGTTGCCTCGGCAATTCTCCTCTTGTTGTCGTGGTCTTGGTCTGCATTCGTGGCGCGATGCTTGTGCTTCTTGGCATCGAAATCCCACATATTCACAGTTCTCGATCTGACGCATGTATGCCATTCTCTATAGACTGCGGTTTCACAGCGACGATTCTGAATTTGCTACAGTAGGAACTTGCGCTGGGGGGTGGTTCGACTCGTCACTATTACGATACATAATGCTCCTCCAATTTGCCGAGGCACTGTTCCTTTGTGGGTGTTGTGAGTATGCATCCACAGCTTTCCGACGACTCTGATATACTGACCTATCACTCCTGTAGTCCTCTTTGCCGTCTGGAAGTCCACCCGAACAACAGTTGATCAGCGGTTGTCAATCCGAATTTCTGCGGATGCTACAGAGGATCTAGGACGAGATGCACATCATACCAATAGGTCCACCAACTCGGCTCGAGGCTGGTGGGACTACGTTCCCGATGCGCAGCTCGGATTATCTCCAGCAGAAGCCGAACAAACTCGGTCAATATGGAAAACTCTTGTCCGTGGTGTTTCGGCCGTCTCGCGTCGATTGTTTCATCGCCACGAAATTCCGCCGCCAAGCGCCTTCCATCGAAAGTCATCTCTCCCTGGTGAATATCCGATCCCTCAGCCTCGCCGTTGCCAGAACGCGGGTCCCAACGCTATGTCGGCGCGGCCGAGGAGGGACGACCTGCGTCGCCCCGAGCAGTCGCATCCCGCTCAAGCTCGACCAACCCTGGCTGCCATTGACCGTTTCCTCAAGAATCTTCCTCGTGGAGAGCTCCTTTTGCAGATGCTGAGAAACGAGGCAAGCTTTCCATCGTGCAGCTTCATCGTCATGCTAATTCTCCCCTACGTTCAGCTCCTCTACACGACGTTACTCGCCGCAGCATTCCTTGGTATTGCTATTATGCTGACAGTTGGAGTGACTGCAGATGCGGTGGCAGGTGTGGATGTATGGATAACAGTGGATTGTACGTTGCATCTTTGGCAGAATACATATCGCCGCTTATGCCATTGCCAGGGGTCCTCATTTCCGCCCTCACAATGCACAGCTTCTCACGAGTCATTCGCCGACACGAGTACGACGCCGCAATACAGCACCCCTCCGCATGGACCTCCCCTTATCTCGAAGCTTCATCTGCATCACGCAGGAATCATGCGCGTTCCCCTGTTGGTGTTACCCAGTTCCGACCGCGCCGGAGAGATGTGCTCTCGGTATCTACTCCGGCGAGCATCCGTACCAGCTTCGACAGATCATCGGAAACGTTTGACCTGCCGACATTCGTTGACCCTCTACGTCTGGATCCGTTGTTCGGGACACAGTCGTCCCATGACCTGTCAATATCACCATCGACACTCTGCGGGCTGTCGCCTTCAGATATCGACAAGTCGTACGTTTGGAGTTCTCCACCGACCATGCCGGTTTCTTCTGACCTGGGAGATCGTCCTTCTCCTAGAGACGGGCCATTCAGGATAAGTTCACCCTTCCTTGAACCACGAACGGTTGTTTTGCAGCCGGAGTTTACGGACACCGACGACTCGAGGCCGGCGCCGCGAGAGCCTGGTAGTGATTCGAAACTGCCAGACTATAATTGCTAACTATGTTTGACTCGACTCATAATTCCGCTAGGTCTCTCTTGCGCACTGTATCATATCGCAATTTGTATGTTGTACCTAGTACTTAGTACAGTAGTTGCCTCGGATCCGCAGAAAACGGCTCGATGCTGATAGAGCAAGGTGAAAATAAAATCATTAGATGCGCATTCCGCCGGATTTCCCACGCTTAGCCTGTGACCATGGACGCAGAGGACGACCATCTCGTTAACGTGCTGCCCATCCACTTCTCGAATACCCTCGCGCCGAATGTCCACATACACCAATTCCCGCTGCTCACGCGACCGCTCCAGGTCCCGCCGTCAGCAGCAGCAAGCGGGAAACATATCCGTGCGCGGCTTAAGCCTGGCGTCCGCCGACTGGAAGTGCATGTGCCTGTAGATACGCGTTCAGAGGTCTGGAATACCGAACGCTCAAAAGAGCTTGGAAAGGCGCGCGTGGAAGATGACAAGGAGAAGAACCAGGAGCTCGCAAAGGTGAAGCAGAGGGAGGAGGAAGAGCCGCGCTTGAGCGAGGTGCGCATGCGTAGCGAACAGGTGCCGCAGGTGGGCGCATATGTCCTGGGTATCGTGCAGGATGGTGCGTTGATGTGTTATGCGTGTTTCCGGACGCTGACTGGCTTGCGCAGGCCAGTTGCACTTGCATCCAATCAGCGAGACGCACCAGCTTCGACCGACGCTGACTTACATGGATATTCTGACGCGGAAAAACAAGCGCGGTCGAGGAGGAGAGGGGTCCGATGATGATTCTGACGACGGTCCACCCCCGGACCCTGACGAACCTGCGCCGGCTCCTGCACCGAAGAAGGAGAAGAAACCCGCCGTGGACGCGAAGGAAGTCCAGGTATCAGTGCGCAAGACCAGCGACGACAAGGGCATGCACTTCCAGGGCGGCCTGACAGCTGTTCGGAGAGAGATGCTCACGATTATGCATGCGGAGGAGGATGAGAAGTGGGATGATTATGAATATTGCGACGGTGAAGTGGGTGTTTGTAGCTTCGCGCTTTGGACGTTCCGCTGACCTCCGTCCGATCTTACAGGCAGCTGAGTCCAATAATGCCTTCGAGGCTGTGTTTTCTCGGAATGTCGAGCGCTTGGAGTGCAAAACGGATATCACGAATGTGCTAAAAGATATACGTGGTTTGTAGCTTATACCATGCTCGTAGGTTAGTCTGTTGGTTCGTGTATGTCCCTCCCGATTGATTGCAAATGTAGCACATATGTTTGGGGCGCTGTCAGCCTGTCGCCGAACTCCTTCGAGTGCGCACACTTCTGCTTTCGGTGACAGCTGAGCGCTCGCGATCATTAATATTGCCCTGCACGACGTCGAGCTCATCGCTCTTAACCATCCTCAGCTCTGTCAGTCATGGTTAGCGATAGCGATACTGAATCAGAGTCTCAACCCTCAGTGTTTGAGTGGCAGGCGACTGATTTTGCACACGTCTCTTCAACTCAGCATGTAGGCTCAAGCCAGGGAACTGCTGAAGAAACGCGATTTTCTCCTCGAGAGCTTCAGCTTGCTGTCAACAACTTGCGTGCGATTGACCTCGCTGCTGCGGAGCATGTGAGTTCTTTTCGAGATTTTCCGGAACTGTACTGACTAGTCTGTCAATATAGGACGCCACATTGCACGTAGTCATTTCACGCGTTTCCAGCACTATGCTATGTTTCTTGGAAGGGATACTAGAGTCTTCTACGCCGGTTTTCAGTGATGACGGGGAACACGATGTTTATATTGCGATGGGCCAACTTCGTGAGTTTTGTAGTCACCGGAGAACTGACTCTGACATGGCTGTCTATAGTCCAATTTTCCTTCATGTCCCTACTATTCGATTACCGGAAACTGTTTCACAGAATTGCTGCTCGTGACACCAGTCACACCAGTGCACCCTCCACTGTCGTCTGCTGGGTAGATGTTGTCTTGTCGAAGTTGGGTGACGCTGTCATTTCGCTGATCGGTAGACATTGCACTGATGTCGAGACACTGGAGTGGTCATTCTCGACGCTGAAGCAGCAGAGGGAGACCGATTCGCTCTATGCCGCTGTGCAACTCCCAGGTGAGACGCACTGTCGTTCCGTAGAGGAAGATAGAACATAACGTACCCCAGACGAATGGGCTGGTGTACCGAACGTGATCAATGCGGAGCATGCCTCACCTGCTGCTAAACGGCTTGCCTTACAGCTAACATTCGCAGTTTATGTGGTGGGGCCCCAGCTGGAAGATGCTGGTACGATGAGTGACCAAGAGTGAGCACGGCAGAGTCAGTCGGGATGATAATTAACCGTGACAGCTGATGTAGGACTTGCAGAAACGATGTTTTGGGCGTTCTTCAACTCTACATGAATCGTTCATCCATGTCAGACCGTGCATCTGGGCAGTCATATGCAGATCTACAATCGACAGAACATGCAGAGACCGAGAAAGTGCGAAATGCCATGACGTTGTCTCTGTTTGCAGTAAGCGACCTGCATGCTGCAGAGTTTAAAGCTATGCACTCATTATGTAGGCCATGGATTCAATACAACTTGATGAAGATCGCACCCCTTTCCGGCCTCATACCCAAGCCGCTCTATTGCACTATATGACTACTGTCATGTATCCCGACAATTTCTGTGCTTCAGTTCATGATCTTGTCTCTCCATGTGCTGCTCTTAATGTTGCACAGACTATCTTGCTCAAGTGGGGACACGTTGTCCCATGGTGTTGGTTTCTGTGCGATGATCCTCGTATATTTAACTCGGAGGTCATTGATTACGTGGTGCGCCTTTTTTTGACTTAGCTGCTATCTCCGTGTTGATGGTCTTGATTGAGACTATCAATTGGCTCCATCATCTGGATAGTTCCAATAAAGACACGGACAAATGTGCAGAATATGTTGAACCTTGGCACGAAGAGGTGACTTCTGTGGTCGCTACAAATCCAAAGGCTGCAATTGTTTTCGTGAACGTACATTATTTCCCTCGTCGATATGTCATGAGTACTTCTCACATTTATCCTAGCGGATACTCCACCACACCGTCTCTGTGCTGTCGACGGTTCCACCCGGCCACCTCACGTTGTCTTCGCTTGATGCTCTTAGAAAGAGTTGTTGGGCAGCTGCGCAGCTGTTGCGTTCATCTCAGCTTGGAGACTTGGACGTATCGTCACTGTATGCCGCGATGTGCAGACTATTTGTGCTGCTGCGTGACGGCGAAGAGGATCTCGCGGGTATGTTTGTTGAGATTCCTCCATACCAGTGTCTTGATTGGGATTGCAGTCAAAGACTGTATAATCGAGTGCCTAACGTCTGCATCCCGAGATAATCTGCCTTCAGTGATGAGCAGTATCTTGGATGACACCAAGCTCAGTTTGGCTCTCAGGATGGAGGAGAGTGAGTGTACGTGTAACGACTATTACCCATAAGACTAACAGTCTTCCCGTCAGAAATCTCAGGTTTGAAGTGGTGAGCAAGCTTCTACGATAAACATCGCTTCATAAATCATGGCTGTAGTCTGGCTCTTGATGAAGATGAGCGGTCAAGTCTCAGAAGCAACGAGACAGCTTCTTTCGGACAGTTGCTACACTTTATCACGATCCTGTGGCATGGCAACGTCAAGACAGCCTTCCGTCGAGAGATCACATTACCATTCATAAATGCCCTACTTAATTGGCTGGTTTCTCAATCTCCCGGTGCCGACTGCTCAGTGATGCTACGAGACAGTCTCCTCACTAGCTTGACGGTTGTGGAACCTCTTTTGTCCCAGGATGGCGTTGATAGACTCTGGGACATTGATGTCGTCTGGCAAATGGCCATGGAAAGTCCCCCCACAAACCTGCTCGTGGCATGTAAGTGCATCGCTACCTCGAGCCTCCAGAAGTTCACGGACCTGCCCAGCCTCGTTTGCTGCATATGTGGTGACTACAGCCCCCTCACGGAATCAAGACGTGTTGGCTTGCTCCGAAGCTTGGGACTATCTACGCGACGTTCTCTTGCTCGTCTTATCTCACCAATTTTTAGGCGACGAGGAGCCTCTGGCATTACTTGTGTGTCCGATGGTTTGTCAAGCTTTGTCCTCCTTGATTCATTCTGCAATTAGCGCAACATGTGCGCGGTCCTTATTGTTCAGTGGTACTCCCATGATAATTTGTTAGCAGTGCAGTATATCCTGTCTTCTCCGTGGACCATGAACCTTTGTACAGAGCTGCAACAACTCGCGAATGCGAGTAGCTCTGATGACAGCACGTATACGAGTGTCCTGCGAGACAGAACTTTGCCGTTTGCGGAGGCTTTGTTATTCCACGTAAGTATATCAACGCGCCCGATTGCCGCTGCGTGTAATTTAAACCTTTATCTAGGTTACTGATATTCTGCGTTCTGGCGTCTGCAGGACGGAGGTGAGTGATTATCAGAGCATTATTCGAGTCTCATGTGATGACTGACCACTGCATGAAATTAGACCATGGTCCGCAATTCAGATAAACAGAGTCGAACGGGATCATGCTTGATCGCGTGTAGAATAGACTCCGTACCTCGCCTTATCCTCGTGAGTTTCCTGGGTATTTTTTGTGTCAGCTGTTAGATTCATCCTGCCCCACTTCACGATAAGGTAACAATTCCATCCGAGTAAGATGTATGTATAATAATGATTTCCAGGTCAGTTCAGAACGCTCGGCCGTCCTACTGGTGTCTAACTCCCAGCGCATGTTCTCCGATAGGATTCGTTGTATCCCAGTTTCTCGGAGATCGCAAACATGGCTTTCAACACCATCTGCCAACGTGTCTGATCTCGATCATATCCTTCCGCCAGTCCCATGGTTTTCTTCACAAAAGAGTCGTTGTAATAGAATGTACAAGCACCGACCCTAAAAATGGCAATCCCTTTACCGAGCCCAGTACACATCCGCTAGAAGATCGGTATTCAAGTTAGTGTTCGCTCGACAATACGTCTATATTCTATCGATTGAGGAAGAGACATCGCCTGACACCGACCCCACGGACTAATGAACTTGGCGCTCGAGTATGGGTAGCCCAATGGAGATAAACTGCAGACATCGATATCCCGCTGCTTGCATGACATTTGCTGAAGCCTCTGCACCAGAACCTGTCCGGCCGATTGACATCTCTTAACCACTTACAGGGTGACAGGTAGCCCTGGCCCGTTAGGCCTGTTATGGAGCTCCGAGATCAAAGCCCGGACGTTTGTATGCGGAGATTAAATCTCAGATTGCGGAATCATTCCATCGGCTTGCTCATCTCCGAGTCCTATGGCTGAAGTACCTCAGGCGGTGTCTCGCCCAATGGCCAAACATACGCTGATGGCACTGTTGTGGATCTGTTGATTTTGCTCAGGGAATATAAAAAAGACGAACCAGCATTCTCCCACCCTTGAGCGCCATGTCCGAGTCTCCTCACCCGCATGTCGACCTTGAAGCGCAGAAGGACTTCTACCCTCGTACGGTCACGATCGAAGACGTTCGACATGGGAGTGGCAACGACGACTTCGTTATCACCCGTCAGTTTCGCCGCACGCTCTCTCGATCTGCCGTGGAAGCGGGTGCTCGGTTGCCTGCTGAGTTCCGCACGCTCAGTATACATGTTGAAACGAGGAGGAGCAGCGACGACGGCAAGGCAGGTGCTACACGTAGGGTCGCCGTGAGAGGTACGTTTCCCCTTTCCCACAAATATAGGTACTAATTAGCTTCATGCAGAGATCGTATCTCTCGATTGGCATAAGATCTCAAGCGATGAAGCGTTGCAACGCTTAAGCGTCTCTCCCAAGACAGGGCTGGAGAGTGTGCAGGCTCAGCGCCGCCTCCAAACGAATGGGAAGAACGTCATCTCCCCGCCAAAGAGGAATACGATTCGCAAGTTGATCGAATGGGTTTTCGGCGGATTTGGTAGTCTCCTTCTCGCGGCTAGTATCCTCTGCTTTATCGCATGGTGATTTTGATATCTGCCTTCGAGTCTGACGTCCTGCTAATGTCTGATCGTGGATTACACAGGAAGCCCCTGGGCAATCCTAATCCTCAGGCATCGAATCTGGCACTGGCCGTCGTGCTTTTGATTGTGTTGTTTGTTCAAGCATTTTTCAATGCCTGGCAGGACTTTTCTACATCTAAAATCATGTCGTCCATCAAGGGCATGCTGCCGTCCGATGTCCTCGTTCTGCGTGATAGTACCCAAATGACGTTTGCCGCCGCCGATCTTGTTACAGGTGATCTTGTTTACCTCTCTATGGGTGAGAAGGTACCCGCCGATCTGAGGCTCATCGAAGTCAGCGGAGATCTACGCTTCGACAGAAGCATCCTCACTGGCGAGGTTGTTCGATTCCCCTTTGCCGTCGACGTTGCTCATTGTGGTTTTGCCTAGAGTGAACCCGTCACAGGACGTGTGGACAAGACGGACGAGAACTTCCTGGAGGTAAGCGATTACGAACGATGCATGACATATGACGAGTCTGATTCCTCTCTTCTAAAGACCAAGAACATCGCCTTGCAAGGCACTCATTGTGTCAGCGGTTCTGGTCTTGGCCTCGTTATTCAGACCGGCGATAACACGGTTTTGTATGTTTCACTTCTGAAGTTGCCTTCTTGTTTCTGAGCGATACTCGCGCAGCGGTCGTATTGCCAAACTGTCGTCCATCGAACCCGCGAGACTTACGACTCTCCAACGCGAGATTCTCCATGTCGTCTTAATTATAGCCAGTCTTGCTACTCTCGTGGCTATCATTATTGTCATCCTGTGGGCGGCCTGGTGAGTAGACAGCCTATAGGACGAATGATCGTTATCCTCAATCTATAACCTAGGCTCCGTCGCGATTACCCCAACTACATCAATGTCTCTGGTCTGCTAATTGATATCGTCTCAGTGATGGGTGAGTCAGTCCTTTCCACGGCTTATATGCACAACTTATATCTGTTCGCGGATTAAGTGGCGTTTATTCCCGAGGGGCTGTATGTTCGTTCTACTATTTTGAAGAAGATCGTCTGATGTGCCTCTATGTTAAGACCTGTTGCAGTGACTCTATCTCTGGCAAAAATTGCGAGCACCTTAGGCAGCCACAAGGTTTTGTGCAAGTACGTTGACTCGCTTATTCTCAGGAATATCTTTTCGACGGTTTCACCCGCAGGTCTTTATCCATCGTAGAGACTCTGGGTTCCGTCAATGTGCTTTGTTCTGTCAGTCTGTTACTTTAATTAAAGTAATGAGCCGCATGCTAATGTTCTTATAAGGATAAAACCGGAACATTGACCCAGAACAAGATGCACGTTACACATGTCGCTGTTCTCGATGATTTATTCGACCCTGCTAGTTATGCTCCTGTCATCCGGGATTCACCTTCGGCAACTGCAGCCAACTTGGCGCAAATATCTGCTGTCGGGGCGATTTGCAATGCAGCCGCCTTTGGAGGAAGTACTTCTTCGCCTTTGGAAAAGGAGCGAGAGAGACCGGTTGTCGGAGACGCGACAGGTATTAGTAACTCTTACACGGTCTTCTTGAATGCTAAACGTGCGACTAGATGTTGCCATTCTACGGTTTTCGGACGCCGTGGCAGCAGCGGATATCACTCGTGCCAGGTGGACGGAAGTCTTCAAGATCAACTTCAACTCAAAGGTACGGATGTCAAAAAGTCGTACTAAACAGTGTCTAATTTATTATTCACTAGACAAAGTTTATGCTTAAGCTTTCGAAGTTGGCTCCGAGTGCTCCAAATAATGTTGCCCCAATCGCACCTTGGGATAGCTTCACCTCGGCCGACTATCTTCTCACCATCAAGGGCGCTCCGGAAATTTTGTTACCTCGTTGCAAATTCGTTCTCGACCCCACGGGTGGAGAGCCTATTGCGTTGTCGGAGCCAATTCTCGAACGCATCACCGCTGTTCAGGAGAAGTGGGCCAGAGATGGTCAGCGGGTTCTCTTGCTTGCTCGCCGTGCCATCAAGGGGAATGCGATTCCGAAGCACCTCGGCCCTAGTTCGGAGCAATATGCAGATCTGATTGAGAGGTTCAACTGTAACTTGATAATTGTAGGCCTGGTCGGTCTCATCGATCCTCTCAAGCCTAGTATCGTTCACACCGTGAGGTCAGTCGAAATTGTTCTCCGCTGTTCTCACTTCCTGACAACGTCTTCCAGTACGTGTCGTCGGGCTGGTATCCGGTTTTTCGTCGTCACGGGTATGTCTTATGCTCTTCCATGAGGTTGAAGAGCTCATTGCCTTTGGGATTGTAGGTGACCATCCCATTACCTCTGTGGCGATCGCGAAGGAGGCCGGTATCATCACCGACGCAAACGTGGTGCACCGTGTCTCAAATCTGGACGAGAAACTGGATCCACTCTCGGTCGAGCCATACAACCCCGACTGCGAGGATCCAACAAGAAGGAGCATCGTCATCACAGGGCCGGAATTGGAGCGTCTGAATAAGACTCAGGTCGAACAGCTGTGCCAGTATCAGGAGATCGTGTTCGCTCGTACCACGCCGGAGCAGAAGCTGCGCATTGTGCACGAATTTAAGGACAGACACAATGTTGTGGCTATGACTGGCGATGGTGTCAATGATGCCCCGTCTTTGAAAGCGGCTGATTGTGAGTTTCTCTGAGGCGAAGTCAGATGTTCCAATGGTGCTGATGATCATACAGGTGGCATTGCTATGGGCGCTGGTTCCGACGTTGCGAAGGAAGCTGCCGACATGATTTTGCTGGATGACTTCTCGGCCATCGTCATTGCTCTGGAATATGGTGACTTTGACAACGATCTCACCATTTTTTCCCTGCCTTGTCTTCGCTATGGGAGATTTTCGATCTGACAAGTAGGATAGGTCGCCTCGTGTTCGACAACTTGAAGAAGACGGTGCTATATCTGCTTCCTGCTGGGAGGTGAGATAGATGTCTGAATGCTGGTTTGTGCTCCCACTGAACGATTCGGCAGTTTCTCCGAGCTGATGCCCATCCTCCTAAACATCCTCATCGGCGTGCCCCAGATGCTGAGCAATATTCAGTGAGTACGTCGAATAGGAACCGTTGAACGAGTCTAAATACTGAACAGGATGATCTTGATCTGTGTTGCCGTGCGTTTCCATTGCTGATGTCTCTGTTGTCTGTGATTTTGACTATGCGTATACAGACCGATGTCCTTCCTGCGTTGAGTCTCTGCATGGAGAAGCCTGAAATGGGTCTATTGGAAAGGAAGCCTCGCAATGTCAAGACAGAGAGACTCGCCAATTGGCGGTTGATGCTCCAGGCTTACGGTTTCCTTGGCATGCTGGAGTCACTTTGCGCCATGTCAATGTGAGTAATATGTCTTCCTTGTGACACCATCCACTCACAGTACCCATAGGTCTTTTTGGTACCTGCAGACCCGTGGTGTCCCCTTCTCCAGCCTTGTTCTTGGCTTTGGAAATTGGCCACTGTTAAACAATGAAGAGTTGTTCAAGGCGCAAAGTGTCTATTTCTTTACTCTGGTGCTCATGCAATGGGGGTGAGTCTTATGCACCTTCTCGAACGATGCGACTTAACGGTGTTCTTCTGTAGCAATCTCTTCGCAACTAGGGGGCGCAGGCTCAGTATCTTCCAACACACACCTGCGTCAAATTGGTACCTTTTCCCTGCCGCTGGGATGGCACTTTGCATCGGAATCTTCTTCAGTTATGTTCCGTGGTTGTAAGTTGACACACTTCAGCTACATGCGCATCTCATAATGACGCCTCGCTTCCTCTTCTTCCAGCCAACGAGTCTTCCAGACCCGCGGAATTCCTGCCCAGTTCTTCTTTATACCTATTACGTTCGGCCTGGGTCTTCTGATGTAAGCGTTTCTCGTTCTGTTATGGTCTCAAACTTGGCGCTGACGAAGGGGTATCAAGACTTGATGAGATTCGCAAGTTGGTAGTCCGGACATATCCTAGGAGCCTTATTGCTAGACTTGCATGGTGAAGGCTGTGGTGTCGTTACAGCAAATACAGCAAATACCTTGTGTGTTCTGTAGAAGTCGCATTACTTACTGGTAGATGTACAATTTTCTGTTGGATAAACGTGATCTTTCCTTGCGAAATATCACTGGATCTGAAAGCTTGTCTTGAGTTGCATCGCGAATGACAGATGGCGAACAGATGAGATTAACTGAGTACACGGTGTCTGATGTTGGGGCGACGCACGCCCCTTGGTCAAGATGGCCGCGAGTCTCGAGTCGAACTACTAATATTCGTGATGGGCGTCAGAACTCCATGAGAACTTTTCAGGAACGATTGAAAAGCTCAACGGGCCGATTTCGCTCTGATTTCTTTTTCCGCAGAACGAGTCTCATGCAGAGAGCAGCAATGCAGAACTAGCGAATGCGTGCGCCTCCCAAACCAGAATAAGACGCGTCAGCGCTCAGCGCTGCAACGGCCACAGCACTGTGCCGCGTTGATCCCAGGTGAACGTCCAGGCGTACATGCCATATTGTTGCATAATATACCTAAGACTGTAAGCCGAGTGTGATGCACACTCACCTATAATCATAGTACAGTCTACACGTGCATTAGATTGTGCATTCAGGATGCATATTCATGTATAGCGGATGCATCACGGTATGCATAGGAGGAAGCGCACTCCCTTTCCTCTTTTGAAATGCTATTATTAGTCCCATCTGCTTTACTGCTTTAGGTCGTCCTCCCGCTGGCTACTTGGCGCTCAACCCGCCCTCCAGCACTGCCACCCGCCTCCTTCCTGCTTCAGCGGTATTCGGTCCTTTATTATTCGATCGCATATCTCTGTGGGATCTTCTTTTAGATCTTCCCTGTCGTTCCATGTCTTTGGTCGATCCCTATTCACGTGACTGGATGCACGAACATCTCGGGGAGCTTTTACTCAACGCTCAGTACTCCGTGTCCATGCAGGCACGACAAACAGGAGCTGAGTATTCTTTTCTTACCACCCCTTTTTTGCAGTCTGTTGATGGTCCCCAAGTTCATGTCACTGGGTGCACTGCCACCCTCGGCGATGCCAGGTGCGCGCGGCGATGCCAGGTGCATGCGGCGATGCCAGGTGCGCACTCAACACAAGTGCATGAGCAAGCCAGACGGGCAGGAATTGAGAGACAGGTAGAGGCTCGCTGGGCTAGTTTCTCCCATCAGGATTGAAGCACGAGTAACACAGATCTCGACCATTATCTCGCCAGGCAAGGGCAGTTTCGATAGAGTCCTTACTTTGTCGACTACAGCATCAGCAAAAGTGCGCACAGCTTGCATGGATTTCCAAAGCAGGTGATTATTTGTAAGCCACCGGGGTAGCTTGTATATTCACAGAGGCTCTTGCAAGCCTCCGTCATCAACGGCAAGCCTTACAAGCACCGTGCTCACAGGCAATTCATTGTTATTGCTTGCAGGTAACTAACAGAGTTCTTAGCAATTGTATATACCTGCAAATCGACTGACTTCGACCGAGTCGCGCACATGCTAAGAATAGGTGCCAGTATCTGGACACCGGCACAATAAGGTAGTGAGAGGAGTAACATCTTCATAAGGTATCGGTAGTGTACATTATGTTCCTAAGTAGAACTGAGAGTATAAGCAATAAAAGTATACCCGACTGCCGAGGGGTGCCATCGCAGTAGGCAACCCCACTGCTGGGCCCGACCACAAATTGCGACGTGCTAAATTAAGCCGTCAAAAACAGCAAGGCATCATGTGTGAGTTGGCACGAATGGGCCTGCATGCTCACTGTCAGACGATGATTAAGGATCGGCCACAGCTTGAACATGAGCGAGATTCGATGCTGAGCGGCTCTAACTTGATCTTAGAGCTGCACGGTGAGAACACCGTGACACTGGATTGGGAGTTGTATTGTGATATGTATTTGGCCAGGGGTGAGTATAGGGAAGTGTCTGTGGGCGTCTCAAAATGTAAGACGTGTCCTGTCAGAAAAGTCTCAGATGGCAGTTTGCAGAGCATCAACCTATAAGAACAGAGTGAACATAGACAGCAAATCACGAATTTTATGAAGCACTCGGATGAGAAGAGCTTGCCCAGCTTATATGCAGTTTAGCCGTTCTCAGCATGGTGGAATTCGTTCATGAGTAGGGTGAGACAAATGAGGTAGCGGGAGATGATGTGGATGTATATACTGGAGCAGTCAGGAACCAGGAGCTGCTCAGCAACCTTGACTAAATTGGAGTGACCGAGGACACCGACAATGGCTCTTTGGCCGCAGAGAGCTCAGATGAGTCGACCATCTCTGGGGACACTGTCTGGAGAGTGGTCAGTGGAGTCAGTGCCTAAGAAACTACGAACGTACTCAGCGAGGTGCCATCAACATCGAAGAGGATGAAATTGTTGAGGGAATGATCAGCAAATGTCAGGGGCATCATTGAGGGCAGTATGGATGGAGGAGACACTATGGAGGATGCCAGAGACACCCACCCCAATCCATGAACTTGTCCGGCAGGGTGCATGTATCGCACCATCCAGGCTGCATCTGGAATCGAGGAAAAGGTCAACAGTACAATCGCAAAGGGGTCTTACAAAGAAGCAGGATTGCATGGCGATAAGCCTGTGATCACGGCCTGCAAAGCAGATCTGAGAAGGTGAGAAGATTAGCCAAGAGCCTGGTACAAGGTGGTCATATTATGAGTTGCACGCAAGAGGGTCAAAGTGAAGGCACCACTGGGTGTGTATAAGACCCGCCACAGGTGGAAATCCAGGAGGGAAAATACTGAGGAGGACATCTCCTAACAAAACTTAGCCTGTACCGTACAAGTAACACGAGCGGGAAGGTGGAGGCTGGACTAGAGGTGCATACGTGCAGAATAGCGATGAATACATATCCGAAGAATGTGTATAGCTATAGTGATACCTACTTGATAGCCCAGGAAATTTGTCCATCTTTTGAGTCAAGTTCGCACGAATCACAACTCACATCGCGGTCACGTGAGCTGATGCATGGTATCACCGCACTTCTGCTTTCGTGCTCTTTCCTTCCACCATCTCACCCACCCATGCTCTTTCCCTACATCATTGAACATGCCACCTCCCGGACCACCCATTTCGAAAAGTGCCTAAATAACCCAACTTCAGCCCTACTAGGCTCTGTGCGAGATCTCAAAAGGACCTGCAGCCTGTGCACGGTACGTCGTGGCAGCTACAATGACTGGTAGTTGGTAGATAACACAAAAAAGGTCAGTGCAAGGACTACATTGGCTTATACCCAGCTGAGCAGCGAAAGAACTGCTGCTTCAACTGTCTCCTTGACAAGCTGGAGAGTGTTGTGTTCTGATAAGGGATCCCAGTTTATTCCAGTGGGCATAGGAGTATTCTCGCAGCTTATTCCTCATTACCTCTAGGCCTGTGCGGCCGGAGACAAGATGTGACTTGTAGTGATAGCAACGGGGATGTGGATGATGGCAATTCTTACGGACTGTAAGTGAATATATGCGCATATATTCATACATACACTGACTTATTTCATCGCAGATACACGTATATACCAATCGTTATGTGTTGTGGTGGCACTGATCCAACCACTGTTTCTAGTGGATTATGTGAAGCCCATGCCTGGTTGTGCAGAGTGTGGCAGAGGAGATCATGTAGAGCACAGCGGGGGAGATCACGTTGTGCGTGGAGGAGCTAGCCATGCTGTGGGTGGATGCAGGCATGCCCCCACTGCTTTCCCAGTGGAAAGTGAGGGTCGATCAGGGGAACGGATTATGCGTGTCTCTGCCCCATCATCTTTGCGCTCGATCCGCATTTATGTCTTGCTGAATCACACCTTCCTGTATTTCAGGGGTTATTTTTCTGGAGGATCTTGTGCCAGCTGCACGAGGTGGGCAGGGAATCGTGGATGTACGATGTCGACAGTCAGGTGAGGTCGTCCGCGCATTATTTTGTGTTCTTTCCTGTTGCGTAATGGCATTATCTGACATGTGCTATCATTCTCTGTGCTTTCTACCCTTCACTGTTCATTTTGTCATCCCCTGCTGCAGCGCCATATGTAGTGCCCTTACTTCAAGAACATGAACTTCCTCGTGCCGATCAGCTGGTTCGACAAGTGGCTTGCAGAGGACCACCACATAATCAAGCAACAGGTCATCGGAGACAAGTATGGTGTCTTTTGCTCTCCAGAACAGGCACTGATTGCCCTTCACATTATAGCTTTTGTCAGCAAGTCTGGTCTCGTGTTTCCCGCACAGCTTCACAACTCGCAGTGTAATGTGTGACTCATGCATGGTAGGTATCATTCATGTCTCGCGCAATCTGTGCTAATGCTTACTGCATGCCATTTTCATAGTGTACACGATATGTGCGTGAAAGCTTGTTTGGTGCGAGTTCCACTTCCACCACTTTGCTATACACTCATGCTTGCTTGCAATCTACACTCTGCTCCAGTGTCTCTCCACCCTCCTTCATGCTTTCTGTCTGCGCTTTCTGCATCATTCCTCTGTCTTTAACACTGGTCTCTCGCATTATTTTCAGTGCCTTGTTGGATCTCTCCTGTTACAGTACCAGTGAGTATGAACAGAATTCGGCGGTATCAATCTCTAGGTGCTCTAGACAGTCCTGCTTCTTTGTTCTCCTGTGCTTTGTTCTCTCTATTGCCGTCATTGTTTCTTGCCCTGGCTGTGACCATTGTTGCAGTGTATTTTAGTATTCACTAATACATTATTATGTGTTCTACCACAAGCGAGAGTGAGTGAAAAAATGCACAGTACTACCAATTGTCCACCTAGCATACAAAATATTGACCTCAATGTTATAGTCTTGCAAATGCTAACCTATATTGCAAATAGCTACCTGCCCAGCTACATTTGCAAGCTGGCCCATGATATGCAAGTGCCGATGATGGTTTTACAATTAATTAAGTACTCAATGACTATGATAGCAAATATATTGCCTGCATGGCGAGGTTTGCAAGCCATGTAAAAATTACATATCCGTGCATCTACCTACATTTCTCCTGGCACTTTTGCTGATGAGTATCATTTCATCAGGTGTTTTATCCTCAGCATATAGCAGGATTTAAGGCTGAAAACAAATAATATATTTGTTCACAACCGTGCTACTAAAGTATTTTTCTACCAAGATAGTTCACTATGGAAGCAGAAGCGACTGAACATGGGCGACGATCAAGAATACAAGAAGTACAAGAAATGATATGCCGTGGCCGCAATGGCACCAAGATCACTACGCGAGACTCACCAGAGCATTCATCGCCTCCTTCTCTTCACCCTATCATCGCCCTCACCCACTTCCGCCTTGTTCTCCTTTGCAGACTTTCTTTTCAGCTTTGCAGAATCACCCTCCATCGTTGAAATGCCGAGCTTCCTGGCTTGAGCTGCTGTGGGCTCCCATATTGAGTCTGCAGTTGGAAAAAGCTTGCGTGTGTGAGAAGGCTGAGCTGAGGAGGAGCAGGAGGTCGACACGGGAGTACTGCTTGGTGCTGTGGACATAGCAGTACCATCCAGATTGACAGGGGGGGGGAGAATGTGCTAATAGAGTGCATGGGCACGACACGATCAGCTGGCTGAACAATAGTTGTCGCGGAAGACGCTGGAACAGGCTGAACAATGGGTGCACTTAGTAATGTGCAAAGCCCGGCTCCGAGCCACGAGCCGAGCCAGGCCAAGCCCACTTAAGGCCGAGCTGAGCCGGGCTTTGAGGACGGCTTTTGAGGGCTCAGGGCCCGGCTCTTGCCTACGAAAGCTGTAGGCCGAGCCGTGGGCTGCCGACTTTTAGGAGTAAAACTAGCTGATTGGCTGGAAGGTGTGCCTGAACTATGAAGCTCCACAGCCACAAGCGGAAATATGTCTCCATCCTCCAGGCCTTGCCCAGCGGCAACCTTAAAGTCTTTGATGGCTCCACGCGCTGCTTCTGACAGTGCCAACTTGTCTGACACACTCCGAAACGCGTTGTTTCTGCCAGCGCACGAATTACTGACCCATCAAACACTGCCGCATGTCAACTCAGCACCCACAAACAAGCCTTCACCGAAAAGCAAGCCGCGGATGCAGCAGCTGCAGCTGAGAAGACGGTGTCACCTGCCGGATGTGATGCTGATAACCACGCACCTTCAGCACCTGGGGAAAATATGGATGTGCACTCTACAAGCATTGGCAAGCGCAGTGCAGACATAGCTCACTTGGACCAATCATCAGGTGAGGTCTCGGATACCCCAAGTTTAGAGGTAGTGGATCACAAGAAGAAGAAACAAAAAGGCAAGTAAATATTATTGAGTCCGCGCATTCTGATTGAACACATTTTGGCACCACTCAGGGCGAAAGAAGCAGAAGACGAGACAAGGCTCATCGTCCAGATCTGAAGATTCCGATGAAGCTGGAACGATGCGTCATATGTTGTCCATGTCATCAAAATGATGTGACTGATATGTTGCACCTGATTCAGATCCCGCAGAACACATCAAGGATATTCGTGATGCCGACGGCCTGCTGCAAGATGTTCGTGTGGCAACAATGGACGGTCCCCTCAAAGTATGGCTAGAAGAATGTAGTCGCAATGTCAACGAGTTCTTTTCAAAGACGTACATGCATGAAGGAAGGAAGTATCGCAACTGCAGAGAATGCCGGTAAGTGGCTCTCATCTCACATGGGGATGTCTCACTAATGGATGAAACACTCTGTAGCAAGGCCAGCAAAATACCGGCAGACAAGGAGAGCGATGTAGGCCAACTTGTCGCTGAGGTGTCGACACTTCATCATCATCTTGAGTCCAGGCACAAGGTAACTCTGCTGCCATTCATGCGCTATGCATGTGTATGCTAATTACTTTTCAGGCCAAGTATACAACATGGGTAGAACATGCCAAATTTGATTCGATGCTGCCGAAAGAAGTGAAGCACTGAAAAGAAGCCACTACCGCTGATAAACAAACCCGACTGGACCCACACTTGAAGGAGAAGCCTGTCAAGCAGAATGTCGTGCTGTACACTGATGCGCTTTTCCATCAGGCTGCCCTCGAGTGGCTCATAGCAACTGACCAGGTAAATACCTAATATTTGTGCTCACTGCTACACCGTCTTGACCAGCATCATCAACAGCCAATTCATGCACTCGAGCACCCAGCATTCCACAACATGATCAACATCGCTGTGCTTGCGACCAATGGTGTCAATATTCTGAATCACAAGCGCACATGTAAAGAAATCATTGAGACGTTCAAGCGGCAGCTCACAGAACTCTGGGACAAACTGAATGTAGGTGAAGACAGTGGCTTCCAAGCGACACATGGCATGCTGACCCTGGCAACAGAGTGACGCTGTTGATGGCAAGATTAACTTAATATGTGATGTGTGGCAAGCATCAAACACAGACAGTTATTTCGCCGTCATGAGATCATGGGTTGAAGAAACCAAGGCCGGTGTCTGGAGCATCCAGACAGCACTTCTTGGCTTCACACAGCTCAACAATGCCCACAACGGGAAGCGTCTAGGCCAAGCACTCTACAAGATTGCTCTCCGTGTTGGCATTACACACAAGGTATGTCGTTCTGTGCTCTTCGAACTTGTTCTGACTTTGTTTATGCAGATTGGGCATGTCACCTGCGACAATGCATCAAACAATGACACGATGCTAAAAGAGTTTGCAAGGCTGATTTGAATGCACACCGGGAAGGTTCTGTTCGACCCGAAGAGGCATTGTATATGGTACGCAGGCCCACTATTCTTATTTACTGTCTACTGAGCGTGTGACTAGCTGTCTTACGCACGTCATCAACCTTGCAACACAGGCGGCTATCTCCGCATACAGCAATTCAAAGCATTATGATCCAGAGCAGCTGGATAATGACCTCATGGCCCAACATGGTGCTGAACATGATGAAGTCGGGCTCGTTCAATCAATCTGTGTAAAGGTATGTTTGAGCCAGTTCATTGTGTTAATCTGTTTGCTTATACACGATTCGCTGCCAGGAGCGTTCATCTGCACAGCGAAAACAACTATTCAAAGATCTCTAAATGCAAGCTGATCGGAAGACAGCACACCAGTTGTTAATGGACATGCCCGTCTGCTGGTCGTCAACATATATGATGCTACATTGTGCAGAAACTTTGTGGGAGGTGCATTTCCATCTTGTTATTGATGTGTTCACTGTCCTAAATCCTCATTTGTTGCAGTATGTTGATGCCTTTGTCCGCAAGATGGCGCGAAAGGAGAAAGATCGTGCCAAGCGGCAGAAGCTGGATGATTTGCAGCTTAGTACAGACAAGTGGGATTGCGTTCATTTATTTCTAAATTTGCTGACAGTGAGAGGCCTTGTTTTATTTCTAAGCATATTAACCAATGTTTGATCAGCATGCAGACAACGCTCAACAAGCATTCTTGTCAGACAGTGGACCCGCCCTCCATCTTGCACTTCCAGCACTCGAGGCGCTGCATAAGGCATGGTCAAACCGTGTGGAACAAGAGAAGTATACACCCTTTGCCAAAGCTCTTAAGGCTGGTATTGCAAAAATTATCACTTCAGGGTACCCTTCCGACCTAGCTCTTAGCTTTAACATAATTTATATTGTGTAGTAGCTAAGAGCCTCTCAGGTGTCAGACAGACCATGGTACCAATACATGTCCCAGGGCATTATATGGGATTACCCAGGGCAAAGGCAGGGCAAAGGCTGGTCCAATGGCACAATTATCATATGGGACAAGGAAATCGCTTCGCGCTGCGTGCTCCGTGATTAAATATATAATGTAGTGAAGTATGTAGATATAGGGTTACAATAGTAACTCTTTCCAAATGATATTCTTGGTTGTTGTTGTAGAATCGCCTTCGGCCTTCAGAATGAGTACATCATTGGCGTTCGGTACATGGGTTATGGCGGAATAAAGTTGACTGTGCGAAAAGACGTAGCGGCGAAGATCGAGCATTAGTTTTTGAACGGTGAGTCCTTGACAACCATTGAAAGTGGTAGTGTAACATAGTGCGAGTGGCAGCTGTTTGCGATTGATGATGAAGTTGTAACCGGTAGGATGAAAGTTGGCGTTGATGCGAGGAATAGCGATTTTCATCTATAGGGTCATTAATGGTGTAAAACGGAGCAGAAGAAGAAGGCTTACGGATGGAACATTTCGTCCAGCAACAATGGAGGCAATAGTGTCGACTTCCACAGTATGCTGGTGTAGATGCCGCACTATCGCTCGGGTGTTTTTCGTGAGTCCGCGAGAAGCATCAAAGTTTTTCGTGAGACGGCAGATACATTCAACTTTAAGCTTGAGTTCGTGCGGCAGAATTCCCGGTTCATCAATGCCGTTGAGAAAATCTAATGTAGCAATCAGATGGTTGACTATCTCCGTTCTGGAGTCATCTTCCAATCTGTCACTGCTAACATAAGTTCGAGTTTCTCCCGATAAAGTCTGTAATATGCGTTCGTTGAAGTTGTTGATGAATTCGTTGAATGGGCTGAGTATAGCGTGATGAATGCAGACATCAGGATTAGTAAGAATGGCGAGGGGGAACACAAAGTTGATGGCGTCATGGATGGATCGTGTATGTTGAAAATGGCCAAGATCAACAGTATCATGTTCATAGTCATCGCCAATAGCATCCAGGAATGCGGAAAATTCGAGGTCACCAGCTTGCCGCAGCGGTTGATTGAGTTGTAACACATGAAACTGCCTGAAGACAGGTTTCGTGCGCAGAGATGCTTTTGCAATTGCAGTTCGTCCTCCGAATCGGACGACAGGAGCAACCTGTTGGCACGTGTAAGTAAGGGAGTACTCATTGATGCGCAGAGGAGCTTATCTGTCAGAAATCACCCACTGTCACTAGCAGTTGACCTCCCCAGATCTTGTTGATGCCAGTGATGTTGTGCATGGCTCTGTCTGCGCAATCAAATGCTTTGAAATGCAGTCCTCCTATCTCGTCTATAATGTGGCAAACTGCGGCTGCGAGAAGCTTTCCACGATCCATATGAGGTCTCATGGCGGAGGTGAGATACGGGTTGTTCTCATCAATGGGAATACCATATAGGTAGTGAGTCGTCCGTCCTCCAGGGTAATTCTTGGCTGCGAATGCAGAGGATGCCGTCACCAGGACGATCTTGTTTGCTTTTTGCAGTGCACCAATGACAGGATACAGCGCATATGTTTTACCTCTTCCCTCACGGCCATCAATGTGTACAGGATATGGATGGATCATGCCGGACAGTGTGAGGATGTGGTTGTAGATGGCTCGCTGAACCGTGAGTGAATGAGGTGAATGATGCAAAAGCAGTGAGATCTCACCTGATCTGCAGTTAGACTGGATGCAAATGAACATAGGTCTGTAGGATTGCCCCCCCCATCTCTCAATCTCTGCATCAATTTCTGTGCATCGCTCCTCCAGTTCTGGAAGACCGATGTCAGCGAGATGCTTCCCCAGACCCTGGAGTAGTTCTGAGAGTGCAGTGAGAGTGTGATTGCGAATGATGAAAGGATCAGGATGACTGCATGTTCGAAGAAGGCTATCACGAATGTCTGCAGAGAGCTGCAGCTCATAGTCCTGCCAAATTGAAATAATGGGGTCACCTTCCACGGCGAGTATGGCAAACAGCCAAGAAGTTCGTGAAACGTGAGGCAACCCTCGTTTTCATTCGTGAACAGTCCGAATGCTCTTGCGGCTTCTTGAGAAGTGTTGTATAGTATGCCATCGACTGTGCGCAGTTCATCCCAGCTGTTTGCACTATGGTGTAGGAGTAGCGCCCGTAAGTAAAAAACATTACCATGATGTGGATAGACGATTTGGATTCGCGAAGCCGCCTCGTGTCCTTGCTCATAGAACCTGATGTGCATTTGTGGTCATGCCGGGGTTGGTTGTTCGAGGATCTCCAATGACTGGTGAAGAGGTTTCAGTGGATCATGTGTGACCAAACGGCATTGTCTACCAAATTCAATGTAGGTCATGTCGTTGAGGCGTGGATGGGGAGGTCGGGCAAGGTATCGTATAAGCAATGTGGCATCTGACTGGGTGTTGTTCTTTCTTTTCATTTGACCTTGCTGGCGATCGGGTAGGTGTATGGGTAGGCGATGGACACCAGGATGCTTGTCAGTGGTATGAAAACCAGCAATACGGGTACATCCTTCGATGCTGGAGATGTAGCGACCTCGCTCATAGTCATTGATTTCATCAACTGGTTTTCGAACTCCATGAGCAGAGGAAGTAGATATTGTGCGCACTGGTCGAACACTCCAGTTGGTTTCGTCGGGTCCCTTGTAGAAGTATTTGAAAAGATATTGAAATAGAGATACTGATGCTGAATATTCACAGTTGATATGCGCATCATATTTGAGTACCAAGAATGGGATGTGAAGTATAACATTCGCATCCTCATTTTTGTGACAATGTGGCTCAAAGTAACCTGATATAAGTGTTTTTAGTTGTCAATGACAGATGCGAGTCTGCAAACCTCTTTCGTTGAATGTGGAGTCATTCTGAATGGGTTTCAGAAATCGGTACTACAGTCTTTTGTAGGCCAGCCACACCCATGATATTTGCTCTTGCTATCATGGTGATGCATCATGTGCTTTAAAATAGCATCACGAAGTGGTCCTGGAGGTCGTGGGAGTTCAGCGCTAAGAAATTGATGAAGTTCATGAGGGGAGTAAGGGACATATTTAAGTGTGACCGCGATATGAGCATGGGGAAGACCTCTCTTTTGAAATTCAGTAACACGAATATGGTATAGTGTCGGGCCCATGGAGGTGGTGATATCTTTCATCAGTCGAGAGAGTTTCTGTTGATAAAAATGTACGACCACATCAGGTCTGTCATATGCTGACTGTCCCGAATGTAGTTGCAATTTGATCTCAATCCATTTTGGATTAGTGGTGAAGGTGATGAAGAGTGTGACAGGGCCAAATTCCTTGTGAAGAGCAAGACAGTCTGCTATATTTGCTGCAGACCATGCAGGGGAATGAATGAAACTCGAAGGTAAACGCACGTCGTCCATTGGCTCTTCATCACCATCTCCAGTATATTCACCTTCTTCATTGTCATCATTGCCATGTTGATTCATGCAGATGTATGTTAATCGTGCTTCTTCAATTGCACTCCATGCATCTACCAAGTATTCCCCTGCAAGAATTAATTCCGAATTAGATATGCATGTATCAAACCGGCATACCTGCCAAGCACAAAAATTTCGTTATTTGTTCCGCATTCATGAAAAATTGAGTACGATACCACTGCATTTGCGTGAATGATTTGCCGGCAAGATTGAGTCGTTCCGAAGACCATCTGAGGGTTCCATATGGCTCCAACATAAGATAATGGAGAGGTTCCACATACAGCAATAGTAAATCAAGATAACGATGCTCAGTGTCACCAGTTCTCCGTATAACAATTTTGCGGTGAGTGGGTGGGGATGCAGGTGCGATCGAAATAATAGCAGCTATTTCATCCCCCGTAACACTGGATGATGCTTCAAGGTGTAAAGTGAGCTCGTCGTCTGCCATTACAGCCAGTCGATCTAAATGATCAATATATGGGTTCACACGTCGCAAGCCTGCCAGTGCCGCTTCAAGCCAGCCAGATGGGATTCTGTGAGCAGTAGGGCCAGAAAGAAGTGCTTGTGGGTCATGCAGAAACCAACGAATAGCATGCGCACCTTCATCAGCAGGTATTAGACGATGGTATGTTCATCCTCCTTTCAATGAAACTGCAGAAATGCCATCACCAAAGTCCATGAAGTCTCCATTGTAGACCCCAAGTGCAGTGAGAGAGAAATGGTTATTCAGATAGTGAGAATGTATGCCTAGGTTAGGAGAATTGATGCAGACATTCCATTCAGCAGGATAAGGCGGCAGGTGGGGGAGCAGATGAACATGTTTTGGTCCACAAACGAAACAGTCATCGTGAGTACGTTCTCCGGTAAGCACCTACAACTATGTTAAAAGCCGGACATTAGACGAAGCAAATTTGACATACCTTGATCCCACAGTGTCGACATGTTCTATCCCAGTGCAGAACCTGCATACACATATCGTGGTCATTGTTAAGCATGGCAAGCCCTTCCCACCACTTCGGACCACCACAGAGCGTGCGACGATGTTAACGATGTGTGGCATTGTTAGCCAGTCATGCACTGTCCATTTCTTTGTGGGACATTCAGTCGCGGTGTTGTTGTTGACTGGCACGATTACGCTCATGCTGATCTGGAAGGGGATGTATCTGCCTCAACACCATCTCGGTCTGAAGCGAAGCATCGCTGCAAAAATGGAAGAGATGAACCAGTAGTGATGTGCGAGCACGAAAAACAAACCTGATAGGTACATTTACACACTGTTTGTCGATTTGCATGAAATCCATCAGGAATTTTTCTGTCAGGAGAAGGGGCATGAAAGCAGGGGGGGGTTATGTCATATAACGGAGAGAGGAGTCATCGAAGTGGCGCTAGCGGAACGAAAAATGGAAAGTGGAGAACATGAAGTGGAGAATACAGATACGGAAGCGGGGCGTGAAATGATGGATGGCGGAAATTTTAAAGATAGTTAGATGTCCTATAGTACTAGGGCATTGATATTTATATCCCAGTATTACTGGT